CCAGCAGAAATCTAGGCAAAAAAAGAAACTCGAATCATGGTGATCCGAAACTCAGACTACCCTCGACTCCCTAGAATGCACTGGGGCGAATTGATTTACGCAACACCAGGATGTGGCAAGACCTATGTTGCCAACAAATATCGGGATGTTGTTGACGGAGACGATTTGATTGTAGAGGCTACTATTGAAGTAGCTCCACACTTTGAACTCGATTACTACGACGATCCTAGGAAGGCGATATTCCAATACTTTCGATACATAAATTTCAACCGAAGAATCAATCATGTGGAAAGTCTACAACCGGGCCTAGGCGAAAATGGAAGACGCATGCGCTGATGATGACGTAGTTCTCTTTGGGACAATGGATTTGATGGACGAGGCAGATCGAATCTTCATTCAAAAGGATGGCCATTACGTTCGAAATGGATTTCAAAGCAAGCAATCGAAAGAAGAGGAGAATGCTGACGACGCGCACGCTCCTATTCACTATATTTATGAATATTTGGATAATTCTCTGCAAAGAACCAACCGAGATTGTCAACAGCACTAACTAATTGCTCTGACATTGAATTTGGAGCAGAAAATTCCCAAAAAGCCTTGTCTGATGGCAATGCATCTGCCGAATAAATCGAAATGCTAAAGTCCCATAGTAGTACGTTGTACAGAGAACTAATCCTTGAACAGAAGTACTGCTAAGAGTACCACTTGTGCTGCTGTACCTGGTACTACCGGTACCAGCTACAGTACCGGCTCGAAAAAATGAATCAATCTTTAGTCACGTTAGTCGATTGTCAGTGCTCTTGAAACGTGCATGGTTGATTTGCCATTTCATTTCCCTCACAATATTTGAAAGACAATTGGAACAAGATGAGGTGGAACGAACTGATACCGGAAAGCGCATGGGTCGTGCAAGACCTATTGACAAAAGACGAGTGCGAGCACTTTGTACTACGCGCCAAGAGTCTTGGAATCCAAGACAAAACTGCCACAGGCGACGTCCGCCATCGCAACTCCACCACGGTTTGCTTGGACGACAAGGAAATGGCAGACCGGATATTTGACCGAATTAGGAACCAAATCCCGCAAGAAATAGTGATTGACGAACATTACCAGAACCCTGGCTTGGTCACTAAGAACAATCAATTGTACGGAAAGTGGAAGCCATGTGGGTTGAACTTCCGGTGGAGGCTTGTGTGCTATCCAGGCGAAGGACACTTTGGTCCACATCGGGATGGTTACTATGAAGTCGACGAGCATCATAGATCATTTATTACGATAAACGGTTTCCTCACAGATAGACCACCAGGCTTTGGCGGGGCCACCCGCTTCGTTAAGGACGAAATCGATGCAGTGCTTAATGATGATGGCATCTTCTCGACCTCTGAGTCAGATGTATTACATCGTGTGGAGGCCGAGCAAGCAGGCACAGCTAGTGTATTCTTCCATGACTTGATGCACGATGGAGAGCCTTTGAAGACAGGCAGTCCGCCAAAATGGCTCTTCCGAACAGAGATCATGTACCAGCGAGACCCGAAATCGGCACCGACGTTAACAAAAACGGAGGTCGAGGCAAGGCAATTCCTAGGACTGGCGGAGGAATCAGAATCAAACGGAGAGATAAACAAGGCAATATTGCTCTACAACCGGGCATACCGACTAGATCCCCGATTGGAAGACCAACAATACGGCTAACACTATTTTAGCAAAATAACGTGAAAACACGTTTGAAGTCTACTTGAGTGGGTTTCGCAGCTCTTGTGGTGATATATCACAAGAGCTTCGGCAACTCTATCTCATTCAATCGCATCTTCTCGACACTTGAAGTGTTTTTCCACTTTTCTTTCCCAATAACCTTCTTTGCCTTTAAATGAAAAAAGTGTTACAGAGATAGACCAATGGTTCCAGACATCGTCGATAATATACAGCATTTTACAAGAAGTGAACAAGGGGAAGGAGCACGATTCCCCATTCCGTTACCACAAGAATCTGCAGGTGCGGACCCATTGTTCCTCTACAGTCTTCTCAGTTCTTGCTTCACGGGCCCTTCTCTCTTGTCTACTCCTCCGTCCCTCCCTTCCAGGAAAACGAGTCTTCACACACTCATACTTGTTGGGCGATGATGACTCGCTTGCTGTACTTTTTCTTCTGCGCCTTCTGAGGGAGGTCGTTGATGGGATGGGTTGTTCAATCCAAGTCCGTAGACAGTTTTTATCGTTGCATTCAATAACCCTTTCCTTGTTTTCTGTTTTCTTCATAATGCTCTTGAGGACCATTGCATTCTCGGCTTCGAGGCTGCTGAAGCTCCCTTCAGAGCAGGATATTGTATCAATGGTGTCATGGGAGTCTTTGGACGAAGGATCTGCCTCGATTCTCTTTCGCCTGGTGTCATCAATGGCCAACAGACCACTCAATTTAGAACTGAATGGCGTCTGCGTATTGTGGATAGGCATGATAGGGATATTTTAAAATGATGAATCTATTGATTTATGAGGAACACAGCCAAGTCTTTCTTGTTTTGAATTACCGAAATAGCGCCAGAATAAGTCACGGTGGCATCTCAGTTGCTGTGCTGGGGCATAAGAAGAAGAAACACTTGTTGGAGAAGAGAAACTTCCGAGTTGGTGGGATCATTTCTGTACGACGCAGGGGCTATTATAACTATCTACTAGATACATCGTTTTGACTATAGAATTGCCACGTAGAATTTGTACGTACCAGGTTTTTATGAAAAGACGTGCAGTAATTGACATGCTCTCTACAGTACACGTACCGGTACACGTGTACCTGGTACACTACGGTACAGGATTACTAGAAAAACAAAGCGAACCGTTTCGACTGGAAAAAGAGTCCGTTCAAAATTGCCACTGGAAGACAAATGCTCGCCATCGTACCGGGATTGCAAACGGCCCTCAAAATATGAAGTAATACAACTGGCTTTCTCGAGCAGAAATAGATTTATTTGTCAATGGAAAACAGAAAGTCTTTTCTTATTTTTTGAAAAAGCTTCAAAAAGAGTTTGATATGATGGGATCATTTCTGTACGGATGCATCAGCAGAAAAGTGCCGTAGCGTGACTGACTGGACTGCCGAGTCCCGTGCTCGGCTGATGAGTACAGTGATGCCACTGGCCTCTGGACATATGCATTTGGGTTGCATATATTTAATTACTTCGAGTGAGTCATTTTTAAACGGAGCTTCAAAAGTATAGTACAGGTACAGTAATTGGTGACTTTCTCGAGCGGTGGTACTGAATCTGCTCCGTCGTATTTCAAGGAAACCACCCGGCAGGATGGGATAATTGCCTACATCCGCCGCATTAGCCGAATATGGCTGTACATTCTTTGCCAAAATGTCGTAGTAGGACTGTCTCAAGCAGCAGTTTATCGAGCCCTGTTACTCTGGATGTGTCAAACAATTTGAGGAAATGTTAAAAATCTTCTCTTCTCTGGAAGAAAGCTAAAAGTGTTTCAAGCTTGTATCCAAGACAACAAATGTCGACTCTGTTGTTCCAATGAAACTCGTGCGAGCGCTAACGACAACATTCTTCAGTATTCTTCTTCGTGTTTCTTCATAACAAGCACAACTCATCTATCTACCGGTACACTTGAACTTGCTAAATTTATAGTGTCGATTATGTATTTTAGGAAGTATTGTATTTGTACAATACGTTCTCACTAGCAGAAAGGGGTATGGAAGGAGCACGACTGACTCCCCATTCCTTTTTATCATAAGAATCTGCAGGTGCGGACCCATTGTTCCTCGACTGTCTTTTCAGTTCTTGGTTTACGGGCCCTTGGCTCTCGTCTACTCCTACGCCCCTCCCTTCCAGGGAAACTAGTCTTCACACACTCAAATTTGCTGGGCGATGACTCGATTGCTGTACTTCTTCTTCGTCTGCGCCTTATTCTGAGGGAGGTCGTTGATGGGACGGGCTGTTCAATCCAAGACCGCAGCCAGTTTTTATCGTTGTCTTTAATCACCCCTTCCTTGCTCTCTGTTTTCTTCAGAATGCTATTGAGGGCCAACGCCTCGGCTTCGATGCTGCTGAAGCTCCCTTCAGAGTAGGATGCTGTATCAATGGTGTCATGGGAGTCCGTGGAAGAATCTGTCTCGATTCTCTTTCGTTTGATGTCGTCGATGGCCAACAAGCCACTCAATTCAGAAATAAACGGCATCTCAATACTATGGATACGAGTAGACATGATAGGGATATCACTGATGAATATGTTGCTTTATGAGACAAAAGTTTGTTTTGAACTACCGAATTAGTGCTGGAATGAGTTCCGGTGGCATCCAAGTTGAAGTGCGGGGTCACAACGACGAGGAGAAAGACATGTTGGAGAAGAGAAACTTCCGAGTTGATGGGATCATTTCTGTCCGGTACGGATGTAGGTAGGTTGCTAACTTTAAACTACGGAAGAGAAAAGTACCCGTGGGTTCATAAACGGCCGATAAGTAGATTCAAATGCCACTGGACATGAAACAACGCCAAAGCATTTCGTTTCCTTTCAAAAAAGAATCCGTTAAATAAGCCACTGGAAGAAAGAGAGAGCTTATTCATCGCACCGGGATTAAAAACGTCACATTTTACAGTAAGATGTGGCTTTCTCGAGCGGAAGCAGATTCATTCGTCAATCAATGGAAAACTGAAAGTGTTTTCTTATATTTGTTAAAAAGTCTTAAAGGGGAGTTCAGCAAAGAGTCCGTCGTCCCCATTTAGAAACCAAAGCTGTAGCAAAATTATCATCGGTTCCGCCACATCTCAAGGAAACTATCCGACAGGGTGGGATGATTGTCTGTATCCGCCGCATCAGCCGAATATTATTGTGCATCCATGCTTTGCCAGAATATCGTGGTGGGACTGTCAATACCGTAGCAGTATTTTACCGAGCCCTTTCACCCTGGACATGTCAAAGCAATTTGAAAAAAACATCTAAAAGTGTGGCGAGCTTGTTTCCAAAACAACAAATGTAGACTCTTACTTCCAAATGAATCTCGGGCGTACGTCAACGACAAAATTCTTCAGATTCTTCTTCGTTTTCCTTCAACTCATCTACCGGTATACACTCTCTCAATCGATTCATTCAGTCGAATGGATCATTTGGTCAGGCTTCTTGTCGCATTCTCTTCATTGCATTGTCGTACATTGCGCTTGTTAGAATGGAAGAATCAATCTGTTGGTTGACACGATGGCAAAGATGTGATTACTGCATGCAGTCGTGCTGTATTTATTGTATCGATTATGTATTTTATTGTTTTTGTTTCTATCACGAAAGGGTAAGGAAGGAGCGCGATTCCCCATTCCGTTACCACAAGAATCTGCAGGTGCGGACCCATTGTTCTTCTACAGTCTTCTCAGTTCTTATTTGACGAACCCTTGGTTCTTGTCTACTCCTGCGTGTCTGTCTTCCAAGGAAACGTCTTTTCATGCACGCATAGTACTTGTTGGATGACTGGCCCGAGATCCTTCTTCTGTACTGCCTTTGCCTATTGCTGGAGCCGATCGATGACTCAATACAACCGGGAATGGGCTGTTCAATCCAAGATTGCAAGTGTTCGTCCTCGTTCGTGTCGATGCTTCCACTGCTGTTTGTTGCTTTCTTCAGAATACTCTTGGGTGTCAATACCTCGGCCTCGAGGAAACTGAAGCTCCATTTTGAGCAGGATGTTGTTTCAATGGTGTCATGGGAATCTTTGGAAGAATTTGCATCGATTCTCTTTCGCCTGGTGTCATCAATGGCAAACAGGTCGCTCAAGCTTAGTTCAGAGCCAAAAGGAGTTGCAATGGTGGGTAGGATTGGCATGGTAGTTCTGGATGGTATTCTTGTATGGTTGGTTTTGGGAAGTCTCTGTTTTGTTGGTGGAGTATACAAGAGTGACTGGAAAAAAATGGTGTGGAAGGCACTCACTTTTTGTTCTTCGCAGTCATTTGGCAGATGCGTCGCAGTCAATATTTACATTAGAATGTTCTGCACTGGAAAGTGGTTCAACAATAGATATATCGTAATGAAAAAACCGCTATATGAAAATTCTCACAGCGATTTCTCGCTGGAAGAAATCAACAGTGATGTCCCAAGAGCTTTTTACAACACATTGCGACGTTGGTTTCAAATTCCTTCCTACTACATACAGAGTTCTCATGCAAAGAAACGTATTGGTCCGAATGGAATCCAAAGCTTCATGCAAGGAGGAATTTCATCCAGATGTAAAATTAGAAAAAGCCGAATCCAAAGTTTGAATTGCAACAAAATGGAGCCAGTACAGTGATATTGTAGAAGGAACCGGGAACCGCAGTTGACAGCGCAGAATCTGGTCACTCGGCCAAAAGGCGATCCGTAACGGATGATGATATCTGTCTGTCCTAAATCTACCTCAACACTCCCTCTCGTGCGAACATCACCGCGTTATGGAGCACGCATATTAGATTTAGATTAGGCAAGTGTGAGCGGACGAAGACCAGACATCCCTTTCCCCCAAACTGTTTCGAATTAGTTGGAGTGGGATCCCTCCCCCAGACCAAGTGGAGGTCTTGGCACGAGCAATCCGATTGCGCAGAAGAATGTCGCACTGAGTCCGAGACTCGAAGTGGCGACCGCATGGTTGGGCTCACAACCTGACAGCGCAGAATCTGGTCACTCGGCCAAAAGGCGATCCTTTACGGATGATGATATCTGTCTGTCCTAAATCTACCTCAACAGCAGTGCTCTGCTCACCGCATCACATTGCGTCGGCAAAGTGGACAACATCCATGGTCCACCAATCAAGATTCAATGCACTCCTCGTGAAAAATATGGTTGCAGCAAGAGTTTGTGGCAACGCAAATCGTCTGCCCAGGTTGAAATCCTTCTAGGCATATTGAGCACACAATCTTCTTGCTGGGTCGTAGACTCCAGGAAGATGGTAAGTTCGTCACTGCCATGTAAATAGAGGAGGACAAAGATGATGACGATAGGCTCTTTTTGTTTGGCTTCGTATCTTGGTTGGAAACAATGACACCATCTTCGCCATTGTCATCATGGTCATCATCGTGTGATGCTTCGGTGGCGTCGTTCTATTACTGTTTCCTCAACGAAAGCTTCCAATAAAATGTTTATTTTGTCCGGCAGGACGACTTGATAATGGACTTTGGATTGAATGAGTTGTTTTCGTTCAATAGACTGTTGGATTGCCTGTGAATCCAGATCTTCATGTGCACTGGGATGTGGATGTGCAGGGGTAATAGGTTGGATAGACACTTTTGATGTGAGGAGCCGATGGTGTTCGACGACCGATACCAGCTTCAAAAGCCTCCAATGTCGCCTTCTTTTCTCGCGGTGAGAAAAATCTTCTGTTTGCTGCTGTTCTTGATGCGGTGTTCTTGATTTCTTCTCCATATCAAAGGTGCCCAAAGCGTCTTGCATTTTTTCCAGACCCGCGTAACGATTACGCATGCAATGCTCAAACCAATCTCAATAGTGAAGATCCAAAATACTACCGGATTGTGATCTCCGACTCCAGTGCTACTGTTGCCTGAGGAGAAATGTATCCGTCACCTCCTGCTCCTTAGGTGCTGCGTCTCCCGACATGCTTGAAAGTGAAAGTGTCACAGGTGTTGGCATGGTCAGGTTTTAAGTGATACTGGGGCTTGGTCTTGGTCGCTACGGGCTGGTTACGAAGACTTCGTGGATGTCGAATGTTAGGAACGACCATGTCTATGTGAGTTATGTCGGTTGCAGAAAGTGTGAAGGAAGACTCAAACTTTCACACGGAAGATTTCTGACGTATGCGTGTCATTTATTGATCACATCCATATGGTACAACAGATATTGTTCCTCTAAAGTTCTATCGCCAAATCATGTACTCAGATTTCTGTACCACTTTCCCACACCGTAGAAACTCATTTGCAGTTGATGTCATCGTTCAAACGAATCATTTCATCCAAAATCAATCCAAAGAAGCTAGTGTACATCACACCAGCGCTTCCATCTAAAAAGTGTTCAAAGAATTTTTCTCCCCAGACTTTCACCTTTTCACCGTGTTTTGAATAGACGGGCTTCTCCAGATCTCCCACATGATCGTTGTCGGCTGGATCAAATTCGATGGATCGATCGCTGTCCCAATTGACCATAGTCGATCGAATCTGTTGCAGTCGTCGACTAGATTGGCGTCGAATCAATGCCGCACGCCGATCCTCATTTTCGACGACGCTTCCTTCGTCTTCATCGTCCAAACGAACAGATGCGGACAAGAGACCCGATGTCTCGTGGCAAATTGTGTTCAGATCATGTCGCAATTCTTTCGCGTTGTCCATGTATTTGTTGCGCGAATTGATCAAGTGGAAGGAGCACAAAATGGCCAATATCGTGGTTTCCAATAGTTCCCAAACAGTTTGTTTGGTCATGTGAAAGGCAAAAGCCATGGCGATGGTCACAAGTTCCCCAGATACACTCAACCAAATGGAATTGGTGAACGCATGAATCAGTGCCATATCTAGAAAGACTGTGACAGGACACGTGTAGTTTGCAAATATGGAGCCAGGTCCAGATACCAGGAGCAGTTGGATTAGATGATGACGCAGTGGTGGACGGCGAAGTATTCAGCCACTTACCAACAATCGAATGAATCAGATAGGCGGTGGGTTCTGAATCCAGTAGGAGCCGAACCACCAAGACTGTAATGGACGAAACGAGCCCCAATGCAGTCGAGCGAAGACGTTCCTCAGACCATTTGGCGCACCCGAAAATCATCCCCAACAAGAGACCAGGATTGACTACTGTAGTGGGAATGTCCTCGGGACCTTTGGTGCTAGGCGTTTCGTCGGGTATCGGAATTCCTCCAAAGCTTACAGTCCGCCCCCGGTTTAGTTTCGGAGCCTCGTCGTTGGAACAACCATCCCAAGACTCGTCATCGTTTGTGGAATGTTTGGATGATGCTGGATTGTTCTCGTTGGTCATTGGGTTACCAAATTCCAGTGAGGATTCTGTTTTGTCCGATCCTTGCAGTTTATCCGTCATGAAAAATGAAGTGGGTGCAGAAAGGAAGTTATACCGTAGATGATAGACTATTGTGAGGATTGTGAGGATAAAATCATATGCACGACAGAAATGACGATCGTATCCTTCTCAAATGTCAATCTGCAAGAATCTCAATCAATGTCGTATAAGACATCTGTTATGCCTCGTTCTTCAGGTGCAGTAGGTAGACTTCAATCATAGGTGAGACGTCGCATTATTAAAAATAGACTACCGTCGTCTCACACAACGATGACTACAGAGTGAAAACAGGAATGTCAAGAATTTTTTTTTAAAAAGTTGTCTGATCTTATCGACCGGTTCGCATTTCAGCTGTGATCAGTAGATAATCGGTCTATCGAAGATAGTCTTCCGTGAGGGATTCTTTCTTGGTGTGACTGACTCTGGTGGGTTGTGGTGTGAAGCTGGTCTTTTGGATTGCGCGCGAAGCGTGCGGTTCCAGAAGACCAGTCTTTGATATCCCGCAAAGCGGAATATCAGAGACTTGCTTGCCTACTAGGTCATGCATTGATGCAAATTGCAGCAATGCATGGCCTAACAGGGATGTGGAGGGAGGGAAAGAAAGAAATAAACGTATTTCTTGATGTATACTCGCACACAAGTTCGATAAATTGATCGGACTTGGTGTTGCGGAGCAATGATGTTGAGACGGTCGTTCGACCGTCGTCAGTATGATGAAAGGAATCCAATGATTCGTTCTCGAGCTTTCGTCTACGTTAGAGAATCAGATGCTAATCAAATAACAAATTTGGAAGCTAAGCGTTTAAAATAAGTAGTCTCATGATTTACTCATCCTCTTCTCCAACAAAGACTGGGGCTGTTTCTTGCCACTCGTCTTCGCTGTCTTCTCTTTCATCTTCCGAATCGCTTGCAAATGCAGCCGCCAAAGCTTTCTGATGTCGTTTTGCTGCCTCTCGTGCTTTCTGTTTCTTCTCCTTGAGACGTTCCTCAGACTTCTTCAAATCGTCCGCCAGGCTGTACTCCTTCTGTGGTTCAAAAGGAGCCAACTCCAATGGAACGGAACGTTTGGCCAAGTCAAGTTTGGTTCTTTCTTTTGGCTCGGACGATAGAGCGTCAAATCTCGAGTTCTGCAGTGCATCAAGAGCAGCTACAGCTTCGCCTTCCGGTGGAAGACTACTCTTGACTTCCTCCGAAGATGTTTGTCCGGCAGTCTGTTGCACCGCATGGTCTGATTGCGTCGTTATGGTTTGCATGGTAGGTCCCCGCCAGTTGCGCACAGCATGCGACAAAAGAGGATGCGGCATGACAGTGTCGACCATTTTGACACAGTGAATGTATCGCTTCGGCTCTGGGTCAAAACTTTCAGTTCGAAGCTTCCAAAAGTCGGAATAGTGGTGAACGAATTTCCTCGCTGGTCGATCCATTGCATTCAATGGCAGTGATGCGGCAGAATCATCGGCAAGGAAAGCCTTCCACTTCTTTTCCACCTTCAAGACTAGCGGCATACGCTCCCGTGCTTCGAGAATCAAGCTGTCTGGATAAAGTGCTGCATTCAATTCGTTGCCAAATTCATCAATGCTCAGCCTGGTGTCTGTAGGTCGAGCCCACCCCGAACTGAACTGATTGCGAACCGTCGCTGGCTTGACTCCCAAGGCTTCGGCAAAAGCCCGATTCCGAGAAAGCTGGGCCTCGGTACCAGTGACAGGTGCTTGTCCTGCTGTTGGCGGAGGCTGTGGCAAATCTTGCATTGCTGCCGCTGTAGCGTTTGTCCCAAAAGAGAGATTGGATAAAATTGCTTTCCGGCGAGCCTCTTCTCGCGCTTCCCATTGACGTTGCATTTCCTCGGGGTCCGTTTTCTTGACAGCTCCAGTGATGCGAGAGAGAGTCTTGAACACTGGTGCAGGCTTGCTGACACTGCGGATTCCATTTCGGTTCCGACTGACTCCTGCCTTGTTGTTGTTGGAAGCTTGCGAAGGAGCAGGGGCAGGAGGAAGGGCAGGGAATGCATCCGTGGTATTCATGGATCTTCCGTCTCCATACCGGTCGGCAATGTGTCTGGCAGAATAGAATGGATGTGATTGTTGTGTTTGCCCCTGGGCCTGGGCAGCAGCATATTGGTGTCTGGCCTGTGCTGCCTGCATTGCAGCTGTATGATCCCCATCCCCTCGAAGACCTGGGTTCTCATCATCGTCCACGACCATGACGCCACCATCTTCGAAACCATAAATGCCAGAATCAAATGGATTATCCGAAGCAAATGGCAATGTTTGTTGACTCTGACGAGCATCCTCTTCTTGACGGCGCAAGGCTGCATATTGTTCTTGCAACGCGGACGGTTGAGCCCTCGTTGTTGTAGTTGGTGCCGAAACGGACTGACCGCCAAACAAAGCATTCAACAGGTTGGTGGCAATCTGTTGCATGATTTCGGCACGTCCCTCGGCAGTGCTCGCCGCCGCACCAGCCGAACTTAAAGTGATTCCCTTGGCATCGTAGGCTTCCGTGACACTCATGTCATTGAAGCCATGCCGTTTTAAGTATGCATCCAAGTTCAAAAGTTCAGGCCTCGTCAAGTCGCGCCGATTTAACGGATCAATGAATTGCAACTGTGACACGAGATAGTAGGCTAGTGCTCTACCATCATATAAATGCAAGTGACGTTTCTCCAAAGGCATGCCTTCTTCTTTTCCTTGCTCTCCTCCTCGAGCTTCGGATGGCAGAACCGAACTCCCCCATTGTTCTTGCAAACGTTTGCGATTGACTTCTTCCACACTTTCCGTCTTTGCTGCAGATCCCGTAGTTTGACCTTCAGATGAATTGCCAATGCTTTGAGTAGCAAGTGGCCATACTGGAACGGGCGTGTAAGGCTCGGTAGCGACCAGTGCAAATGGTGGGTACTCCAACGAAATCAAATTCTCCAACGTAATGGGATCCATGGTATCTTTGGGAATGAATTTTCTCCAAGGGTACTTCTTTTGGCCTTTTCGGTTGTTTTTTCTGTTTCGGTTGTTCTTTGCTTTTCCTTGCTTGGCTTGCTTATTCTGTTGGTTACCCTCTTGTGGAGCATTAGAAGATGATTCAGTATTGGCATTGGATTGATTGCCTTGTTTTCCTCTCTGACGTCGCTTCCCTTGCCCTTGCGCTTGCGCTTGACCTGTTGACGCATTGGAGCTAGCATTGTTTTCTCCTTCTTGCTTTTCTTGCGAGTTGGCGGTGGCGTTGTTGTTTGGCTTTCGATTGTTACGACGACGATTGTTTCGTCGTTTATTCTTGTTGTTGTTGTTGTTGGCGTTACTATTGTTATTGCCATTATTCCCGCTGTTACCATTGGGATTAAAGGAGGCAGCATTGGCATTCAAGGCCTGACTCGGAGTTAGGGATGCAGGTGATGGATTATCTCCCATTCTTCTTGCTTTAGAATACTGTTTGTTTCAAGTTATGAGGTGATGCAAGAGTGTGGCTGGGAAAAGTTGAAGAATCATCAACTCCTCCTCTCGTCTACCGGCACCATAAAAGTATCGCACGTTTCGAAGTATCGAAGTGAATGACGGGGTGGCGGCTGGACGTTTGATTCACGTACGATTGAAGTGCACAATAGAAATTCAAAAACGTACTTTAGCTAGTCCTACCACTCCTTTTAAAAAATATATTATGATATTATGGACGCTTCATCCACATCGTGGTCAATGTCCCGCCATCCAATTGGAAACTCTTGAGCCCATATCGGTGACTGTATACTGTGATAATGTTTCATAAATGTCTTGGTCCCTTTTGGAATGTAGTAGTAGCTATCAATGGCACCCATCTCATATCCCGGTAATTTGTTCTTTTGAGAATGGTAACCGCGGACGCGATTGATGTAGTTGGTAAAGGTGGAGTAAAAGGCACCACTAAAGACCCGACCACGTGACGCAACCAGTTGATCCAGCATACCGACATAGTTCTTGTTGACTTCCAACAATTCATCATTGAAATCGTCCAGAAAGTACAGATGATAATGTTCTTTCAGCGGATCAAAGAATGACTTGTCTCGCTCATCTGTAGCAATAAAGACTGTGGAATTTTCCACCAATTCGTTTCTCATATTCTTATAAATGACCTCAGCTTCCACTCGTGTATCCTTGTACTGAAAGTCACCCCGACGAATATGAAAGCTGTTGTACTCCCCATTTGGATCTCCATTGTCCCGGGAAATTTTTCGCAGAGCATTCACCACTCGTGCTGCTCCACATTGGATTTCATCAATGTAACGTAAATGATCTCTTATAAATCGTTTCGCTATCAGGTCTTGTTTCCAGTCTTCAAAGAAAAGAAATGCATAAAAGTGGACAAGAAGTCGAGCGCCAGAGGCATTGTCGCCCATGAAATGCATGACTTTGGCATTCTGAAACTTGTTCGAGTACTGGCATACACCGGTTCGATAGGCTAGCATTTCTGCTAATCGCAAGGCTGGGATACTGTTGACTTGTGTGGGGTTGTCTCGGTACTTGGCTGGATTTCGGAACTTTCGAATGACGGCTTCTTCAAAGGTGTCATGGAGCCGTTTTTCCGTACCGGGTCCCGGTTGCGCAGGTATTCCGACAACGCATTCATCAAAGTTCCATACAGGAGCCTTACTAGCTTTTCGCAACCAATGCCAAAATTCCCTTCCGTTTCGGGGATGGCCATCCAAGGTGCTCGTATCGACAGTGTCAGGTGGGTACATGGGTTGTCCATATTCATCCTTAAATTGCCCAGTCTTCACCTCCTGCTCCAAGAACTCCTCCATCGAGATTATTTTTACTCCAGGATGTTCTTTCTCAATCGACTCGAAATGAAAAAAGTCTCGAAAGGTAAATCGATTCTTCTTTTTCGAATCTTCCTTTCGCATCAAATAGATGCCTTGTTCAGGTGGAAGGACCAATGTTCTGCCCATAGCATGTGCCAATGCAACAACTGTTTCCAGACCCATTCTGATATTGTTCCAACCTCCTTCATCTGGTTCAAAAGTAAGATATTTTCTCTCTGGTCCATGGCCGGCAAATGGACTGACAAACTTTGCGTCGGCAGGAATGTCACGCCAGTAGACCATTTCTTTTGCAATTTCAGGACTTGGGCCACCAAATCTATCGCAATTCAATCCAGCAACTTGATGATCATCAGGTGCATGCTGTCGTGGAGGATCTGTTGGTCTTGGGGCGCTGTTCAAGAACTTTGTCCCGTCTTGAAAGCTTTTCTTGTTCATGGGATTCACCATGATCAAATCGTCAGGAACAATTTTGCTGACATAACCAACATTGAAAAAGACGACAGCAGTGATCGCCCCAATCAGTAGAAGAATGATGTACTTCGTACTGAAAGGGGACGATGAAGAGCTCTTCTTTTTGGACGCCAATTTTATTGGCATCCTTCGATGAATGGGTCTTGAACGTGGAGTTGCATGCAATGCAATGCGACGGGAGATGTTATTTTTTATGTTGTTGAATTTCGACTATTTGGTCAAAGTAGTCAAACTTTTTATCCTACGACGGGACCGTGATGAGTGCGTATTCGAGACAAAATAGGCAGCAACAATATTGCAAGAATGGCTAAGCCATGAAGACTGCAGATTGCAACATCTCGAATTTCATAGACTTTCATACTTGCCCGCATTCCGCATGAGAAGTGGAGGGGAAGTATTCGAGAGCAGAACCTTGCAACGGATTGAATGATTCGATTGGAATATGGGAGTGTTTCAAGCGATAGCTTGGAAGGATTGAGCAATGCGTTTCCAAACTTACGAATCTTGTTTCTCTTGGGCAACAAGATTTGTGATCTAACGCCATTGGACTCTATCTTGTTGTGGGAGGATTGCAAGATCGAAGCGTTGGATTTACGGAAAAGTCATGTCAGCGCGACTCGATCATGAAGTTTGCTACCAAGACACCACTATTGAGGTGTATTGGACGTGTGTACTTGAACAACAATCCGTTTCTCATGGAGATACGTTGGCTGGAAGGAAGACAGCAAAGGGCATCGCTTCAGCCGCTTCTGAAAGGGGTGAAAGACAGAAGTCGGAAAACTGCTGCATCTCACTCGCATTGTGGCCTCGAATCCTCCATCGTAAAGTATCCGTTTGATGACAGCATTGGTGGCCATTTTTCAGGGATGAACTTGAGCTCGGGGAACAGAACAAGCCCACGGATCAACGTCCAAGGGCCGCAGTTTTGTTCTTCTTGATATGTGATCACGCTCTATCATTTTGAAACACTTTGGCAAAACTGGCGAAGAATTGGTTCCGAGTGAGTCCTCCTGCATCAACGAAACAGAAGGTCGAAGCAAGCTGAACTCGAAACCAGTATTATGAGCCACTCGAGGAGATCATACAATGGTCGGTAGCTAAAAGCCAAGAAGCTTTGGATTTGGACTATCAAGCTGGCAGCTTTCTGGAGTCAATCACGGTCATGATTTATTCTTTCGCGGTTGCAATCGACACACCGATACTCAATTGTGAAACCTGAAACTTCCAAAAAACTAATGGGCTCTTCGAGAAAAGGCGTAACAGTATTATTTCTAGATCGGAGTTGCGTCGCAGAACCATGTAGCAGTCTCTTCTCATAGCATGAGATGAAAGGAAAGATTTGAAAGCTAGTGATGCGAGAGCTACGTCATGTTACCTGTTCTTGCTGAGACTTGGACGGAAGCCTGGTCTTTCCAAGCTCTAGTATAGAATCGTCAAAGGCTATCTGCAGCAAGTTACTATAAGCTCGCAGAAGACTTTTTCGAACCGGCTCGACGCGTTTCATGAGTTTCATTTGATCCTCCCGGTATTGGCCCCTCCCTTCCGGTGTATCAATGGGGATTACCCCTACTCCATACGCAGATGCATCGTAGGGACTGGCTGCAACATCCAGCTTGCGAGCCTCGAGGGCCATCTCCAAAACGGATTGCAGCAGTTGTGCATCGCCAAATGGTGTCAGCTTGAGGGCAACTTTGAGCAAGTCCATATGGGCATGAACGCAGGCTGGCTGCTCCAACTTTACTTGATCGTCACGCTTTAGTGAGCCTCCAAATTTGTTCAGCGGTAAAGCGTCTTGTGCAAAGAATCGAAGGGCATCTTGAAACAGATAATGAGCATCAAGTTTCAAATATTCGAGAGATAAAAGAGTAAGAGTCTTACCGACATGTGTACAAGATACACCTTTACGCTCGACTGTCTCATTGATCACTTCTCGGGAAACTCTCAAAGGAAGGTGGGCCTGGTACTGGCCACTGGGAGGACTGCATTGAAACCGAAGAAATGTGAGACAGATGACCAAAATACAACTATCTTGAAGGATAAAATTGCACAAATGCGTGACTTACATTGGTGCGCCTTCCGGCTGATATTGCATGGCCCATTCATGGAGCCCATAACAGTGAAGAATTGGGTCTGCTGTCAGTGTCTGTTGCAGAATCGATTGGTACCAAAGGAAAGGTGATGACAATCGAATACTATCTTCCCTTTGTGACGGATCCCCCTTACCGTAGAATGTTGCTGGACTGTACATAACTCCCTCTCCATCCACCACGGTAGCCCCCCGCAAGTGTATCGTGGATCCGAAATCGTTTTCATCAGCTCCTTCAAGTAATACACTATCGCACATGGTTGATACGTCTGTGATCGTTTCTTGTGTATATGCCGCCGAAAGTGTATGCAGTTGATCAACAGTTTCAATGTGATTAGACTGACAATGCATTAAAAGCCCCGGGCTTGGAGACCATCGGCATAACTTCCGGACACCTTTGGCTCCCTTGAGTCCATAATATTCGATCAAAAAATTGTAGACTGGATTCTTTGGATCCAGTGCCGTTACCCATTCCTTGTTGTTCTCCTTTTTATACTGTCTTCGCATGCCCACGTTAAGTGGATGATCCAATGGTGTTAGCCCTGGCTTCAGGATGCTGACTATCTTTTCTTGATGCTGGGATGCAGCTGCTCTCCAGACCTTGGAAGGGATGCGAATTGCTGTTTGACGTGCTGCTGTCATGGTGCCATGAACATCGCACAAAGAAGACACGAGAATGGTACAACTGAGAAAAAGTGTGATTATGGAATGCGAGCCACCTGGCCAAGCCATGGATTGCTATTTTACTGTTGGACTTATTCTTCTGGTGATGGATAAGTCAACCTCAGTTTCGTTTTTGGTGTCCGTTACGAAAAGGCTTTATCGGACAATCATAAAACTCCGATGTCGAACACTGACTCACACTCTCCTGTGGGCAATCAGAACACCGAAGCAGAAGCACGACAACAATAACACACTTGTCGTCCAGTTTGCCACAATCTCGCACTTTTAAGGTCTATTCATTGCCACTACAGTCACTAGAATCATTAGGATGAAGCTTTCTACCATCATTGTTACGATTTCTTGGATGCTCTTTGCAGCTGACGCATATATGCCCATGGGTGTCACCACCCGACGATCGACGATGACCATGAAACGAGGACGAGGATCTTTCAAGAAGGAAGTCAATGGAGGCGGAGACAAATCCGTTGGTGGTGGGTCCACGGCTGGTATGGGTCCCAGTCGCAACTGGATCAACACCAACCAAAAAGTAGAGGTTCTACCCAAGGACGATGGCAAAGTCTCGCTGTTGGAAACTGGCGCCTTTTTGTTGAAGGATGCCGCCACCAACCCAAATGGTGCCGTCGGTGTCGCAAAATACGAAGGCGAAACTCATTGCTTTGACTCTGCCTGTCCCCAGTGCAAAATTCCCTTGACCAAGGCTAAGGTTCTTCCTGCCAACGAAGAAACTGGATCTGCTCCTAGATTATCCTGCGACTTTTGGTAAGTGCCATATATCTCTCATCATCCTGAGAGCTCACGAACGATTGATTTCTCACACGACTTCTCGCTTCCTTCCTTTCCCACAGCAAATCTACATACAACTTGAAGACTGGTGAAAAACTAGCTTCGGCCGAAAAAGCTGGTTTCTTTGGTGGAATTGCTAACGCCGTCTTCTCGTCACAAGAAAACGGCCCTCTTCGCATCTTTGCACTAGGAGAAAAGGCTGGAAATATCTTGTTTAGCATGGACTAAGAGCGGAATATCATTAGAGGAAACGGAGCATTCTGTCGAATTGGAATGCTAGCTACATTGCAGGAATCAATCAGACAAAAACTAAGATGATTCAATCATAGAAGTATTTAGTTAATAATATTTATTGTACACGTATCTCTTATCTTTGCAGATAGTACGTACGGTAGAATTTGGAGAGGCTTCGGGTTGACCGACCCTAGGTCAAAAATCTCCTTCTGTGTCTTGGGTGTTGTGTTATGAAGTTTTTATAGATGTGACGGCGACAAGGTAGGAATTGCCGTGTGAAAGGCTGGATACACGTCGCGGACAAAAATATTTTGAAAGGGACTGCCCAGCAACAATTTGTCAGCGAGTGAATCGGGTGACTTGAATGCCTCGGCAATGTATTGGACCACTGTTAGCACCTTTAGATCATCCGATCGGAAGGCCATGTCGAACGACATAATAACGCGGTAGCAGAGGGGACCTGACCCTGATGCACACCACTCTGCCGATGGATTCCGAATGGAAACGGCAGCATTGGCCATAATGAACCGCGAGGACGGTGATGTGGGTAAAGACAGCTGTCGTCTTGCACTACCCCGAATCATTGAAACAATGGCAGAAGAGGCAGATGGATTGTCATCCGCTCCACTTTCAATTTCCATCAATTTACGACTTGCATCACCACAGCCAAGAATCTCGGGAAGAATTATCTGCCGTGTTTCAGCGACTAATCGATTCAAAATGCCCTGAATGGCAATACCTCCCGAATCTAGTGCCACATCGAGCACAACTTCGTATCGTTCGACCAACATTTCGTCCTGCCCATCAATTACCTTACCCCTTGCGATCGCAATGCAATCTTCCACCGAAGGCGGGTCATAAAGTGGCGGTGTTGTGGGAGTCAAGCTTGGCATGACGGTTTCTGATTCACTTGTTGGTGCGCCTGATGGCATATCTGCTGGATTCCAAGGAGGATTGCTAGCATCCTTGGTGCCTGGAGCTTCGTTTCTGAATAGAATGTATAGCCCGAAACCAAGAGCGAGAAGTAGTAGAATAACTATCAGCCCTTTCCATCGATGAGATTTTGCTTCGCTCTTAGTATCCACCAGCTCTCCAACTGCACCTTCTTCATCATCTCCGGAATAAGTATAAAAATCCACTTGTGCAGCAGGACTACTGGGTGCTTCCGATGGAGACACTGGTGTTACAATATCGCCCACAACATCATCGGAAGAAGACCCCTTCATTACATGCGGCAGAGTCGTAGAAGTTGAGGAATCAGCTCCATCTGAGGACCATGACATGTAGAAATCATTTTTTCGTGAATCTTCTCGCATGATGAAATAATTGCATTGGTCTTTCTCCCTAGAGTCTTACTTTGTGTCGTCCCTATTTTTGCTACGCTTGGGTTTGCTGTTCGTGGATGAATCTGTGTGTAGCCGTTGTAATGACTGTGTTTGGTTTTGCGATTTTTCTGGGACACTTGACCCAGATACCAAAATCCGAAGAAATTCCTCGCACCGTATAACAAATAAAATTCAAACAGTAACCGCCCGGCCGGTTCAGGATTGAATGAATGAATGAATCACGCAGATGTGGAAAGAAGCGGACAGGGCGGAGGACAGACATCTGACATCTCATAGGATCAAAATTTAATGGCGGAAGAAAAATCTTGAAAATCCTTTCCACAGACCACCAAAGCTCAACATCATGAGAAAGCCAGGTCATGTCTCTACCAAACACCCTGTAATATCATTGCTCTTAGTTCTGATAATAATATCACTGAATGTTCAGTCTTCCTCCAGTTTGAATCTCCGCGTAGCCAGTTGGAACTTGCTTGCACAGTGCTATGTCAAACCATCCAAATACCCTTACTGCGATCCACAACATATGGCATGGGAGCATCGGAAATCTCTCATGGTGCAACGAATTCTTCATGTAGAAGCCGATATATTCTGTCTACAAGAGGTACAAGTCGATTTATGGCCAGACTTGTACGACACAATCTGTCAACATAATGATGGATACAAAGGTGTCATTCAAAATGTCACCAAGGGACACAATGTGGGGAATGCTATACTGATCAAAAAGTCATGTGGATTGGACTTTCAGCGTTGTGAATCAAGGTCGAGGGCTTTGATTGGGGTACTTGCCAACCACAAAGACGACCGACTACTATACGTGTGCAATGTGCATTTGGAAGCTGGGGAACATCAAGACGACAATCTTCAACGCTTCTATCAACTAAAGTCGCTCTTCAAACGGTTGGTTGGACAAATACAGTTGGATGAACCAAAGATAAAGCGACATGACAAAATTTTCTTGGACGAGGTCCCAATTATCATGATGGGTGATTTCAACATGCTGCGAACCAATCCGCTTCATACCTTCTTGACCCAAGGCTTGCTGCAAAGCCCCGAACAACTCAATAATTTGCCAGCCTTTCGGACCATTCCATTGGCGGATGCTTATTTGGAGTGTCCCAATGTTCAAGAACACTTTATGGCTAGCGATGTACTGGATGGCGAGGAGGAGTCGTCCAGTAGTAGTGGCATATTGGAAGATGCGAAAGAAGCGGATGAGCAGAGGAGCAACAATCACCAAATGTTGCAACGAACCTATGCAACTGGATTTGTCTTGGACTACATTTTGTTTTCCCATTCCATGCAAGTCCAAAAGACTTTACTGCTGCATCCCATGAATAAGAATCGACTGCGACAAGAGTGGCCGTCCGCGGACTATCCTTCGGATCACTTGCCCGTAGCTGCCGATTTTGAGTGGACAGCAGAAAGATGACACGAATATCAATGCACACAAACTAACAAGAATAGAAGATAAGATAAGCGATCCTGAAGAATAAGTCCCTCATGCAATATATGAAATTATTATTCCCTTCATTGCGATGATTCGAACCACAAAACAGCCTCAATGAAGTGTACATTCCGCCACCGCTGCTGTTGTAGCATTAAAAAGCAGCTTCAATGGATTGCATTCGACGCTCGTTTCTCACCATGAAGAGACTTTCTGCATTCTTGTATTCTTCAATCATGGAATCGATCTCCTTATTGGTCGTGATTTGTTCTTCCTCCATCTTGGCCTTCAATGCCTGCACTTCCGCTTCACCTGCATTGACGCGTGCCATACCTTCTTGTCGCTCTTTCTCAGCTTAAACAGGTTGCTCCTTGGCCATTTCAAGACGGTCTTGAGCTGCTTCCATTTTTGTCTTGCTTTGCTTTCGCATATGGGCTAGCTTCTCTTCAACTCGTAACAATGCAAGCTCCGATTCATCGGCCTTTTCGGTCAGGTCTTGGATCTTTTCGTTGTTCTCCTCGACCTCTTTCATGGTCTTTTGCACCTCTCCCATCGCTTCCTCATATCGGTCTGCTTCTTCAATGACATGTTGTCGAAGTTCCATAGCATCCTGGAATATGAGAGTGCTGGCCTTGTTTGTCTTCATTCGTCATGGGGGGTTGGGATTCCCTGTATGCAGCCAATCAGAATGCAGTTGTAGCAGAAACAATTAGGAGCATGATAACGGATTTAACGCTATTACAAACGGCTTTAACGCTATTTGAAACTGTAATTTCTTAAGTAAAATACTTTTTTAGATCTTGCCGAAGTGTCGTCACACAAATATTTTGAAGACATCACGAATCACAATACTATGATTTGGGCTGTATCAGATAATGTTTAAAAATAGATATGCACTAGTAGTTAGTAGTATGTATTAACTTCGTTTTCTCCTTAGCTCTCCCTTGTCAGCCAAGTGTATGGCCCAAGGTTCTGCTGCTTTGAAGGATTTGCTACTGGCGAAGGGATGGGGGTTCCTTGAAAGTAGGGAGGAAAAGGATGTTTGTAGAAAGCTTGACAAAAATGCTGCTGGTAGGCCAAATGTCGTTCGTAGGCCAAGTCTAATTGTATCATTGTACGTTGCTGGTGGTAGCAAGCTTGATGGGGCGATGTTGTCCTACCTGCTGATTGTGCTGGCGCAACAAAGTAGTGTTGGGGTGGCAATTGCATCTGTCGTGGTGCTATCATGATGGTGGGATGGGGTGCAAGATTTGTCACATTGATCCTGTTCTTCTTTTCCCTCTTGGCGCAAATCAGCGCCCCCGCTAAAGAAGAAATGTTCCCAGCATGAGCGGTTTGAATAGAACCAACTCTTCTCTTGGCATATGGATTTTTAATTTTGCTGCAGTCTTTGCATTTGCATCTTTTCGTTTTTTCATCATAAAGAACTCCACTGCTTTCTCTGGCAAGTTGTTGGGTCAAGTATTCAGAAAAAAATCTCTCTCCGTTGTTGGCTGGTAGCTCTTCTACTCTGCTGTGGACATTGCCAATGATTCCAGCCTCTGGCGGTGCCTGGTAGGAAAGCAGATCTCAGTAATACCGCACACGGGATTTCTGAGATTGGTCGAACGAATCAAGTCTACTACTCGATCAGTTCGACCCGCTTCACACCACAACCCACCAGCTACACACCAAGACAAAATACTACGAACACACACACGGAGGACGGAAGTAGGCTATCTTAGATAGATCAAGAAATACGTTTATTTCTTTGATATTCCGCTTTGCAGGATATCAAAGACTGGTCTTCTGGAACCGCACGCTTTGTGCGCAATCCAAAAGACTAGCTTCACACCACAACCCACCAGAGTCACACCAAGAAAGAATCCCTCACGGAAGAAACCAGGCGGTACTGTAGGCGCCAGTTGGCTATCTTCAATAGCGTGCCGTAGAGGCTAAAAAACTAAGAACAAATATTAGTCGACGGAGTCGAGCATCAGAGTTGGTCAACTGAACACCAAACCCCACCATAACCCAAAAAGTAGTAAGCAAAGCTGCCCTGGGAAAAGAAGACGAGCCACTTTGCAGACGAAATAAATGCGAGAATTTATCTTAGTGGGTTGGAAGAGACCAAGCGAAATATGACATCCAAGGGGTTGTTTGAAACAAGTTTTATCGACGAAAGTCAAATGTTCGTGGAGACTTTACCTGTTTGGTTGCATCAGGCTATGGACAAAGCGAAAAAGAAAGACTAAGCTTGAGGATCACGATAACGTCAAGAGCTTGTGCAATGGCAAAGCGAACATAACCATTCATAGATGTAATATATGGTGAAAGAAGGTTCAACATAAAGTTCGACAGCCCGGATGTTGGACAAAGCCAGTCGTTTGAGGCTCGTCTTATGGCGTAATATTTCAACACAATTGTTCTATAGAGAATTGATCATCAGAAATCCATGCTAAGCATCTTTACCAATAATGGGTCTACATATCCCTGATCAGAACAGCGGGTAGTTCTTGTAATCATTCGCATAGAGGAACATGACGCCTACATTGCGGAACGAAACACAAAGTGCCATGGTGGCTATGGTCGGAGCTACTTTTTGAACAGGCTGGAATCGAACGATTTGGTGTTTCCTTTTTGAGTCGATTTGAAGGAAGTCAAGTGCCAGGTAGTGTTCTGCGATCGGTAGAATTGATGGATGATTGAGCATTTTGTAGACGGTGATGAAAATCTAGAGAAGGCAGACAATAACTTTACACATCTGTTGTAAGAGGATAAGTCTACTACCTCTTCTGAGGAAACTCATGGTGTGTATCAGATACCGGTAATGTCAGAGTCCAGTCTACAATTGCGGAACGTCATTTCATTACGTTCATATAGTTGTGACCTACAGTATCTCACCACCTTGATCTACCGACTTTATGAAAACCATTCTGACAACTTCTTTTTTTCTCTGAACAAACCCAACCGAATCTTTTCAGTCTGATCAAGGACTTCCTCTGCTGATGCTATCCGTTTTAATGCAACTCAGATGCTCTCTACAGACAAGTTGCGGCTCTTGAACTCGTCTCGCGTCGGAGCAGTCCTTGGAGTATTTTTTACTCCAAATTCTCCTCCGGTTATTGGATTTGGCGCTAGTCCTGTTAGTACTACTTTCAATGGGCAAGATGCTGTCCATCGCGGGGCCCCAAAGTGGTCTGATTGCTTTGATCCCACTTTGATCCAGCAATACTGGCAGGGAGATATGAGTGTCCATACTCATAGTCTGGTGGTTTCCCTCAGTGGGCAAACACGGTTGAAAATGCCAGCGTCGCAGCGGGATTTTGTTCAAGCAACAAAGCCTGCAATGCTGGTTGGGGACTTTTCCAAGGTCCTTCTGATTCCTGATGGATGTGGTGCCCCGGTGGGCCTTTAGTGGCCAACTTCTATTTCTTTTGAGGACTTCAAAAATTCTTTGAGTGGACATGGTACTCCTTATGGGAGTTTCTTGGATTTATTGCGGAGTCAGTCTTCTCTTTTTGAAGAATGGTTTACGGCAGTGAATTCGAGTGCTGGGTCCTATCAATTGCAAACTACTTCTGCGATGGATCTGTGGGCAACTCTGCCTTGTCCTTCCAACCTTCACGGGAATGGTCTATTGAACGTTACTGCCGCCCAACCCCTACGAGAGCAATTTACTCGCTATGTAATGGGGATGGCTCTGGATTGTGCTCTCTTTGGCCCCTGTGATGTGGACAATCGACAGGCTATCAGGCAACGCTGTCAAGTTGGTGCATGGTTGGAACGTGCTCGGCAATGCTACCCGCCAGCACTGGGGTATCATGGTCCGCCGCATCACTTTGCGTACCTATCTTTTCTTTGTCCTCCGGAGGATGGGTGGCCTTGGCCGGAATTTTCTACTTGGCTTTCTGATTTGCCTTTCGACGCGCTACCTGATAGGTATCAGCGATTTGAACCAAAAGAGATCCCTGTGAAAGCTCGAGCAGTCTTTGTTCCAGCCATTCTTGTGGAAAAAGAGGACCCTGATAGCGATTTGGATGCTTACTCAAATGTGTTTGCCACGACTGCGACTACAGTTACGGCTACACCTAACATTGCTACAGTCCCAGCTCCAGCTCCGAATGTTGCTACTCCAAGTCCACCGAAAGAAGCTCCATTTCCACCGGTGCGGCAATCGGCCTCCCCCCCTTCCGTTCCACAAGACGTCCTCGATGCCATGCAAAAAGTGAGGGCTTTCCAAGAACAAATTGTTCATGGCACATCTGCGGGCACACCTGCTGATCCAGTTGACTTGGTCGAGGAGTATGACATTTGCCTGAATGACTTGGCAACTAGGTTTGCTTCTTCGGCGAATGATTCTTCTACTGCAGCAGTCATGCGAGCTGGCAATATTGCTGATCGTCGTCGCTCTAGTTTGGCACAAGGAAGATTTGGGGCTGGTCCACGAACGGGTTTGCTGGGCCTTGCTCCAATGCGGAACAACATGTTCAACCCGCAAACACTGGCTGCAGCGCTTGGAGTGCGACAGTCTCGTTTTGTTTCAACTGATAAAGCGTCTCTTGCATGTGTGCAGGCACGTCGGACCTGCAGCCCTTATTTCCTAAATGTTGCTCTGGTTCTTGCAAGTTTCTTTCCCCAAGAGGAGCAACCCTATCTGTGTCTGTCTGATGACCGTGTGGTGGCTGCGACTGATTGGATGAAAGTTCCGGAACCAGCGCAACTCGCCCGTGATCTCATTGCGGTATGGGACCATGGCCACAAGGAGGCAACGTCGGGTGTCACACGAACATTGCATTATGCACTTCGTTTTTGTGTGGATATTGCTACGGGTTTTCAACAGATCCCGCTTCCATATGAAGCTGAATTTGACCTGCTAAATTTTACAATGCATAAATCGATCTGTGATGTGGCAAGATGGAAGATGGGTCGGAAAGTACCACCACCCCCTGTCGGTGGTCCATCTTGGCACATTTTTCACTTGCTACCCTTGGTAAACCCTACATATGGTGGTACATGTATTCCTCCTGGAGGACTTCTGATTGCTGATGCACAATTGTTTGGGAAGTATATCTACCTTTTGATGTCGCTGTTTGGTTCCCAGGAAGACGCAACAATGGATCAGATTCATGGGGGGGACTACGACGACTCGGTATTTTGGGCATCTCTGTTTGGCCAAAATCTGCTACATTTGTGCAAACTCCCTCAGCACACCGCCGTTGTTCGCTTATGGAGATGCCGTCCTCGCCAATGCACTCTCCAGTGGATGGAAGATCTATGTGCTCTGTTTGGGGAGGTTACTGCAATGGTGCGTTATCATTCAGGCGCAGCACCAACTACTTTGGGTCTTCAAGATGCTACGTTCCATGGCGAAGAAGATATTGTGGCTGGCGCTTTTGTTGTGGCTCCAACTATGGTGGGACGCCATGAATTCACCAAAAAACCTCTTTGCTATTTGGACAAGTTCCAGCTGCTTTATGAACGCGTGGAAAGGAAGTGGGATCCTGCTGAGTTGGATGTGAACGGCCATACTTGGAGTCATAGTTTTTCTTCGAGTTTCTTTGGCACCGCCATCCCTCCTGTCCTACCTCCTAGGGGTCCAGATCCTTTTCAACATGATGGGGTACAACCGCCTCTTGCAAAACGACAACAATTGGAACTACCTCCTGCCGGCCCACCACCTGGACCACCACGACCTGAACACACTGTACCGTTTACCGCCAAGAAGCCTTTGTTTAAATCTTTGCTCCCAGTGGAAGCTGGACAGTCCGTATATGAAGCTGTTTTGATGAAGAAATTGGTTCAAGGTGACTCTCCACTTCTCCTGAACCCACAAGGTACGCTGAGACACCTGGTTTGTTTTTGTGCTGCGTTTGAAGGGTCTTGCTCTTGTGACAACGGAACAGGGATTTGTCAGTCCCACGGCTTTGCAAAATCTAAAGGCGTGGGACGGGATCGTCTTCATGTTGATCTTGCAGATCCTTGATGGCATGCACCAGCTTATGCTGAAGCAAATTGGGCCCCAGTGGTCAAGTTTGTCCAATTGTACCAAGAGCAGGGCGTTCTTGGGCCCTCTGCTTGGTTCAAAGCACTGACACCAAGTGCAAAATGGGCTCCGTGAGACCCACTTTTTCCAGAAGGTGCACGACTTCTGGAAAAAGAATCTCTTGCGGCAACATGCATTCCAATTCCATTGGATTGTCGTGTGAAGAGGACGTTTTGACGCAGGTTCCCATCAAAACGGACTCGGAATTTGACGCAAAAGGAGCAGAAGAAGGAAAGGTGGCGGCGGTCAGTCCCTTGGCGGATGGACTGGTCATTGGTGGTAGAGGGCGCCCGACCACCTTTGGATAGGCCACCCACAGAGTGGAATGACACTGTGGATTTTATGGATATTGCTGTCCATGTTCAAGCTAGTGGCTTTCTTGATGCTTGTACTATCCATACTTTGACTGGGGCGCACCGTCATCTTGCACCCCATTCCATAGTGTTGAATACTTGGATTGCACCTCCATGCAATCCCATCAAGAAACGACTCTATGGTTTTGGCCGGGCTTCAAAAGACCGCGGTTTGAATCATGATGTGGTTAATCCACGGTCTATGATCCATTTTGCTTGGCCATATCTTTCCGCTGACAATTGACTTACGGCAATACAGGCATCTTTTGTTTGGAAAAAGTATGCAGAGTTGCGCCGTTTTGCATGTGTTACTTCTCTCAAGTCATTGCAACTTCCGCGTCTCTTGATGGCTGATGAAAAGGTGCCCACTACGTTGGATCCACATCGAGCATGGCTGAATTCAGCCGCGTTGCTACGGTTTGATTGCAATCATGGTGATTTCGTTTGCTGGCTTGGATGTGAATATATCAACGAAGAGCGTGACTTCAATCTTGAATGGGATGTCATCGAATCCCATTTGAAGTCAAAGGTGCTCCCATCCAATCTTCCACCTACGAAATTGGACATGGCGTATCGTATTCAAACTGAAGGTGTTCCTCTCCGTGGACAATATACTACGCCTATGGAGGCAACACTTCTACGAAACGAATATGATAACCACCCAGCGGTGGGTGCTAACTTGGCCGCGGTTGAGAAGAAATTTGCAAAGGAGGAGTGGAACTCCTACCACATCCACTACCTGCGATTTGTCTATGAATTTCTTCCGGGCTTGGTCATCAATCCGATTCAGTGGGTCTTTGATAAAGGAAAGGGTCGAATCTGTATTGATTGCTCCAATGGTCCTAATTCGTTAGGTTCCATCAATCTTTACATTCCATCTCCGAAAGATGCTATTCCCGGTGAGGAGGATGAATGCCCCGCAGTGTACTACCAATATGCATTTGATCGCTACTTGCGTCGAATCCTCAGGATGCGCATCACTCGCCCGAATGATCCCATTATGGTCCATGCGGATGATATAGAAGCTGCGTTTCCACGAGTGCTCTATCATCCCGATATCGCATGTGCTTTTGCATATGTTTATTCTGATTATCTGATGGTTCCAGTGGGTCAAGTTTTTGGTTCTCTGAGTACGCCTTCCTACTACTGTGTACTTGCTTATGTCCGCCAAGCATGGGCGGCTTGTCGACAGGAGGAGCCTATTCTTCATCCATTGGTCGCTTCCTGCACCTATGAGGTAGATACTTCCTCTCCTCTTGTACAGGTGCCTCCAGACTCGAATCATCCTCCACTCACTTTGCAGGAGCAAACTGAAATGTACAGTGCGAGCTTTGTGGATGATAATGGCGTGGTGGCATATTTGGAAACAATGCCACAGGCACTCCAACACAGTGTCAGGTCAACTTTTGAAGTCTTTGGTGACGCAGATCGTCGAGGTGGCTGTCTGCAGGATGCTAAGTGGACCTCTCTTGTTTCCGAGACTTTTCTTTTTCTTGGATTCCGGATTGACACCCATGCTATGACCGTTTCTTGGCCTTTTGCAAAACGGAAAGCACTGGATGATGAAATCCAGGATATTCTTTCTCGAAAACGAAAATATGTGACTCCCAAAGAGATGGCTCACATTATTGGTGTGATTCGATCGGCGGCGGCCATTGCCCCATGGGGAACGTTTCTTAGTTTTAATTTACAAAATGCGCTGACGACAGCTGCAAGAAATGCATATTCTACGAATCGTTGGCGTTCATTCCAGATGATTTCCGCTTCTATGATCGCAATCACTGTTTGGTCCCACATCATTTGGTATTCTGTCGACATTTAAAAGGGGAGATTCTGGAGTTGGAGATTCGTTGGCGCTATGACAAGAGTGCCAACAACTTCACCATCCGTCGATTTCGCCTGACGTCACATCCGATTTTTGATCCGATAGATGCTGCAGTGAGTATAGTCCATCGATGCCACCTTTTGAAGGTTCCGTCTGTTGAACCAATGGGGGTATTCAGTACTAATGGCAGCACCTACCGATTTCTACGCGACTCTGATGTTCGCAAAGTGATGCAGCATTCAGTGGATCTGGCCTACCCAGATAAAAATCACTACATGCAACGCAACAAACATCTCATCCAGCCTCATTCCAACCGAATCACTGCCGCAGTTTGCCTTCAACGTGGTGGAGCCAGTAATGACGACATTGCGTTTAAATTGCGCTGGAGTCCGACATCTGTGCCCACATACTTGCGTGACTGCTTCCAAGGCGTCGGTGATCTGTTGCAGAAGGCCATTACTCGAGTGATGAAGATGTCTTTTTCATAGGTCTCGTTTTTCTTCCTTCTTCGTGTTCTTTGCGTTCTTTTGTTTGTCTCTTGGAGTGCTCAAAGTGGCTTGTGGTGTTGAGTTGGTCACTCCTAGATCAACCTTGTGGTAGGAAAGCAGATCTCAGTAATACCGCACACGGGATTTCTGAGATTGGTCGAACAAATCGAGTCTATTACTCGATCCGTTTGACCCGCTTCACACCACAACCCACCAGCTACACACCAAGACAAAATACTACGAACACACACACGTAGGACGGCAGTAGGCTATCTTAGATAGTCAAACGTAGACCGCAGGCACACTGTTCGATCACTTTGACTACATTGTGTTACAGACGGACAAAGGCCGAACGGCCTTTGACCGTCAAAAGTTGTTGTTGATGCGCCGAGGCAATGATGCCCAGTTTATCGACTGAGATTGAATTCACCCACTTGTGTCGTGGTAATTCAATTTTTCTCTCCCAAACCTCACCCGCCCTGTTGGGCACCGCCTCCATTTTACCATATCGGCGGTGCCTGGTAGGAAAGCAGATCTCAGTAATACGGCACACGGGATTTCTGAGATTGGTCGAACGAATCGAGTCTATTACGCGATCAGTTTGACCCCCTTCACACCACAACCCACCAGCTACACACCAAGACAAAATACTACGAACACACACACGGAGGACGGCAGTAGGCTATCTTAGATAGTCCTATATATGAATATGCAATTTGAAATTTGAAATTTTATTTTTACAAATTGTTTGATTAGTTCGACCGAGTATTAAAAATATTGACCAATGGAGAAGTAAAGAACTTGAAATATGACCGCACGCGCCGCGGCACCACTGGACGAGAATTTAGAAATACTGGTATTCAGTCGCGTTGCTTATCATTTAGAAGTAGCGGTAATTGCTGTTTATTACGGTGTCTGGATACCTGTGACCTGTATATTGTACTATTATATTGTAATGGATAGATGCATGCTCTTCAACATACTTTGATTTTGTGCGATAAATGCTGCTTGTTGTGAAAACTTGGTTTTTCTGCCTCTTGCTCACATAATAAGCATAGCGACTCAGTATCATAATAATGGCAATGAGCTCAACAAGTTTCATCATCTTCTTCTTTGGCCTTCTTGGTATAAATGTGGCATTCGGCTCAGAGTTGCCGACCGACAAGAATGACAACAAAGGCGTTCTTATCGAAAATAGTAGGAGGCGTGTTGCTCTAACAACTACTACCAGCCTCCGAGGAGCTTCGGCATTGGGGAGATTGTTACAAGACGAGGTCAATCGCACCCAACCATGCTCGAATATCACCCTCAATTGGAATGATGACGACCTTTATCCTTGTGGTGCATCCAGTAGGAGCCCTTCATCGATTGCACCAGCAGTCGCAACAAGAACAACACCGCCCACAGTGACACCTGCCCCCACAGTGACATCTTTCCCCACAGCAGCACCATCCATAGCAACATCCAGTGCACCGTCCTTGGCGCCCTCGCCCAAACCAACAATATGGAGAATGATCGGGCAAGTCATAACAATGATCTTCCAAATTATTATTTTAGGGGCAATTGTTGGCACCTGCATTTTCACAAGGCGAGGTCGGAAGCTTCTTTGCAACTGTATTGACGGGATATTGTCATGTCTTATCTGCTTTTGCGAACACGAGTCAAGAACAACGCAAGAAGAATATGAAAGAAAAAGGCGCATTGAGAGAGGAGGATGGTAGGACATTCCGAATACAATTGCTTTCCTCGATCAAAAACAGTCCTGCATAAAGCAAGATAAGACTATGCTTTTCAAAAATCATTTATTTCCGACAAAAGGTCAGGATTTGCTTCCGCCATTACTATATATACTATGGTGCTCTCTGGTTTGTACAATAATACTGTGATGGTTTGCGGATAGCGATTTCGGGGGAACGTTTTCGGGAAGTCTGACGCATGACCCCCCCCCCCCTCCAAATCTGTCACAAAGAAGCGGACAGGGCGGAGGACAGACATCTGACATATCATAGGATCAAAATTAAGTCCGTCCGCCGCTCAACAGACATCTGTAGGGGGGAAGACTGATGATCCAAAACCCCATACAGACCTATAATCAAAATTTCCCCAATACAAATGTCTTAGGTCCTTGGCTTTCATCCTATTGGGTGAGCACCTCTGTGCTATGCTCTAGTGGGTCGCTTTAGCACAATGTTATCAGCTCCTTTTGATTGCTAGCATATTTAAAATCTCTTTGACTGTTTGCTGGAATATGAGGAGAGTGCTGGCCTTGTTTGTCTTCTTTCGTCAATTTGGCTTCATCCATTTCTTCCTTGAGAAAGGCATCCTTCAAATGATCCAATCCTTGTTGTTCCATCAACCAACAATCTACGACTTCTTGGGGGGACCAGTTGTTGGGTGCCAGACTACCCGAATAAGTCATGATCAGTTTGGTGCCCTTTTCTGGAATATCTCCATTGCCATCAAAGAGAAGTTCCTTTTGGACTCCACCATCCACCGTCAAGTACTCCTTGGACAGCAGGCTGATGACCAAGGGTGATTTTGATTGGCGAAACTGAGATGTGGACGGAGCAAAAGCAAATGAACCACCACTAGCTGAAACAGCGTAGAGAACTACTAGTGAAAGGGTTTTTCTTAGTTTTGTCGTCATGGTTGCTCTGGATGGGGATTGGTTGTGGGTTGAAAATGCGTGCAACCTATTTCTGTTGATGTGTTTCTTGTGCGGTTATTCTTTTTTATGGTTGGAGGATATTGAATAGTCCTACCGGTATATTGAATATATGAATATGCAATTTGAAATTTGAAATTTTATTTTTACAAATTGTTTGATTAGTTCGATCGAGTATTAAAAATATTGACCAATGGAGAAGTAAAGAACTTGAAATATGACCGCACGCGCCGCACCACTGGACGAGAATTTAGAAATACTGGTATTCAGTCGCGTTGCTTATCATTTAGAAGTAGCGGTAATTGCTGTTTATTACGGTGTCTGGATACCTGTGACCTGTATATTGTACTATTATATTGTAATGGATAGATGCATGCTCTTCAACATACTTTGATTTTGTGCGATAAATGCTGCTTGTTGTGAAAACTTGGTTTTTCTGCCTCTTGCTCACATAATAAGCATAGCGACTCAGTATCATAATAATGGCAATGAGCTCAACAAGTTTCATCATCTTCTTCTTTGGCCTTCTTGGTATAAATGTGGCATTCGGCTCAGAGTTGCCGACCGACAAGAATGACAACAAAGGCGTTCTTATCGAAAATAGTAGGAGGCGTGTTGCTCTAACAACTACCGCCAGCCTCCGAGGAGCTTCGGCATTGGGGAGATTGTTACAAGACGAGGTCAATCGCACCCAACCATGCTCGAATATCACCCTCAATTGGAATGATGATGACCTTTATCCTTGTGGTGCATCCAGTAGGAGCCCTTCATCGATTGCACCAGCAGTCGCAACAAGAACAACCCCGCCCACAGTGACACCTGCCCCCACACTGACATCTTTCCCCACAGCAGCACCATCCATAGCAACATCCAGTGCACCGTCCTTGGCGCCCTCGCCCAAACCAACAACATGGAGCATCGAGAACCGGGAAGAAAAATCTATCTGGTGGGCCAAGATCATATCGTTTTTCATCCCAATCATGCTTATTGGTTCAACTATTTCAATTATCGGCACCTGCATTTTCTCAAGGCGAGGTCGTAAGGCTCTTTGTTGCTGTATTGGCTGGATACTTTCATGTTTTGTCTGTTTGTGCGAACATTACGCAAATAGCTTTTCTAGGGCGCAAGAAGAATATGAAAGAACAAGGCGCATTGAGAGAGGATGGTAGGACACTCCGAATATAATAATCGATCAAAAATAGTGCTGCATATTAGAATATGCTTTTCAAAAATCATTTATTTCCGACAAATGGTCAAGTTTTGCTTCTGCCATTAATATTACTATGGTGCTCTCTGGTTTGTACAATACCGTGATGGTTTGCGGATAGCGATTTCGGGGGAAACGTTTTCGGGAAGTCTGACGCACGACCCCCCGAATCTTTCTTTTGGTCCCCCATTGAATTTCCCCCTCACAGCACCACTTTGTATCGTTCCACTACCGGTATATTGTAGTAGCATTTCGTCCTGTCCATCAATCGCCTTACCCCTTGCGATTGGAATGCAGTCTTCTATAGAAGGCGGGCCAAACATTGGCGGTGTAGTGGGATTCAAGCTTGGCATGTTTGTTTTTGATTCCATTCTTGGTGCACCTGATGGGAAATCTGTTCTCCCAGAAGGATCATTGCGGGCATCCTTGTTGATGTCTGGAGCTTTGCTTCTTAATACCATGTATAGCCCGGAACCAAGAGCGAGAAGTAGTAGAATGACTATCAGCCCTTTGCATCGATGAGATGCTGCTCCTCCCTTACTATCACGCTCTGCAACCGCGCCTTCTTCATCTTGCTTCATCTCCGGAATAAGTGTAATAATCCACTTGTGCCGCAGGAGGACTACTGGGTGCTTCGGATGGAGACACTGGCGTTACAATATCACCCACAACGTCATCGGAATACGCCCCCTTACTTACATGCGGAAGAGTCGTAGAAGTTGTATGAGCTACATCTGATGACCATGACATGTACAACTCATTTTTTCGCGAATCTCCCCGCATGATGCAATAATTGCATTGGACATTCCCCCTGGAATGCTACTTCGTTTCGTCCCTATAATATGTTAGCAGTGCTTGCGTTTGCTGCTGTTGGTAAATGAATTGTGTTGTTTGGCCATTGTAATGACTGCGTTTCCTTCTGCGTTTTTTCTGGGACACTTGACAGCCCATGCCCAAAATCTGTCAGGATCCTCGCGCCATAGAAAAAACAAGTTTTACACACCTGCCCGGCCGGTTCACAGACCTGACAAGAATAGAAGATAAGCTAAGAGATCCTGTGAAATAAGATCATCATACATTATATGAAACATGTTTACTATTATCCCGTGATACTATGTGTGAATTGCGATGATTCGAACTACAAAACAACCTCGACTACGTGTACATTTGACCACCGCTGCTGTAGTATTAAAAAGCAGCCTCAATGACTTGCATTCGACGCTCGTTTCTCGCCATGAAGACACTTTCCGCCTTCTTGTATTCTTCAATCATGGCATCAATCTCCTTATTGGTCTTGATTTGTTCTTCCTCCATCTTGGCCTTCAATGCCTGCACTTCCGCTTCACCTGCATTGACGCGTGCCATACCTTCTCGTCTCTCTTTCTCAACTTGGACAAGTTGCTCCTTGGCTATTTCAAGGCGGTCTTGTGCTGCTTCCATTTTCATCTTGCTTTGTTTTCGCATATGGGCTAGCTTCTCTTCAACTCGTAACAATGCACGCTCCGATTCATCAGCCTTTTCGGTCAGCTCTTGGATCTTTTCGTTATTCTCCTCCACCTCTTTCATGGTCTTCTGCACCTCTCCCATCGATTCCTCATACCGTTCTGCTTCTTCAATAACTTGTTTTTGAAGTTCCATAGCTTCTTCAATTTCTTTGACTGATTGCTGGACTATGATTGTGTTGGCCTTGTTTGTCTGGATCAACTCTTGCAGGTTTCTTACTTCAGCCTTTGCTTTTTCGAGACGCTCTCTCTTTCGAAGAAGTTCTTCTTTTCTGCGGTCTGGCGAGGATACTACTTGAGCCATTAGCTGTTCTGCTTCATTTCGAGCCTCTTCTAGAGTCCATTTCGCAGATTGAAACTTGTCATTGAGAACAACGCCTTCCTTCTTGAGGTTTTCAACGAGTAAGCGCGCTTCTCGTTGCCCTTTGTTTCTTCTGGAAATTTCGGCTTCGAGTTCGTCGCATTCCGAGACGATCTTATCCATCTCTTCCATGACTTCATAGTTCTTTGCCATAGCTTCCTCACGGTGTGCTTCAAGCTCCTTGTTCTCTTCATGACGGAGAGCGAGTTCCGAGAGGTACTGCGCTCTAGGTTCGTTCAATTCAGCATACATTTTGAGCTGTTCTTCGCGGAACTTGGCCATATTGATGAGCGCACTCAGCTGGGTTCGAAGGCGGTCCTTTCTAGGGACGTAAAGGTCTTTCAAAGAAAAGTCAAAGACTCCACAGATAGTCATGCATTGGCGCAAGTCCCTAAAGAACATCATATCGATAAAGCTGTCATGAACTTCTGGATAAAGTAAACCATCAGTGGGCGGGGCTTGTTTCTCAAGATCTTCTTCAGTAGTACCACAGCATATGTCCAATAGCTGCCAAAAAACCTTGCGGATCTTGTCTTTGTGGCGAGTAGGTTCCGTGAGCTCTTCCTTTGTAAGTTCAATGCCCAATTCCGTCATGCATTGCAAAATATTGGCACTCTTGAGAACGGGGAAAACGAATTTGGAGAGATCTTGCTTAGGCGGCATGCCTCCGTAGTCAGCGTGCATGAATCCGGCCATGGTGTTGCTTTTCTTGTACTGAACACAAAAAGTTGTGTTGATGTGATGCTGTGTTTTCGTCGCCGGTTTTGTCAAAAGTAGAAAAACGGTTGAAATTTGAATTTTGTCGTGTGCGATATTTTTCGTCCACGTCCGTCCGGTGTCAGTCGGAAGATTGAGACCAACAGTTTCAAGTTTGGATCGAAAAGATGCTGCCATCACACACTCATACAAACTACACAAACAACACAGTCGAAACCCGAATTGGAGTTGGTAGAGCTAATAAAAATTTGAAACCATGGGCAAACCATTCTTTACCAAAAAGCAAAAAGCTGCAATGCGGGAACGCAAAAAGCGAAAGCGTCTACAATTGACGACTCTCGAACAAACCAATGATGAAACAGCCCCGAGAGCTGTTCAAGAACCATTGAATGGGGCGGCGGATTCCAACAAACGGCAGCGGACCGAGTCACTTACTGAACATGCTGAGCCAGAAAAGCCACAACACGAAAAAAAAACTGAATTGGAGATTCAAACAAAGATCGTGAATGGTATTATTCATGTGCTCATGCCCAGTGATTTATCTTCCAAAGACGCCAGGAAATACCGCAAAGACGCCAGGCGGAAATTGCGACAAGAAGGCAAGGATGATTCCAACATTGAATACATCACCTCTGATTCTGTCATGGAACCCAAAAAGAAGAAAAAGAAATCCTTTCCGTCTATTCAAGAACTCTTGAAACAACAGAAAATCGAGGTGAAGCAGCAAAAAGAAGAACAAAAGATTCAAAAGAAAATCAATGAAATTCCCGACTATGAAAAAGCTCAATACGTTGCACTGGATTGTGAGATGGTGGGTATCGGAACCGACGGTAAAAAGTCGGCTCTGGCTCGTGTCTCTTTGGTGGATTGGGATGGAAACGAACTCTTGGATACCTTTGTCAAGGTTCCCATTCGAGTTACAGATTTTCGTACCCACGTGTCTGGTGTGGAGCCCAAGCACATCAAGGATCAAAACGCGATGGAGGTAGAAAAGTGTCGCGACTTAGTGGCTTCTTTGCTGAAAGACAAGATTCTTGTGGGTCATGCCTTGTCCAATGATCTAAGGGCGCTAATGCTAACGCACCACAAGCACAAAATTAGGGATACCGCCAAGTATCGTCCCTTTCAACGGTATGGTAATGGCAAGTGGAGGGCTCGCAAACTGAGAGACTTGGTAAAGGAAAATTTGAAGGACAAAGAGGGCTTTCAGGAAGGCGAGCACGACTCTGTACAGGATGCCAGAGCCACAATGGAGCTTTTTCATTTGGTACGGTCCCAATGGGAAAAGGAGTTGACCGGCAAAACAAAGTAAACTCGGTTTTGATAATATTAATACAACAAGTACTCCAAAATTGAAGAATGGCAGGGAAAAGATGCCAAAAACAGTAGAAAGTACAACTCTATTTCAAGATAGTCTAGTATCCTTGATTCCGTCTTGCCGGAACATCTCTGCGTGCCAAGAATCCAGAAGCATTGTGGTTCTTATTTTCTTCCACCTTGAACGTGTTCTTCCATTTTGGTTTGCGGCGATTGGCTCGTCGGCGCTCAGAGTTGAGTGGATGCTTGTGAGAACCACTCGTCATTTCGCCATTGGCACGACGTTCAGCAGCCTCCTGTTGCCTTTTTCGTTGTTCTTGTCGTCTCAGGCGTTCTTCAGGTGGTAGACCGCTCCAATCGACCTTTTTCTTCTTGTTTGGCTTGCCACCAACGGTATCGGCTCCTCTCTTTTTAGAGGTTTCATTCGTGATACCCAACAACTTTTTGACTTCTTGCTCGACTTCAGGTAGCGCTTTGCTGCCTTCCCGATCCAATTTTCGAGATAAGGTTCGCTTAGTTTTCGAGTTGAGTTGGTCCAGTAGCTTGTACACTGGGTGAGATGTGTCGACCTTGTCCGAATCGGTTTCAGTCTCTGTGGTTGATGGTGGTGTTTGGGTTTCCATCTTAGTTTCGGCAACTGGTTCTTCCTTGGCAGTCGTTTCTATTTCTTGTACTGCTGTCGTTTCAATTTCTTTTTCTGCTGTCGTTTCAGTTTCTTTTTCTAATTCAACTTGCTCCTCACTATTTTCGTCTACTTCTTGGTCACTGTCACCATCGGAACCATTGTCGCTACCGCTATCGCTATCAGAATCGCTGTCATCGGAATCCTCTGATTCCTCTTCTATATCTTCTGTATTTTTCACTTCTTCCTTTTCAACGCGTTCCACCGTCATTTCCTCCGCTTTGCTCTCTTCTCTCACTGGCACTTCTTGCTGCTCCTTTTGTGCGTTATTGTCGTCTCCAGTTTCCGCCTTGCGCTGCTGATAACGCTTCACCATGCGCTTTTGCTTGGCATTCCACTCACTTGGATCCTTCTTCAAGAGTTCTTCGACGATTGGGTCAGATTGAAACGATGTTCTTTTGGTAGCGCTGCTCGCATCTTTTTTCTTTCGCTTGGCAAAGATTTTCATGGTATATCTTGCCTTGTACAATGAACTTGTCAGCGTGAAGTTGAGAATTTGTTCAAGGTTTTGTGGTTATTTGATCGATTGGTTGTTGGTTTTGTGTTCGACGTTCGTCCGTCGACGCACTTCAAAGTGTCACGAAGCTAAAAAAGTACCTATAGATTTCAATTCTATTCTATTTTGAACACGACCTCAATATTGGAAGGTTCTAATGTTTTACACCCGTTCGACTACGCTCGTCGGTTGGCATACTCTGGTTTCACACAGTAATCTGTTCTGGACCCATTATCTTTTCCTCCTAAGCACCCTGGAACATCTATAAATTCGTTCCTTTGAAAGCAGACCAAGTCACCTTCACATTCCCAGTCACTATCGCAGTCACCTTCACAGAGCCCCTTGACGAAGCTGTCACTCCAAAGCACAGGAGGCTTGGCGACTTCAGTGGGTCTTGGAGTCGGTGACTTGGTTGGTGATACTGTTGGGCTCGAGGAGTCTTCGATGGATGGCTGGTGGGATGGGATTGTAGTTGTAAAGGAGGGTCCAAATGATGCTTCCATACTTGGAGCATCCGTTGGCCTAAAGCTCGCTGCGGCGGATGGGTTTGATGTCGGACTTGATGAAACAAGAACACTTGGAAGTTGCGATGCCAAAGGAGTTGGTACTGAAGTAGGTGGTCTTGTTGGCTTCGATGTTGGCTTCATTGATGGAGCAAGCGTTGGTGCTTTGGTTGGCGATGGAGTTGGTGGTGGTGGTGTCACTCGAGAAGGATCTTTGATGCAGTAATCTGTAAAGGATTCATTTTGAGAACCTCCTGAGCAGCTAGGAACGGGGGTGAAGGGTCCGCGCTGAAAGCAAATGAGGCCAGGCTGGCAGTCAGAGTCTGGGATTCGAGGAACAAATAGCAGCAATGTCAGTGATTTCTAATACCAAATGAATGCCAGCTCAAGTTTCTTACCTCTGTCGCAATCTCCTTCGCACCACTTGAGGGGGAAGCGAGTGCTCCATTCAATCGGAGGTCGATTCGTTGGACTTGGCGTCCTTAGGCTTGTTGGGTTCATCGTCGGAATCTCAGACGGAGTCTTGGTTGGATTAGGTGTAGGGACCTCTGTCGGAGATTCCGAAGCTTCCAACGATGGTTGATAGGTGGGTTCAATGGAAGGTACACTAGAATCCTTGATGGTTGGTTCGGAAGAGGGCAATCCGGTTGGAGAATCGGATGCCGATATGGTTGGCCTTGACGACTCTGCAACAGTAGGGCGCACAGATAGAGACGCAGACGGTTCAGAAGACGGAGAAGTAGAAGGGTCACTCGTTGGCATAGTCGAATCCCGTTTCGATGGTGCATTGGACGGCGCCTCTGAGCCAGCGATAGTTGGCATCGAGGAAGGTGCACTTGATGACGCAACGGTGGGTAAAAGAGAGGCCTCCAAGGAAGGGGAACTGGAACCCACTCGAGTTGGACTAGACGAACCTCGCAAAGATGGCGATATCGAAGGTTGACCTGACTTTTCAGCGGACGGATTACTCGATGGTCGGGCGGTTGGTCTTGGAGATGGGGCCTGGGTTGGCAAAGACGTCGGCGAATTTGAAGCTTCGTCTGAAGGCGCTGGACTTGTGGTTGGCTCTGCTGTTGGTGGGATACACTCCTCAGAGAATGGCTCACATCGGCGCTGACGCCTACTAACAAAGACAAAGACTCCATTGCATTGTGAGTTGGTTGTTTCGGCAATGTTTCCACATGCAGTGTTGTTGACTGCATCGACGTTAGTGTTGAAACGATTGTTCACGGCTGGACCGAAGACAGCAGCACGATTGTTGATGAGCTCATTTCGATGCATGGATGTCGATGAGCCCGCGTCAATATATACAGCACCACCCTATGGAGAAGATTCAAAAGCTGTCAATTCAAACAGTTCATTTCTCGATACATTAAAATTGATAGAACGACTTACGGAGTTTAGTGCAACATTTTCGTTGAATGTGGCATCGTAGATGTCAACTGCCCCACCATCAAATATCGCCCCACCATTTATGCCGATATTTTTATCAAACAGACCCCCAAGTACTTTTGCTATTGAATAGCTTGCAACGTACAGTGCACCTCCTGAAGATGCTTCATTTTGATAGAATTGGCTTTTCTCAAAACGACAATTGGAATAAACATCGTTCGCATAGGCACCGCCCTGAATTAGTCGTATTGAAGTAGAGCTATGTAAGTTACACATTCATGATTCGTATCAACAGGATTCTTATCAACAGGAGAAGCGTAATTCTTACCGCAATCGTTGCCTTGTTTTCGTCAAAGATAGACTCGAAAGATTCAAACTTGCTTTCTTGAAAGCCATAGATGGCACCCCCGTACGCAGCTTCGTTTCTCATAAACTGACTATATTCAACTGTTACAGTGGAATACATCATAGCGCGTATGGCACCACCATTTTTTTCACCTGCAACGTTGCTATGGAAGAAATCGTGAGACGAGGATGAAACTTGATATTACCTTTCATGAAATCATGAAGCATACTTACTCCTTCAGGATCGAATTCTTGAGTGTAAGACTCCCTCCCTCCTCCACCTTGATTGACGAATCGGTTGCACCCGATAGCACCAGCCGTTCCAGAGTCAACTTTGATAACTCGGAAACTGTGAAGTGCCTTCCAGGACAATCTAAAGTGCATTCTGAATTGGTATTCAATCCATATTGAAAGCGATCACAAGAAATGAACACTTCCGCCAAGTCATCCACAACTAATCCAATTGGATATTCTTCTTGTGACGGGCATCCATCTCCTCTGATTTCGAATGGACAAAGAATGGCGAGACCATTTTGTGATGCTGATTGAACTCCTTCGATAAATCCAGCCCATGTATCGTTGTTCAAGGATGTGCAAAACTGTGCAAAGGCTGCCCCTGGGAGGTGCGTAGCCAGTTGTAGGTATAAAAGCGTTCGTATTCTTCTCATTTTTTCGGCTGTGATCTTTGTAGTGCCCAAGACTTTAATTTCATCTGAGAATCCATCGTGTTTCGTGGGTTGTCGTTCTACAAACATCAACATTGTATGCCTTTGATTTTAACACGTGCTTGACAAAGATTACATAGGATATCGTCGCCGTAAATAACCATGTGCGACCTGCCCTGTGTGTCCCACGACAGCCTCATCCTCAATCGTGACTTGGATAGATCTCGCAAAAACATCCAAGATTGAAAACATCCCAAGATTAGTACTCTTCCGCACGACTACAGTTCCTGTGCTCTTCGAGAGTACGCAACAACGCAAGCAGCCGCTGCGCTGTTAACACCAAAGCTAAAAGTTGGAATAAGCCTGAAATCATAGGACTAGCCTTGCTTGTTGGTATATATATTATACATCTTATTTTTATCTCTATATCACCATGGATCATCTATTATTGGCTTGGCATATCGCTGGGTGTGACACTAGGCATATCGGAAGGCACCAGGCTAGGCATATCAGAAGGCACCAGGCTAGGCATGTCGCTAGGTACCATACTAGGCATATCGCTCGGCATCAAACTGTCTTCCTCGAATTGGACAGCACCGTCATCACCATCACCGAATTTCAATACTGCAGAGGGAGCAGGTGATGCCGATGGCTGTGCAGATGGAGCGTCACAGGCATTTGTGAATGGCACACATTGACTTGTCTCTCCTGGTACCAACATTAGAATTCCTTCACAATGAACACCTGTTGATTCCATTGCATTTCCACAGGCAGTATTATCTGCAGCGTCAACTTGAACATTGAATTGGTTTGATACTGCAGGACCGAATTTGGTGGCACTATTGCTGCGGAACTCGCTCCTACTGAGTGTCATCGATGAGCCAGCTTCAACATATACAGCTCCGCCCTGCAATTTCAAGAAGAATTGTTGTGAGTAATCTGGGTCGTGGCTTCAATCCTCTGTCGGAAATATATTCATGGCAAACTTACAGTTGCGGCTGCATTTTCTTCAAATGTAGAGTCAACAACGCTGGTGAAACCGGCACTAAAGATAGCACCACCATCAATGGCGAAATTGTTCTCAAAAGTATTGCCCAAGCTTTTCGCAGTGGACAGCTCCTTGATATATATGGCACCTCCAAAGGACGCATCGTTCTTGTAGAAACTGGAGGTTTCAAATCTACTTTCCGAGTAACCATCTTCCGCAAATGCACCACCCTTTAGAATACAATTCAAGTGAGAGACTTGCGCATGACAGGTGCAAAATTTGGGCGACCAGATGTCAACTTACCGAAATGGTTGCTTTGTTTTCCTCGAACATCGACTCGACAACTTCAACGTATGAAAAGTCACCACCATATATGGCTCCACCATAGTCAGCAGTATTGCGCACAAATTGACTGTAATAGATATGCACGGAAGAGTTTGGCAATACGAAAATTGCTCCTCCTTTTCCTTCTTCACTATTCGCCTTGTTACTAGAGGTACAAAAATTGAAATTAGCCAACAAACGAGAAACCTTCTGATAGCAATCGGAAAGAGATTACCACTTACTCCTTGAATATTGAGTTGATGACTGTGAGGGTGCCCCCTTCTTCAACCTTGATTGAAGATTCTGTGGCACCGGAAAAGACCATTCGCTCCAGTGTCAGGGAAGAAGATTCAGGAACGGTGATGTGCCGACCAGGACAGTCAACAACGCATTCTGTACTCTCTTCATGGTAGCCAAAAAGAAGAGAGTCACAGCTTATCAAGACTTGAGACTGTCCTTCCTTTATTCTTAGGCCTTCGGGATACTCTTCCATTCCTTGACACCCATCACCGCTGATCTCAAAAGGACACAGGACTGCAAAACCAGTCTGATCAAGCGCCTCTGAAACTGCATCTACATATCCAGCCCATGTATCAGTCTTCAGACTCGTGCAGAATTGGGCTGATGTGAATTTCCACAACAGCGATAGAGCTGTTACTCTTGCAACAGACCGTATTGACATCGTACTGGTATAAATTTGGAGAATTTGTCGACTTGTTTGTGTTTGTGAACGGGGTCTTGGTTGTTTCGGCAACTTGAAAGTGAATTTTGATTCCATGTGTTTGTTGGAAATAAGGCGGATCTATGAAAAATTTCGTTTAACGATCCGTTCAAGATTTCAATCTTGTTTGTTTGGCGGGAAAGGACGGATGGGTGGGAAGACCACTCCAGCTTGGCAGGAATGCTTTGTGATTGAATCACGAACAGTCCGTTGCCCCTTCCTACTACCAATGGCAGACGGGCGAGCAAGGGTGGCGAGAGGGTTGAGAGTTGGGGTGACTGCGAAGAGACTCAAGCTCAAGACGATGGATACTGCACTGTAGGTGATGACAGGCTGTTCTGCTCCTCTATCCTTGGTTCTACCATGGGCTCTTACATTATGCAGGTGCAATTTTTAGTGGGTTTTCAGCCAATGAGAGTTAGTCGAATCACTAAAAATCAACCCATTTTTAGTGGTCTGAACCAATCACAGCGGGCCATTCACTAAAAATAGACAATCTCCACTAAGTTAGTACTCGTCATTACTTGCAAATGATGATTAGGGGGCCCTGCCACTCTGCCATTGTATTATAAAGCACTGTCGCACCTTGTTTTAATGACTCACCTTACCACTGGATTACGAGCTAGCGATACAGTTACCCTATGATCACTTCTAGCTGCTCTGAAGAACGGGTGGCAGCCACCAAACCGAATTGACAAGCGCTACAGCATGAGGTGACGGATACGCCCATCGGTAGAAACTTCGTTTTCAGTCTTCTATTTATATTATAGATTAATCTCTATCGTTTCGGTGTCACTTATAGTAGCATGCCCCTGTAAGAAACTGATAACAACTGCCATAGTTGCTAGTAGTAGGTGTCACTTCACCTTTGGAATCTAATCATTGTCTCAATTGCGTGCACCAAGGCCTTGTTGATTGTTTTCTCGTCAGAATAAACCCATCCCCTGTGAACATACGGTAGTAAACTGTCGTAGCGCGGCCTTATGGTGGCAACTTGGCCATCAAGGAACCCAGCAAGAGTTTGCCTCTGTTTTCGCCTTTGCATCTTACTCGAAAAACGGTTGATTATTGCATTTCTTCCATGATGTAATACAAATGTAGTCTCTTTGGCGGCGAGCTTGAGCCTGGATTTGGTCCTTCCTCACCTTGCTTGATTCCCAAAATATTGAGTCCATTGACGACGCAAAATCTGACTACCATCATCAATGACGTCAACTTCTATGCTGCATATCTTGAAATATTCGTGACCTCAAATTCAGAGTGCGATAAATCTCCGATTTCTGATTGGATCTGCGATATGAAGGCAGAGATGATGTTATTAGAGGTGCTCGAACGTCATTTCAAAAGTTTCCGAGGCATCGGTCGACATACATCAAACAATCATTGTTACCTTGTTCAAAATCCGTCAAAATCCTGGCTATAGCCAGGATCATAGAGTATATATTCTTGCGACGGTATGCATGAGGCCAGTGCTGTGTTGTAAAGACATTTTATTGCAATCCTGTTGCTTTCTCCTCTTTTCTTTTCTTTTCTCTTCGTTTTCTTTTCTTTCCTTTTTCTTCCTCTTCCCCCTTCTTTTCCCCCGGGGGATCTAGTATAAATAGTTGCACCAGCATAGTTACAGTACCATGCAGATTGAAGATTGAGATGTGATGATTGATTGTCAATTGGTGATGATTATTCCTCTTCTTCATTAGCGTTCACGACTGGTTTTTCAAAGAAGAGTGAGAAGAGAGAGAAAAATTGGTGACGGGAACTACTGGTACCATATAGTACCTCATATGAGAAACACTTCCATCCTTTCGTCTTCCTACCGCCGTGGTAAGAAGAAATCTAATGATAAAACTAGAGTGTGTTATTTTCGGGGAAATCACAGCTGCTTCGGTATAAAATACATACTACCAGGTGCCTGGTACACGTACCAGTGCTTCGCAGTATCGTAGCACATCGCCGACTGATCTTTGGAAACGAACTGGACTTCGTGGGATCCCGCAGTTGCTTCTGCCGGAGGAGCGATATCTTGTAACGTATCTTTTGCTGCCTACGGAACTATCAAACGTTCTTTCTCCTGCCACTTATCGCCTTCGTTAAGTGAAGTGTCGTGTGTATGATGACCGGTCACCCAATGGGTTGCCACAAAGAAAACAAACAAAAAACTTCTGATCGAATGTGTCACGACAGATCAGACAAAATATGCAGTACAATTTCTACATACACATTCCTTCGAACGTGGGAACCTACAGGTATTAATACACGTACCCAATGTACCATCACCACGGTCCAGAGCGCCGAGCTGAGAATTTCGATGGATCTTTTCTTGACACAAAATCATAAATTGTTCTGTCTGAATCATCATTGAATTATCATGCCGTCAACAACATCTACTAGCAAGACCACAACCAAGGTGCCAGCAACTACCAAAATCACCAGGAATGAGCGCCAAGAACTTACCGGGTTGGCAAGAAACCTGCGAAGAGCCAAGAGACAGATGTTCTTGAAGGAAGTAGAAGCACCTCAAACTTCCGTTGAAAGCTTCCGCGAGTTGGTGACAACTTCTGTCATGTCTGAAGTGATCGAAGAGTATCTGAGCTCTGCTTCTATGGAGTTCACAGAGAAGAAACTCACAGAATCTCCCAACAAACGTGATACTTCTCTAAAGAGCGAAGTGCGACAAGTGAATGAAGGGCCTCGGGCCGCTTGAAGAAGATACCCCCAACCAGAACGATTCTTCCTTTGATCGTATTTGAAGCTTTATGCTACATTATCTACAAGTTATATGAAATGAACACGCTGCTCATTTGTATACTCTGTCACCATTCAATGGGAACTCAGGTTTCCAATGTGATTGCGCGGCGAAGCCCTTTGCGGCCTTCTGGATTCGCGCTGTGATGAATGAGCTCATCTATTTTTCCATATCATTTACACTAGAACACTTCTAGATCTACATCTGAATACACAATAACTGATATAACCACTTTGAAAATCAAGTACTATCTTTTCCAATCTAATTGAATGATAGCTATTGCAGATTGAATGCTTGAATATTCGTTCTTGTCAACGAGGTTCCAATAAAACTACGATGCTTGCTTTTCTGTTGCATCGCTGCCATCTTCCAGTAGAAGGTTGCCTCCAAGTTCCATTACATCCTTGTGCGTTCCCGCAACACCAACATACTACACACATGGCATTGTTTGAGTCAATCACACGGGTATGAAAAGTACTTGATGTGAAAAAAACCATCTTACCTCGTTGGCTTGGTAGTGTAGCTTTTGCCGTTCTTCAGGTGTCAGGTCCCGCAGCTTTCGTGCGGGTTTCCCTGCCCATAATTCTCCTTCTCCAACCACTGTATCCTTTGATATCACTGCTCCAGCTGCAATAAAGGCCTCATCTTTCACTACTACACCTTCTTGTAGCAACGATCCCATACCTGTGAAGAAAAAGGGACAGATCAGACCGACCAAATGCTCAAATTGTAAACTGTAAACATCCACGATAGGACCTACCGATCAAACAGTTGTTATGTACCGTTGCCGAATGTATAGAAGCCATATGTCCTACAGTAACTCCATTTCCAATCTTTGTATGCCCTACGACAGCGTCAATAATGCATCCATCTTGAATGTTGGTGTTTTCACCAATGAAAATACCACCACCAATTGCCTGAGTGTGTTGTCGTGTGAATCTTTCTGGATCCAATTCCCACCCTTCTGATGCCGGTTCGTCTGTGTTGAAACTTTCAGCATTCTCACAGTTGTCTGCTCGCAAAATGGACTTGTAAAAAATTGAAGACCCCGCTCCAACATGGACACTGCCAATCAAAGTGGAGCATGGAGCCAAAAAAGCTACGTCTTTCGATATGATTGGCCTTCCACGTCTCAGTAATGGCATTTGATGGCGATGTCGTGACAAGTGATCTTCATAGATCACAGGTTCATCTCCGATGGTTTGCTTAGTGACTGCCAATTGATGGCCCTTGATTCCCAACCGATCCAGCGCTTGGCCAGTTTCTCGGAGGGCACGACCCAGTGTTTGACGGAAACGTTGTGCTACTGTAGGTGGCCCCATATCTTATCAGTTATTCACTAGACCTGTATTTGGTTTGGTTGGAAGGGCAATGGCAAACCTTCCAAGAGATTCATTCATTCGATTTTGGCTTCAGATGTTGGATGTATGGTTGGTATGTACGACGTTCGAACGGGTGTTGACCCCTTCGACTATTTTTGTACCCCGTACGTTGCTTGGAAATTCAAACTCAAACGGCAAATCGCGCAACGGTTTCTTCTTCACATTATTCAGCAATCGCAATCATACTGTACTGTAGGTACCGAAATGCCATCCTATCCACCCTTATCAAACCCATACAGTCAGAAGAAACCAACTCTAGGTGCCTTATTGAAAAGCATTACGAAAAATGCAGGTGTTCCAACGCTGTCGATGGTCCAATCGATTCAGCAACAATTCACGCAACAGTCGTCAAAATGGACACTGGAAATGGCGCAAGATCTCTCTTCAAAGGTCGTGAAACTATTCAACCCATCGCATGGCAATTATTCGGACACTAGGGATGCTCAGGGATCGGTAGCCGTTCTCAACCTTCTGGTTAGTTCCATGGCAGAATGGGACGATAGCATCTGCTACGCTGTACTCGTCGACACTGGGATGTCGCAAGACGTTGGCAAGAATCTCCTGAACCTGCTCATATCTCTCGCAGCTGGAGAGGATACGATAAAACACACTGCCATCGTGGGAATATCAATAGCACTCAGAGCCCTTGATCGTGTGCAACAAGTTACCGTTCTCGATCCGAACACGATAGATACGGCATGGTGGTTGACAGGAGAGTGTATCGATCCGTTGGCTAGGACGTCGATTGAAGTTCTAATCAAGTAAGTGCACCAACTGTATTCTTGTTTTATGGCATGGATTATTTTGAATGCAGCACTCATGAGCAGCCTTACCAGTGGAACGGAACGTGAAATGATGTCCGATGGCATGATAGTACCCAGCATGGAGCAACGAAAGCTTGCTGCTACAGCAATATTAGCCCATTTGATGAGATACCATCAGGGATGCACTTCTGAATATTTCTCGGAAGACATTCTGAAAACTTTGTCTTCCAAATTGATTCAAGAGGCCCAGTGGCTTGTGCAATCAAATTTGCCACCGTCAGCCAATTCAATTACTCTTTCGACTGCAATCCAATCCCTGACGCTGTTGTGCCTTGTTCAGTGGGCCTGTGATGTAAACTTGGCAGGGATTGATCAATGTATACAGTCCCCTACCCTCGTGGAGAATATGGTTCATTTCATTTTTCCTTCAGCTCTTGACGAAAGTCATACTCATCGTCCACAGTGGACCTGGAGCAACAATGATTCGCATGCTCAGTCCATTGCTCTGGACTTGGTAAGATGTTGGCGCATCTGCAATAATGCTTCGTGGAAATTGTTTCTACAACAGGAAAGCCTATGGGAAAATTTTGTGGAAAGGGCATGGTGTGACATGATTTCAAATGAAAAATCAGAGCAAACACCAACCAACTTGCAAAAGTTATTTCTCTTGCATTCTTCAAGTCGACTTCAAACTCGAAGAATATTCAGCAGAACCATCAAACATCTCGAGCAGGATACTTGCTTGAATGTAGATCCATGTCAGGCGTTGGTTCGTTTGCTCTGCAATCTGTCCAAAGATGTAAGTATTCGACGGCATCTTCGAATTCCAAGCTTATTGTATTTTCTTATCCATCACGATTTTGTTCCAGGAGGAAAACACTGTTGGAATATACTCCGCTAGAATATTGTTTCTGTTTCTCTTTGATCGCAAGAGCATTCATACTAACGATGACTTGTCCAGAGCTCTTTGGAATGCGGTTGATTACGAATTGGTCGAAGCCTGCTTGATGGGTACACTTGAGCGAGCATCAACTGACGATGTTTATCAACCTCGTCTGCTAGTTCTCCTAGACCTTCTTGGTGTCATTTTCTCATCGGTAGAGTTCTGTGATGCTACATTGAATCAGCTTGGCGCCCAGAGCTTGGAGCGGCTAATATATTTGGTAAAGCCAAAGGAAGTCAAAATCGATTTTTTGGCCATGCTTGATGACGACAGCGAGGACGAAAATACACCAGCCGCGAACAACTTATCGCGATTAGACGAGACCAGTATATGCATGGAACAAGAAGAGGAAAAGGTCGGAAGAGGAATTGACAGTACAGTACGACTTTCTGCAGCACTTGTTCTCTCGCGACTTGGATACCATTCATCATTTCCATCCGACGAAAGTATTGGAGTGCTGGTTTCTCGGATACGCAAAAGTGTAATGGATTTCTTATCAACACCATGTAACACCAACCCAGTCTCAGAATCGCCTCGACATAGTCTTGACTCTTCCAAGCGATTCTTTCGATTACAAACCACAACCGCAACAGCTGACAATGAAGACTATATCGCTTCAATACTGCATACACGGCAAATAAATGACTATCGACAACTTGGGCAAATGAAGCGAGATATGGAGTCTCAAAAGCACAAGCTACTTCAGGCCTCCAAGCGCGAGGAGGGTCTACGCGCCAAGCAGAAGAAATATGAGAACATGTGTCGTTCACAGACACTAGTCCTGCAACGAGAGCTTGCTAAACAGGAAGAAAGATTGACCGAAGATGCTAGAGTGAAACTTGCGATCCATGTGTCAGAACGATCAAAAGCTGAGACGAGGTGCGTTGAGCTCCACGAAAAACTCAGTGGGGTTGAATTTGCGGTAAAGGAGGCTCAAGAAAAGGAAGCAGCGCGCATGACAGAAGTGAATCAATTGAAGCAAACCCTCAGTGAAGTACATTCCAGGGCTTCCGAGCTCGAGAGTGAAAACCTAGGGGCCAAACGACAACTACGTGATGAAAGCATTAAGTGCAGCGAACTGAGCGATCAAATTACTGGAATGTCAAATGAAATGGAAACTCTACGCGGTCGTCACAGCGAGCTTGAGGGTGAGGCCAGTTTTTTTAGAGACGACAATGCGAATCTTCTCAACAATCTGGAAGATCTATTTGCTGATATGATCAGTTTGGCTCAGGTCTATCAACACCTCGAGACGGAAAAGAATTCATCTGTTGAAAGAAGTACAAGAGACTTAGATGCTCTTAGAAAAAAACTATCGAATGAGTCAGGGAGAAACTTTGAACTGGAAGAGAAAGTTTCGACCCTCAAGACCGAAAACGAAAAGCTGTTCCGAAAGCTGGCAAAGTACAAGGACAGACTTGAAGAGGAGAGACGATCAAGAGAGGAAGAAAAGCAACGGAGGAAACGAAGTGGGCCTGTTTCATACATCAACCAACTTCATGAGTCGCAACGGCCTTCAAGGAACGACAAAGATAAGGAGTCGCAGCGATCTTCACGAATTGACAGAGACAAGAGCTACCGTACAATCAACAGCAGGCAGGAGAAAGAGAATAGTAGCAGTTACTACGCTTACGCATCGTCTGCTTCCCAGAGAAGGAAAAACTACTGCTGAAAAGAATAGCAATAATACCATTTAGCTAGTAGCTGCTTTCACATCTATATTTCTCTTTGCAAGTGGACCATTTCTGGCTTGATGGAGCCAGACACCAGCCAATCGCAAAAAATTGAAGACTACAAAACTGAGCCACACGCCACCAAGTCCAAATTTGGGAGGGAGTACTTTTAGACCCCATAGACAACCAGCAGTCGCCACGACTGTACTCAACGAGAGTTGCAAAAAAGAACCGGTCCCGATCATGACTCCTTCACCGATGAAAACGAGTCCATTGATGACCTGCAAAACGCTACCTATGATTGCAGGCAGCATCGCAGCATTACGGACTTCTTGGAGTGGCGATGCTTTGCGGATGGCTGGGAGCAGCATCAACTGTGCACCGCCGAGAACACATCCTAACACAAAACCCCAGCTCATTAACCGATTCACCATGGCCTTTGCATACTTCATTCCTCCAACTTTCTTTTGCGATTTCTCATCGAATCGTTCAACCATGGCGTTTGGTACGACCGTTTGGGCTACAGTTGAAAGTGCCAACAAAACTACACCCCCAATTTGGAAGGTTTGAATCGCCATGGCATGGGCTGCTGCAGCCACACCAGTTTTGTCAATAGCTTGAGTGACGCGTGTTACAGCAAGAAACGTAAGATTTAAAGACAAGTTTCGTAGCTGCAATGCAAGACCACCCTTGAGCAATGGTTCAAGCGACTTCCACGAAGGTAGCTTGATAAGCTTGCGCCATTTGATCAATTGCTTCTTCCGCAACAAGGTCATGTAAACAATAGCCGAGATGACTTCAGCACCGAGCGTCGCCAAGGCAGCTCCTGGGACTCCCATCGCCAGTGAAAAGATAAGAATAGGATCGAGGATGGCATTGAAAATATTGGCGAAGGCTGAGATTTTGACGGGCGTCTGCGTGTCCATGATTCCTCGAAACGCCGAAAACCCAACCAGCGAAAACATGGAAGGCAAAAAGGCAAACGATCGAATGAGAAGATAAGGTCGGGCATATTCCAAAGCGGGTGCACCCTTGGAAAGAACCGCACTCAAGGCCCTATCCGGATTAAAGAACATGAGTGGTGTACCAATCATCGCAATAAAAAATCCGACAAATAAAGCTTGACACACAGCATCTTGTGTGCCTTCCTTGTCACCTTTAGCATGCTGTTTGGACACCAACGTTGCCGTGACTGAACGATTCAAGAGACGAGATAAAGAAATGAGATTACGACATCGAGATGTTACCAGTCAGCGAAGAATGGTTTCCAATTTCTGCAAACCGCATGATACGTACTACTGGGAAGAAACGAAGTAAACCAAAATGCTGAACTGAAGATTTGATTCGCTGCTGCTTGCCCTGCTACGGCCAAAGCATTCCCCATCCGATTGACCCAAAACAAGTCGACAGCTCCAATCAACGGATTGATGGCAAAGTTTCCAATCACAGGCAGAGAGATCTTAATCAAATCCTTATCCAATTGATCAAAACACGGCCATACTTTTAGTGTATTGGATGAATCTTCGTCGTTTGTGCCAATAGCACTGCTCGTCGAAACTATTTCTTCTTCACTTCCAAGAATAGTGTTATCGCTCGATGATTCAAATTCCGTGTTTGTAGCATTAACTGGGGGGACAAGGAAATCTACTGGCTCAGATCCACAACAGTCCATGGAGGAATCTGGTATACCTTCTACACCCAAGCCATCGGACGCCGACGTTCTTTCTTTTGAAGTAGAGTTATCATTGTTGGAGATTGCTTCGTCGTCAGACGATGATGCAGACAATGCCTCATTTCTTCGTTGACCCCAGCACTGTCGATGATCTTTTCTGTCTTGTGTTCCCAATATTTGAAGCGAGCGATGAACAGGAGACGACTCGAGATTCGTCGGTCGAGTTGTTGAGAGTACTCGTGAACCGAATCCTAGCGCAACGTCAGAGCTGCCAAGCACCAAGCAAACCAAAACAAAGATGTTTGTCATTCTTTCAACAAACGAATCGATCTTCTGATTCGAAGATGATGTAAAGTCGGAGTTTTCTGCAACTTTTGCGATATACCGTATGAAAATTGATGATGCTTCTAATGGAAGGAAGCCATAATTTTTTTGCTATCGTCATCGTTTGTGTGAAGAATGCATTGATCGGACTAGTCCATTTCAGACCCGACTACCGACCGACTGACTATTTTTTCCTGGCATCCTTATTGTTCTACCGGTACCAGTATAACACAACACCGCACATTTTTCTCAGAATCAATAAATTTACTATAAAATGCACTGATTAATTTTCATCACATTGACTAGACGCACTCCTGAAGCGCACGTTCACCCGTCAGCTATAGTCAATCCCTTTCCCCAATCGTTCCAACACCAAGGATTGAACCTAGATATGCATCCGTTTCAATCATATCGGTTGTTTCTTTTACAGCTCACCCATATCCTCCGAATTATAATCCTCCGAGTCTAACGTAGGGACTCGAGGGATAGCAGGGATAGCAGGAACACCAGCATCTACCGTCAATCCTCTTTTTGAACCCATTTTGAATGGCGTCGCTGGCGACATTAAGGAGGAGTCCCCAGAGGAGTCAGTGCCCAGGGATCTTCTACTTCCGGATTTGCCAAATCCAGATTTTCTGGAAGAAATGTCGCTCGAGGGAACATCAATGAAGTAAGTTATCATCTCTCCTTTTCCTTTGGCTACAATTTTGTCGGCTCGTTCTGTCAACCAAGATAGTTTCCTCCCCTCAACAAGAAGATCTGCTGTGGCTTTACTGCAGTGAATCCTTCCTGTTCTGGAGTTGCTTTCCATCCGTGCAGCTCTGAAGCGTGAAGGAAAAATATGGTGAGTGATTAAATCACACGAAAGTGTGAAACAAACTCGTCACGCACAAACCGAAACTTACGTGTTGACTGTGTCTCCAAAGAGCTGGAAGCGTGCCTTTTCTCCGCGCAATACACCTGCAGTGACAGGACCACTGTGAAGTCCGATCCGAACGTCTAGTTTGCTTGTACCCAAAGCATCTTCCAAATCAAGAAAAACTTGTCGACTTTTCAAAAGAAATTTTTGGGAAAATCGAGCAAGAGCTATTGCGTGGTCATCTCGTGGTTTTGGTAGCCCAGTTACAGCAACGTAGCAATCCCCGATTGTCTCAACCTTGAATACACCCATGCGATTCGCAATTTTATCAGCTGCGCCATACTGCACAAGGGGAGGGATGTGAGTGTTTGCCTATGTCGCCTCGGATGAGACGATTGAAGGTGGACTTACCAGTGTTTCAAGCAGAAGAAATACCTGTACCGGGTCACGATCCGATGACCAAGAAGTGAAGCCGACGATGTCGGCGAAAAATACAGTACAATGTGGGTAGCGATCGGCAATCGGAGCTCCATCTGTGCTTCCGTTTGCAGCTCTCTTTTTTCCGCCAGTGCGTGGGGTTCTACCGCCGCCTACTAGACGGACGCGTTTGCTACTACCAGACTTGCTACTACCAGACAAGGATGGGCTTTTGGGGACTTCTTGCTTCTTTCCGCTTTCCAAGAGTTGCGCAAGGTTTTCATTAGTACCATCTTCATTTACAACGAGCACCTTGCCTTTGGCTTCTTCATTGGCTTGTTCTTCAGCTTGTTGCATGATCCGGTCTCGAACATTATCAGGAAATAAACTGGAGACGATGGCCGTTGTACGTTGAGCAACACCAACAACCTTCCTTTGACGGCGCTCCACAAACCAAAAGAAGAGGAGAAATCCGATCCCCAAACAAATGAAAACGGCAGCGAAGAATGGCATGAAAAACGTCCGTGCATCGGAGTAGAAGAGTGCTTCAAAATTCTCAGATGGGTAGATTGCAAGACTGTAAACACATTCCGTGCCTTCCGCCGCGAAGACCTGTCCAAAATCAATAGTCTCAGATATATACGCGTTGTTGGTACCTTCCACATCACCTTCGCCGATGTAAGCTGCTGTTTTGCCGTTGATGACAAACGAATATCGATTTCCACAAGTGTCCTTGAGGACAGCAATAATTCCATTCACATCATCAGGCAGCAAATTAATAAAGAATTTGTCCCAGGGAATGACAGAATAGACTACCCCGACCATGGATCTCCGATCCAAGTCAAAGTTGTCGAACACAGGCGTCATGATGATGCTGTGAGGGATTTGATCGATCACTTCTTCACCATCTGCCTCCTCGGTGTTGCCGTCAGTATTCAAAGGAATACCAAAGTCATTCTCGACCACCTTTCCATCGAAATAAGAAGGTGGAAAAACATGTTCCTTCAGAATGAACATGCCTTCGTTTTTGGAGGAAGTATACAGCTCCGAGAGGACTGTCTGTTCAGACACTTTCATGCTTTGGAAGGCTTTGTTGTAGGTTTCTTTTGAGAGTAGATTCAAGTTGACCACAGAGACATTGTATGGCATGGGAGACGACATCCAAAAAGGGACAAAAGAAATGGCACCAGAAGAAATGTCGTCGCTGCCGAACTCAAAGATGTCGGGATTCGGAAAGCCATTACCTTCTTTGGATTCATCTTCATAAAGCGAACCAACCGACTTGCTGGCAACAAAACCAGACCAGTTGCCAAGATGCTTAGCATCAACGATAGGCGAAAAGGCAACCATATCCAACCTGGCTTCGTCCATAGTTCGCTGACCTCGACGAACAAAGTTTGGGACAGTCACCAGCGGCCACTGTGCACCGGATGCTGCTGAATAAGAAGTAATGGTTTCTGCCATGGATTCCATATAGCCTATCATTGACTTTGCATGAAAGTTGGTTCCTTCAGCAACAGCACTCACATGCTGTCGAAATCCGTTCTCAAATTCTGCCGTTTCTTCGTCTATTAAGAATTTGTTTGTGAAACCCAATACAACCCCAGTTGTAGCCCCAATCATTAGAAGCACCACAATCATTGAGAGCCAGACGTGCCTGTTGTCCCGTCCAGCTCCATGGTACTCCTCTTTCTTGACTGATTTGGCAGTGTGTACGGATGCGGCATCGAGGTTACCCTCTGAATCTGAGTATTCTGATACGCTGTCGTAATCTTCCATTGTCCCCCCAGTAAGTTTTGAGTCCCCATTTGGTGGACCAGCGTCGCCTTGATGTGATGACATTGTTTCAGTAGGATGAATGCTCCCACTGCTTCTATAGAAGTCTTGGGTGGAGGATCCGAATTATAGCGGGTGGTGGTGAGACTTACACTGGATTTTGATACTGTACCGTTTTCGACCTTGCAGACGCTCGTGATCGAGTCCTCTGGGCAGTTTTTTGTTCACTAGAGCAAGCTCGCGAGGAAAGTGTTTCTTCATTTGTTCCGAATCTTTTTTCGGAGCTCTGGAGTACCGCGTGATACCTTATATATATTACGTGTCGGCAATTATTCAAAAAATATTCATTCGGGCTTTAGCGAAAATCAAACCATTCCTAAGTCCGATTTCATATATATTATAGACGGTCATTGACAAAAAAGGGACTTTTCCGCTTTTTAAAAAGTTCATAGTTGAACGACGATAACAAATTGTCCCAACGAAGAATCAGAGAACTTGCAACTTGACTGGTGGAGCCAATTTGTCCCAACGAAAAATCAGAGCAAAAGACTGCACAAGTTCCAAGTTTGCATGGGAGCTTCGTAATTTACTTCATTCCTTCATTGGACATTCCAGTTCCAGTGAAGTGATGTGACGTGTCGGATATTGGAATGATTCAGGAGATAATTTACTCCCTTTGCATCCTAGCAGCCATTCCTGTCACTTGGATTGATATTGCTGAAACATTCATTGTTGTGCTTTACTGCAACAGACGGAGCTGTTCTATTCATTGTGATGGGCTTCTCTAGAGTCACTCGACTTTAAACAACATTTCATGCGGTACTAGATACGCCCATTAGATATTCAGCATGCAGGACGTGTACTACTCGCAGAACCGTTGGGGCCCGTCCGAAAACACCAAAGATGTGCCGATCTTGCACAATGCTTTTGCATCGTTTCCGCGGAAAGCTGTAGAGAACACCGGGATGTCTGTCTGACTGAAAAAAAGACAGAAACACTGTTCAATTCTTTGCGCGTTGCTTCGTTGCTTCAGTTCAATATCGAAATACGGAAAGAACGTGTGTTGGAACATGCTGTTCGGTTTGAATCAAGTCCTCCAAGATTTTCTCGCCCGGCAAGACACCAAATTCTGTTTTCAATTCGTTGCAATGAATTCCACTGGTAATTAGAATGGAATCTACGTTGGCAGCATTGGCTCCTGCAATGTCATGGTGCAAACTATCTCCAACATGAACAGTTCGCATCATCGACTTGGACATTTCAGAGTTGTTGCTGGCAGCATTCAGTTGGTCTAGGCACGCCAAAAAGTGTTCTGGATGCGGCTTGCCAAAGGACTGACACTGACCACCTATATCAGCATACCGTTTGGCAATGTTACCAGGCATATAGGCCATGGACTTGTCGGGCATCCGAACGACAAAGTCAGGGTTGGCGCAAACCATTGGCAATTTATTTGTCAAACACTGCTCTAGAATGGGATCAATGGTCTCCAGACTGCCCGTTTCCAAAAAGTTTTCCAAAGCCAACTGTTCGTTGTTCCTCTTTTGCCACACGTGTGAGCCGTGCGCCAAGACAAAATCAGCTTCCTCTACGGAATCTGCCACCTCTATGTTGCCGCACTTGTTTAAAAAGTCTGTGGGCGGAGGGACATGGGTTCGAACTCCATCCCACGTGAACCACAAGACCTTTTTTGTTTCACTGCTAGAACCATAATGTTCCAGAATGTACCGACTGCACTCTTCTCCTGAGGTGACGGCCCCCAAAAAATGCTTGGGATCAAATCCATATTTCGGTAATTTGGCCAAAGCAGATACCGCTGGGCCAGAGGTATTGGACAGAATAATCATTTTTTTGTTCAACTTGTATAATTCTTCCACACACTCTACCGCTCCTTCCAAAGCCGTTTCCCCATTGTGCAAGACACCGTATTGGTCCAGGATGAAGGCATCGTAATGGGGAGCCAATTCCGAAATGGATTGTTTAATTGTGTAGGCCGAGGCAGAAGACGACAGGGATGCAGATGATGCAGATGATGCTGCTAGAGCTGATACTCCTTTGGTATTACTAGCAGAGGCCATGATGATGCTACCAAGCGACGAACTGGTCAAGATCTTGGAGAGGCGCATAGATCTGCTGGTCACGGTCGCGATGATTGTGGTACATCGACTGTGTTTTGATTGTCGTCAAGCGTCAAGCGTCCTTGCCCCCGGACTCCATTCATTCGTGATTCAAAACGGAATTTTTGAAATGGAATTTGGAATTTCACCAACAACGCATGGAGAGCCGTCGAATCAATCTGCTTGGTCAACCAACAAATAAGTAAAGGCGGTAAGTGTGAAATTGTGAGATTTGCACCTTGCACCCCAACGAAATCTCAATTTTGATTCAACCAACACCTTCACCATGTACGTGCTTGAAAAACGAAGGATGAAAACCAGACACCATGAAGAATGCCCCTCTCACTAACTAGTTCATGTTGATATTATCATTACAGGTCTCACAGAAAGTTCGAAGCTCCACGCAGCGGTAACTTGGGATTCCTTCCCAAGAAGCGCACCAAGCATCACTCTGGTCGCATCCGTTCCTTCCCCAAGGACGACCAATCTGAGGCTCCCCACCTTACTGCTTTCCGTGGATACAAGGCCGGTATGACACACGTTGTTCGTGGAGTCGACCGTTCTGGTGCTCTCATGCACAAGCGTGAAGTCGTTGACGCTGTTTCCATCCTTGAGACTCCCCCCATGGTGGTTGTTGGTGTTGTTGGATACGTCGAGACCCCACAAGGTCTTCGCACTTTGACCACCGTCTTTGCTGAGCATTTGAATGAAGAATTCAAGCGTCGCATGTACAAGAACTGGTACAACTCCAAGAAGAAGGCTTTCACCAAGTACGCCAAGAAGTACACCGAGGACGGTGGAAAGGACATTGATGCTGAATTGGAGCGCATCAAGAAGTTCTGCAGCGTCGTTCGTGTCATTGCCCACACCCAAGTCAAGAAGTTGAACCTCCGTCTGAAGAAGGCTCACATTATGGAAATCCAAATCAATGGAGGAGATGCTGCCGCCAAGGTTGACTTTGCCAAGTCTCTTTTCGAGAAGGAGTTTACTGTTGACTCCATCTTTGCCAAGGACGAGCAAATTGATGTTATCGGTGTCACCAAGGGACACGGATACGAAGGTGTCACTACTCGTTGGGGCGTCACTCGTCTTCCCCGTAAGACCCATCGTGGTTTGAGAAAGGTTGCCTGTATCGGATCGTGGCATCCTGCTCGTGTTTCCACCACTGTTGCCCGTGCCGGTCAAAACGGATACTTCCACCGTACCGAATTGAACAAAAAGGTTTACCGACTTGGAAAGAAGGACGAGAAGGACAGTTGCCAAACCGAGGCCGATTTGACCCAGAAGTCTATCACCCCCATGGGAGGATTCGTTCACTATGGTGAAATCAAGGAAGACTGGATCATGCTAAAGGGTGCCGTTGTTGGTGTCAAGAAGCGTCCTTTGATTCTTCGTAAGTCTATGATGAAGCACACCAACCGCAAACACTTGGAGACCATCGACATCAAGTTCATCGATACCTCCTCCAAGCAAGGTCACGGAAGATTCCAGACTGCCGAAGAGAAGGCCAAGTTCTTGGGTCCTTTGGCTTCCAAGCAAAACCAAGGATAGATTCAAAACTAAGCAAACAGCACTGTTGTTACTTTTCTTTAAAATATACTATAGTAAGAAAAGTGATTGTGATGATAAACAGTTCATTTGTAGTGTCGGCCGATGGAGACAACCAAAACTTGAGCACAACCGTCACAAGCAGATCTATTATGGGCCTCGCAATATCTTGACCAGTTTGTCTCTTGGTAGCATCATCTTCAAGGCCTCAACAACAAGTAGTAGTATTGCAGGAGTAGCAACAGCTCTCGTGGTATCGCGATCGTTTTCTTCCTCTAAACCACAGGCAGGCCAATCAAGATTCCATTCGACAATCTACTTTTTTCTTCGAAATCGGCACCGCGATCGTCTTCTTCCTCTAAACCACAGGCAGGCCAATCTAAAATCATGATTCCGTTCGACAATCCATTTTGAAATCGGCACCCCTTTGCGGTGTCTTTATCCTGGACCAGTACGGCGTCTCACACAATGTGGAAACGGCTTTGGAAGGAGCGGTTGAGTGTGTGGAAGAATTGATCAAATTGAAAAAAAATGATTATTCTTTCCAATACCTCTGGCCCAGCGGCATCGATCATTCGCCTTGCCCAAATATGGATTTGATCCCAAGCATTGTATTGGAGCCGCCACCTTGGGAGAAGAGTGTAGTGGATCTAGTACTGAAACAAAAAGGTTTTTTGGTTCACTTGGGATGGAATTCAAACAAATGTCGTCCCCCAACCCGCCGTCTTGGAGGTGTCTAATTCCGTAGAAGAAGCTAATTTTGTCTAGGCGCATAGCTCGCACGTGTGGCAAAAGAGGAACAACGAGCAGGTTGCAGTGGACGACTTTTTGGAAACGGGTACTTTGGAGACCATAGATCCCGTTCTAGAGCAGTGTTTGATGGAAACATTGCGCCAATCCTGACTTTTTTGGCGTCCGCGTTCCCGACGAGTCCATGGCCTATATTCAAAATGCCTCGTAGTAACATTGCCAAACGGTATACTGATATAGGTGGCCAGTGCTGTCATTCCTTTGGCAAGCCGCACCCACAACACTTTGGCTTGACTGACCAACTGAATGACGCCAACAACTCTGAAAACAAGCTAATGCCATGTTGGAGACAGATTGCACCATGACATTGTAGGAGCCAATGCTGCCCACGTAGATTACATTCTACTCTGATTACCAGCGGAATTCAACGGAGAATTGGTTCTAAATCGAAGTTGCTGCAGGGGAATCTTGGTAATGGTGAAGTCCGACATACACGACTGGTGAAGATTCATAATACATATTGAATATATAATACCAATCGTGTCAGTTTTGTACCCCTATAATAAAGATTCAGTCTTCAATCGTGCGTCACTCCTCCGTGATCGGTGTCCATTAAGTCCCTTTCTTAATAGTTTGACTGGTCAAATTAGAATCACTATCTATGAGATCGAACATTGGCTCTTCGCGTTGAGAATGATGAGATTTTTGTTGTAAGGCCCAACCAATCTGACATTTTTTTAAAACCAGTGATGTGAAAGTATCGTCACAAATTAAGAAATAAAGAGAACAACTCACAAGGGACATATCGTACGTGTACCGTGTTTGAGACATACGTCGTGCAAGTAGAAGCGAGAGCTAATCTTGATTATCTAGAGCGTCAAAGCAAAGGGGCAAAAGGCAAAGAAATAGTGTCATATTCAAAAAAATGTCATCACATCAAGGCGACGCTGGTCCACTTGCTGGGATAACAATGGAAGATTATGACAGCGCATCAGAATACCCAGATTCGGAGGGTAACCTCGATGCCGCATCCGTGCACACTGCCAAATCAGTCAAGAAAGAGGAGTACCATGGAGCTGGACGGGACAACAGGCACGTCTGGCTCTCAATGATTGTGGTGCTTCTAATGATTGGGGCTACAACTGGGGTTGTATTGGGTTTCACAAACAAATTCTTAATAGACGAAGAAACAACAGAATTTGAGAACGGATTTCGACAACATGTGAGTGCTATTGCTGAAGGAACCAACTTTCATGCAAAGTCAATGATAGGTTATATGGAATCCATGGCAGAAACCATTACTTCTTATTCAGCAGCGTCCAGTGCGCAGTGGCCGCTGGTGACTGTCCCAGACTTTGTTCGTCGAGGTCAGCGAACTATAGACGAAGCCAGGTTGGATATGGTTGCCTTTTCGCCTATCGTTGATGCTAAGCATCTTGGCAACTGGTCGGGTTTTGTTGCCAGCAAGTCGGTTGGTTCGCTTTATGAAGATGAATCCAAAGAAGCTAATGACTTTCCGAATACTGACATCTATAATTTTGGTAACGACGACATTTTTGCAGGTGCGACTTCCTATGTCCCTTTTTGGATGTCGTCTCCCATGCCATACAATGTCTCTGTGGTCAACTTGAATCTACTCTCAAAAGAAACCTACAACAAAGCCTTCCAAAGCATGAAATTGTCTGAACAGACAGTCGTCTCAGAGCTTTTTACGCCCTACAAAAACGAAGATATGTTCATTCTGAAGGAACATGTTTTTCCACCTTCTCATTTCGATGGAAAGGTGGTCGAGAATGACTTTGGTATTCCTTTGAATACTGACGGCAACACCGAGGAGGCAGATGGTGAAGAAGTGATCGATCAAATCCCTCACAGTGTCATCATGACGCCTGTGTTCGACAACTTTGACTTGGATCGGAGATCCATGGTCGGGGTAGTTTATGCTATCATTCCCTGGGACAAATTCTTCAGTAATTTGGTACCTGATGAGGTGAAAAGGATTGTAGCTGTTCTCAAGGACACTTGTGGAAATCGATATTCGTTTGTCATCAACGGCAATAATACAGCAACGTACATCGGCGAAGGTGATGTGGAAGGTACCAATAACGCGTATATATCTGAGACTATTGATTTTGGACAGGTCTTCGAGGCAGACGGCACGGAATGTGTTTACAGTCTTGCAATCTACCCATCTGAGAATTTTGAAGCACTCTTCTACGCCGATGCACGGAAGCTTTTCATGTCGTTTTTCGCTGTCGTTTTCATCTTTTTGGGTGTCGGATTTCTCCTCTTCTTTTGGTTTGTGGAGCGCCGTCAAAGGAAGGTTGTTGGTGTTGCTCAACGTACAACGGCCATCGTCTCTAGTTTATTTCCCGACAATGTTCGAGACCGAATTATGCAACAAGCTGAAAAACAAGCTAATGAAGAAGCCAAAGGCAAGGTGCTCGTTGTGAGTGAAGATGGCGCTAATGAAAACCTTGCGCAACTTTTGGAAAGCGGCAAAAACGAAGAAGTCTCCGAAAGCCCGCGATCCTCGAATGGTAGTAGCAAACGCGGCCGTCTAGTAGGCGGCGGTAGAACCCCACGAGCTGGCGGAAAAAAGAGAGTTGCCAACGGAAGCACAGATGGAGCTCCGATTGCCGATCGCTACCCACATTGTACTGTATTTTTCGCCGACATCGTCGGCTTCACTTCTTGGTCATCGGATCGTGACCCGGTACATGTATTCCTTCTCCTGGAGACACTGGTAAGTCCAACTTTCATGTTGTCATCCGAAGCGACCCAGACAAACACTCATGTCCCCCCTCCCCCCTTATACAGTATGGCGAAGCTGATAAAATTGCGAATCGCATGGGTGTATTCAAGGTTGAGACAATTGGGGATTGCTACGTTGCTGTAACCGGACTACCAAAGCCACGATTTGACCATGCGGTAGCTCTTGCTCGATTTTCCCAAAAATTTCTTTTGAAAAGTCGACAAGTTTTTCTTGATTTGGAAGATACTTTGGGTACAAGCAAACTAGACGTCCGGATCGGACTTCACAGTGGTCCTGTCACTGCAGGTGTATTGCGCGGAGAAAAGGCACGCTTCCAGCTCTTTGGAGACACAGTCAACACGTAAGTTTCGGATTGCGCATTGTTTGGAACGTGACGATTTTCTTTCACATTTTCGTGTAAGTTGATCACTCATTCATATCTTTCCTTCACGCTTCAGGGCTGCACGAATGGAAAGCAACTCGGAAACAGGAAGGATCCACTGCAGTAAAACAACAGCAGACCTTCTTGTTGAGGGAGGGAAACAATTGTGGTTGACGGAACGAGCCGACAAGATTGTAGCTAAAGGAAAGGGGGAGATGACAACATACTTTATAGAGGTTCCGTTCGGGGTTCCCTCATCCGACTAGAAATAAATGCAACGGATGCATGGCTTCGGGCTTCCTTCCATTAGAAACATTATCCATTTTCCTTCCAAGATATACTGTAACGTCCAATCGTAGCACAAAGTATGGCTTTGTTGCAAAAAAGCTTCATCGAATGCTTGCTGTAATATAAGTATTGCAACTTGCAACACCATAAGAGTACTCAAAATATTCGTCATAGTTTGTTCCGTATTACGGCGCATTTGAGCGCGCGCAGCCGCACGAATGAATAATTTGACCTTCATCCATGATTCATTCGACCTGATGCATTGTGGACATACATACAGACTGGACGCGAACCCAAGATCTTTTCGCATCGCTTCTTTTTTCTGGTGTCACCGAATCCAATCAATCCAATCTGCCCGAAGAGAAGATATTTTGGTCGGAATCGGCAGACCAGATGAAATTACGTCAAAAGCGACACAGACGTTTGAAGGAGTCGAAGAAAGCGTTACACCACAGCTTTTACAACTTCTTGACTTTAGCACATAAATTCTAACAGCGACATTCAGCACGGATATACAATGAAGTTCTCCAGTGCCCTTCTCTTCTTGGCTTCCTCTTCCACAGCCTTTGGATTCTCACCGTCGTCGTCGACGACATCTTTTGCTTCTCCCCAATCAGCACTTTTTGCCTCGTACAAGGTTTTCATCGATGGTGAAGCTGGTACTACCGGTCTTCAAGTCCGAGAGCGATTGGAAAAGCGTGAAGATTTGGAAATCATCTCGGCACCCTTTGAATTGAGAAAGGATGAAGATACTCGCAAGTCACTCATCAATGAAGCCGACGCAGTCATTCTCTGCCTTCCAGATGCGGCATCTATTGAAGCTGCTTCTTGGGTCGAAGCCGACAATGATCGCACTGTGATCATCGATGCTTCAACTGCTTTCCGTGTCGATAAGGACTGGGACTATGGATTTCCAGGTAGGTTATTTCTCCTGTGGACCACTGAGTTTCTTAGATTTTGTATTTACGTTCGGATTCATTCATTCATTCGTCGACTCACCCCATTCATTCATCACAACTCTCTCAACTTTCACAGAACTCAGCAAGGAACAATACACAAGCTTGACCAAGAGTAAGCGCATTGCCAACCCTGGGTGCTACCCAACTGGATTCATTGGCTTGACTCGTCCTTTGGTCGACGCTGGAATCATCCCCAAGGGAACTCCATTGACGGTCAATGCCATTAGTGGATATTCGGGCGGTGGTAAGGGACTCATGGAAATTTTCGAGGGCGAAGACCACGAACCATGGAGTGGATACGGCTTTTCATTGGCCCACAAGCATTTGCCCGAAATGGCCGAATATTCCCTATTGGGCAAGAAGCCAATCTTTCAACCACAAATTGGTAGCTTTCCCCAAGGTATGGTCGTTCACGTCCCACTTCACTATGAATGGTTGAAGGCTGGAACAACCGGACAAGACATTCATGATGCCCTTACCAAGCACTACGAAGGCAGCAAATTTGTTTCCGTGATGCCCCTTGGAGAAGGGGCTGTCAAGGAAGCCGGTCTTTTGGAACGTGGTGGATTCTTGCGACCAGATACACTGGCCAACACGAACAAGATGGAACTATTTGTTTTCCCCAATGATGATTCCGGTGCCGTGCTACTGTGCGCTCGTCTCGACAACCTTGGAAAGGGAGCTAGTGGAGCGGCTGTGCAAAACTTGAATATTGCTTTGGGCATTGACGAAACTACCGGCCTTTAAATATATTTGTTAAATAGCCTACAGTAAATATAGACGCATTCATATACAAACTCATAATCTTGATGATACTAAAATAGCGTATATTTACTTGAGACAGCTAGTACATCAGATGCCGCAAGATGATGTAATACTATGACTATGACAATGACAATCTGGAATCTTCAATGGACTGCAGCCGTATTTCAAAGACTTCCTCAATAGCACCCTTCATAACCTGAGCAAATTCACTCACGGTGATGGGTTCGTCTAGAAATTGATTGATGCATCCAACCTTTCGTCCCTCCAATCCACAGGGAACAATGCCTTTGAAATTTTCCAAGCTCGATGCTTCTACATTCACAGCCAGTCCATGCATAGTAATCCACCTCTTTACCTTGACTCCACACGCGGCTACCTTGTAATTGTCCACCCACACTCCCGTCACATCCTCTTGTCGTTCTGCTCGATCCAGCCCCACTTTGGAGAGCGCCAAAAGAATGGCTTCTTCCAAGGCCCGCATATACCAATGAATGTCTTGGTGGTAGCCCCGCAAGTCCAAGACTGGATACACGGTAAGTTGCCCAGGACCATGATAAGTGACTTCTCCTCCCCGATCCATGCGTACCGTGGGAACAGCAGCAGAAGAAGGACTCGTTTCTTGTTGTTGTTGTTGTTGTAGACCCAGAACGAATTTTTCGTCGGATCCAGTACCCAAGGTATAGACCGGTTCATGTTGTAGCATAATGACAGTGTCTGCTCCCCTTACATTTATGGAATCCGTGGGAGAAAGAAACTGAATACTAGTACTGCTTGAAGAATCCTCTGGAGTATTCGTCAGACGTTCAATATGCCCTTCCAGAATGTCCTTTTGCCAATCCCACGCTGTCTCGAATGGAACATATGGTGCCTCATCGGAAGAATAGTCCACCAACGCCACATTACGTTGGGATATTATGGATTCGTCCAGTGCCAAGACTTCAAAGCTTCCCAACTGCTGAGGTCCCAAGAATATAGCCGAAGAAGAGGTTGACATTATTGATGGCCATGATGATCTTGTTTGTAATGATGATGGAAGTGAGCTTTTCGTCGAAAAACTTGGTACCCAAGCATCACTGAAGCTGTCGATGTGAAGCAAATAGAACAATATAAGAAGTGATATCATTATTATTCTTGCGTTATGGACACACCTCCACGGAAGCGACAAAGGATCTTGCACCTCTGTGCATCTGATGTGTTGATGGTTGATGTGTGGTTGTGTTGTCCCCCGTTCTATATCCCCCTAATATTACAAGATTTAGGGGAAGATTTGCCACCGATAATGACAACAACGAAGTGAAACTGCGTCAGAACACAGAATTTACGATGGCAATCATCTGGGTAAACTATCACTTGCACATCTAAACCTAAACCTTCACTGCCATTATCAACAAAGATACAATGAGATCATCGATCGTTGCTGCAAGAATTTTCCAAAGATGCGAGAAACGCTTTCCTCTGCAGCTAGGAATAACGCAATCGCAACATTGTTCCATGCAACAGCGGAACATTGTCAGCACTCCAAATGCCGCGAAAACCTTGTTGGGGATCAACCAAGATGTCAAACCTACTGTGAAAGAACTTCGACATGCCTATTTTGAAATGGCCAAAAAATGTCACCCTGATGTCCAAGAGCAGTCTGGAGAGGATGGAGACGCCGTCGTAGATTTCTTGGAATTGACAGAAGCCTATGAATACTTGTTACACAATAAGAATCATCATCGACAAGACGGAAACATTGTAATCTCCTTGGACGAAGAAGAGGCTTATCGCCAGGCTTGCGTAGCGGTCCTTGGTATTCCCGCCGAAATTGTGGAGGAATCCAAGCAGAATCCCATGTTCCGGCATTGGCTGGGTGGAAACACAGATGGTGCCCAGCATTGGAGGAGCTTCTTGTCTGTTCACGGTGGGTTGGCGCAACGATTGCGTCCTCCAGCTGGCTATATTGAAGGTGGCGAGAATGGTGGAGCACCCGCATCAAGGAGGAGACGAAAGAGATGATATAGTCTTGTGGTGGTGCGTTGTTGTTGCTCACTTGCTTCACTCCTTGTTGAAGCACTTTCAATTCGCGGAGACGAGATGCGAACCAAAAGAAACCTGTTGTCGAAGAAAAAAACTTCGTTCTACAGTACATGCGCGCTCACTTTCACAAGCTGATCTGAATCAGACATGAATCTCCTCGGCGACCAGAAAAAGGGATTATTCTCGAAGGCATGACTATCACTGGACCCCCATTGAAGCACAAATTGGTGGCTCACCCAGAGCGTATACTGTATAGAAGACAATGCCGCGTCATACTATATACTAAGGGCCTTTCCTCCTGGTTTGGTCGTCAAGGGTTTGTGGTATAATAATGAAATATGAATTCGGATTCGTTCCAATCTTCTGAAAACAATGCGTTGACAGTAAGCGTTCTTGCCCATTACTTCCCAGTACTCGTTTCAGTTTCAAGTTGTCTTTTGTTCCAAGAAGCTGCCGTTTCTTGTGAAGAATTGGTTCAAACAGTGCTCGTGATGAGTGGAATTTACTCTTAATGACCTATCCGACTACAATTCTCAAAATACTTTTCTCTCCAACAATCATGACAAGAGGTAGTGGCTTCCATTTCATTGCTGATTGCAAACTTCATTTCCGAACCACTTGGCCAAATTCCTTCTTCTGAAAACATTGGGAAACGCATGACTAGCTTTAGTGGATAGTGAAATCTGTTCCTCTCTCCAAGAAGCGACAGAAAGGGTTCCGAGAAGAACTCCTCCACCAAAGATAGATGATCACCATGTCCCACCCTTCGCCGAAACGGCAAACGACTGGCGACGCCAGATGCAACCATATCGTATATGTTTACAGAGGGCAGGCCACGAAGACTATTCCTACAAATGTTACCCATTTGGCCACCTGCCCTCGTGAGAAGAGAACCAAAGACAATTTTTCCAAGCGCTTTCCAAAGCCTCCAAAGGGTTTCCATACCAAAGGTAGTGGAAACGATTGGCAACTTTGCCTTCAGAAATAGTAAATGTCTAATTGAGGTTCACCTTTATGCCGACGGACTGAAGACAATTGGAAAGGCTTCATTTTTTAACTGCGTGAATTTCACGGCCCAAGAGCGCACTTTCCTTGGGCGTACCTCTCTCCGCGTATATATTCATTCCAGTAACTGTTGAAATGATTGGTAAAGAATCCTTTTGTGGTTTTCATTCCTCGTGGACGTATATCTTCCACAAGGGTTGCAGGGCATCGGTCCCTTCGCATTTTGCGATTGCCGGTTGCTCGTCAATGTTGAACTTCCACGATTCCAGCCAATAACAGTGGAAACCATCGAAATGGCAACCTTCTGTGACTGCGAAGGTTGGTCGATGTGTAGCTTCCTGAAGGACTAAGATCGATTGGAACGGATTCCTTTGCTAGTTGTTGGAATATGATTGGCATTGTATTGCCATTCTTTCTAGTGACGATTATTGCAAAATGTCAAGCTTCCTTCCCATGGGATGCTTTCGATTGCCCATGACTTTTTTACTCATTACATTTTGTTGGTAAATATTTTGGTTCCAGTTTCACTATTCAACACGGCGCCTTATTGTTACTGTGCATTCTATGAATGCCCTATACTCGGAGAGAACGGTGAAAGTGTTGACTATCGCTCTACAAGAGCGATTTTCTCATCTTTCTGTGCACGAGGTATGTTACCACGGTTCGCGTACATCCGTTGAGACTCTTAGGCAAGTCTAGATCTTCGCTTGGATGATGGTTTTGAATGGGAAGATGCTTTTGGCATGACTCCACTCCATATTTTTGCGACTAGTTCAAACCTAGACACCGATATCTGGGAATGTCTACTAGACAAGTGTCTTCCTGAGGAGATTCTCTGGCGCAATGACATGCCCGGAAAGACTGCGCTATACTATCTGATATATCATGGATTGGAAAAGGCAGTGGCTTCAGTACGTATACCGACCGAGATATCCTGGTGGGGATTTGGAAGGGAATGGAGTACACAACTTTCCGATGTTCTTGACTTGATGCCATACAATACAATCGGGTATAATCGATCAGATTGGATCGATTCTGCAATGTAGATGACCTTGCGACGAAAGTGGGATTCTACACAAGATTGGAAATGACATCGCTGATATAGCTAGCATTATGGACGATGAAGGCAAAGAGTGCGGTATCAGAACTCTGTTTGGAGACTGGTGACACTCATGGTGGGAAGGATTGCCGGTACAGCTGTGGATCTGATGCTGTGATCGCAAACATTTCGAGGTTCTTGTGGCATGACCAATCAAATCATGAAAGGACTTATACACTGTTTCCTTTCATCAATATTTTAGATCAGTATCGGGCGAGTGGCATGTAACCATGAAACTTTTTCGTTCTAAATTTTAATTTTAACAGAAAGTGCAAGACAGCGATGGTCAACTTGGCTGGAACCGAATCAATCGGGATAGAGTGGTTCAGTTCGATGCGTCTTCTCCACCATCCGCTATTTCATCTTGTCGCGGACTTCAGCCCTCCTTTTCGTTGCTGATTTTGACTCGGCTTCGACAACAACTCGTTACATTTAGAAGAAAAATGAGATATCATATGTTTTACTACATAGAAAAGTCTCAAGAAGGACCAGGCTGGGATTTCCATGAAGATGACTCGGCTCTCCTATCAGCAGCATCGAAAACCATGTCAAAAATCCTCAAGCGTCAAGATAATTTGAGAGAATCATGACTGTGCATCGAAAGACCAGGCCTCGCGCATTTGGACGAAATCAGCCACGCGGCGGTGACCACCACACAAAAGCATCAGATCCTACCACCTACACTGTACGGTACAGTATAATTTGGCAAAGTGTCTTTGGCCATGCACAAAGAGCCATCAGTATTCGATCGAAGGTACTGGCGGATTATGAAGCCACCGAGCAGTAGCACCACAGTATACAGCACAGTAGCCACTGGTTTCTACATTATGCATTGCTCATTTGTTTAACGACTCTGTTACTGTGAGAGAAGAATTCAGAATAATTACACGTCATCTGCTGATATCATCTCAACGAAATAATGACGTCCTCTTCTTTCCCGCTATTTCGACTCGACGACTTGAGTTGTTAATAAACTTGAGTGAACGATGATTCCGAAAAGAAGTTTGGTGTGAATCACGGATTGGCATGAGCAACATTATATAATATATTCGTTTTAATTAATAAAAGGCACTCCTCGTGGTAACATTTAACCAAAAGAGTGTTTACGATAAAAGAGTATGTCATTGGAGACGAACTTTTGTGTGCGTACCTGGTACCACGTAAGCTTCTGAGCCTGTAAAAAGCGTGAGAAATGGCGTTTGGGTAAAGCTCGCAGAAAGCTTTGACGAAAGGTTTTCCACTCGTTGCCTCTTATCTCATGTGAAAACAAGAAGTCATGTCGGGCAAAGGAGAGCCTTCTGTATCCAAGAAGGAAACGTCGGAACTTCGATCCGAAGATCGTGAAGCAAAACACCGTGCAAAACAATCGGGTGCTTCCAAGGGTGATTCGGGGGGAGGCAAGGAACGGTCCTCAAAGCGCCATGGAAGCGACGAAAAGTCGACCAAGCGTCGCACAAAAAGCTCCGGTACATCGACCAAGCGTCGCACAAAAGGCTCCGGTGCATCGACCCCTGGAGCAACCTACGAAAGGTCTGAGCGAATGCCTGGATCCCCTCGAGATTCCAAGAGGAAGGACAAGCGTCGATCAGGAGATAGGGCGACCAAACCAGGCGCAACATCTGAACGATCATCTGGATCATCTAAAGATGCTAAGAGGCACGAGCCACGAAGAAATGGGAATCGTCCAGGAGCAGCGGAAGTCGATATCAGCTCGGCGGATACAAAAGCTGATCGAAAAGCAAGGCGAGAAAACGAGACACGTCCTCGACCTTCAGAGTCTGTTTCGAATGGGAAATCTCATGAAGATATTACTGAGACATCAATGTCATCGTCTTTCCATGCTGCAAATGGGACTTTTACCCTGACTGCATCGCGTGTTCCTGACGGCAGCGGTGAAGAAGCGAATGCTGGAATCATCCAGGAACACTCTGGACAAACCAATGGGACTACCAAGCCAAAGGATCAAGCCAAACAGTCTTCAAAGAAGAAATGGGTATGCCTGGCAGCGTTCGTCGTCCTTGTTGGTGGTGGAGTTGGTGCTTACTTTGGAACAAGATCATCGTCTTCTCCCGGTGATTCATCTTCTTTTGGTGATGCCGGCACCATTCCTCTTTCCGCAGAAACCGATTTGCCATCTGGATCCCCCACTGTGTTTGGCCCACCTTCTCCAGAAGACTGCCAAGCCATCGCCGAACAGCAACCTATTCCTGGACAAGCAAGTCTGCCAAATCAAACCTACTATGTCGATCTCGACGTGGATCCCAAGTCTACATTCAACGTTGGTTCGGTTTTTGCAGGCTATGTCCAGGAGGCGATTCAGTCCGAAATTGTTCCAGAACTTGTCGGGTGCAAAGCATCTGCAAGAAAGCTGATCAGATCTCCAGGAATGACAAGTTTATATCGCAACCTTGACGATGATTTGGAGTATATTATTCGGAATGCGGCTTCTGATGCTGCTATTGGTGGAGTTTGTATTGAGGGCTCCGATGCCTCTTGCCAACGAATCATTGTTACACTCGTTGTTACGCTGCGAGACGAAGGCGTCAGAAACCTGGATGTGGTTACCAGAATTGATGACTCGTTCAATGATGAAATTTCCCTGGTGGATAAGCTTGGATTGAGTACCGTTTCCACAGACATCCGATTTGTTGCTCTGAGGTCGGACGACAACGACAACGCTATTAGTCCATCCCCGGTACCTTCTGCGTCTACAACAAAAACGCCAACAACTGGGGCGCCCACTTTTTCTCCATTCCCAACAAGTGCTCCAAGATTCCCTCCTACAGCTTCACCACTGGTAGACCCAACTCCTCCGCCAACAGCAGAGGCAACACGTTCTCCAACGTTGGTACCAACTTTGGCCCCAGTAGTAGGTCCAACTCCGCCACCAGCACCAGAGCCAACTCCAGAACCTACTCGTTCTCCAACATTGCTACCAACTTTGGCCCCAGTAGCAGGTCCAAGTCGCCCACCAACACCAGAGCCAACTCGGGAACCAACGCCCGAACCAACGCCCGAACCAACACCTGAACCAACTCCAATCCCATCATCTGAACCATCCCTAACCCCAACATCTGAACCAACTCCAACCCCAACAGCTCCACCCTCATCTTCGCCGACTCCAGGACCTACACCGCCTCCAACACCAAATCCAACTGCCATGCCAACACCACAGCCAACACCAGTACTTACACCCAATCCTACGACTCCGCCTCCTACATTGATTCAAAATGGAGGAGCTTGTAGCTTTGATACCTCATGTCAAAGTGGCCATTGCGGTGGAGACTTTACATGTAGCGATATGAAGGACATTGGAGAGGTTTGCTTCGAAGACGACGACTGTGTGAGTGGCCGTTGTGCCACTGAATTCCCTTTCCGATGCCGTGAGAAGATTCCGAATGGCGAGCGATGTGGCGAAAATGACGATTGTGTGAGCGGTAGATGCAGCATTTACTGGACTGGCTTTTATTGTGACTAGTGAAGTGTCTTGTCCAAAGAAATTCACATTCATGCTCCACCGATAGGGTTGTGTACTCGAATTGTTTTTAGGTTGCATATTTTATTTTACTTCAGTTCTCCTAGTCGTAGTCCTACCAACGATGATGTCGGCGTCGATGCTTCAGTACCAGTAGTAATAGGAGGATAAAGATTAGAAGGATGAGCGAGAGAATGCACTTCATGGGCCGGGCATTCTTTTGCTGTTTTTCTGCCTTTTCGAGTTGAGTAATACCGGTCTTGGTGTGTTCCACTACGGCTTCCATATTGTAATCAATGCGATCCAATATGGTTCCCTGATCAATTACCAAGACCGCCAGTTCCTTGAAAATGGTGCCCAGCTCTTCGATACTCTGTGCAATTTTGGAAATCTCTTCGTCCCGAGATTGAATAGCTGATTGCAAATCGTCCACCACTTGTACTTGTTGGCTGGTAAAGAAACTGTTCTCGCCTCCACCTTCATCCAAGCTGATACCAAATTTGGAATCACCCACCATGTCTCCATTCTTTTGTGCCTGCACCTCTGCCAAGTATTTGCGCTGTGAAGTCCGAAAGGATACAGACAGCTCTTGCAGCTGTTTGGCGAGACTTCTCTGAACATTGGCTCCAATAGCAGCCTCCTCACCTCCCGCATTCCGAGTCGAAGTCCCCACTTTTTTCAAGGTTCGTTCGGCATCTCGAAAGCGATTGGTAACCTCACGAGTCATGATTTCAATGCGTCCTTCCATGTGATCCAAGTCCTTGCCAAATACAGATCCTACTCTTGAAGCGTGCATGGATTGTAATTCTCCCATTTGGCGCTTAATTTCTGCCAAGACTTCCTTGACGCTGTCCACATCCCGAACCCAAGAAGGCGGGCGCTTGTTGAGGGAAGACATTTCAATACCATTGGAGGCGTCTCCATTGGCTCCTTCGCTCCCTTCTTCCAGCAGCATCAATGCATGATCTGAGCCACCAGCTGTTAGAGGAACCGACTGCGAGTCTCTGTCTCCACGACGCCGACGGGCATTGGCACGCCGTTGCATAAAGGATGCTGTCAAGTCACGTGATGCCATGTTGAATCAATTTTGTTGTGTTGTGCTGCTGTCTTGTCTTGCTATCAATTCGCTTGTGCTTTGAGCTTTCGATCCAGTAGCCCTAATTTTTCTCTTAGATTGAGATAAGTGCAGGTTCTCTAGTGTAGCTGCTTGTCTCTGCAACACAGTCTAATCGTAATCGGTTGCGTCAATGAGCGAGATGAACAAAAACTGTGTCATTGCCAAGACTCACGGTCTTTCAATTTTTTTTGTCATTTTGAGTCTGACTAGTCGATTGATTCGATGACTCAGACGACTAGTGTCCATCAAATCCAAAACCAAACTCCAAACTGCAACAATAGCTACCGGTACCTATACCACTTCTGTAGATTGCTGTGACGCCGATAAAAGTAGCCAGGGGTTAGAGTGCGCGTTAGCAGGGGATAACAGCAAGAAGGGAGAGATATGATGAGCAGAGTGCTTGCCTTGCTATTGTCATTGGCGTTTTGTTATGGAACAAGCAGTGCCTTTTACATTAATTCCAAGAAAGGAATGACGAACGCTTCATACCAGAATGGATATCCGATGCGCCCCACCAATACGCCTTCCATCCTAGCGAAACGACAGCAAAAGATTGCCCTCATTGCCAATGTTCTAGAAAGCAGCAGCTTGATGATGGCCAAAGATCCACCCGATGGTGATGAGGAGGAGGAAAGCGATTCTTGGTTGTGGATTCCAACTTTGGTATTACCACTTCAACTCGTCTACATCTCCAACCAATGGAGTAGATCTTCACTGTACTACTTGGTCAACTTTTCGCAGGATGCAACCCCAGAACGTGCTATGAACTTGGACATTGGGTTCAGCCAAGCCCAATATGGATTGTTGGCGTCCTTGGCGTTTACCTCCCTCTTTGCCATTGCTTCCTTGGGCGCGGGAATAGCATCCGACAAGTACAATCGAAAACAATTGACTGTCTTGGCCACGATTGGTTGGAGCGTGGCAACGCTGGGAACGGCATTCTCCACTGATTATACCCAAGTTTTGGTATGCCGGGTACTAATGGGGTTGGCGTGTGCCTTTGCTACACCAACGGCGTATACACTCATCAACGACCGTGTCCCAAAGGATCGAACATCATTGGCGACTTCGTTGTATGGAACGGGAGGTAAGTTGAAGTCGGCGATTGCAATTCGACTGCTTGAATATTTGTTGCACCGATAAATGGACTGCTCAAACTTTGTGCTTTCAAAATTATAGTTGCATTCGGAGGGGCATTGGCATCGCTCTCCATCCTTTTGGCCAACCAAATTGGCTGGAAAGATACTACCATTGCCATCAGCGTTGCTGGGTTTGCTTCCGCTGGCTTGTCGGCAGTTTTGCTGAAAGATGACAAAAAGAATGACCCTGTCAGCCTATCGGAAACGAACGACGAAGAGGATGGATTCAGTGGTTTTGTCGACGATATTGGGGATATTTTGAAATCTCCACGTGCGAGGTGGATCTACTTGGCCAGTTTTCTTCGCTTTTCTTCTGGATTGTGCATTGGAGTTTGGTCGGCACCCTATTTTAAACTTGCGTTCCCTGACAATTCTTCCGATTATGCTGTCGCCCAAGCATTGATCACAGCAGTTGCTGGATCTGCAAGTGGCTTGCTCGGAGGCTATGTGGCAGACCAGTTGGGTTCAGACTCGAAAACCAATGGAGACGACAGCGATAAGAATGCCCTAGCTTCCAAGCTGTTGGTCCCAGTAGTTGGTTCAGCTCTGGCAGCCCCAGCATGGTACTTTGCCGTCCATTCCACTGATTCCTTTCAAACAGCCATGATCTGGTTGTCAGTAGAGTACTTCATTGCGGAATCCTGGTTCGGTCCCACCATCAGTACTTTGCTGGGCACAGTGACGAAAGGAGGCACCGCACAAGGTCTGTTTACCCTCACAGGAGCAGTGGCCAATCTAGCACCTACGCTGTTGGGTGTGCTCTACACTAACACTATCAGCCAAGGTAGCGGTTCGGAATCCTCGGCAGAGCTGCTTCAATGGCTCTCTCCAGCTGTTTGCCTTGGTTACGTGTTGAGCGCTGTGTGCTTTGCAATCAGTGCCCAGGCACCAGCCACAAGTGAAAATGAAGCAAACGCCTTGTAGCTCAAATGCTAGCTAAGTAATGCATGATAGAAGCATAGACATTTATTCAGCTCTTTGTTTTTCCTTTCACCATTACTATCATTGCTGCCAACGTTGGGCTCAAGCCCACACTCCGCAAAACCAATGGATAGATTGCCTTTTTGTTGCCACTCACATGCCAATGCTCCGATCTCTCTGATGACCACGTCATCTTTCTCGCAGAGCGCAAACAATTGAAGGAAGAAATCAAGAATTGAAAGATTCCACATGTGAAGGGGAAATCAGAAAGGACGTCGACGAACATCTTCTCCAGTCTTATACTGTTAATCATTCCGGCTTGGAGTTGGCATCATGGGAAACCCTAAAGCACCTCCAAAATTGCTTGAAAAATCCAATAATTTGCGAAGAAGTAAGGGCCCAGCAAATCCTAAGGAAAAAAGATTCACGATGAAGTAGCTGCCGTCTCTTCTTCCTCGGGTTTGGCCATTGCCACTAGCTCTTCAGGCGAAGTTTCATGTGAAGAATGATCTTCAGCTTCATTTTTCGACTCTTCGTCTTTCTGGTCCGGCTCTTCAACTTGGATGTTTTCCGGCTCGTCGACTTCATTGTTTGAATCTTCGACCTCACCAACAATCTCTGGGTGAAGAGGCGCTTCAGGCTTGAGCAAAGCCACTAGACGATTCTGGACATTTGCAGCACAATAAGTTGCCTCTGATTCTAGACCATTTCCCTTTGAAAAGTCTTTGCCGTTGGTCTTCAGGAACAGGTGAAGCGACCGTCGAGTCGTCGCCAAAAGTAGCAGTCTGTCGCCATCCTCATCCCTTTGAAGCAGAATACCGTGTACGGAATATGGAAGTTGACATTCCCAAACTTTTACGTAGCGATTCTTGATCCTAGTACATAAGATGCAGCGCCCTCCATGCGTTCCAACAGCAATAATGTTGTCGAAACTGTTGACTACGACAACCGAGTCGGCAGATTCAATGGCTTGGTTGTGTAGGCCTTCTACAACCATTTTGGGACCATCCCATTGATTCGGCCCATGCGATTCGGTTCGAGACAGAAGACACACATATCCACACAAGGAGCCAACAAATACATTGAGAGTACCAAGCGACTCTTGAACTCGAACAGTCAGTATCGGACCGTCCACGATAACTTGATAGAAGCCCATTTCCTCAAAGGCGTCTCCCTTCCACGTGATCAATTTTATGGTACCATCTTGGCACGCTACTGCCAAAACCTCCAAAGATTGTGTTGAAGCGAAATCAATCGCCAAGACTGAAGTCTTGAAGGCGAGGACTTCGCTAGGAAGTGACATGACAAGATCTAGTGTCCCATTTGCCCGGTTTGGCATGTACAGCCGTAGTTGCGAGTCGTCTGCACTCCCCAGCCAAACTCCCATGGAAATATCTCCCCAGCAAGCTAAGCAGGGAGACAGAGGACGAAATCCCGTCAGAACTGCCGTGTATTCAGCCTCAGGTGTTGTCAAGACGAGACGACCATCCATCTTTTCTGGCTCAGAGGAAGACTGATTTTCATTTGATTTGGATTCGGTATTTAGAGACGATGCATTGCTCTTGGATTGCGGATCAGTTCCGATCGACTTGGTACTAACGACCGACGCACCACCAGCAGGGACAGAATTGGAAACGACCGAGGCATCCGCATCGTCCCGATCCAATGGCCGGCTCAAAGTAGGCTCATCAGATTCCACCGGCAATCGTGAAGGATTCAAAAAGACGCTTGTATTATGATCATTATCCCATTGCGAGTGACCGACACAAATAAAATTGGAACGGATTGCTTCACTGGAGACTCTTTTAATTCCATGCTTGTAGTCAATATGAACCCCAAGAAGATTGCTTTCGGTCGCTAGTCGAATGGTGTTACATTCTCCGTTCCGAGCCCCAGAGTAACACGTCGTCGGTGTGGTCATCGGAGACATGACCTCTTGGAACTCCATCTTTGTGATCCGAATGATCTGTAATCCGACAACAAAGTGATATTTAGATGTTGATCATTATTTTATTGAATGCAGGTTGGGATCTGGATCTAAACGGACTGTCCGGGTTTGCGTCCGTAATGCCCGCTTTGGAAACGGTACGATACTTGATACCAGAAAATAATGACTCATCACAACGACGACAACGAACCAGACTTCTGTGATGGCAGAGCAACGTACAAGACTTCCACCGCATAGTATATGCCTCGATGAAGCTCAGAGGTCTCCTTGGATTCACGCTACTGTCAATTAATTCTACTGCTCAATCCCTATCAATGCCGAAACCAAGGAAGCCGAGAATCGAGGTGTTCTTCAAGGATGAGGCTGACTTGAGAAGTCGGATACAGTTTCTTTCTTCAAAAGGCATTTCAGCCTTCAACATTGTGAACAAGAACAATCGGGACACACTTCAGGAATGGCTCACAACCATCCACGAAGAAAATCCCAGTAGTGATGTATGCGTCCATTACAGCGCCAAGTACAACAAATCGAGAAAGCAGGATGGGGCTTTCGATCTATTCAAGACTTTCATGAAGAATATGGATAATATTGAAGGGAAGCACGACGTCTTGTTGATCACTGGATCAGGAGCAAAGGGAAAATTTAATACAGTAAGTGGGCTTCAGAGAATCGAGTCGTCATACAAGACACCAATTGCCGTTGCGTTCAACCCATTCTTCCCGACTGAAGAGGACTTGGAAGCCGAGCGCAAGAGACTGAAGGATAAGCTTGCGACCAAACAAGTGAAGAAAGTATACTTTCAGTTTGGATCAGATCTCCGAAGACTCCAAGATTCTCTGGACTGGTTGGCAACGCTACGGTCCCAGCATCAGTTTGACATTTGTGGTTCAATTTTCCTACCAACTAAGCGGCTCATCTCGCAGCAAAAGTTTCGACCTTGGAACGGCGTTTTCTTGAAAGAGGAATTCCTTGGTTCGGAAGATGGCGCAAAGAGTATTGTTCTGGAAATGATGAAACTTTATGAGATCTATGACTGTGAAATACTGATCGAGGCGCCGGGAGTCAGGAATGAGAAAGATATGCAAATGGTCGAGTCGTTGTTGGCAGAAAGAGATGCCATCGTGTCACCGACTTTGCCAGCCAAAAGAACAGCAAACGAAGAACCGACCACTATTCCAAAGAAAGAGAGCACCAAAATTCGAAAACTCACCAAGCCAATACTCCCTCCAAAGGTTTCCAACGGAGAACTTGAGACGACTTCAGTTGTCTTGTTTGGATCTCACGATGTTCGAGTGCATGATAACGAAGCCTTCCAACACGCAGCAGCTCATGCCAGCGTCATTCCCGTGTTTCTATGGTCTAGGAAACTCCAAGAAAAGTGGGGAGTCACAGGTGCTGCAGAAGTCGTTCTGAAGGACGCCATTCAGAACTTGGACAAGACTCTTCAGAAGAGCGGTTTGAGATTAGTTTGTCGTTCGACCGATTGCCTGGAGGACGAACTTTTGCAGCTATGCGAGAGCTCTAAAGTTAGAACCGTCTACTGGAACACCGAATTTACTCCAGAAGCCAATGCCCGCGAGCAGCGCTTCAAGACCAAGCTTCTGTCGAAGGGAATAAAAGCTATTGAATGCCAGTCTTCTCTCCTTTATGATCCAAATAAACTAAATCTAGCAGGAGGATTCAATGGTGGTCACTGGGGAACATTGATGCCATTCTTGAAGGGGTGCAAGAAACAACTAGGAGAGCCACGGCGTCCAATCAAACGTTCCGAAACCTTTGCACTCTTGCAGCAAGTTACTGGGCCAGATGAGTGGCCAGTATCAACCCCAATCGACAAACTCGACCTAGCAATCATCAAGGGCAAACAGAAGTGGGACAAACCCATTCTCATGAGCTTTCCCATGAGCGAAGACGAGGCAACGCAATGTTTGGAAAGTTTCTTTCGACTTGGTTTCGATCAATACGAGAAGAGTCGAAGTCGGGCAGACATGGACCATTCAACCTCCAAGCTATCAGCTCATCTTCGAATCGGCACTTTGTCTCCGAACGAGTTGTATTATGCAACTGAAGATAGTGGGTTGGCCTTTGAGGAACGCAAGACTTTTTCCCGGCGACTATTCTGGCGTGATTTGGCGTACTATCAACTACTAAACTTCCCGGGCATGCGAACGTACTCCATCCGAAGTCACTATGACAAGACCGAATGGGTGACAGGTGAAGAAGAAAAGAGACGGTTCGAGGCATGGAAATGGGGAAAGACCGGATACCCTCTTGTTGACGCCGGAATGAGGGAATTATACGCCACTGGGTGGATGACACAAAGTGTTCGAATGGTGGTTGCTTCTTTCCTCACAGAATATCTTCGTGTCAATTGGGTCAAAGGATGCGAATGGTTTCACTACACCCTAGTCGATGCAGATTCTGCAATCAATGCGATGATGTGGCAGAATGCAGGACGTAAGTAAGCTCGTGACCTAGGCAGTCAAAAGTGTTAATAGTGCACTTATTGTTTACTTTATCCGCATACATGTGGTACAGGTTCGGGTACCGATCAATGGAACTTTGTCATGTCACCAGTCGCTGCATCGCAAGACGGGAGTGGAAGCTACACCAAGAGGTGGGTACCAGAGCTCAAGAAGCTCGCCAAACCAGTGTTACACAGGCCATGGGAAGCACCGCCTGAAGTTTTGAAGCAGGCAGGTGTTGTTCTTGGCAAGACGTATCCTCGTCGCATCGTCGTTGACCTTGCCAAAGAACGACAAAAGACAGTGAGCAGTGTTCTCAAGATGAGAAACGAAAACCAAAAGTTCAACAACAAGAATGGATACGATTTGATCACACTCCCCAACAAGCAGCAAACAGTCGTCTTTACAAAGAGAGAGTACAGGATAGATGAAAGCGGGAAGGTCATGAAGGGAAATCTTGTCAAGAAGACAGACAATGGCAAGAAACGAAAGACCAATACGAAGAACACGAAGGTTGGCCGTGGAAATTCCAGTAAAAAAGCCGGAAGCGAACCAGAACAAGATTCCAGTGTATTTTGGCAGCAGTCTCTTGGTTTGAGGCCATATTCCTGATGCCAGAAAAAAAGCGCTGGCTAGAGCAGTAGAGAGAGTTCGAAAAGATGTTTGATTAGAAGATATTGCATTCCGAAAGTCTGCAACACAGTTGTAGATCCGATAACTTCATCATGTATTCATCTTCTTTCAACCTTGACTTTTATTGATATTGTAACCGGCTGGAATAGCACGATGACTGATTCTCCAAGAAGGCTAGGAGTCAGTACTGCTGGTAGCTAGTCGTCACTCGATCGAGAACTGGATCTGTTCTTTACGTCCCATTTTAACAGAACTGATTGAACGATAATTTGACACTATTTTCGACCATCAGCGATACATTATTGTTGACTGTATTTCGACGAAAATCACCTTGCCAGCATTATAGAATGTGCCCCCATTGGAGTACACACCAGCGCACTATTCACTTTCTGTCGGAAACCCCAGGATCAAACCGATCGTACGAATACCAGTGCGATCCAAGAAATTAAAACCTGAGATTCTCATTGCCACCATAGCGTCAATATCTGAAATGACAGCCGCTGGTCGTCGACGGCGCTAGAAGCGATCCTGCATGGCCTCCTCATGACATTAAAAAGGATGTGTCTATACAGTGCGTCGAAGGATGTGCAACAGTTGTCGTCACAGTGTGCACAGTAAGCTGGACCGAGTTGCCAAACCACAGGGAACAACACTCTATTCTGCAATCTAAATGTGACAGTTGGTGAGGACACCACCTCATCGCTCTCTGCTAGCTAGACGCCATTCCACTGCCAACCTATTGACGACGTCTACAGGATCCACAAAACCACAATCTGATCATCTCATCATCACCACCATGCCCCCATCATCAGGTATCACCAGTATTGGAGGTTGGAGGTTGAAGGGGCTGCTCATTGTGATACTTTCACGTCCTCCTTATGATATAGTATTAACAAGCATGTGCGTGTGTAGCGTAGCATAGCTTTTGTTCAAATAATTCTCATGTTGCGCACAGTATGAAGGATCCGGTTCCCAAACCACAGGGCCCATTACTCAGTACAATTCATTTTGAATGTGATAGTGGGAGACAACACGCTAGAGTGACGAGATAGTCTCTCTTCGTCCGCATTTCGTTGCACTCAGTGTAGTTTGAGGAAATACCCACGTCATCGTCTCCAGAGCTTGGGCGAACGTCTGCAACTTTGAAGATTTTCTGACGTGGGTGTTGATTCGTTGACGTCTTCTTCATTTTCTCGTTTTTTACGATACGACGATTTGACGTAGAATCTACGACCAAAACCAGGAATTTGACGTCACAGTTTCGCGTAGGCCGCAAATCCATTACTTCGAGCGAGTCTCTACAAAAGGGGATTTATTGGGGGATGACGATGCGATCGGTGACGCTCTCCGCATCAATTGGGGGTGTGACCATTTTGATCGGGTTTAGTAATGTTATTATAACATCATAGGGAAGAATAAGATGTTCGTGTCTTTCTCAATTCTCGAGTTTCCCACATCTTCTTTTGTCAAAATCAACCGTCTTTTTATTCTCATAAAATTCTCTCGCGGAGATATCAAAATACCCTTCGATATCTTCCAGTAAGTTGCAACAATGCCAGGATTCAGTTACAGGCAACCACTTGCTCGAAGAAACCCTCCAGCTGAGCCAAGCACAGATGATGAAGACAACTCGACTGTCGAAAACCATGGAGATGATGGGAAGCCAAAAACATTTGGCCGAGGAATCATCGCTGATTTCAAGCGCACCATTGGAACCCATTGGGTGCAGGAAATGACCAATTTCAACACCAAGACAGTTGCTGTCTCTTTCTTCTTGTTCATTGCTGTAATTGCTCCAACTATCACATTCGGAGCAGTGTACGCAAAAGCCACAAACAACTATATTGGTGCGGTGGAGCTTCTTTTGGCCACCGCATGGTGTGGGATCTTCTACTCTTTGGTTTCTGGACAACCGATGGTAAGTATGTTGGATTGTATCCCAATCGATTGTGATTGGCCTGGCTTCTAAATATTGTATTGTTCTTCACCACGACACTGACAGATGATCAATGGTGGTACTGGACCCGTCTTGACCTTTCAAGCCGTTTGTTACGATCTTGCTAAACAGCTTGACGTTCCTTTCCTTACATTCAATGCATGGATTGGTATCTGGGTTTGCCTGTACCAAGTTATTGCAGCATTCTTTGACTTCAACAGACTTATCAAAAAGGCTACTCGATTCACAGATGAGACGTTTGCATTGCTCATTGTATCTATTTTCTTGTTGGGAGCAATCGGAAATCCTTCCTCCAAGGTCGGCCTTTTCCACTACTTTGGAACTGATCACCCTCATCACGAAGATATGCTCGAAGAAGATGCCCAATACGATTACATGACTGTTGCTCTTCTCAGTCTCATTTTGGGTCTTGGTACTGCCTTCTTTGCCATTGGACTTCGTCAAATTCGCAGCTCTGCCTTCTGCTGCAGCGACTACGCCCGAACTGTCATTACTGACTTCGCCATTACCATTTCGGTGGTTGTAATGACCGCCTTGAGACACACTGTCTTTGAGGATGTTAAAATTGAAGAGCTCAATGTTCCAGATACTTTCGCCACTTCTTTTTCATGCTGCACTGAAGATTGCCGAGACTACTGGCCAACTGACTGTCCTGATCAAGCTGAACCATGGGGTCGCCGACCATGGATTGTTGATTTGTTCGACCTTAACGGAAACACCGAGGTCATCTTCATCGCCGCCGCACTTGGCATCCCAGCTTTCATCTTGACTTTCTTGGATAACGGTATCACTTGGCACATCGTCAACCACCCAAGCAATAGACTTGCCCACGGAGACGCCTACAACTATGATACAGTGATTTCTGCCATCATGGTCTTGGTTAACTCCTTGATGGGCTTGCCCTGGTTGGTCGCTTCTACTGTCCCATGTATCATGCACATCACGGCCATGCAAGAGAAGGATGACAAGGGCGAAGTCAAATTTATCCAGGAATCTCGTTTGACTGGATTATTTACCCACGGTTTGGTGTTGGCCTGTATCTTTGCTCTCTCCGTCATTAAATTGATCCCTTTGCCCGTTCTATACGGTGTCTTCTTGTTCATGGGATTGGTTGCTTTGCCAGGCCAACAATTCTACCAACGATTCGTGCTTCTTTTCCAACAACCAAGCAAGATCACCAAGAACCACTACACCACGCACGTTCCCATGAACCGCATTCACAAGTACACCATGTTCCAATTCCTCTTCTTCGGTATCGTCTGTGTTGTCCGAGAAATCAAGTCCATCTCGATTGCCTTCCCAGTCATGGTTTTGTTGTGTATTCCAGCACGCTTGTACTTGCACCCCAGATTGTTCTCAAAGGACGAACTGACTCTATTGGATGGATCTCCCGAAGAGATTGAAAAGTGGTTGCTAAAGAATGACCCAGAAGGAGAGGCAATGGACACGCCAAGCAAAAGTGCACAGGTGGAACATATTGCTCAAAATGGACTCAAGATTCCCGACTACTCTGTCAATGAAGAAGTCCAAGACGCGTAAAGCGGGATAATCAAGTCCAAATTTTCCGATAATGCCATCGGCTCACACAGACACGAACAGTTGCGCCATCACAGATACAAGAACAATACTAAGCTCCTTTGGGAGGAGCAATGAAGATAGTTGCGCCGCACGATGTTACTCTAAAAATATATTATTAAGAAATCAATTCCAAATCTATATCTTTGTTCCATTTTTAAAGAAAGTTTGACTGGATGAATACACGAAGTGTAGAGTCAAACTCGATGGATCCATGCTAATCAAAATGACTTAAAAATTTATTTAAAAAAATGATGGTGCTTGCAATGTTGCTCTGAGCCGTTTCAAACTCCAGCAATGTTTTCCACACTGGACATTGAGACAAGCGCATTGAGGCTTTCGTTATCTTGTTCTAGCATGGAATAGCAGCTCTTCCAGTGCTGGAGGCTGTTTGAAAGCTTCTTGTTCTCTTTCTCGAGTGACCTCTCTCTTCGTTGAAGGACATCGATGCACTTTTCTTGTACGATCAGTTTCTTTTCGTTTAGTCGCAGAGTCGTTTCGAGATCGATCCTGTCTTCCAGCTGCTTTCCTTTCGTTCCCAGCTGTGCAATCATTTCTTGAACCTTTTGTATCTCAATAGCACTATTGTACATCAAGAGTGGATTATTCTTGCGCCCTCGAAAGTCAATTTGGTGCTTCGCAACGGTAGGTAGAAAGTTGGTTGCCACCTTCATTCGATTTCTCCAATTTCGAATGGTCTCCAAGGTGGTCCCCCATGCATGCGCAAGCTTTCCTCGCAGCCCGATGCTAACTTGTTGATCAAAGGTGAGAATAATCGACCAAAGGTACTGCTTCACAATCCTATTGGCTGGAATGTCCCCTTTGACGAAGACACTTTTGAGCCAACCACGTTTGAGGTTCGCTCCTTCTTTGAGGAGCTCTTCAAATGCTGTGATGCTCTTTTCTTTGTTGCATACCTCCATACACTCCTGGAATGCAGACTGCACATTGTCTTCATTCAACTCAACAAGAGACGATTCGGAGTACAGACACGATATGGAAGGTGATTTTGGAACAACGCTACGGGCTTGGTCAATTTGCTTTGGAACAACAGAAAGGATATTCAGACTAGGTTGCTTTCGTGGAGCAGGATACGACTGAGTAGGCCAGTAGTATCCCTGGGGATATGTTTCAAAGCCATAATAGTTCCATATTGCATAGTATGGTTGTGATGGATAGGGGTAACCGCCAACAGTGCTTGTCTTGTGTTCCATTCTGCTCGCCGTCTGTGCTAGAGTGCTCTTTTTCGACAAAGCAAAACTCTTTTCAGAGCCATAGACCCCATTTACCCCAGAGACCCCACTTACAGTGCCATGTGGACAGCTTGACCAAACATTAGCCTGGTTTTGGCTGAAACGAGGAACACTGTCATAATATTGCCATGGATTGGGAGTGGGCTTGTTGGAAGGAAACTTGTTCGTGCTTGCAGAGGAGTTGAAATGTAATATTTTGAGCTCATTGGATATGTTTGCCAAAGGAATTCTTAGTTGAGGAGCCGTCATATTGGCAAAGTTTCTGATGAGACAAAATTATTATGTCTCCATACTGTTGTGTTTGTATGTGTTGTTCATCTTGTTGTCGTTACTGTCGTTTGTCGTTATGATGATTTGCACCTCAAAATCTCAACGGAAGGGAACGCACAAAATCTTCAATCCTGAATCCATTACAACTGCACTACTAAAACGTCCGTCCTTGCCTTTTGGGGTGAATGAAAACTGCAGAGGAAATCTTGGCTTCGACCCCAAATGCCTAGGCACTCTTGATGGTCGACTGAAAACCGCTCAAGCAATATAATCTTCGTATCTTTCGTCGATGCTGTGGCAATTCTGTGGATGACGAACCCTCATAATTCTACAATCGATCCAACGTTTAGCACTCCACAAAGTAACTCAATGGACGGTTTAAGCGTACTTGCCACATCCTTCAAGGAAAATGTGGTCGTCAAGAATCGAAAATACCACATGAAGACATACCCTCAATGTTTCGTTGGAAGTGAAGCCGTCGACTATCTCGTGCAGTCTGGAAATGCAGGTAGCCGAGAGGAAGCCGTCAGTATTGGGGAGGCTCTCCAAGCTATGCACCTCTTTGAGCACGTCACTCGTGATCATCAATTCTCTGACAAAACCCTGTTTTACCGTTTCATGGAAGGAGGTGAGCGAGGATCCTTGAAACTTGATGAAAATACGGGCAAGGCAATTGAATGGACTAACTTCTTGGGCCCCGTCGGTCGTGCTGGTGACCAAAGTTTGCAACCAACATTCGATCAAGAAAAGTTGGCATCCATAGATCCAAAGGATCAACACGTCATTTCTACTGTCTGGCCAATGGATGAATTGAACACCGAATTGTTAAATAATGTTCATCCCCCAGACTGGCAAGATCCCAAGGCCACAGAAAGTGACTTGTATGATGTTGTGGTAATTGGTGCCGGTGTCGGTGGATTGATTGCCGCTGGCAGTTCTGCTGGTGTGGGTGGCAAGGTGGCGATGATTGAAGCTCACATGCTCGGTGGCGATTGCCTTAACACTGGATGTGTTCCATCCAAGGCTTTCATTCATTCTGCCAACATGGCCCATGGTTTGAAGAATGATGTTGCCCGTATGGAAGAGGCTGGGGTATTTGTGGATCCGAGTGCTGTGCGAGTCGATTTTGATCAAGTCATGAAGCGGGTGAGAAAGGTTCGATCTCAAATCAGTCATCATGACTCCGCTACTAGATATAGCAAGGATCTGGGAGTTGAAGTGTTCATTGGATACGCCAAATTCACATCTCCAAGAACCGTCGTTGTCAATGGCCAAACGTTGAATTTCAAAAAGGCTGTCATCGCAACTGGTGGATACCCTACCTTAATCCCTATGGAAGGTATGAAGATGTTACACGACAAGGCCACATCCACAGAAATTTGTGATTCGGAACGTCCATTGGTGATGACGAACGAAACTTTCTTCAACATGACAAAGCAACCGACAAACATGGTCACCATTGGAGCTGGTGTAATCGGTATGGAGTTGTCGCAAGCAATGCGACGCCTTGGAACAAAGGTCACCGTGCTTGGACGTTCCGGGAAAGTCTTGCCAAAGGAAGACCAAGACATGGCCGACATTGTCAAGCAACAAATGGTTGATGATGCAGTCGATTTCAAATTGTCTGTCAAGGAATACATCAAGCTCGAGCTCACTGGTAATAGATCTGAATCTGGACTCCCTGAAATGGCCATGACCCTTCTTGAAAAGGATTCTTCAGAACCAATCACACTGATTTGCGATGCCGTTTTGGTGGCCGCTGGACGACGTGCTAATGTCACTGGAATGGACTTGGAGAAGGCCAAGGTAGACTACACTCCTGAAGGCCTTGTGGTGAATGACAAGTTACAAACAACCAACTCGAGAATATTTGGAGTTGGGGACGTTTGCTCCAAGTTCAAGTTCACACATGCAGCCGACTTTATGGCCAGAGCTGTTGTGCGCAACTCGTTGTTCTTTGGCAAGGAGAAGATGTCTGGGTTGTTGATTCCTTATGCAACCTTTACAACTCCTGAAATTGCCAGTGTTGGACTTTACGGCAAAGATTTGGACGAGAAGGGCATTGAATACAAGATTATTGAAAAACACTTCAAAGATAATGATCGAGCCATTTGTGACGACAATACCCAAGGATTTGTCCGATTCCGTGTGGATACCAAAAAAGGTCTTATCCTTGGAGCGAGTATTGTTGGGGAAGGTGCTGCCAATATGATTAGTGAGGTCACTTTGGCTATGCAATCTGGTACAGCACTTAGTACGCTGGCCTCTGTGATCCACCCATACCCAACGACAGCCGAAGTCCTTCGTCAATCCGGAGACTTGCTGAACAAGGAAAAGCTGACTACGAATGTGAAAATTTTGCTGCGCGGAATAGTTCAAATACAAAAATAGAATGCTCCACTATTTGTTGATTCAGTTCTAATGTTTGTGGCAGTGTACCGGTAGGACAACCAGGTTCTGTACTGTAGCGTATTGAATTTATTCCTGTACAATTTTGTCATAATTTGGTCGCGTTTGAAGAACGAGAGAACCCAAACTTCCCATTTCACGACAGAGCTTCAACAATCAAGATCATCATCACGATCAAAGCTTGCGATGGCATAGGCTATTTTAAGATACCATGCAAGTAACAAACAAGACATGTGTTTCAAATGTTCCCTTTGGCGGGGATCGTATTCAGATGTCATCACTTTTTCAAAAAATTGACACGTTGACGATCTTCATTTTTGGATCCATCATGTGTCTTGTCTCGACGCTAATCTTGCGGCGCAAGAAATCTCCTTTTGAGAGATCAGTGGATTCAATGACAAAAGGCAAAGCAAGATTTAATCGAAAGCGAGCCTTCTTGTCCAACGTGGGTGATGAATACGGATATCGGCACAGTGGAAAAGGATATATCGATGATTGGCGACACAAGGAATTTCCAACATTGCAGCCACCGCTTGGCCAACGGTCTACCGATGCGATTGAAGAACGCGAAATTTATTTGGACTATGCTGGCTCTGCATTACCTTCGAAATCGCAGATGGAAGCTTCTTTTCAATCTTTGTCGTCCAATGTCTTGGCCAATCCACATTCGAGCGGTCCAGCAGCTTCACGAACACTGTTGGGAATACAACAATCGAAAACCAGAATTCTGAATCATTTCGACGCGACCGCTGGTCGATTTGCTTCGATTCAACGTACCCAGGATTCAGCTCTTACTTCCGATAGCCATTCCGGATATGACGTCGTTTTCACTTCGGGAACGACAGAGGCACTCCGCGTTGTAGCCGAGCGTTTTCCCTGGCAAACGAGTGACGGGCAGCAATCTATTCTCTTGTATGCACAAAATTCTCACTCATCAGTTTTAGGAATGCGAGAGGTGGCCATCTCCCTAGGTGCCCGGCTTATGTGCTTGCCAATTGAAGAAATTGAATCCATGACCAAGGAGTCTTTCGCACAGCTGAGAAACAGTACGAACAATGGGGCAAACGATTCCAGCACCATTGAAAACTACGGCACAAATTGCCTACTTGTATTTCCTGCCGAATGTAACTTTGGAGGTCACAAACCTAATAGTCAGAAGGTCATTGAGACTGCCCAAAGTGCTGGCTGGCACATCATGCTAGACATTGCCAAGGCTGCCAGTACTGGACCGGTGTCCCTTCGAGACTTGAATCCAGACTTTGCTTGTGTTTCTTTCTACAAGCTTTTTGGGTCGCCTACTGGGGTTGGAAGCTTGTTTGTCAAGCGCACTGCTGTCGATCTTCTATCAGAGTCCAAACAGCATCGGCCCTATGTTGGCGGTGGATCGTTCAATCTCATATTGGCAAATCAGGACATGAGTGCCCCATCTAGTGGTGTTTCCTCCTTAGTTAGCGGGACACCCAATTTTCGTGGTATTATTGAACTGCGGCATGGGTTTGATGAGATCGAGAGGCTCGGTGGCATGGAGAAGATTCAGCAACATACTAGTATTCTGGCAAAGGAGCTGCATGGTCGACTGAGCGCTATGCATCATGGTAATGGCAAACCAGTGGCCATTACATATGGAGTATGGTCAATAAATGGATCCTCGAATGGCGAAGACAAAGGACCCACAATTGCAATGAACATTTTGAGGGACGATGGATCCTTCGTCGGATACAATGAAGTCGCAAAACTGGCCGCCCTGCGAAAGCCTGCAATTCAATTCCGAACTGGCTGCTTTTGCAACCCAGGTGCCTGTCAAGAGGCTCTAAAATTGGGAGATGAGGAACTCATCCAAAACTACAAAGAATCCGGTCATGTCTGTGGGGATCATATTGACATTTTGAATGACAAACCAACTGGAGCAATTCGTATCAGCTTTGGAAAAGAGAGCATATGGGAAGACTTGGATGAATTCGTAGCCTTCATTGACCAAACATTTGTCAACAAGAACAAGACTGTTGCCGACGAGACGATAGCAACACTAGTAGAAGAAGACCAACATTGTCCACCTGAAGTGACATTGACAGAACTCTACATCTTTCCAATCAAAAGCTGCGCTGCACAACGTGTCTCTCACTGGAAGATGGATATCCAAAGTGGCAAGCTGGCGCACGATAGAGAATTTGCACTCGTGGACTCGGCAGGTGTAGCAATGAGATTGCAAAATAATCCGAAGATGGGATTCATCACTCCTCACATTAATGGCGACGATGAAATATTGACTGTTTCAGCTCCCGGCTGCGAAGACTTGATCATTCCTCTAGCCGAAATCAACTCATCGTTCCTTGGAAGCAATGATATCAGTGTTTGTGGAAACAAGTGCGGTGGGCGCTTATGTGGTGGTCGACGAGCTTCCGAGTGGTTTTCATCCTATTTGGGAGTCGAGTGCTGGTTGGCACGATATTCCAAAGCCAACAAGCAAACGAACGGGGAACCAAACACTGTCGACGACAGCAAATCTCGAATGGGATTTGCAAATGACCAACCAATACTAATGATATCCGAGAATGCTGTCGACGCACTGAACCAAGTCCTCCGGCACCAAAACCAAGCGCTAGTCGGATCCAAACATTTTCGTCCAAATATGGTGATTCGATGGAAGGATCAACAAAACGTGCACAAGGCTCATTTGGAAGATGACTGGACTAAGTTATATCGGAAAGATAATGGCTTGATATTCAATGTGAAAGGTGACTGTGCCCGTTGTGCCATGGTTGATTACGATCCGTCGACCGGAAAGAAGGGGAAGACACTGCGAGCTCTAGCCAAGTATAGGCGCCGTAATGGCCAAATTGTCTTTGGTGTCTTCCTAAAGGCAATGCTGAGGGAAGAACAGCTTGCAAATGAACAAGTTTGGATCCATGTGGGAGACCAATTGGTATGCGAATACTAGTGTAAACATGTATAATACTTTGTACCTAATAATAATAATAATTGTAATAATAATAATACTGTAAACTACATTATTCTAATCTACTTTCTTGATTCAATCACGAGAAGCCGATGCATCATGAGCTCACCTGTGCAGCTTGCTACCATACTTGTTTCCATTAAGCCAATCATCCCATCCCCGCCATTCTTTCTTGTACTGCAAATCTGGCCGATATGGCAAAAGACTGGCCGGATCACTTTCGTTTATCTTTTTCTCATCAAAAAGTTTCAGATAAAATTCCATAGAATCAACCTTCAGAGATTGTGCAATGCTTCTGCCTTCTTCAAATCCCCAACATATTCCAAGGAAATCCCTCCAACCACGCCACTCAGCAGTCCAGATTTCGTCAGGATTCTTTGGCAATTGATAAGCACCGGGACAATCGTAATCTAAGAACTCCTCCTTTGACTCAAAACCATGTTGTCGAGCCATTCTTCTCGCTTGTTCGAATGAGTATAGCGCCTTCTTTTTGCGATGTTGACGATTCATTGCCATCACTTCACGGTGTTGAAAAAGATGTTGGATGCCGAGATATCTTTGACAGTTGCATTAGGCCTAAGACAGCTCTTTTTCATGTACTGAAATAAATCGCTTGGTTCAATATCCATAAATAGGAAAAACGTTCTCCTCGGTTTTAATTACGAGAGGTTGCAAATTTCCGCTGCGGTTGGATAAAATATGAGAAGTACTGTAAGTTCTGCCTGAAGCAGCACATCAGCACATCCACCGTAACCACATTGCAGAAGAGAATCATCAAAGCAACATGGCAGGTCTCGGAAGAAGATCAAACGAAGAAATCAATGCAATTTTGAAAAAGATTATGCCCGAATGCGATTCAGAATATGCGAGGTACCCAATGGCGTACCCACGTTGGCTCAAACTTGGCGAAAAAGGTCCCAAAGGTGAACCTACATGGATCAAGAGCGACCAGAATGCGGGAATCAAGAAAGACTACGTGTATGGAAGAGGTCCCGGTGGTCCAGCTTATTACCACTTGCTGACGACGAATGCTTATGTCAACCTATACACGAAAGTTTCCAACGCAAGGCCAGGTGGTTGCTGTGCCTTCTCGGCCGAAGCCAGAGAAAAAGTGGACGAGTGGGACTGTGCCAATCGAATTCTGCACGCTCGACATGTATCCAAGATCCCAAATGATGGTGAGGCGGCCAAGGCACAGATGGCATCGGCAAAAGACTCGGCACGAGTTCATTACGATGCCAATGTTATGCAAGGAAATTTTGGCGGAGGGGCAGGACCGGGTATGTAGTTTTCCCCGTGACTTTTGGAACGTTTTGTTGTAAATTTTGCTGGATCGGAATGCATTGAACTCTACCGCTATCACTAAGCCTACAGTACCGGTACGAACAGGAAACCTGCCAGGTATCCAATTTTGGTAAAATCTTGTGCCTTCAACTCTCAACTTGGTAGTAAAATAGATCTATTTTGTATTTTCCTATTTCACGTCAACCAAAACATATACTGTGACCTAGGTACTACTAAGTATATTGTATGATTGTGTTGCCAACTACTATCAGCCTTGAGCTTTTCGAAGCTCTAGGTCAGCGGCGAAGGGTGAAACTTGTGCAAGGGGGATACATTGGGACGGACTTGTCTTTGCCTTGATCATTACAGACGAGAGCTCAGCCTGGTCGTGGTACTATGATAGGTCTCTTAGTTGTCAGTCTTAATGCCGACCGTATGACATGACAACGTGGCCTTGGCTGGAAAAATCAGAACCGAATGCAAATACATTTTGGGGAATCACGCACCGAAAATTCATCACACGTGGCTCGCAATTGTTTGCATTTTCAAATCCTTTTTTCGTGTTACGTATTCCCTTCTGCGTAGAAACTGTAGTACTTTGGAGGAATCTTTCATCGATGATGGGCCGTATTTTCATCGGAGTCTCATCACAACCATTTGCTGAAATGCCGGCAAAGATATCCAAGCAAACTTCCGATCAGATAGATTTCGACGACGACATGATTGTCTCACAATTTCCAAATCTTCCAAACAGAAATCGAAACAAAACAAAACTACAATGTCCACAGAAAAGCCCAAACTTGTCCTTGCCTACTCTGGAGGTCTTGATACTTCTGTCATCCTCAAGTGGTTGTGCGAAAAGGGATTTGACGTCATTGCCTTCTGCGCCAACGTCGGTCAATTCGAAGAAGATTTCGCCGCCGTCAAGGCCAAGGCCGTCGCTGTTGGTGCTTCCAAGTGCATTGTTACTGACCTTCGTAAGGAGTTCGTCACTGACTATGTTTTCGAAGCTGTCAAGTGTAACGCCATGTACGAGGGACGATACCTTCTTGGTACCTCCATCGCCAGACCATGCATTGCCAAGGAAATGATCCGCATCGCCACTGAGGAAGGTGCCACTTACATTGCCCACGGTGCCACCGGAAAGGGAAATGACCAAGTTCGTTTCGAAATGTGCGCCCAAGCTCTTTCCCCAACTGTCCAATGCGTTGCCCCATGGCGCGATGCTGAGTTCATCGAATCCTTCAAGGGACGCAGTGACTTGTTGGCGTACTGCAACAAGCACGGCATCCCCGTCGATGCTAAGCCTAAGGCTAACTACTCCATCGATGAGAACCTTTTCCACACTTCTTACGAAAGTGGAAACTTGGAGGACGCCATGAGCCCCCCTGAAGAGTCCATGTTCAAGATGACCGTTTCCCCCAAGAGCGCCCCTGACGCTTCCGAGACCGTTCAAATTGAATTCTCCAAGGGTATCCCAGTCAAGATCACCAACACCACTGACGGAACCGTAAAGACTGATCCACTTGACATCTTCCTATACTGCAACATGATCGCAGGAAAGCACGGTATTGGCCGTATCGATATCGTCGAGAACAGATTCGTCGGAATCAAGTCTCGCGGTGTCTACGAAACCCCAGGAGGCACACTCTTGAGAACTGCCCACTTGGACTTGGAAGGAATCTGCATGGATCGTGAAGTCAAGAGAATCACCGAGACTCTCTCCAACGAGTTCGCTCGTCTCTGCTACAACGGATTCTGGTTCGCACCTGAAATGGAACTTATCCGTCACTCTATTACCTTCTCACAAAGAGATGTTGATGGTCTTGTCGAGATCGAACTTTACAAGGGTAACGCCACCATCACCGGACGTAAGTCCCCCAATGCCCTCTACAACGCCGACTTGGCCTCCATGGACATTGAGGGAGGAGGTGATGCCTTCGACTACAACCCAGCTGATGCCCAAGGTTTCATTCGCATCAACGCCGTCCGCCTAAAGACCTACGCCGCCCTTCGTGCCAAGGACCAGAAATGATTTCAGTATCAGGCGTTATAGAACTGGGGCAATTCATCACAGGAACGTGCTTGTGATACGAGTCGTCATCAGCGCATGTAAATATATATTCATACAAAAAAATGTAATAAATGCAAGCATCAATAGAGCAACTGTCATTACTTGAAAATTGAAATCGTTTGCAGCAGTTTGAAATCTCATCGAGTTATTCACAACAATTCGACCTGTATCATCCACCACAACCTGAACATGATGCGTGCCTTCATGACAGTATGTACAATTATATGCAGAATTAGACCCTAAAAGGACTTTCGTAGTCCCAAAATTTAACTTCAACTAACATTCCATCGGACTTTGCAGGGCTGTCGACGAGGTTCAGCATTTGTGTGACGGTCGCAAAGAAATTATTGTCTGTGAAACTTCGTTGTCGTTTTGGGTCAGCTCGCCATATGGCAACTTTGGATCTCAGGTAGGCAGAATACTTGTTCCCAGCCAGAAAAATATTCTATGTATTGGTGAGATCCAAGTTTTGTCAATGTCCTCGATGTAGGCCAGTAGCTCTAGGTGAGCAACACACTATTGTAGAACCGAAATATTGACTCGCTCCTACCCTGTGTAGGATAGGAAATTACCATAATAGATGGCTCTGGGACGTAGGCTGGGTGTACACCAATTAGTAGGAGCATGTACAATGCAGCGTATCCATCTCCATTAGCAACACTAATGAGTGAGAGAAGTGAACTGTCCTTGGGTAGTACGTTAACTCATTAGATGTTGGTAGATCAATGGTGACAGTTGATTGATAGTTTCATGCATTCGCTGGGGAATGTCATCGCCGGGGGAGTGAGGAGTCGCCCACAGTGAATCATCCCCACATGCTCTAAACGTTGACGGAAGAAAGCGGTCGAACCAATGGATTCAATATTGACTCTATTAACGACGGTCAGGCGACCGTCTCCGCATTGTTGCACCACAGCAACCAAGTCCGATCTCGTCATATCGAACTTGTGTGCAAGTATACTGACAGAAAGATAGAGTTATTTCTTGGCTCAGGTGACCATGAGCTGGGGTCGAAAGGAGAGCGGTTGGTGGTCAAAGTTGTTATTGGCTTAGGGGTAGGATTAGCCGTCACTTGGTTGGCCACTGGCACATTCTTCTCAACGAGTCCAAAGTTGGTGATCATGGGTGGTACAGTAGGGGGGTAGTACCATCCAGCGGTTACAATGTCGATTTTGATTAATCCTTTGGTTTGGATGGCTCCGCGGATGGCGTTGGTCAAAGATCTTGTTCGCAGACGGACCATCTGCCCCTTGGCGTTCAAGACTTTAAGAGGGGCAAGATCAACAAGAGGCTGGATGATGGTCGTGTCCGGTGTATCGGTGACACAGGGCTCAATAAGAGTCGTTGTAATAAGCTTCCGAATTTCTGGTATGAGCTGTGATTCCGGAAGAAGTCCTTGTTGTGGGTCATCGTCGATGAACATTGATTTCAGTTCTTCAATCTCGAGAGTGTTCCCAAAACGGTAGTTGAAGATATGAGACACTTTCTCATTGTCGGTGAAGAAGAAGTCGATCGCTTCCAAAGCAGAGAAGTCAATGATCATGGCTGGTAGGTAGCTGTCAACGATCAATCAATCAATAGTCGAAGAGTGATCGAGAAAGCAAATGAAAAGTTGCAGATGATAAAGAATGCAATTCGTTGATTGCAGTGGCGAGGAAGTGCGGGTATTGCAGTATCTCGTAAGCGTAGCGTAGATAGGCAGTAGGGTTACAAAGGGTGTTTATAAAATTAAATGCAGATGAATGATGAATTGTGAGCCAAATTAGAATAGCTTTGCGTGAATGGAGTGAGAATTCTTACGACAATATATTGAATATTATAAAATGAATTCAAAATCAAGGATAAATAAGAGGCTATCGGTTTGGAGCCCGTACTCCGTTAGTCTCTAGAGTTGCAAGCTACAGTAGCTATAGGAGAGACAAGGTCACAATCGTTGCTACTCGGCCATCGCAAGAACAAATTGTAGGTCTTCCTCCGAGGAAATGGAGCCGTCTTGAGATGGCGTCTCTGATGAAGATTCATCTTCCGACTCTGACTCAGTTTCTTCGTCCGATGACGAGAAGTCATCAAAGGCCCCAAATCTATTGGCTAAAATATTCCCTGTGTCTCGAAGCCACGAATGGCATCTCAAGGTATTAGCGACAATGGTGGCACCACGTCGCATACCCATCAGATTGCCGGCATCAGGACCCAAGTTGAGACTTGCCATACCACCAACCACGAAAACGTTTCTCATCCACTCCAAGTCTTCTGTGACCAATGGGAAGCCATGAGCTTGCTTTGCATCATTGAATTGCTGTAAGAGACTAGCACAGACTGGATTTTTGCGGCAGTCAGGTCGAACTCCACAGGCTACAATGACACCATCGTACCTATGTACTTTGGATTCGATCGTAATGAGCAGGGGCGAATCACCTTTCTCCTTGAAGTTCGAAGCGCTTTGTAGACTTGGCATGAATTCCAAAAGTTCCGCTTCAGATTCGTGAAAGGTGGCATTGCCGACAATTCGTGTCAAGCGACCTTTCTTTTCAAGATTCTCCACATCCCGTACATAGCATGGCGGTACACTTCCACCACCTCGAGCCTCTTTTAGCATGGCCACTTTACTCTCCACACTTTGATGATAAAAGTCAGCTTGGCACTTTGTAGCTACTCGCCTATCCGCCCATTCCAATCCAATATCCAGATGCTTTTCTACAAGTGGTCGCCGACTGCACAGGGTGACTTTGCAACTTGGTTTGCCCCTGAGCGCTAACTGGGAAACTTGCACTGCAGTAAGACCTCCCCCAACGACAAGAATGTCATTCCATTCGCATGGTATTCCATGCTCAGGATTAGAGGAAGAGTATTCCAAGTTTTTCCAGTGCAGCAACCTTTCGTCTGGAACGGTAGCAATGCCCTTGGGGATGATCGCGTCGCCCAAAGCTCCCATTGCCAAAACAACAGCCTTGGACTTAAGCGTTCCGCCACTTTTCAAATGAACCGAAAAATTTAAATCTTTGGAAGCATCCTTTTTAATGTCCACGGCATGATCCGCATAAAACGTATGAGGAAGTCTGGAAGAGACATCCTTACAAAAGTCGCGAAATAGTGGAGTCGAAGGTAGATTCCATAGACCGGTGTGGACCTCTGCCAATCCCTGCAACTGACAATGGTCAGCACATCCAGAGGCGCGTAGTTCAGCTTCCCGTTCGTTGGTGACAGCATATGCAACCAATGAGGATCCATCAAAGGCATCCGGATGAGCCATCGCAGGAGATCGAAGAAAGGAAATGCCCAGCTTGGAAAAGTTTTGATTCCAACAGGTCATCCATTCACCACTTGGATCAACGACTGCAACCTTCTTTCGCTTCATCGAACCCTTCGTGGACTTTCGGCAGTGCGAAAATACATGGTTACGTTGTACTGCATCATGCAAAATGAAGAAATGTGAGTAGGTTGGCCTCATTTCATGAAGCGATCCTTGTTTACTTACGATCTGTCATCTGGTCCATTGAGAATGATTCTTGCAAAGCCGATAAAGTTGACAAACCTGCTGGTCCAGCTCCAAGGATGACAATGTCGTAGCACTCGCAAATAGTTTCGCAAGTCATAGTTATATTATTGTGACGAGAATAAACGGCGTGGTGAGAAAGGCGAGGGATTTGCTCGTGCATTGAAATTTGCATTCGGTCGCCCAAACATCGAACTTCGTGGCAAGAAAAAGGCCTTGCCATCGAGCCTATTTCTTGGGCCTTGCTTGAGCCTATTTCTTGAGCCTACTTCTTGAGCCTTTTTGGTACCGGTACTGTACTTGGAGGCCTTGTGAAATGGATCTGAATGAGTCCCCATGGCGCAACCAATATTTCAGAATTAATTACTGTAGGGATATTTTCATTACCGATTGTGGAAAATTTTTGATACCACCCATACATGGGCGAAGCACCTTTTCTACATTTGAAAGAGTGTTCGATCTTCGCCTACCGGTTTTTATATATTCGAAGTACGATGGGCACCCACCTTGTCCACGCCCTGGTGTACTTGCTCCTTGCGACAGTCAGCAGCTCAGCAGCCAACAACACGGCACGAGAAGCCAAAAAATATCGACTTGCAATCGTAACGGGATCGGGAGACTGGTCAATACCTGTTCAGAGAGGATGGTATGATGAATGCCAACGATTGAATGACAGCTGCCAGCATTACAAAGATCTCCATTTGGAGACTGATGACTTCAACTTGACAGATGTATATGATGATGATGACAAACACATGTGTATAACTATTCTAAAGCACCTCATTAGAGAAGGTGACTTTGATGCGATTGCGGCTAAATGCCCGTACCGTCAGGGTATGCCACCAATCTTTGAAGAAGCAAAGGCAAAGGGAATTCCAATCGCTGTTTTTTCGGGTCCTCACGAGGGCCTTGGACCCTACAATACATATGTGGGAAGGTCAGAGGAAGATATGGGACGAACTGTGGCTAGATTGTTGAAGAAATTGCGACCAGAAGGTGGAACATATTTGGCAACCTACAACGACGGAACTTCAGCAGCACGATTCCATGGCTTCAAGGAAGAAGTTGAAAAAGACAACAATCGTGATGATAGGCCTCATTGGACAGAGACACCTATCAACTACACAGTGCTGTTTCCAGGCGATCAAGCATCGCCTTTGCCATACACTGGTCCATATCCTGGGTGGGACCCGAATGGGTACAGAGGCATCACCCGCTTAGGCTATGATGGCATTCCTTGGTTCATGGAAAAGTTTGCGGAGGTTAATCCGACTGCAATTATCTTTCTCTATCAATTTCCGATGAGACACCATAATTACACAGATATCGTCGACAACTATCGTCATAAGAAAATCACCTATATTGGAGTTGATGGGACAGCCGATAATTTGCATTACATCGCAGAAGAATACGTTGATGGCTTGGTGGGAGAACAGACTTATGAAATGGGAAGAATTTGCGCCAAAACGCTTCATAGGATCCTGACCGAAGGACCTGACTCCGTTCCTGCCAAGGTGCTGACCAAACTAATCAGCTACAATTTGGAGCCAGACGAGCTCCCAGATTTAGTCGACGATAAATCACTGCTGGGTGATTTAAAGTACATTGGGCTTGTCTATTTTGGAATTGTGGCCGTGGGAGTGGTAGCGTGCATTATTTGGATACTTGTCAACCGAAAGTCGACTGTTGTAAAGGCCTCTCAGCCCTACTTTCTTGTTGTCACTGCCGCGGGAGTCTTAGTTTTGGGATCGACTCTGATTCCATTGTCTTTCGACGATAATGGAGAAGATGTTGCAGAATCGTATGCCAAGGGGGTCTGTATGAGCATTCCATGGCTTGGCTTTTCAGGATTTAGCATGACATTTTCCGCAATGTTTGCGAAGACTTGGAGAGTCAATCAGTTCTTCAATGCAAAGAATGCAATGGTTCGACGAATCAGAGTAAGGGAGCGCGATGTTCTCATTCCATTACTCGTTATCTTCACTTCAAACACGATTGTGCTGAGCTGCTGGACTATGATTGATCCCTTGATATATGTTCGTACCTATAGCGATGGCACCGACCTTTGGAATCGAGAGATTGCCTCTATTGGAAAGTGTATCTCCAAGAATGGTTCTTGGCCATATTTGATACCTTTAGCTTTGAGTAAGTTGGTCAAAAGGGTTGTCATTAAATCTCATTTGAAGCATCTCACATCATTTTACAGTCAACCTAACGGTTATTGGAATTGCATGTTGGCAAGCCTACGAGGCAAGGGATATTTGCTCTGAGTTTGCTGAGACCAAGTACATTGCAATGACGGTTTTCTCCTTGACCCAAAGTTTTATTACCGGTCTTCCCATTGTGGCGGTTACCACCGACGACCCTGAGACGTTCTATCTTGTTTCGACATTGCTGGTGTTTGGTGTTTGCCTGGTTGTTTTGAGCTTGATTTTCATACCCAAAGTGCAGATGCAGCGCCACTATGGAAAGATGAGCGAAGCAGATCAAAGGAAGGCCATGATAGTGAGTGTAAGAGTTTCTTCCGGCATGAGCGCTATGGGACCTGGACTTGGATCTCTTGCCTTTAGTGCTACTCAATCCATTCCAAACGAAGCCGACACTCGAGAACGCCTGGAGGGCGTGTATGAAGTTCGTGCTGCTGTTTTGCCCAATGCGTCAACAAATGATAGTGACCAACTGGTTGCGAAACGGGTTGAGCTTCAGATGGTATCTTCATATGCAGAATGAAGAGGGATATCAAATATACTTTTTCTGGAGGATTTCTCCCGCAGGACCTCGACCGTTGCAGCTGCTGGGGAGGAGCAACTTGTGTAAAACCGATCGGCAGCACCATGGACATGAGACTGCCACAGAGATAGACACGTGTTTTGTTGTTGTGGATGGTTCCAGAACCAAAGAGGAAAAGCGTCGATTGGAATCCATAACTTCGGAGCTGATACTTATGATATAGCTTCAAGTTGCGAATCCTTACTAACCAACAAGTTGTACCGCCGCATACTACCTGCCTCCTTCCTCTTCTTGTTGCTGTTCTTCGACGAGGCAGCATCAGCTCCATGGTCGCTTGCCAAAATCAAATCAACAGCGAGAGTGATGTCACGAGCACCCTTATCTTCGTCAGAATGTTCAGCGTTGTGGGGCACGAAACTCATATTTTGCGAGCAGATTTACCAACATATCGTGAACGTTTGGAAGCAAAAAGAGTAGTCAAGAAGGGACAGTTGGGCTCCTTTAGTCCCTACCGCGCGACCTCATCGCGCAAGCCCTCAATGGCCAATCCTCCAAACCAAAATCTGAGCACATCAGCACCATTTTTTATATATACGAGTAGGTACAACGACAAGCAGAGGATTGATTACTATAGGTACTACTTCTCGTACTGTTACGACATTGTATTGATCGACAAGATACGACAAGATGGTCTCGACGAGAAGGCAACGTTCGAATTCCAGAACACGCAGCGGTGGGAAACCACCAATGAAAACTCTGCCAAGTCCCGAAGAGGAGGATAACGATATGGAAGTACAAGCTGCTGCCGACGATAACATCGACACGGAAGAAAGCACGGAAAAAGAAGTCGCAAAGGGACAGGTCATTTCAGAGCAAAGAGATGAAGCTGAAAATGAAGCTGCTTCCAAGGGGATGGAAGAAGAGCAAGCTGCGGAACCAAAACGAATTGTCCATCGCATTCGTCCAAGGAAGGGTGGATTGGGACTGACGGCCAAAACCGCCTCGGGCAAGAATGAACTGACCAAACTCATTCCTGGATACACGGCCGAAATGACATTGCAAACTCCTTCCTTGGCGGGATTTCGACCATCCGGGGGAATCCATGATCTGATACGACAAGCGGAAAGTACCGATGCGTCCACCCGTAATTTTGTGGGCAAAGCCAGCGAGAAACACGTGGATATCATGCAGAGAAAAGTCAATGGTTCAATATCTGCTTACAATGCTACTCACTCGTCATTCAAGAAAGGAATTGAAAAGCCCAAGGATGAAACCGCTGGGAAGGGATGGTTCAATATGGAACCAACTCCAATGTCGGACGAGCTCAAGGCTGATTTGTCAGTGATTCGGAATCGTTCCTATTTGGACCCCAAGAGATTCTACAAGTCATCTGACAAGCATCACAAGATTGTCCAAGTGGGTACTGTTATTGAAGGAGCAGCAGAATATTACTCTTCTCGATTGACCAAGAAACAAAGACGATCCAATATTACCGAAGAAATTCTTGCCGACAAGGGCACATCGAGCTGGGCTACCAACAAATTCAAGAAAATGCAACAGGAAAAGACGGAGAGATCAAAGCAAAGACGAAAGAGAGGTCGTTCAAGGAGATGATTACTACCCACGACATTATCAAGCTAACGTTAGAATGTATATCGTCTTGAAAAATCGATCATCTAGTACTAATGAGGAACATTTCGGGATTCCTTTGGTTTCAGGCAGATTGTATCCGGAAGCCAAAATTCGACGAAGAGAGACAGTCTGAGAGAATGGTTGATTTGTTTTCTCTATAGTTAGTATATAATATATAAAGCCAATGCTAGATATCCTTTAACACCTTTCCTGTACGGTACCAGGTATTATATATTTTACTGTATGCTGTTATTATAAGTAATACTATCTGACTATCTTACGGCGGTGTTCGCGCCCAGAAAGAAATCAACAATACAGTAATACGAGGATTTCTACGTACGGCCACAACCAAAGCCCGAGCGAGTCAAGCCCGCCACCGAACCTCGCACCAAATGTCAAATCATTGCCACCGACATTTATTTTGGTGTCCAGCACCACTCGCACCACTCGCACCACCACCACCAGCAACAACAACAACACGATGCCCAAGGATCAAGAGAAGCATCAAGGCACCCTTGATTCTTTCTTTGGAATCAAATCAGCGGCGAAGAAGCAAACGACGCTGAATGGTTTCTTCAAGAAGCCGAGCAATGACAAAGAGAACACGGAGAATAAGACATCAGAAAAAACCAAAGCCATCGACAAACGGCGGCAGCATGCCATTCTAGATGATAGCAGTGACGAAGAAGATGCAAAAGAGAAGATTGCTCCAAGCCCTGCCAAAAAGGCCAGAACGGAGGAAAAGAAGGACGAGGATGATCATTCGCAAGATAAGAAACCAGAGGCGAAGACGAAAGAGTCGTCGTCCGACAATGAAATAGACGACGCCATGAAGATGCAAAAGCCAAAGAAGAAAGCAAGTCCAGCAACAAAGAGCATTGAAACAAAGAAGAAAGAATCGTCTACCAAACCCGCTGTCAAAGATGACACGACCAATGATGCCAACATAGACAACAACAAGGTGCTTACCAACGCTGCCAAGAAACTCGCCAAAGCTGCCAAAGTTGACGTCGATGTAGAAGAAATTCCGTCTCCTGTCCCATACGCCGAGCTGGCCAAGGTCTTTGAAGCGATTGAAGCCACCACCAAACGGCTCGAGATTCAAGCCATTTTGACAAAATTGATACGCCGGGTTGTGAAATATTGCCCTCACGAACTCCATTCCATCATTTACCTTGCGAGTAATTCCATTGCGCCAGCTTATGACTGTGTGGAACTCGGTATTGGAGATTCTATTTTGGAAGGTGCTGTGGCACAGGCCTATGGGGCTAATCCGAGTAAGTTTTTTACCTTTTGTTATTGATTGATTGATTGATTGACTGATTGATTGGTTGAGTGATTGCCGAAACTAAATATAGTATTGTTCCATGCTCGCAGAAACCGTCAAGGAAAAGTACCAAACAGAGGGGGACTTGGGGACCGTCGCCCAAAGTTGCAAAAGCAATCAGAGAACTCTTGGGTTTGCCATGATGAAGCCAAAGCCTCTGACAGTAGGCAACATTCTAGACGTCTTTCGAAAAATTGCTGCCATTTCGGGTTCCAAATCCAAAAATCACAAGATTGACCTCATCAAGGGGCTGCTAGTCAAGGTGCAAAATCCAGCGGAAACCAAGTATATCATCCGTGGTTTGCAAGGCAAATTACGAATTGGATTGGCAGAATCCACAGTGCTAATATCGCTGGCACATGCTGTGAGCTTTACCATTCCTGCCACTGTTGCCGATGTTGTGCTCAAAGATGATGACGATGAGGAGGAGGAGGAGAATGCTGGGCTCGGAAAGAATGAAAAAACCTTCCAAGACAAATCAGCCGCAGTCGAAAAGAGATTGGAAGCGGCCGTCAATATTGTCAAGAAGGTATACTCGGAAGTCCCTTCCTACGATGCCCTCTTGGATGCCGCCCTGAAGTTTCCATTGATACACCTAGGGGAGAACTGTCCGTTCCGACCTGGTATTCCAGTATTCCCCATGCTTGCCAAACCAACAAAGTCAATACAAGAAGTACTTAAGCGCTTGGATGGATTGGAATTCACTTGTGAATTCAAATACGATGGAGAACGGGCTCAGATCCACAAGACCTCGGATGGAGAACTCAAGGTGTTTTCGAGAAACCTGTTGACTACCACTGGAAAATATACAGAAGTAGCGGATTATGTGCAAGCGGCATGTACGGACGCTGTAGAGTCCTTTGTCATGGACGCAGAAGTTGTTGCCATCAATCGGGATACTGGAAGGCTACTACCGTTCCAAGTTCTATCCACTCGAAAGAAGAAGGAGGATGGCACACCTGAAGTGCCAGTCATTGTACAGGGATTTGATCTCATGTTCCTGAACGGCAAATCGTTAATGGATACTCCACTTCGAGCGAGAAGAGCATTGCTCAAGAAGCACTTTCCAGAAGTAGAAGGCAAGTTCCAGTACGCCAAATCTCTCGACTTTGTCGAGAATGGAGACACTATTGACTTGGAAAAGTTCCTGGATGCCTCGGTCAAGGGTCAATGCGAAGGTTTGATGGTCAAGACTATGGATGACATCTATGAGCCATCCCGACGTTCTTTGAACTGGCTCAAGTTGAAGAAGGATTATTTGGACGGACTCGGCGATTCTTTCGATTTGGTTCCATTGGGAGCGTACCACGGCAAGGGCAAGAGAACGGGTGTGTACGGAGCCTACTTGTTAGCGTGCTATGATGAAGATGCTGAAGAATTCCAGAGTGTGTGCAAGATCGGAACTGGATTCTCGGATGAAGATTTGAAGACGCTCTCGGCGTCGCTGAACGAACACAAGTTGGAGACCAAAAGCTCACAGTACAATGTTGACGAGGGATTGGACTGTGATGTTTGGTTCGATGCTGTTCAGGTATGGGAAATCAAGGCAGCTGACTTGTCCAAATCATCCCTCCATCGAGGTGCTATTGGGAAAACTGGAGAAGCTGGTAGAGGCATTGGGTTGCGATTTCCTAGATTCGAACGTATTCGTGATGACAAGAAGCCTGAAGATGCCACCTCGAGTGATCAGGTGCTCGATATCTACTACAATCAAGACACTGTAAAGGGGCATGATGATGGAGGTGGTGACGATGGTATCTAGAGAGAGCGTGGGAAAATAATTCTAGCATCAAGCTATCTTCTCCTATCTTCTCCTCGGTCCAATTGCGCTTGCGTACCTACCGGTACATGGTACCTGCGCTAATTTTATTCAAAGTAATCAAAATGAATTAATTCGTCTTTTATTCAAAGTAGTCGAAAATGGATTAATTTGCTGGCCTGGCTGGCTGACCGGGTACAAAATTTGACTTGATGGTCTCATTTTTTCCCCTTCAGATCAATTCAAACCTTTGATATCCGACAATGAGCGACTTAGCAATGACAGGCCAATGGAACTCTATCGATGGGGAGCTAAGCGCGGACGACGCATTTTACGATGCAGGTACTACTAAGCAGTTTTTCATGAATTCCCATGCTGAATACAGACGAGCTCCTGCCAAGCACTCACCACCACTTCCAGAAAATCATCTCCAAAGCCCAACCGATTTTTGGGAGACCGAACGGGCCCTAATGCTGAGCTTTGTGGGTGATCGTAATTTGTTTCCATACCCGATTGTGGGTACGGAAGTGGTGGATACAACAGCTATTGGTCCTCTACTACTAGAGGAGGAGGAGGAGGAGATGGTTCTTGGTCCTGGCAATTGTTCCGAAGTACTACCAAGTCCAGCTATTGGTCACGACGCCGAATTGACCTTGCAGCAGAGCATCTCAGTTCAACGTGTGCTGCTTCCGCACCCGCTCCTCGTGAGTACAGAAGTGTGCGAAGATGTGGGTCTTCGCCTAGCGGAGGAGGAGGAGGTTGCTTATCAAGGCAATGATCCCGAACCCGTGTTAAGTCCGGGCGCTGGTCAGGGCGCTGGTTTCGAAGTAGACGATAGCGACTTGGCCATACTACAGAGCATCTCAGGTGATCGCCAACTACTTCGTCCACCACACTCGCCCGTTTACGTTCTACTTGGACGAGGCACTAGGGTAAACGTTTCCCCCGGAAATATCGTGTATCGCGGAGAAATAAGCTGGTTTTTCGACCATTACAGCAGCCTAGCAAAGCCACAGAAAACTCGACTGATCCATAACTTGGTTGAATCTTTTTTGTCTCGAGGCTTCCGGTTCATTAGAGAAGATGACGGGCAAGAGGAGGATAAGAGAGAGGTGCTATGTAGAAAGGTATCCCATTCCTTTCGAACTTTGAAGAAGAAGGTAACGAGGAACCAAACTGTATCTGTTCCGGTGTAATGGTGTTACCGGTATAGCAGCCTTATTTAGCCGTCACGTTGCCAACCGGGGAGCAAGAAGGCGCGATCAACAAAAGTACTACAGTATGAGGAACATTGGATGGTTTCACAATTCGATGCATGCCTATAATTCTTAAACTAAGACAGGCATAATATGATGTAACATGTCGTATGGCTGTTCATTTCATACCCTTTATCGATTGCAAGCGTCGTTCCATAGTTGAGGTACACAAAACGCAGCGTAGGTACACCTTCTTCATGTGCCAGCCAATCCTGTCGCACCTTCCAAAGGGGCAGAAAGCAGATCGGAGGTTTCCGCAATTTTACAAGAGACAACCATACAATATGCAAATAGGAAAACTAGGCTTTGGTCGACTACAACTAGATCGATGACACTTTGTCTAATGGAACTCCAATTTTTGGGCCACATAAAATAGGTATTGATGTTCTGTTCATAATGTAATGAATACACAAGTGACTTCAAAGTCCTCAGATCAGATAACGGATGGTACAAGACCGTTTGGGATTAACTAAGGAGCAAGATGTGATCACTGGATTCCGTATGTGTGAATGTGTGAAATTGAACTATATGCAAGAGGATACTCGAAGTGCTATCATCCCACGCAATCAAACCACGATTCTTGATTTCGGGATACGTTCTTGCCTGGTGACCTTCATATTATGCCTTGTGAACACCTTCGATGGATGGTTATCGTGCTGAAGCGTCGAGTTCTTGATATGCAAAGACTTGCGGTAATAAACATCAGCATCATGGTGATATCCCATACTGATCATCATGTTTCCCATGTTGTTGTACAGGTTTGCCAATGAAGGTGTGTCTCGTCCGCACGACGTCTCGTACACCATTGACGACGACTGCTCGATTTTGGTGAGCCAATTTGGTTTGTCCTGTAGGCCAGAAGTCGGAAATGCGGGTGCTGGATCATTTTCAGATTGAGCTGCTGCCGCTCCTAAGATTATCCAGTCCTTGTGATCACCCTCGGCAAGATGCTTAGAGTAAATCTCCAAGGCTGTGTCAAAGTTTTGCTTGGCAAGGTCCAGCTTTTTACATATCATGCAAAGGATGCCTGTGTTGTTGCAAGCGACAGCCAGAGCCAATGAGCCCAAACCCATACTTTATATCGCAATTCCCTTAGCAACTTTGTAGCAATCCGTTGATTTATCGATATGGCCTAGCTTCAAGAGGATGTTACCTTGAATGTTATTCATCTCTCCACACAATAGATGATCTGGTTTAAGCCTTTGCTCAAAAATAGCATTTGCTTTTTGGTAGCAGTGCAATGCTTGTTCGTACATTGCTTGAATATCGAATACTTTCCCGAAGTTCATCCATGCATATGCGATAACCGGTGCCTCTCCTCCGTGCTTCAGCTTTCGAATGATATAGCTTTTCTTGAAGCAAGCCGCAGCTTTACCATATTCGAAACGCTCCAGCTCCAGAAGACCCTGATTATTGTAAGCGTTTGGAACGACGCCACTTTCTCCTAGTTCGAGAACTGCGTTACACAACCCTTCATTCGCTTTAATTTTTTCCTCAATTGCTTTAAACGTTGCATCCATGGAAGTCTCTTTGACCACTGGATCCATAAACATCTGCAATCCATCAATGGCTCGCATATGTTCCCTCAGACCAACGTTTCCTCCAATCGCTTTCATTGAATTGTTAATATCAACCTCCATCATTTCAAATTTACCTAGTCTCCAGTTCCACATAGCAAGATCGTTGTAGACTCCTGCTTTATCGAGATGCTGATCTTCATCTAGAAGCACGACTGCTTTTTCGAATGAATTCCTGGCCTCCTCATAGGACCCTAAGTTGCGATATATGGTCCCCATTTGACGGCGTGCTTCGGATTCTTCTTGGTTGCTAAGAGTCCCACTCCAAATGGCTTCGTTGTATTGTGCCAATGCATATTCCAGCTTTCCAGCTGCGCGATAGACGTTTCCCAAAGTCAACCGGAATTTCGTCGAGTCTGTCGGGTTCTTTTCAACAATTCGACCAAGCGAATTTGCAGCTAGGTCAAAATTGCCTTTATTTCGCATCTCGGCAATCGAATCCAAGTCATCACTGGGGACAATTTCATCATCTTCGTACCACAATCCATCGTTTGTTTCGATGGCGGCTGTATGCGCAACCGTGGAAATATCTGTATTGGGTTCAACATCGATTTGTTCAGGTTTTGAAACGGGCAAAAACTCATCGTAAATCTTCTCTGGCATTAAGCCACTTTCAAGATATTTATTCATATCGCTCATTACTTCAAGCAAACGATTTCCTTCCTTTCGCAAGCCACCGAGCCGAAGAAAGATCGCTGTGTCGCGACATTGCTTAGCGAACAACTTCAGTTCCTTTTTCATTTTTTCATGTGCATTGATCTTTTCCCGAAACAAACCGCAGAGCTCATAATATTCATCGACTTTAGTCTTCAGCAATGCCTCTGAGGATTCTGAAGCTTCATCCGTCATTTTTCAAGCTTCTCCAAAAATGAGATCATTCATGAGGCGCGGATGAGTAGTCTTCCTTGCAAAAATGACCTTTCTCGTTTCTAAAAATCATTCTTAATCTGTTCCGCGTACAGCACCGGTACCTACCAGTTATGCCTACAGGCGTCGATTTTGCCATTTAGTACCGGGACAGGTATGTCTTTTGAAATGACCCTTTGGTCACCCGAATTTGTTCGTGGATTGGATACAATTCTAATGCACGACTGATGCGACAAACAGTCCCGAAAAAGGATTGACACGCGTACGCGCGCGTTTGACACGGAAGTAACAACAAAACATTGCGAATCAATCTCACAAACCTTAACACGAGGAAAAACACAATGACCGCCGACCAATCAAACCACCCCATCACTGAAAGATTAAATGATTCTGACGATGACAGCTGGAGTCTTGTTGAAGAGTTCGGTGACAGTGATGATTCTTGTAATTTTTGCATTGAAAGTAGAAGTAAGAAGCTGGTTCTTGAAGCCGAGCATGATCAGATCAAAGAAAACAAGTCCTTCTCTCTCGATATGGGAGTCTTTTTGAATGAAGCAGACTCGGAAGGGAGACATGGAACTTTTCATGGAAGGATGTCAATCAATGGAGAGTTTTGTTATGGGACCATGGTTTACCATAGAGGGACCAAACCAATTCGAATGTTCCAAGGAAACTGGTGCGTAACAACACATCAAGCTCGTCACAGGTTTGCCTCAATTTTCACTCATCATCTCTGTCAAACAGGAGAAGCGACCACACCTTTCAAACCGGCTTGCTTGTGTACAGTAACGACAATGTCTATTCCGGTGAGTTCGACAAAGAAAATAGACCACATGGGCACGGGAGATATATCGAAAAATCAGGTCGTTACGAGTATGACGGCGAATGGGAGCATCACCTTCAGCATGGGCAAGGCTGCGAGATCATACTGAACCTTACAACTGACAAAAAAGAGGCGTACCGAGGCGAATTTAAAGATGGCCTACGCCACGGAGCAGGCGAATGCACATTCGCTGATGGCACAAAATACAGCGGTGGTTGGTATCATGGTCGTCGTTGCGGGAATGGGACTCTATTTGACTCCTTTGGGAGTATCTTACGAACAGGCAAATGGGAAAGCGACAAAATACCTGAAGAGGAGATAGCCGCAAGTGACTATCTCAAAGGAAAATTGGAAACATCCGACAATAGAGTGTGTGATGCTGACAGTCTGAACGTCATGGCGCCAATGGAAGAATGCGATCCCTTCAACAATGTACGAGAGTTGATTCATTGTGCCGATGAGGACATCGACCATTTTTTCCCCTATGTGTACAAATGAGAAATTACGGGCATACTCTTATAATAGCACTTGGCGTGTATTCTAGAGAATCCTGTTGGGATGATATTGTTTTCTGGCCACATTTATGTCCTCAACGGAGGGGAAAGATCCATCGTCGTGCATCAGCTGAGATAAAATAGATTGGGTTGTGTTGCGGTTTCTTGATTCGATTCGATTGTGATTTTCTTTGCTGTCACTGATTCTCGTTTTTGCATCTTCATTTGAATTTGAAGGGAACCCAAGCGATGATATTTTTGATGATAACATTGAAACGTCTCCGTCAACATCCGTGATCTCACGACCGAACACTTTATCCACACTCATCTCACAATTGAGCCGTGTATCTTCATGTTCGTTTTGAACCCAGATCCCATCCCGTCGAGCTCCGTCCGAAGAATACTCCGTACCTCGACCATCTCTCATACCGTTGAACCACTCGCCTGTGTACTTGCTACCATCGGCATACACGCAAGTACCCTGCCCATGCCTTTGATCTCCTTCGAAGTTGCCCTCATACAATTCTATGCCACCATCGCGTACTAGACGTTCTTCTCCTTTTCCATGTCGCAAGTCTTCTTGCCACTCGCCCACGTAAGTTTCAGAGAACTTTAGCGAGTGGCACTTGGACCACTTTCCCGAGCCATGCCTATAATCATTTGTTTCATCATTTCGTCCAATGAAGTCGCCACAGTATACAGCGCGGTTAGAGTACTCTAGTATACCTCTATGAAAGCTGCGTTCCTTGGTCCTTCGAATAGATATTGTCAATACAGATCGTTAGAGGGAGATATTCAGAATTTCATCAGTCAGGGCGGTACTCACCAAATTCCCTGAAACATTTGAATACCATAGTCCCTAGGATACAGCATCATTCCACGAAATTGCTGGTCACTGGCAGGCGCTTTGCCGTGAAAAATGCCCTTTCTTCCTAAACAGTCTGTAAATTTTAGGTCGATTTTTGAATCCATGACCTCCCTTAGATATTCATCAAACAAGTCTCTCTTTTCTAACTTCTCAATCTTTCCTTTAGACTCCTGGATTTCAGCCTCCAAATTCTTCATTGTTTCTGCTTTCTTTACCTGATCGTAAAGATTTTTTATTTTTATTTGTTTGCGCTTTGCGTCAGTTTCACGATACCACCGATTGTCGCCTTTTTTTTCCTTCTTGGCAAAATAATATCCTTGCTTCTCGAGATGTTCAATTATATCATTCTCAATCTGTCGTTTCCCGTCTTTGCTTGCCTTTTTATATTTATCGCATTTATCATCTAATAGAGCATAGTTCTTGAACTCATCGTAACCATCAAAGCCAGCGCTGTTTCCTCCCAACATTGGAATTAATAGCGATTTTCGAACACTCGTTTTGCTTGAACCCTTGGAATCATGGTATATGTCCACTTCTTCTTCTTTTGCCTCGTCCATTGCTGTCACTGCTTTTGGGTACTAAAGCCAGATGTGTTGACGCGGTGTGTTTTGTGGCAATCTCTCAAGAGTCATTTTGCATGAGAAATCGCGCGACTGGACTAACTAGTAGTCCAGTCGCGCAAATGAGGTGAGGCCTCCATTTTTAAAAAACGCAGGAACGCACCACAACGTGCAACGAACGCAATTTAAATGTCCGTTAATTGTTAAAAATGCTTTTTTTTTAAAAAGGTTAAGTGTCCGTTTGAATTTTAGCGCGGGCGCACTTTGGAAATCGGGCATGCCCCGTGCGTCAATTTGACGCAAAAACGGGCACGCCCCGCGTCAAATTAACGCAAATTTGCGTCAAATTAACGTCAAATTGACGCAAGTTGCGTCAATCCCGCGTCAAACTCAAGAAATGGCGTCAATCCCGCGTCAAACAGATGCAGTTGCGTCAATCCCGCGTCAAACTCAAGGGAGGCCAGCACAATGTTATAAGAGCACAGTACAGGCTCTGACATCAGCTACTTCATTATGCTATGGGCTATAGTTCTGGATTCGTTTCTCAGAAGTACTTGGCTTCATATCCCAAAATTTCACAGGTCCAAGCTCGGCTAAACCAATTTGGATTGATACCAGCAGGACAGCACCTATCGCAAGCGTATGCTTATCATAGTTATGGATCCAAATACCTTGCAATGATTGGAACTTTTTCATCTTGCAAAAGACACGTACTACCTCGTCCTTTGGTGTCCAACAAGAATTATGGATGCAATAAGTTCCTAAACAATTGAGACAAGGAGAGCAGAAAGATCCTCCTGCTGAAAAGAAGAATGGGAGACATTGCCAGATCCCTGGCCAAGTATGCCTATGAAAGAAAGATGAGTCTTCATATTGCCAAATCCGTTCTCAAATATGTTTTCTACAAGATTTTTGAACAGTACTATATCTGGGGGATTCCTTTGATGAGCAAGACAGTGATATCGTCTGTTGGTGAATTTCATCAAGGTCTTCAAACTCATTGATAAGGTCGTTGTGTCTTGCTTGGACAATAGCATCATCACCACTATGTGCCCAAGCTTTGTCGATTTCCATCAGTTCCATTGTTCAAGAAGTGGGCAACTCTCATTGGAATGAGAGTGGGAACTCAAACTCTCATTCATTCACATACTCCAATCTTTTTTAAACTGATACCAGTAAGCGGGTTTAGTCCCGCGTCGAAGACACGCAAGCCCGCGTTAAATTGACGCAACCCGCGTCAGTTGACGCGGAATCGGCGTTAAACTGACGCAGCTCTGCGTCAAACTGACGCAACTCTGCGTCAAACTGACGCAACTCCGCGTCAAACTAACGCAACTCCCGCGTCATTCCCGCGTCAAAAGAAAAAAACCGCGTCAAAGTCGCAGAGCATTTTAACGGACACATAAAAATTATTTAGCTTAAAAAACAAATTCTCAAAACAATCCAAACGGACAGATTTCGGGCGTGCGTTTGCCGTTGTGGTGCGTCCCAGAAAGATGATCCAGTCGACGAATTGAAGGACTCCTCAGAAACCCCGATGATAATCTTGAGCCAATGAAGGTTACAGTAGTCTGTCTATTGCTCCCATTCACACTAAGTTAGTACTCGTCAATTTTCGGAAGGGAGGTCCAGGCTACTTATAGCCCTCTAGCTAGCAGTTTGTTTTTGTCTTGCTTGAGCACTTCTATACCTTATTTTTTTATGGGTAGCCCTAGCACTGGATCACAAGGAAGTGCTACAGCTCCTGTTAGATCATCTCTAGCCGTTGCCATAAAGAATATCGTAGTAGAACTAGGCCTAACATTTTCCCCAGTAACATTTTGTAACGCGGTGAACTGAGCCGGGCATTGGACGTTTTCATTTCAGTACAAGCATTACCAGACTGGATGCTACAGTTGCTACCGAAAGCCATGAAAAGTTATCTTATTATGGGTAATACTTACTATCTTTTGGAAGCTGTGAGTGGATTTTTATTTTGTGCTGGTGGAGCAGTTTATACTAGATCAATAGGATTGCAATGAAGGGGCTGTACAACACAGTGCTGGTTTCACACATGGCGTCGCAAGATGACATACGCTATGATCCTGGCGTTAGCCAGGATTTAGACAGATTTAGAACGAGGTAACAATCCATGAATGTTTGATGTGATGATCGATTCGTCTGAACCGCCTACAGCAGTATTGAAATGATGTCCAAGCACCTCTAAGCCAATAACAATATCTTACATCCCTGCATATCGTAGATTAAATCAAAACTCGGAGGCTCATCGCACCGCGATTATTGGTGTCTCGAATACTTCAAGATTGGAAGCATGAAAGTGATGTCAGTGTAGAGACGGCAGCCCGATCTTGTGTCGACAACAAACCATTTGGAAGCAAGGTGAATCAAGGCATGAATACTGCTCGACTCTAGCAGCTGATACTATTGCTATGATACTATTGAAACGCTTACTTATGCGAGGCTCTCGAGAACCAGCCAGTAGTGGATTCGATAGATAATCGGCGGTGTCCTCAATGGACTCAACATTTTGGGAACCAAGCAAGATGAGTAAGGGTCACCACAAAGCTCGATTTCATCGCAAAGGGAGTAAATACGTGTTCCACGATTGAAGGCATGCAATAATCAACCGAATTTCAGTAAGATTCACAGGCGAAAACATAGATAGAAACATTGCATGGTTCCTTTTGTTGACCAAAGCCGCGATAGGAAAGTCTGATACAGTATAGTCATAGATGATGCTTTCAGATTCGGGTATTGTATATTCTACTCTGATGGCAATACAATCAACCTTTCTGCATCAGTTTGTGACAATGACTTGATTCCAAAGGTGAAGAGAAAACTACCTACTCCCTACATATACCAATATCAGCACTTGATTTCAATCTGCCATCAGAGAAGTCTGAACGATACTCGACAATACATAGTAGTGTTCTATCTGTAAGATTGAAAAATCAGTTTCTATTGTTGGATCTATCTATTACCTCATGTAGTACCAGTCAATTTCAGTTGCCAACCTACCATCCCATTCTTCAGGGCAGCTCGAAGTCATCCTAGGGGATCTACAGCGCTTCCTCAAGACCGAGGGCTAAAGTCGTTTGATAAGACAAAGAGAAACTGCTAGGGCCGTATGAAGCTTGGACCTAACATCCCCCCTAACATCATTTGAAGTCTGTGGAGAGTACTAATTTAGTGTGGAACAGAGTTAGTCGAATCCTCTAGAGTCATCGAGAGCTGTGATCGATTGGCTCATACCACATTATTACCACATTATATATGTGGAATGTTACGAAAGTAACATAACTACGGTACCGTTGCTCAAAATCCTTCTTCTTTGAGAGATGCAGGGTCAAACAACTGCAGAGCGAAGAACAAGCAAATATGGACAGTGACGTCGTGGTGGAGGAAGCAGCAGCCAATAACGACCATTCCGACGCTGGAAGGACGAGTCGCTTTAGACTAGGCTACTTGGCAGTGGTATGCCATCAGATAATCCACATTGCCGCCCATACATTGCTGCCTGATATACAACAACCAGCCAAAAAAGGAGGGACGACCAGTTGACGATTGATGAGGCTAATTATTATAGACGGTGATGGGGGCGCTGGTGCTGGTGGAGGCGTGGTGGCAGGGAACTTAACTTAGGAGACTTGTTCCAAAGCATCCAGATAAGTATCCAGCAACTGCAACAACAATTTAGCAACGTTGCTGCTCGATCTCATACAAATGTTTCAGATTTGAGAGCCTACATCCGGCATCGTGATCGAATTCTAAAAAACAACATTCGTGCTTTTGGCGGAACAATTGCTGGCTTGCGAATCCAACTCCAACAAGCAAATACTGGCCGCAGACTACTACGCTACCACTTCCAGCAAGAGGAGCAAATTCAGATGTTAGTTGCATCGTAGTTGCGAACATGGCTATTCTATCGGGCAATCCCAGGTCGTTAAACGAACTCTGGCGGGAGTATCAGCATGGGATTGCTGGTCGGAAGCCTGCACGTTTTTTCACGGCTAGAGAACGAAAATCTTCCAGTCAAATCTAGTGTAACAGTTGCATTAGTTTTATGAATATGGTCTACATAGTATGCTGTAATAGCTGCTTGATTGCTTGTTCTTATGTAGAGATATTGTAGAAGGAAAGTTCACTGGTATTTTGTCTTGTTCGATTTTCCTCTTTGATGTGTTTCCAGTTTGTTTGGTTTGGGTGAGCATTTTGATTGGCTGGAAATGTGCAGCTGGCTAGAAAGGTGCGACATGCGTACATAGTGTACAATGTTATATACGAGTAACATAATGCGTACACATCATAGATCGACGGTATTACCACAGTAATAAAAAAGACTCATCTTTAGTGAAGCGACTAGCTCTCATTGGCTAAAAATTCACTAAAGACCCCACCACAATAAATAGAACAAGTCGAGTTTATTCAAAGTAGTCAAAAGTGAATTAATCTCTTTTTGCTCGAAGTAGTCGAAAATGGATTAATTTGCTCTTCATATTTCGCGGGACAACCAGAACAAAGTTTCATTTTTTTCAGATCAACTGAAACTTCGATATCCGACAATGAACGGCTTCGCAATGGCAGGTCAATGGAGCTATATTGATGGAGAGCCAAGCCCAGAAAACGCATTTTACAACCCAGGTAAGGAGCTTTTTATCGATCCTCGTGCTGCAAACAGAACTATGATGGCAAGCACTCATTAGCGCCACCAGAAAACTATTTGCATGGTGCAACCGAATTTGAAGAGACAGAATTGGCTCTACTCCAGAGCTTAGCGGGTGATTATCAGCTGCTTCCATACCCACTTGTGGATATAGAAGTGGGTCCTCTGCCACAGGAGGAGGAGGACATGCTGGTTGGTTCAGGCAGTGGTCCCGATGAGGGCGTTGGTTCCGATGTAGATGACACCGAGCTGGCCTTACAGCAGAGCATCTCAGGTCATCGTCAACTACTTTCAAACCCCTTCGTTGACACAGAAGTGGGTGAAGGTATGGGTCCTCGACTAGAGAAGGAGGCTGCTGGTCCAGACAATGGCCCAGATCTCGAACTAGGTCCAGCTATTGGTCATGGCGTTGATTCAGAAGTAGATGACACCGAGCTGGCCTTGCATCAGAGTATCTCAGGGCATCGTCAACTGCTTTCACACCCCTTGGTTGACACAGAAGTGGGGGAATATGTGCGTCCTCCACTAGAGGAGGAAGTTGCTGGTCCGGGCGATGGCCGCGCCGAACTAGATCCAGCTTTTGGTCAGGGCGTTGGTTCCGAAGTAGATGACGCCGAGCTGGCCTTACTACAGAGTATCTCAGATCATCGTCAACCACTTCCACCACACCCGCCCGTTTACGTCCTGCTTGGACGAGGCACTAGGGTAAACGTTTTCCCCGGAAATAACGTGTATCGCGGAGAAATAAGCAGGTTTCTGGACTATCATAGCAGCCTAACAAAGCCACAGAAAACTCGACTGGTCCACAATTTGGTTGAATCTTTGTTGTCTCGAGGCTTCCGATTTCTTAGACAAGAGGACGGGCAAGAGGAGGATAAGAAAGAGGTGCTGTGTAAAAAGGTGTCTCATTCCTTTCGAACTTTGAAAAAGGGAAGGAGGATTTGAACTGCAGCTTTCTCCACCGCTTCGACTCGCGTCAGTAATAATGATATGTTGCCCTACTTCATTTTTACTTTCATTAGACACGAGTCAAAGTAAACCGCAAAAAAATGCAGTATTTTGCTTTGGAAATCACTTGGACTTTGCATAGTAGTCACGGCTATTGTTGTAAAAAGCAGCTCATTCCAAGCATTTTTGGGCCATCTGCAACAGTTTTCGATATTGAATTTTTATCCTTCTAATCCCTTGGTGTCTCTTATTTTAGCTCGTTGAGAGGGCAGACTGTCTGCATAACCGGCCTATTATCAGCATCGACTGCACAATACAATAGTGTCAGTCTTTCGAGTATGATTTAGATCGAACGAGTCAGTCATTCAGTCATGAGTACGAGTATACCGCTAATACGATTTTTCTATTCTCAAACCACGCCACATCATCAATTTCACACCAACGCATCAAGAAAATGATTCTGACAAGACAACATTGAAGAACTAGTCATCATCGCCAACAAACACACTTTAAATTTCACAAATTGAACAAACCAGAATATAGGAAAGCATGAGGACCTCATTGGTTCTACTAACAACGCTTTGCGTGACTTGCAATGCCTTCCAGGCAACCCCAGGAAAGAAAACGTCACTCACCTCACTCCACAGTTCAGTTTCCGAGACAAGCGCAATGATGAAAGAGATGAGAGAAAAGATGAACGAGAATGATGAAGCTAGAATGGTTATGGAAGCACTAAGAGGGACGAATCTCAACGACGATGATAATGCTATGTTCGGATTGGAGATGAAACTCGTTAATATTGCCGATGGTGGCGATGGTGTTCTTCCATACGACTACGATCCCGTCGCCCTAAAGAAGTTTTTCGGAAGTCGCCCTCTCAGTGTCCTAACGAGAGTATTCCAACTTGTTACTGTCGGTGGTGGATTTTTCTTCAAGGCCACTTTGGATCAATTGCTTGGAAGAGTCAAGAATAACCCTGATTTGGAAGTGCAACGCGCTGGCGAGCTGAGAGATATCATCACAAGCCTTGGGCCTTTCTTCATCAAAATTGGGCAGGCACTTTCAATTCGTCCGGATGTCCTTTCTCCAAGATCGATGGTGGAGCTTCAGAAACTGTGCGACAAGGTGCCATCCTACGATTCAAAGATTGCATTTGCCACAATCGAAAAGGAACTTGGAAAGCCTGTGATGGAATTATTCAGTGAGATTACTCCCGAGCCGGTAGCAGCCGCATCGCTTGGTCAGGTTTACAAGGCTGTCCTTAGGGAAACCGGAGAGACAGTTGCTGTCAAGGTTCAGCGCCCTGCTGTATTGGAAACCGTATCCCTCGATCTCTATCTTGCCCGCGAGTTTGGGTTATTTGCACGTAATATTCCAGCTCTTGTTGAGCGATTGGATGCTGTGGAGTTGTTGGACGAATTTGCATTCCGATTCTACCAAGAGTTGGATTACAACTTGGAGTGTGAAAACGGTATTAAAATCGCCGAAGATATGCGTGTCTTGCCAATGGTTGTCATTCCCAAAAACTACCCCAAGTACACCTCTCGCCGAGTGCATGTTGCTGAGTGGATTGATGGAGAGAAACTGAGTCAGAGCTCGGCCGATGATGTGGGCGCCTTGGTGAACTTGGGCGTGATTACATACATGACCCAATTGCTGGATACTGGAACATTCCATGCGGATCCACACCCTGGTAACATGATGAGAACCACCGATGGAAAATTGGCCATTTTAGATTTTGGACTCATGACTCAGGTTACAGACAATCAAAAGTATGGTATGGTGGAAGCGATTGCCCACTTGATCAATCGTGACTACACTGAGATTGGACAAGATTTTATCAATTTGGATTTCATTCCAGAAGGAACCGACACGCGACCAATTGTTCCAGCGTTGACCAAGGTCTTTGATGTCGCACTTGCTGGTGGAGGTGCCAAATCCATCAACTTTCAAGAGCTCGCCGCCGATCTTGCCGAGATCACGTTTGAATATCCTTTCCGTATCCCACCCTACTTTGCATTGGTCATTCGTGCAATTAGTGTATTGGAAGGTATTGCGCTTGTTGGCAACCCAAATTTCGCAATCATTGACGAAGCATATCCCTACATTGCCCGAAGATTGATGACTGACGATTCTCCCAGATTGCGCGCTGCGTTGAGATATATGGTGTACGGAAAGGAAGGTAAATTTGATGCTGAGCGATTAATTGATTTGTTGGAAGCTTTGGAAAAGTTCAAGGCAGTCCGAGATCAAGGAGATGGTTCCGCATTCAAGGTTGATGGAGTGCGTGGAAGCAAGGATGTCGGAAGTGCTGGTGACTTTGTCGGTTCTCAGACAGTGGATACCTCAGAACGGGATACTGATATTGATGGAGGCCGTTTCCGCGTCAGCACTAGCAATGGAGCTGGTACATCAGCAACTGCTGCTTTGCAAGCACAAGAGGACGAAGACACGGCCCGAGAAGCCTTGCGTTTCTTCTTCAGCCCCGAAGGTGAGGTGTTCCGGGACTTCTTGTTGGATGAGATTGTTACAGTGGTAGACGCTAGCTCCCGTGAAGCTATCCAGGAGCTCACTCGACGATTGGGACTTTCAGCTCTTCCCGTCCCTTCCTTTTTCCGTGCCCTGAACCCAGAATTAAGCGAGAACGACCGACGAATGGTTGACCAAATCGGAACTCTGGTGTCCTTCTTTTCAGGCGATTTTGAAAGTCTTGCCGATGATGGCGCTGGAGCACAACAGGCCAGATTGCGGGATCTCATCCCTATCCTCCGGGAGTATTCACCACAACTGCAGGACTTTGGTCGTACACTTGTCGCTCGGTTAACTGAGAAGACACTTTCTCGGGGTCTGAACTGGGCGTCTCAACAACTAGCACCAGCTGCCTAATTTTAAGACATTCTTGAATTCTCGCTATCAACGAATCATTAATTCATATTTCACAAAACTTTTGAGCTATTTTACATCATGGTGTGTCATCGCCCTTTGATTGTTCCACAGGCGAAGCTCCTGGCCATTGGATTTTCCGAAAGGTATTGTTCATAAAAAAATCCACACCATGATCAATAGGTGTGATAATGCCCGGAATGGAAGCAAGTCCTGTAACTGTTGGGATCCACTTGGCCACTGCAACTGGAAAGGTCACTGGACTTCGCAAAACCGCAAATCCCGATGCCTTTACCACCATGTTAATGGTTGCCCCTGGAATCATCACACTGGCCAACGATTGCCAGATGAGAGTATCCGCCGTCGCCACCAGAGAATCTACTTTCGCAGTTGTCGAGCCACTTTGAATCCCCGTTTGGTAGTTATCGTACCCCGACGTCGCGGCATCTGCAAAGCAATATCCAAACGCCACTACATAGGACGGAGCAACAAACTTGGGAAATTGGTAACGAAACGATTCGCCAATCTCGTTTGCATATCCCAAATATCGGAGCGGTGAATCGCGAAAGATATCGTATTTCTTATCCTTGCTATCCTTAGACTCCTCCATCTTGGTTTGCCCTCTAGAGATGCCCTAAACTGCCAAAACGATGGTGGAAGTTGGAAGCAGATTTTTCCCCGTGTGACTCAGACGAGCCGATTGATTTTGTACATTCGGACGGGTCGAAGAGGCTTCACTCCCTGGCAATCGAGTCACTTCATAATCAAACAACAACGTACTCCTATACAGAATCAAAGTACACACCGTAGTGCCAAAGGGGTGATCAAACTCTTGCGTGAATTGAAATCACTCGTGATTGAACTCCAAAGATTCACTTCTCTGACGTGTGTGCTTGAAAAAGGCCCACACGTCTGTCAACTTTTTCGGCGTTGAAGCACCAACAACTGCTTCCTTGACCCGTTGTTCTTCGCTTTGTTACTTCTACTTTCACGGCAAAGTGTTATCGGAAATCATGAAGATCTTCTCCGTATTCGTTGCCCTCTGCGTATTCAGCCAACAAGGCGCTGCCTTTTCCTTCCAACATGGACAAAGCGTCCGCCCTCAGTCTGCCCTTTCTATGACTGTTGTGGAAAAAGAGACCAAAACTGTGAAAGTCGGTGTCATCGGATGCGGTCGTATCGGTCTAGTTCACTTGGAAGCTATCACCAAGGCCCCTGGAGTCACCCCGGTCATTGTTTCTAACCCCACTGTTTCCAAGGCTGAAGCAGGTCAGTACCAGAAGTATCTTTGGTGTCTGTATTTTTATATTGAAGTGGCGTTTGAATTACCGATTCAATCGGCATTGTGCGCTCCTTTTTCTCATTCATTAGCTCTCATCTTTCACAACTACAGCTGCTGCACAATATAATGTCCCCAAGTTCACTGCTGAAGCCATGGACGTCATTACCGACCCAGATGTCGATGCTGTCTGGATTTGCTCTCCTTCCCAATACCACGCCGAGCAAATCAAGGCCGCTGCTGCCAATGGAAAGCACGTCTTTTGCGAAAAGCCCCTTGCCACCGATCTTTCCGAGACTGTTGAAGCCATCAATGCCTGTTCCGAGGCAGGTGTCAAGCTCATGACTGGTTTGCAACGCCGATTCGACGAGAACTTCAAGCGTGTCCGCACTGCTGTCGAAAACAAGGAAGTCGGAGAAACCATCATGATCAAGTTGTGCTCTCGTGACCCTGCTCCACCACCGTTCGCTTACGTTAAGGGAGGCGGCGGTATCTTCGCCGATATGGCCGTCCACGATTTGGACATGTCTCGTTTCCTTGCTGGATCCGACCCCATTGACATTCTTGCCATTGGATCTTGCCACATTGACAAGGAAATTGAAAAGCTTGAGGGATCTGAAGCCTTCGACACTGCCTCCTGCATCGTTCGTTACCCCGGTGGTGTCCAAGCCATGATTGATGTCTGCCGTCAATCTTCGTTCGGATACGATCAACGTGCCGAAGTTCTTGGAACCAAGGGAATGATCCAAACCGACAACGTTTACCCCAACACTGCCAGAATCTTCCGCGGTGACTTCACCGGTAACGCCGATATGCCATACGATTTCTTCCTTTCCCGTTACAACGAAGCTTACGTCACTGAGACCATTGCCTTCTGTGATTCTCTTGTCAACGACACACCAGTTCCATGCACTGGACAAGATGGTCTTGCTGCCCTTATCATGGCTATTGCCGCCGACAAGTCCGCCGCCGAAAACAGATGGGTTCGATTCGATGAAGTTGTCCAATCGGTCTACTGCACTGGACCTATGGAGTGCCAATTGGTTGCCGAGAGCGATGTCTTTCCAGAAAGCTTCCGACCATCTAACAGCCCCAAGGAGTTGTTGGTCCCTGAGTACGACGAACAAAAGGGAAAGAAGAAGGAGAAGGAAGGAAACTGGTTCAATAACCTCTTTTCCAGTTAATTGATTCTTTCTCTTTTAAAAAACACTCTTATTTTTTAATAATGTGATATGAATCTATTTTAACTCTTCTATTTAGAGCTCTGAATTTGTAACCTAGCATTTTGTGGTGTCGATCTTCTATTGTAGTTCAACAACCTATATCAATTCGTTCTCATAGTCTTCGGACCTAGCACTGTTGCTGTAGTTGGAATCGTCGGACATTACTCTCTCCCGACCTTCAAAGTCGTCCTCGAAATCGTACATGCGCCTTCCAAAATTATTCACGTCCGACTCCCCTTCTGGTGATGACAAAGGTTCATCTGCAAACGAGACATTTGGTCCTTTCGATGACGTTGGTGTCTCATAGAGACCACCCTTATCAGCGTTGGTTTTTCGTCCTCGTCGACGGCGTTTTCGCCTCTCGCGCCCGCTCTTTACAATATGACTCACATCCGAAACAAAGTCCTGAATTCCAATTCCAGCAGCAGTGTGTTTGGATCGTTGGTAGTCCTTTTCCCATTCTTCCGCGGGAAAGACACACCAGTGTGTCAAACTAAAGAAGAGCATTTCCAAGCAAATGAGGATATTCTGATATCTTCTTCCCCTCGCAGACGCTGATTCGCCAGAATTATTTTCCTCAATGTAAACAAACATGAGAATCAATACTCCCTGCCAAAATGTTAAGAACACAACGCCCTTGATAGTCAAGAACTTTGGCCACGGTCGAATCCACTGCAGATCCTCGCGGACCACATGGTAGAATTTCAAAAGCCCAGAAAACGCCAAAAAGACACTAAAGTTCACCACCAACGCAATGTAGAAAGAGAGACTCAGAAAGTAGTTTGGGGCGTTCCGAAACCCGTCCTCCACTTCTGCTTCGCCTTCTTCAAATAAAGATTGCATGGATGGCGAAACAGATGGTGCCATGGTGAAAGATAATGATGAATTTGGTGCAAAGGTTGGATTCGGAGAGGATGTCGAGTTGAAAAAATCATCCATGAAAGAAGGCGAAGCTGAATCGTCCGCGAATGATGGACTAGGCGTTGGCATTAGTGTTGCTGTCGCGTTTTCGACCAGCAGTCGTGTCACATTTCGTAGAGTCTGTTTGGCACCACCACTCTGATTCTCTCCATTAAGTTCATGTTGCAGGACAAAGGCTACATAAATGATCGATGTCAACGGCCGAATGAATACAAATTGCATGGCTGACATTTGACAGTCCGTAATCACAGCGTTTGCCTTGGCCTCCGCGGATGTATCCGGTGGAGGATCATAAAAGCGACTGAACAGTCGAGAAGGTTTTCGCAAGTGATCCGCATTCTTGGCCAGCACCTCAATCGCTCGATCCCGACTCCCTCGGCCCAGCACAAATATCATGAAACTCAAGAACTGATAAATGCAGTAGGATTCGTAAAAATCCTTGATAATCTTCATCCCACCTTCCAAAGGGGGATATAAAAGACTCAGAAATGATGTGACGGAATAAATGGGAGACATCCAAAGCAGGGAGATAATCTTTCGTTGAATCATTGGTTGATTCATCTTGGATATATGGGATGACATGTGAAACATGCTTATCAGGCAAGTCAGCAGGGTAAAGGTTCCACTCAACACGTAATTGATATTTTGTGCCTGTGCTTGCACTTTTTGATCCAATTCCTCAATTTGCGTCTCTGCCATTGTCGTGTTGGGAATGCTTGACTTCACTTGTTGAATCTTGGATTGCAAAAGGTTGATGTTGTTTTGTTCGGTTTCCAACTTGGCTTCGAGGCTCCGTATTTTCGTAAATTCAAAGAGCAGCACCATCACAAGACCGTATAGTAAAAGCATATTAAAACATTGGATTAACTTCCACATTATTTCACAAGCCTTCCTAAAGCGACTGGTGGTCGAAAACTGATTCTCATATGGTTCAAACGAGTTGTTTCCAATGTACATCTCATGAGAGCCAGATTCAGTGGAACCCTCACTCGGAGATAGGGGTCTCTCTGGTGTAGTGGTACCTCCATTCATACTATTGGCAATGCCGTTGGTGTTCCTTCTAAATACCTACAGTATTGATTGATTCGTTTGACGGGAGTTTGCCAATTCGTGGGTTTGAAAACAGGGTCGATATTTGATAATCATAAATGCATAATATGCATGCACGCCTCAATGCGAATACTGATTCATTCGATTAAAAGGCAGTCGCGCTTCAGTACGTGCGAATTTTTCTCGAAAATTGAAAATTAAAAATGACAACGGAGAGCCCACGATGGAATATTGAATGAATGAATGAATGAATGCGAGCACGTTTTAAAAGCCTACAGTAATTCATAAATTTCGACGATGCAAGAAGCTTCAGAATCCACCACTACAGGAACCTCTCAAGGGCCTTCACCCTTTACTAGTGCCCTTGATCGTCTTGAACAACCGACAGGCTTCGAAAATGTCTTCCATCAGGGCCGTGGTTCCTTTCAACAAGGACGTGAGTCTGCCATGAAAGGATTGGAACAAGGAAAGTCCCAGCTGAACATGTTTGGGACAAACTTGAAGACGAACATCAATCACTTTGTGGAGAAATCACAGGATCAGCAAATCAGGAATAGGGGGCAGTGGCATAACTTTGGACAGCAGCTAAAGACAAACGTGAACCAGTTGGTGGAACAAGTCCCGAAAGCTTTGGGGCCTCGACTCGGAGAACAACACACTGCCAATGGCAGAGTTTCATTGAGGAACTTTGGTCAGCAACTAAAGACAAACATCGGTCAACTCGTGGACCAACAGCAGCAGCCACAGCCCGACTTGTCGAATCAACTTAATACACTGAATGCACGTATGAAGGAAGAGGCAGAACGACGGGATGTTCGAAAAGTTAGTGAAGAAGCCTGTAGGAACGAAATGAAAAGTCACCTGGAAGAATTCTTGCAAAAGATGCCGAATGCAACCTATGAACAATGGATCGAAGATTTGCATCCAGAGAACTTGTCCGATCCACAGTTGTTGAAAGAAATGGACAAAGAAGTTGACTTAAGATTTTATGTAAAGGAATCAGATCATTTGATATTGTGGAACCAAAAGGTTCAGGATCCTGTCCGCCAAATTGCACCCAGAAATCGAGTCTGGAAAGATGACAGCAAGACGCAATTGAACCAACCAGCGTCCGAGCCTGTGGATTTGCTCGGTGGTGGAATGAGGCCTGCTGCGAAAGAACCAACACCTACATTTGCGATCATTCCAAACAACAATACCACTGTACCAACACAAGGAGGCGATATCGATCTAATGTCTTTCTAAAACTTTTGTATTATTAGAAGATTTTGAACATTAGAGCTGATGTAGGACAATAGCCATATATGTTAGGGAGTGAGGTCAAATTTTTTGATGGTGTTCCTTTCTGAATCACGGTCGATTACAATGACTGTGGTACAGTATCTACAGCATTGCAGTCAAGCAGCAGCTTACCTTTTCTTTCAGCAGGTCCTCGACAAAGTTTTCCTGTTTGTAATCCTTGTCAAGCAATGTGGTTCCATACTTTTCGTAGTAAAGGCGCTGCATTTCGTCAAATTTATTTTGTGCTGTTACTGGCGGTGATAGTCTCTCTGGCGGAGGCAACGGGTAGCAACTGGCTGGCCAGCAGGTGCGATTTGATTGAGCCAGAGAGGACATGTGAGTATTTCCATAATTTGGAAAGGACGGAATTGGCGAAACTGTAGGCCTTCCTGGTGGAGGCACCGGGTAACAATTGGCTGGTAGCAAGGTTAGAGTGGAATAAGCAATGGACATAGGAGTAATCCTGTATGGAGGTGGTGGAAGCGGCCTGATCGTGGGGTCAGAATTCATTTGAATACGACGAGTCGGTTTTTGTTTTGGTGGCGTGGTTGGTACCATTCCCTCACGAGCGGCCGCAGCATCACATCCATTGCTGATGGTCCCAATATCACTGTAGTCAGCCTTGAAAATCTCTTTTTCTCCATGTTGTAGTGAAGTTAAAATATAATTGCCTTGCTCAGTGGAGTTCTGGTCTTCTTCCGGTTGTTCTGCTCGGAGTCCTTCCGCCTGCTTCTTCTGTGGGGGACAATTGGTCTTTCTCAAAAGAGTCTTCTCGTACGCATCCCATGCTTCCTGACAAACTCTGGAGTCAGTTGGAATATCCCATTCTCGTACTGGCTTTCGGTCTAGAAATAAATAGAAAGTTTTAGTTTTTCGCCCAGCTCCTGAACCATGGGCAGCGACGACGGCCCTTTTCATTACTTCAGCATGTATGCCATCCAATGAGTTTTGGGAAATGTCGGCATAGAAGTTGAATGATGTATTCAATGCTCTGGATAGCTTTGTTTGGGAATATGCAATAGTGCACCGTTTTGGTATGTATTTCACTATCTCCTCAGTCGGCATCCATCTGTTCTGCATTACTCCGCCCCCTCTTCTCACAAATTCCTTGAGAGCTTTGGTGTGCACCTGGGCAGCGGGAATCGGCTTCGTAGTGTTCACCATATCGCTCACCAAATCCACTTCACTTACTTTGTATGTTTGGTCGTAGTCTGTGCATTTTTGTGGGAAATAAGCCAGTGTGAATGGAGATGCAGTAGTATTGAGAAAAGAGCTATTGTTGTCAAAAATTGTGACGTCTGGATTTTTGTCAAAGAACGATTTCGTTGCCAAAGAACGATCCATTCGATTGATTGATTGATTCATTCATTCCATTCAATCGTGGCTGGAGGGACTGCAAAAGTCCCTTTCAGCGAGCGTGCCAAAAACGCAAATGGAAAAAAAACACGAGACAAACCTGTCACTGCCATACTATTATTATAAACTTGAGTCTGCTGATCCAACCATAGAACCATGGTGTTGGCTGAATTAGGAGGCAAGCTTCGTGATTCGTTGCGAAAGCTTCATACGCATTCGGGACATGTGACACAGAGCCATCTGAAGGATTTGTTGGGCGATATTTCTCGTGCCTTGATTGAATCTGATGTGAATGTCAAGTTGGTCATGGAATTGCGGAACAATGTCAATGACAAGGTCCAAACATTGATTGACGAAGACGAAGAAAAAGACAGCAGCAAAAACTCGGATGCTGATCGAAGGGCTTCCCAAGTCAGTAAGCACGTACAAAAGGTTGTTGTTGAGGAGTTGGTTCAACTCTTGCAACCTCAGCGCAAGCCATATGTGATGAAGCGTGGAAAAGCCAACGTTGTTTTGTTTGTGGGTCTACAAGGAGCTGGAAAGACAACAACTATTGCCAAGTTTGCAAATTACTACCAAAGACGGGGATGGAAGACCGCCATGGTGTGTGCTGATACCTTTCGTGCTGGAGCCTTTGATCAGTTGAAGCAAAATGCGACTAAATTGAGAGTCCCATTCTACGGTAGTTACACCCAAGCAGATCCAGTAGCCATTGCTGAAGAAGGTGTGGATCAATTTTGCAAGGAGGGATACGAAGTAATTATTGTCGATACTTCGGGACGTCACCGACAAGAGGCAGGTTTGCTAGATGAGATGGCGGAAATTGCTGACGCTGTCGCTCCTGACAACACTGTTCTTGTCATGGATGCCACTCAAGGCCAGGCCGTCTTTGATCAAGCTTCTGCTTTTTCCAATGTCGTCGATGTCGGAAGTGTCATCATCACCAAGCTTGATGGCCACGCCAAAGGAGGAGGCGCCTTGTCAGCAGTGGCGGCTACTGAATCTCCTATTATCTTTTTGGGATCTGGAGAGCACTTTGATGATTTGGATCCATTCAACGCTCAATCCTTTGTCAGTAAATTGCTTGGTTTCGGAGATGTTCGCGGGCTAATGGAAGCAATGAACGGACAAACCGATAAGAAAACTCAAGAGGAAATGATGGAGAAATTCTCGAAGGGAGAGTTTACACTTCGTGACATGTACTCGCAGTTTCAACGAGTAATGAACATGGGACCGATGAGCAAGGTCATGGGAATGATGCCAGGAATGCCCGAGTATCTGATCCCAAAGAATGGAGATGACCAATCTACAAGCCGGTTGAAGAAATTCATGTACATGATGGACTCGATGACAGATGCTGAGCTAGACGGCAAAGTAGACTTTATCACTGACAAGAATGCCGATCATGTCAAGTCAAGAATCCGCCGAATTGCCGCTGGTTCCGGTACACACCCCAAGGAAGTCATGATGCTGCTTCAAGTGTACAAGCAGTTTGAAGGCATGGTTTCCAAAATGGGCAAGTCTGGTATGATCGGCAAGGACGCTCAGGCAAAGCAACAACAAATGGCGGCTGCCATGCAAAGAAACCCAAAGTTGATCCAACAACGGCTGAATCAAATGGACCCTCGCATGATAAAGCAAATGGGAGGACGAGAAGCCGTTCAGACCTACTTGCAAAACATGGCAAAGGGTGGAGGTGCTCCCGGAGGTATGCCTGGTATGGGCGGTTTGCCCGGAATGGGTGGCATGCCTGGAATGGGTGGTGGAATGTAAGTACCGGTACAGATACGGTGGTTTTCAGGTTTGATTGTTATCGTCGTATTCAAAATCTAACTTATATACTATGTCGATTATTTTGCAAACTGACAAAGGCCTGGAATGGAAGCTCTCATGGGCGCCATGGGAGGTGGAATGCCTGGTATGGGCGGCGGCATGCCAGGAATGGGTGGAATGGGTGGAATGGGCGGTATGCCCAATATGGGTGGTGGTGGTGGAGGCATGCCCAATATGGGTGGAATGGATATGGCCAAGATGGCCAAGATGATGCAGGCCATGCAGTCAATGGGTGGTATGGCTGGTATGGGTGGCGCTGGAGGTATGCCAGACATGGGCGGCATGCCAGACATGGGAAGGTAAAATAATTGGAGCAAGATACTGTCAATCCTCAAGAGGGATTCATCCACAAAGTTACAGCAGTGGAACCGTGAAGACAGTATCCCAGGCCAATTTCTTGCATCAAAATCCATTGTAAAAAGTAAATATGCCAGCACTTTCACACGTTCTTGTTTTCATTTTCACAATCAATGCACATTTCTGTCATGACTGTATTTGGTCCATTCTTCTTTGATCCATCGTATATTCGTTTTGCAATTCGAAACGGAATGGTTGGAATTCCTGTGGTCCAGGCAACATGAGAGCCAATCGATGCAATCAGGCCCTTTTCCCTATACATTGGTTCGTAGATGTTAACTGCCACCAAAAAGGTAGAAACAGCTTGGTGCAGTGACAAAAACAAGAGTGCGTATTGTAGTACTGGTCGAACTTCCGACAGCGAAACACTCGACAAGTGACCTAGTAGGGACAAGCTGAACCCGACTGCCCAGGAATATGGCGACGTCGAACCATCATCAAAATTGGAACATAACCACCCAAATCGAGTCACTGCAAAGAAAAAGCTGGTCCACAGACAAGTCTTCGATATCTTGCCCTTAGTCGTTTTCGAAACAGGCAAATCATTCTTATCCATGTGTACAGTAGCCATTGATTCTTCGGAAATTGTCGACTTTGATCTTCCAAACCATCTGCGCAGCCCCTTGTCTCCAAGTACAGAACTCAAGATGAACCGATACTGTGTTTCCTCGAGCACTGGACGCCATATCGATATACCCACAGTGGAGAAGAAAAATGAGGAACCTAGAATCTTCACTAGTCTCCTCAAAGATAATAGTGGTGATACGATTCCAACTACTGCAGATTGTGGCATGTATTCCAGTAATGGTATCATCATCAAGGGAGGAAGAGTCGTGGCAACCGCATATGCCGCCTTGAGTGGAAGCAAGAGCATTGCGTCGACGACGCTCGAGAGACGGTATATGCCTCTCAATGATAGATCGAAACCATGAGTCAAACTTTGTCCTAGCTCTGGAACAAAGAATCGAGTCGATGCGAGGACCATGAAGAATGGCAGAATGTATCGCATGGCTCTTGAAATGGAGTATGTCCAAAAAAGGTTCAAATAGTCATAGTGTACTCGATTGAAGCCTTCTTTAAAGTCTGAAACAAACTTGAATTCCTTTCGAAGACTTGGTAAATAATCTGGAAGATACGCAGCTGGAGTGGCTCCAAGCCTATTGGAGCTGTTGACACTGCTGTTGACACTGTTGACACAGTTTGACAGCTGTCGTGACAAAAAAGGCATTTCTGAAGGATCCAAACTCTGACGTCCATGCCGACTGTTTATGACTGGCTTTGCTAGACCCGTTTGATGAGATGTGAAAGCACTCACATCAGATTGCTGAGAGTGCAGTATGCACAACAGAAGAAGGAATGTTGCTTTCTCTTTCATAGTCGCGAAGATCTTTGTCATCATCCATGTGGTCGGTGAACCAACAGAAAAGACGAAAGAATCAATCGCCAAACGTGTTCGCAATTCTCATTTTGCCACGCGCGCGTGATGTCTCATCTCAACCGATCTCTCATCTTGCAAAAGGGCTTTCATAGTCCTCTTCACCAGTATACCGACTCACCAAAAAATGCGAAACAATCATGCAAATCTGGCAAACAGTACCTACAGAATACAAATTTTAATACCTCCCTACAGTACGATTACATGAATCATGGCGGATGGGAGGCCAACCATGGCGGATGGGAGGCCAACCCTTCAGAAGAAACTTACACTTCGAGACTTGAACGTTGAGGCAGAATCTGATGCTGAGAGTATATCTGTAGTCAATAATGGGCCCCTTTTGAGGGAGTCGAATGATATTTCCATTCGGAGTGATTCGGATCATGGCGACCAAGACGAACACGACGAACACGATGCCTTGGGAACGAGCGCACACGACAAATTGCTGGCTACTCTTGCGACCTTGGGCATTTCACAAGATATTGATACATCGGGTATGGAGGAGTATCACCGGCGTTTGAGCGACGTGACATTCTCCGACAAATCCTACATTATGGACTTGGGTCGGCAACAAGCCTCCAGGGAAGAGACGATACGAAAGGAAGCCTTTGAAGACTCACATATATGGTATGAAAAAGCGTAAGTTACAAGTGACGAGTATTTGACTATACACAGCAACATGGAAAAGTAATACCTGACAACAAATACATCGCCCTACCTCAAAAGTTTGGCGAAAGGAATGCCAGAAAGTAAAGAGCTCTTTGCTTCCATATTTAGTCAAGTAACAGAAGAAGTGAGAGAGAGGTATGTAGAATATCATAAAAAGCAAGATGAATGGCTGGATCAAGCGCTGGATGACTATCAGAAAAAGTTGTCTGCGGAACAACTGAAAAAAATTCAAGGTGCAGCGCCGACAGATGATGATGTCAAGAAGCAAAAGCTGGCAAAGAAAATATCAAAGACAGAAAAGTTGATGAAAAGGGCATCGAAGAATGAGGGTAAAGATTCGGAAACATATCTCAACTATGCAAAGAAACTTGCGGAGTACCAGACTAAAAGTGATGAGCTAGAAGTTCCAAAGGCACGCAACAGCAATGGTGGTACCACGAAAAAAAGTAAGGGGAATAAGAAAGATCGCAAATCGAGTAAATCCTCGAAACAATTGGACGATGATGACGACAGGTCTAAGAAGTCCAAGAGATCTACCAAGACTAATGGGACCAAGAAACTGAAAAAGAAGAAAGATACAAAAGAAAAGAAAAAAGGAGGCAGAAGCGGTAGTTCTCTCCGAGTGTCAGCATCAGCAGACGACGAGACTAAGAAATCGAGCTCATCGAAAGTTCTCGGCAAGAAGAAAAAAGCAGCGAAACCCGAGAGACAAGCATCTTTACCATCCTGAATTGGAAATTTGACTCCATGTTTCAGCTACCTCCCTAGCCATCCATACAGGATGATGTCACTTGATGAATGCGGTTTCCATAATGGGGAAACTTTACTATGAAGGCTACTGATATCAAAGGCTCTGATGACCATGGGATTTCAGACCAGACGAGCAAAATGCTAAACATAAGTGAAGAAAATGAGGACAACTAAGATGGGCTCAAAAACCTCAACGGACGCTGAAGAAGGGACGGGGTATGTGTGTCTGCTATATTAGAGTGTATACTAAGCCTAAAGCAGTTGGCGTTTCGCTGCAGTATTTTGATATGGACGCAGAACGTATTCGTTGTCTGCTTCTTTTTGTTCCAACGTACCCAACCGGATTTGATACAGTCTCATTTCAAACCTTGGTCCAACCTCATGCAATGTGACAGAATCATGCGCGGGTTTGCTGTACATGTGATGGCGGAAGGAAATGAAATCATTGTTGTTTGCGAAAGTGATGACTCGCTTTGTATCGTGTCGAGGAACTGGAAAGAGACACTTTAGAATATTACCCACTCGCTTTCCCAGTTCCGTGTTGAAATTGTGAAGAATAATGTGCGGAACAGCTTCGGACATGGGTGCCGCAGGTGGGTCCAAATCGTGACGCAACACGGAATTACTCAAACTAAAGAAAGCAGTAGGCCCCATGGGCAAGTGACATACCACCAATCCATCGGGCTCGCCTCTGGTTTCTTGCACAATAATTACATCCGTGAATTCAGATTGTCGACAGGATTCCATCAATTCATCGACTCGGTTGTTACCCCGATTGATTCGGACCGAATTGGGCACAAGCAGTTTGACTTCTTTGACAAACTGTTTGAGACGCGAGGATGGATCTCGGGAGGTAGTGACGCAGACCCGTGGTTCCAACAATCCAGCATCTCCATATTCATTATCAACGTGCGATTTTGGCTTTTCGGTAGTGATATCTTCAGCGTCGACTTCTCCTCGAAGCGCATCATAAGTGGCTCGAACTTCAGTGGGAAGAGGTTTGCCTTCAGCAAGTGCTTCTCGAATGATACGCTTTTGTTCGTAGGCAACTTTTTCGCGTCCTTCGAGAGTTTTGCGGTAGATGTATTCGCGTCGAAGTCTCGTTTGGCGACGTCGTGAGGCTGCATCACTAGAAACTGGCATATTCTACTTCTACCCTGATGGTTGAGATGGTAGTGACGAGGAAATATGGTCTATGGTCAAACAATCGGAGTGAGATGTTGAGACCTTGTTGTCGTAATTTATTTCGATTGTGTCGAAAATTGAAAAAAGTGATTGGTCTCCGATGAGGGAATTCGGAATTTGTCTGTCGACAAAATTGAAAACGAAGTCGAATGAATCAATCACAACATGAAAGTAAAGTGAACACCTCCCTCCTTTCTACTACTGTAGCTGTATTCATGTTCATTCATATCAGCGTAAATGGAGCGAGCAACAGCAATGGCACTCCATAACATGCGAGAACCAAAGGGTCACTGGATATTTTGGTGACCCCTTGAAAGGCCAACGCCCAAGCCGAGGCTAGCATGATTCGAGCACACATTTTGTGAATTCTTCGTATCTTTTGATTGGTCTTGTCTATTCCAAAGTCAGGATGTAAGAAAATGGCTCCTATCAGACCCACTGTCACTGAACTAATCACCAACAATAAACCAATTTTTCCATGATAACTTGTAAAATGCGGCCGCTCATATAAATTCTTGTTGTGGTAAATAGCATAGAGTCCTCCACAGGCAAAGATGGCACCCATCATGGCAATAAGACCATGATTCTTGGTATTCTTGTAGCCACCCATCTTCTTTGTCACTGCCGAGATTCCCGCACATCCAATCAAACCCCACGTCATGAGCAATGGATGCCACGAAAACGGCGAGCGCCATCTCCATTTCGGTCTGGTTGCCACGCAGGCTCCCATTATTAATGAATACGACAAAAATACGATTACCAGCGCTCGATAAAGCCCGGGAGTTGGTTTGGGCTGTCATATGATGAGGATGGAATGACGCAAACAATGCAAATCATGGATCTCGAAATGTGAGCAATAGCAGATTGTTTGATTGATTCATTCATTCTTCAGCACGCGACTCAATCAACAGAAGGACGTACAGTATCTGACATTTTTGCCATTATTCTTGTGGCCTATCTCCTCTTCTTTGACGACTGACTGTAGATAAAAATGTGGATGAAAACCGACGAGTTGAGACATATGAACAGCGAATTTGAATTGTGTGCACAAATCCAAAGACTGGATTCATTCGACCAACTATTTTGAAATCGAAAGAGTCAAACATCGATCGAAGCCGACCTCCTTCCAAGAAAGTGAACGAAGAAACATACACTAGTAATATAAAAACGAATTCATCACAATCGTGGACAATTTCAAACGGAAACCAAAGTAACACACTCATAATAAATTATAACACGCAATGACACTCACTGAATTGGGAGATCCCAATGCCTTGAAGGCGTTCTTGCAAGATAATCCAGTGAGCGTGGTCACCTTTTCCGCCACTTGGTGTGGGCCTTGTCGCAGTTCCAAACCTCAATTGGAACAACTGGCGTCGAAATCCCCAGTGCCCATTGGTTACGTCTATGAATCAGATATCGGAGACTTCTTGCACACCTTTGAAATTCGGGCCTTTCCTACCTATGCGCTTTTCCGAGCCGGCAAAGAAGCCTCCCGAGTAGAAGGTGTCAACTTTCCGGCCATTGAGGAAATGATTCAAAAGTTTGGTGGCCCCAAAATTCCAGAAAGTGGAGGCAATGCTTTGGGAGGCGGTGAATCTAAAAATTTGTCTCCAGAAGAAGCCCGCAAGTTGCGACTGGCCAAGTTTGCTGCACCGGCTTCTGCACCAGCGCCTGCAAAAGCGCCTGCTGAGGAAGAAACCAAACCCGCACCCATGGACACTTCAACCGAAAGCAAAGATGAGCCCATGAAGGAAGATGATAAGAAAGAAGATGGCGATGCAGCCATGAAGGATGCCGAAGGATCTTCAGATGGAATCAACCCAGAAGCCTTGAAAACGCTCATGAGCTTGGATGCTGTCGCCCTGAAAACATTGACGGAATCCATGGGCTTTCCCATGTTGCGCGCACAAAAGGGTCTCTTATTTGGAGGCGGAACTGTTGATAGTGCTGTTGACTGGATCATGCTGCATCAAGATGATGATGATATTGACGAAGCAATTTCGGAAGCTGCCTTGATCAAGAAAAAGTTGACACCGGAAGAGAAGGAGGCAAAGATTGAAGAATTGAAGGCTCTCATGAAGATCAAGCGGGCTGAACGTGAAGAGGCCGAAAAGGTAGATCATGTCGAGCGAGAAAAGCAACGTCGGTTCATGGGCAAAGAAATTATCAAGACCAAGGAACAAATGGAAGCGGAACAACGCAAGCGAGATATAGCCGCCCGCAAACGAGAAAAGTTGGATCAAAAGCGGGAACGAGATCGTATTCGGGCTGAACTAGAAAAAGACAAAATGGAACGCCGAGCCAATAAGGGAAAACTAAAGTCTTCACTCGGTGTCGATGGATACAATCCAAGTGCCATCCAATACAATCAATCCACTGACGGTGGTGGTGACTCAGAAGAACCTGTTGCCCAAAAACAGAAAAAGTCCCATCCCGAAGTAAGCAAGATTGATGACTACATCAAAAAGGTAGCGAGCTATCGAGCGGGTGGTGATGGTGGCAAGTGCCTAAAGATTCTAAAGGCCTATGTTGGTAATGTGGCGGACAATCCAGAGGAAGACAAATTCAAAAAGATCAACATGGACAACAAAGGTATGTTTGTCATATCGCTTCTATTTTTATGCGTCTTGCACAATAATTATCAAGAGTTCTCACATTCTCTATTCATCAGCCTTCAAAACCAAAGTCAAACCGTTTATTGGGGCAAAATCCTTGTTGTTGGCCATTGGATTTGCGCCTGCCGAAGGTGATCCGACACAGTTGGCTCTCAAAGAAGATGCTGATATCCAGGTCATTAAGGACACCAAAACAAAATTGGAGGCGGCATTTGTAGCGTTTGGATAAAGAAAATGATAGTTCAGTATTCATCATGAGCTCACTTTTCGTGATGCTCGTAGCTTAGCAGTAGAATCCCCAATACTGTGATCGAGGCGGATAGGAACCACTTGGTTATCGTTTCTCTACCTTCAATTTCCTTGAAGTAAAATATTCCCCACAATCCCGACACTGATCCAATGAAAAACCATGAGATAAAGTGTCAATTTCATCAATATAAGAGCATCTTTCCTCTGCTCGTTCTGTTCACTTACCCAACATGGAAGCCTGCACCACACTGTAGCCAACTCCTTCTCCCAAGAACTGTACGGAAATGGTCGCAAAGAAATTTCCAATGCTCCAAAGGATTCCACACGCGCTTCCAGGGAGCCACATTTTGCGGAAATGAAAGGAAGGCAACGCTCCATAGGCGCCGGACAACGAACCATGGCGTTGAAACAGAAACAAATACCGAATAACCCACAGGAACAAATTCACGATGGAAGCACCAATGGCAAAACTAATCAAAAAGTGTGTTCCTTTGGCATCGGGTGGAGCAAACTTCATGGGAGCCATAATACTGCCACCATAGATGCCACAAAACATGGCTGCCAATATTCCCAGGGTACGCTTTTGAACCTTCATACCACAGCAAACTGTATGTGTTTCTGGTATGACCATGTCTGAAACGGAATTCGAGGCTTCGACCAATGCACCGTCTTCCGATTGTTCGTCGTCTTCCGCCTCCTCCTCGTCATGAAACGAATGCACTTCTTCCACGATTGGTTCATCAGTTTCCAAAGAATGATACGGGCTTTCCTCGCTACCATCACAGTCTCCGTGCAATAGCTGAGGTGTTGGATGACAGACAGATGGGGCCGAATAGTATGCCATGCCCAGTAAACCAAACATCATACACCCCACTGCAAAACACGCATCCAGCCGGCTGTGTACATACTCATCGAATACAAAAATCTACAATATCACAAAGGGCGCATGGAGGGATGAGCCAATAGGAGATGCCAAGATTCCAGATCCAAACGAAAAGTCGGACTTACACCCCATGTAAAGCTGACCAACACAATGAAACTAGATCCAACTCCAATGCCAATAGCCAAACCAGCATTCTTGACGGCATATACGGTTGCTAAAAGTCAAACGAAAAGCTGTTGAGTAAAAAACAAGCTCAGCTTAGCTACAATGCCAGCCGTGCCATCCATTGCGTACCTACTCCCCCTGGGACCCTGAAGAAACGCAAATTTGAAAATGGAAGATTAGAAATTTTCAGACGAGCAGCAAACGATCCATGTTCCATTGGTGTACAAGGATGGGACGTACCAAAACAAGCCGCTAACAATACCCCAGGGTGTGAATATAAGCTCTTCTCCAAGCAGCAGAACGACCCAGCTTGTCAAGAAGCACATGGTTGTCTTGTACGTTTGCATCACAAGTGGGTCTGAAAAAAGAATGAACATAAACGCCACGTGTATCAGTTGTCGTCACTGAATAGCTAGCAGAGAAACGTAATGCGGTTCCATATTTTCTTACCGATATCCACACTCCGAGCAGCTTCACTCTTGATTGGTACGCCAAAGGTTCCAAATGCTAGCATGCCACCAATGGCAGCAAGCCATCCGCAGACATCACAATTCGCCACCATTTTGCGCCAAGTTTAATTCACCGTCCAAAAGCTGGATGGTTCAGATGATGATCTCGGGGTTGTGGAAGCAATTATTCTTCACTCTTTCGTATATTGGCGAGGAAAGGATCTTGTACTTGTCAAGACAAGAATGTCACAATGAGAGAACGAGGTCGTCAATTTTTCGTTTCGTGCATGCGGAGTTGACATTCGTTTCTTCAATCGGAAATTCTTCTGCAAAAGGGGGAGAGGAGAGGATCATCCATTGTCCCCCTTCAACGGATGTTCTTCGGTCATCAGTACTGGTCATGACACGAACTATGGATGACTTGAGTTGAGAAGCCCGTAGTACCGCTCTACGGCGGTTTCTACGACAGGCGGTGCGCGGAATCAATAAAGATTTCACCTCATGGAATGTCTTGGACTTTTCCACAATCCAAACGATTGACACAACACTTCTCATTTTATACTAGAAAACAATAATACATCAAAATGGATCATATGGATGCTGGATTCGTCGGTCTTGAGAGATCTCTCATGGTCAAGACCAAGACCCTTGACAGGTAAGCGGAATTTTGCTTTCAGAGTATCTTCTAAGATATCATGTCTGGAGTCTTATTGCTCAACGATTCGTCGTGGATATTCAGATTGACCAAGGAACTCGGTGAGGCAAAGAAGAAGTTGAACGATGCCAGTGTCGAATCTGACAAGAAGACTTTCTTGAAGGCACAAATGCCAAAGATGGAGACTGAAATCGGCAACCTCAAGGTTGCCATCTCTGAGCTTCTTGAAGAAGATGAACTTGACCCACGAGGAGAATACTTCATCTTGGCAAAGACACTTGTCGACTAAGTGCATATATCGCGTGAATCATTATGTGGAAGCCGTGGGGGGTGGAATGGACTGGGATACAGAGTTTATGAGACGATGGATTACCCATATCTTCGAAGCCGAATCTTGTCTGCTTTCTTAGTTTAAGAAATAAAACTCCTATGTAAAACTCATTGTAATTCAGATCTGTTCAGGGATCGCTAATTGAGTGGCTACTCATTGCATCGGCCGATGGCCATAGTTAGCGATGACATCAAGAGTTTTTAGTCGTACAACTGACAGGTGTGAGTGAGGCACATAATAATAATCACTTCGGCAGGTCACTCAAGTCGTATAAGCAACAAAGGTCAAGTGCGAGATAGACAAAGGGTGTGCATTACTTGGAGAGGTGTTAATGCGCTCACTACCATAGAGACAGCCGGTTTGCAGTAGCACAAAGCTGTGGCACAGTGCTCGGCTCGATTATCCTTCTTGTCATTGTTCAAAAGCTGACTCAAGCGACCGGTTGAATGAGAACACTAACATCACAACCTACAGTACCGGTATTGCACAACAGAGCACCACGAGATTACACAAGCTGGGATACCGGCAGTAGCTTTCTCAACCCAATGACATAGGTACAGAATGAGCAATAGCAAAATTGTTTTTAGAATTTAACATCTTCTTCGGAAAAATACATATGCTTATTGTGCCCAAACTTCTTTGGATGAGGTACTTCCCAGAGCTCAGTGTGGTTCTGGGCAAATATATCTGGTGTAATATTGTACCGATGCAGCATAAACGCCCATAGAGGTTGATCTCGCCATGAGTCCAGCTCCTGAGAATATCGCTCCCAGAAGGCTGTACTCACTTTCTGAAACGTCTTGGACCCTGGAAGATATGCCATACATTGATTCAGAAAGAGAGGCGACCTTGGGTCATAATCGGGTTGTGTTTCCATCCAGGCTATCGAAGCGTTAATATTCTCATCAATGTCCTTCTTGAACTGTCGGATGACTCCAAACTCCCGAATGATGCCCGACTTGCTTCTCTTGTGAACGTGTTGATAGAATCCATATGTCGTATTATGCAGTGAGACAGCAATATCATTCAGTGTTTGCAGGTCCAACCGTGGTCGAATAGAAGAGTCCACATAAAATATTGCATCACAATTCTTCTGCATTTCTTCGTTCTTCCAACCAAGGAACTTTCCATATCTAGAGTGTGTGATGCGTCGTCGATAGGTGAAGTTGGTAATAACTTTCTTCCAACCAGGAGTCTTCCATTGCTCATCATTCAGATTTGTGTAGAGATAGAATTTGACGTGGGGACTCTTGTTGATGAGCTTGATCAGTCGATCCAGCTTCTTGACATCGTGTCCATAGGCACAGGAAACGAAGCAGATTTCCTTTTGGTTGGGCACAGACTCGTCCAGTATCTCAAAAGCCCATTCTTTCTTGAGTCTAGCTTCTCTCTCTTCCATAATCCTGGTGTGATTAATGTATCCGGTGACCAGTGGATCAGTCTTTGCTTCCTGTAGGCTTGCGTCGCCGTCTTCATCCGAACTATCATCCTCATCTGAACTATCGGATGATTCCACCTTCTTTTGCATTATTGGGACTGCTGGCTTGTCAAACATCCGCACATCGTCCTCCGAAAAATACATATGCTTATTGTGCCCAAACTTCTTTGGATGAGGTACTTCCCAGAGCTCAGTGTGGTTCTGGGCAAATATATCTGGTGTAATATTGTACCGATGCAGCATAAACGCCCATAGAGGTTGATCTCGCCATGAGTCCAGCTCCTGAGAATATCGCTCCCAGAAGGCTGTACTCACTTTCTGAAACGTCTTGGACCCTGGAAGATATGCCATACATTGATTCAGAAAGAGAGGCGACCTTGGGTCATAATCGGGTTGTGTTTCCATCCAGGCTATCGAAGCGTTAATATTCTCATCAATGTCCTTCTTGAACTGTCGGATGACTCCAAACTCCCGAATGATGCCCGACTTGCTTCTCTTGTGAACGTGTTGATAGAATCCATATGTCGTATTATGCAGTGAGACAGCAATATCATTCAGTGTTTGCAGGTCCAACCGTGGTCGAATAGAAGAGTCCACATAAAATATTGCATCACAATTCTTCTGCATTTCTTCGTTCTTCCAACCAAGGAACTTTCCATATCTAGAGTGTGTGATGCGTCGTCGATAGGTGAAGTTGGTAATAACTTTCTTCCAACCAGGAGTCTTCCATTGCTCATCATTCAGATTTGTGTAGAGATAGAATTTGACGTGGGGACTCTTGTTGATGAGCTTGATCAGTCGATCCAGCTTCTTGACATCGTGTCCATAGGCACAGGAAACGAAGCAGATTTCCTTTTGGTTGGGCACAGACTCGTCCAGTATCTCAAAAGCCCATTCTTTCTTGAGTCTAGCTTCTCTTTCCTCCATCACTTTCGTGTAATTAATATACTCAGTTGCTTGTAGATTGCTGTGCGTTTCAGTATTCCTTCTATTCGGCGCTCGTGTGTTGCTTGAATTTTGTACTGTTGGGGCAAAACCAACATCGTGATCGTGGTCTATTGAAAGATGGATAGAACGACGAAAGTTGTCATAGATACTACTCAGCGCAAAAGAGGCTCCAATTACAAGGGCGAGCTTCAGTTTTATTCTGTCCTTCATGTTCTAAGCCTTTGTCTCATGAAGCTTTCTATAGAATGAATGCATTGGAGTGCAGTTGGGTTTTTTTGTTTTTGTTCGTTCGTTCGTTCGTTCGTTCGTTGTCATTGGACAAGCAGAGGAGATTGAGAGAGGTGGAGATGGCAATCTGTCCAACTCGGGACTGAAATTTCGTCCGAGCGACGGGAGGACGACGATGATATTGATTCATTCATTCATTCATTCGTTCATTTTCTTCTTTGTCGCTGACGTCAGGAATTGAGAAGATGAGACCTTGCTTGCTTACCGCTACCAGGTACCAGGTACCACCAAGGATACCACCGTGCGTTAGCATGGTAACCCGTATATAAACCTAGGAGATAAACCTCTCAGATAATAACTCTAGCCATTCAATCCTTTTTAAAGACTGATGTGGAAATTCAGACAGGATTCTTTGTAGAGGCTGTACTTATACCGTACCAAACCTGAACATACTACTCAAAGAAGGATTTGATTTCTGAAGGAAACTATAACAGCTCCAGAAAATGCAGTATTTGGCGAAGAAATGACGTTTTCTGATTCATTCGTTGAAACATTGAGACGGGTAGGTACACGTACCGACCACGTCACAAGTTCATTCAGGATAAGAAGTAGAGATTCCAGATTCCTTCGAGAAAGTACTGGGTGGTTTGTACACCAGTCAGTCGAAGGAATTTTCGGTTCCCATTCACAGTAGGGAGAAACCAGCCAGAATTCAACAGTCAAACTCTCAACACGAACTCTTCACAATTACACCAAGAGTAATATCTGCAAGTCAAAATGGGAAAAGGACCAAACGCCAAGAAGGGAGCCAAGATCTTCAAGACCAAGTGCTCGCAATGCCACACCGTTGAGGAGGGTGGACCCCACAAGCAAGGACCCAATCTTTACGGATTCTTCGGTCGTCAGTCTGGACAAGCTGATGGATACTCCTATTCTTCCGCCAACAAGAAGTCTGGTGTTGTCTGGGGAGAGGACACTTTGTTCGAGTACCTTGAGAACCCCAAGAAATACATGAAGGTGTGTACAATCTTTGCACTAGAACCGTAGAAAGATTGATTTGCGAGGAGTGGATCGATGGAAATGCCGACAGAGAATGTTGTAGTTTCGTTTGAATTCGGCATTAATGCATTCTGGACCGAACCTGAAGGTTGCAGCTTTCAACTCTTCCGTTTGATTTAGTCAGATGGATTGAAAATTTCTTCAGTCGCATGTCCGTCCTCCACTTTTCCTACCGATTAGTATCATGCTGTTCCTAACTTTTTCTTTTTTGTTCGGAACTCAGGGTACCAAGATGGTTTTCGCCGGACTCAAGAAGCCACAAGACCGCAAGGATCTTATTGCCTACCTCCAAACCTCGACCTCTGCTTAAACTAACCAATGGTTTATGGTAGATGAATGTCAAGGATTATGCAAACTACATTCGTATGGGAATCGGAGTCGGCTCGAACTTGCTCTGGCTCGAGGATCTGGACGCTAGCTTTGTATCATTGAGACTCAAACACATACTTAGTTCTCACGGATTATCCGTATATCTGGATATTATAATTGTTTAATGTGTGAAATTAACGTATGATCACAACTTTTCCCGACAAGTCTTCTCCGACGATGGCCATTTTTCGGTCGATGGATGATAGCAACATCGACTCATGACAGATCCCAGAGCATCACCAGTGATCTCACGAAGGCAATTGCCTTTGGAATCAAAACTCTCAATACAGCGAGGTTTATTCATGGAACCACTGACAAAGATATCCAACTTTGGATGCCAGACTGCCATGAAAGTAGTCAACCAACGTCCAGTCTGGTTGTTGTGACGGATACTCTTGGTTGGCTCGATGGTACTGGTCTTGAGATGGGCATTGTCAAAGATCTCGAGCTTGTCCATCGTGGTAGTGGTCAGCAATGAGGTCCCATCGGGCGAGAAGAACGCGCTGTTGACTGAACGACCAACAGAATATGAGGCAATTGGCTTGAGAGCTTTCTTTGCGTTTGATCCAAACTTTCGGATATCCCAAAGATTCACTGTGTTGTCGAGACCTCCGGAGGCAAGGATGTTACCATCGGGATGAAGGCTGTTATAAACCGAAGAAGAAAATTAGTTTTGTAAAGTGATACATCAGTGGAGTTGCGAAAGCCTTCCTCATTTTCCTTCCTCATTTTCGTACCTCAGACTGTTGATCTTCTTTGCACTCAAGTCCACGTTGAATGAAATCCTTTGCTTATCCGAAACACGAAGATCAATATGCATTGCTGTTCCAGCAGATGTGGACATGAATATACTTGGATTTGATCCTTGATAGCGCTTGTCAACAGCAACGAATTGGGTCCAATAATTGTATCCCTCATCCAAGTTATATCCAAGCTCTTCCAAGTATTCTGAGTCACCATTGTATGTCGCGAAGATCTCCTGAAATGTTCCTTTCTCTACGTTGAGCAAGCGAACAGTACCATCATGAGAGGTAGACACCATGGAATCTTTGGATACCCAATCCATACAACATACTGGCCGAGAATGAGGGCGGAATAGATGAACACCATTATTGCTTTCAGATCTTGAATCCACATCCCACAATCCAATATATCCTCCCTCGTCTCCTGCACCAGCTATCATCTTTGTCTCACTCGGATGACAAGCAACGCTATAAATACGATCTGGTGTTACCTTTGCAATCCATTCTTCTTTGTCGATCGAAAGGTCCTTGATTCTCTTTTCGATGGTCGTCATCGATACGCTTGCTGCCTTTCTGGTTTTGTTGGTTTCTTCCAAACTCATGATATCTTTCTGAAAGTCTTCCGCTACCTTTAGTGATTCATCAGTAATCCATTTTGGCTCATTGAGCTCAATTGCCTGTTCTAGCGTCAAATCGTCGTCGTGGTTGACGTGTCCCTTGAAGAATTGAAGGGCTCGCTGAGCAGCGGCAGATTTTGCAATGATATACTCTCCCAATCCAAGATCGAACATCTTTTGTTGATTTCTCTTTCGCCTTGCAACCATAAGCTCTTGATATGTGTCATATTCCACGCCTTCAAAACAATCCAACTGCGGATTTCCGGGCTCATCCCGAGAAGGATCATCATCTATGTCATGTGGGATTTGCTGGCGTAGCTGAACCCTTTGAATATCCCAAAAAAAGCCTACCCTTTGGTATCCACAATCTTGTTCCATTCATGAATCAGCTGAAAACGAATAAGCACCTAACGAACTTTAATATTGGCTATATCAATATCGAAGGTCGTCAAGCGTTTCTTGTGGCTGACATGCTGAAAGAAAACCGAGCGTTGCAACATCTTGAGATCTGCTTGACCATCATGAAAATAAACAATAACGATCAAGTGGACGAGTGCTGCGGCGCAATCTTGGATGCCATGTCTTCCAATACCACTCTAAGACATTTCAGCAATAAGAATGAGTCCGAGATGAATGTATTGTTGGCAATAAGAGAAGCGTAGAAAAAGATGATTCGCCAAAAAACCACTCTCCGCAATCGTACCGCTGATGATGCCGATTATGGAGAGACAAAAGTTCTGGTACGACTGAATGAAGTAGGGCGGAGGCGATTGGTGAATGGGGGAGCTGGGACAATAAACGATTGGATGGATGTGATGATCACTTTGTGCCAGGACCGAGACGCTCCTCCACGGACACACAGCAAGGGCTCAGATTTTCTGAATTCTTTACACAGAAGTCAATCTTTGATTTATAATATGGACTGTGCAAAAGACGATCTTTCCAGCCTTATATTACCTTCTTCGAATGAATCGGTCTCTCTGTCAGTACAATCAGCAAAGCCATGCTGGCAACCAAGTAGAAACTAGACGACATGCATACGATAGATGTTGTGATAAACCGTGGCCGCGGTGTTTTCCAGCATTGGCTAAATCTTGCACCAGCACTGCGATACCCATACGAACCGGCGTCAAGTGATGGATAATGATCCAAAAGAGAGGCAGGGCATTCTATTCCTGTCATCCAAAAAAATGTTGGTGATCCAGACTGAGTGCAACCGTGATTTTAATCGGTTGATGGAGATCCAGACTCATCAGCAGACTTCTCTTTCCAACCCTTGTTCGACTTCTGAAACCACCACTTTTCTTTCTTCGCAATGTGCTTCCCAGCAACGAAGCCAGCTTTTTCTTTCGCTTTGTCGTATTCATGTGCACCATGAACTTTCTTATTGGCTGCGTAGCCCATCTATATAGGATACGTAGTTTCATTACAGCACAAAGCCAACAGCGATAGCATGAAAATCTGTGAGCATATAGATTACAGTATAATGGACAAGAACACATATAGCATTCAGACTCCAATTCATTTCTCATCTTTGTATATAGTCTCTGGTTGTGCTATATCTTCCAAATAATGATAAATGACGATGACGTGATTGATACACTCACATTGTCCAAATTCTCTTCCGACATGAGTTGTTTGTCCATTCGGCATTGCAAGTAGTCCTTGGATAAATCGCGGCATTTGTGATGCGTGTCTCGGGACACCTTCAAGCACTCGAGATATGACTACTTGTTCCCGTGTAAGTATCACATTTTATTGAGTTGCATATTATTATAGGTGCGTCGTGTATGGTGCATATATAGGCATGACCACCAAAACGAATATTCAGCAGCAGCAGGAGGAGGAGCAATTAGAAGAAGAAAAGGTTAATATGTAAACTAGCATTTTCGACACAAACAAACGTTCCAATTTCAACTTCTTCTGTCCAGGATTGCAATTCAATTCGCTTGATCATGATGACACATATGTGGGAACACAAAAAGAATATAATGCGGCGGCGCCTCTGACGTAGTGATTCACTCACCTCCATGAATGGACGACATTCCCCATCATGATCGAGTGGGAATATCCCACGCTGGGGAGGTCGAACGTATTGCTTGGAAGTACTAAAGTTCATAGAAGACATGATGATAAGATTGTGATGCAAAAATTATTGATCAGTGCCTGCGTATGAAGTGTGTTGTCTATAATGTAGGACTGCGACCCGAAAGCTGATGATTGAAATATAAAATACTGTACTGTAAGAAAATGTTCCTCTGTACCAGGCACCTGGTACGTACACGTACGGGTTGATGCCATGCGTTCAGCGTTGGTGGTTGGGGGGCATTAAAAAGTCGTTTTTTCGAAAATATGCTGTCGTTGCTGTACATAAAATCAATCATTGATGTGCACTCAGAGGATTGGTGGTAAGTAGTAAGTGATCAAGCATGTTGGCGACATGGTGTACCATGTGAATGAAGTAGTAGCCAAGGGCACACAATACCCAAAATGACAGAAGCAACTACCGTAGAGTATAACTGTGGAGAATTATAGGCTTGAAGGGCTACACTTGAAGGAAAACAGTAGTACTGTAAGCAGGGAGGAGCGAGAAAAGAGAAAAAAGAGTCCAGTCCTAAATATTTTGTGTTCGATCAACTCCAATGAGATGCAACATATATTTTTCATAGTATGGATCGGTATCTCCACTTTCAATTTTGTGTAAGAAATATTTCTCAAAGGCAATCTTGGCAAGGGTGGCGACCTTGCCGTCTATAGTAATGTCAGTACGTCTGGGTGGGAGTTGGGGCAAGGTTAAGAAAATGGCACCTTCATTACCGAAATCAGTAATGCATACACCGTTCAGCAAAGCCTTGGTGTGGAGTTCTGGATACTGGTCTTCAGCACCATGCTTCTGTTGATGCTTGATGATGGCTTGGATATTCTTCACGGTAGCCGTCCCCATGCTTTCGATCATGTATCCGGTCTTGGGCACACCAGTCGGTACGGGCGTTGCTTCGATGCTGTCCATATGTGCCGCAATGCCCACAGCAAAAATGTTCGGATATTTCACTGACTGCTGGTAGTCATTCACTTGAATCATTCCCTCTGCATCCGTGAGCCCTGGCACCGATTTCCAGATTTCCATTCCACGAAAAGCCGGAATAAGCATGTTGAACTTGCTCTTTATGGTTTTAGAATGCTTGGAATGCTTTCCGTCACCGACGTCCTCTAGATATTCAATTGATACGCTCTCCTTGGTGACCTTGTCCACCTTACAGTTCGTGAACCATTCAATGCCCTTCTTGATGAAAATATTCTCCAGTATTTTTTGAGATTCCCCAGCGCCTTTCAATCCAAGATGTCCAACGTATGGCTCGGATGTGACAAACTGGATGGGGCATTGCTCTTGCAGTTTTGCACCGCCACGCTTTCCCAGCTCGTGATGGAGCAACAGTGCAAACTCGTAGGCAGGTCCAAAGCAGGACGCGCCTTGGACAGCTCCAATCACGACAGGGCCGGGGGCTTTGGTCAAAGAATCAACAGCCTCCGCAGCTTCACAAGCATGTGGAGTGGTACACACCGAAGCCGTATACTTGCCAGGACCTGTTCCGGGGATCTCTTCAAATGCCAGGCGAGGCCCAGTTGCAATAATCAAGAAGTCATACTCCATCTTATCACCATTGGAAAGCGCCAGCTGCTGTCTTTTTGGATTAAGTTGGGTGACAGCGGAGTTGATGAATTCAATATTGTGACGAGGAAGTATCTTTGTCAGCGACAAGCTGATGTCTTGAGGTTTGCGTTGATGAGTGGCAATCCACGGATTGCTAGGAGTGAATTGAAATGACTCGCGCTCTGACACGACAACAATGTCGACTTCTCCTCGAAGGAGGTGGTTGGCATCGTAGGCAGACGATAGTCCGCCAATACCACCTCCCACGACAACAAGCCTTTTGCGTTTCGTGTCCTTCAAAGCAGGTGATTCATCATTTTTTGGGTTAGGCGAGGCCATGAACAAGGGCTGATTTTGCGCAATTACGCGCTTGTTGCGAGGTTGGGCTCGCTGAGTGGATGCAGGATACCAGGCTCTGACAAGGAGACCCTCGTTTGGAGTCCAAAACATCCATGGAAAAGATACATGGCACAGTAGAAGTAGGACTAAAGCTTTTCTCATCATTGTTTCAGAATAAAACAATGGAATGAAGGATCAATAGGACGAGTGCTCTTGATAGTTATCTGGCGTCAGCCTTACAAGGTGGCTCTAAGATTTGCGAACCGTACGTTTGGAATTGGTTGACACCGTTGTTGGAGCATGTCCGAAAGTCTATGAATACATTTTTCCAAACGTTTTTCCGTCTACGGAGAAACTCCATATTTAGAGCCTGTTGAGGAGTCCAAATTTTTAAAAATGCGCCCTTCAACCCGAAAGTCCAAAATACCAAAATTTTGATTCGTTTGATTCCTTTCGATCTCCCATTCATTCATTCTTTGTGTACACACAGCATTTCATTGCTCGCAAAATCTTGTCATTTCTCAGAACATCCACCTTTCTCCAGCGCGATGGCTTGGAAAGTTACACTTTAGTTGTATACACGTAGTTATTGGGCAGTGATACCCGAAGTCTTGGAAGTATTGGCTCCTGATCCATATTGACGTGCGTTGCATTTTTTAAAAATCCAATCTCTGTAGGGAAATCAGAGTACCTGTAGTCATTCTAAAAAAAGATGGTTTGGGACGGATCCCCAGAAGTTCTTTTGAATCGAAAACATAAGTGCAGAGGTATTGTAGCCTCAATTTATAGAAACGAATTGTGCCTTGATCTCGGCAAAAATTCGGTTCTATGACCTTACATAGTTTCACGGCACATGATCAGATGGCTAAAGTAATCCGGATATACAAAGTGATGGATGACACCATAAAATCGTTATCCGAATCATTCAACACCATACAGCACTTGTTTTCAAACAGCTTCCTCAGAGCGAACAACAAACGAAACCGAGAGCAGGAGACAAAGTATAGATTGATGATGAAGCCACAGCGGCGGCAAGCGAGTCGGACCCCAAAACCGAGCCACCAAATGATAAAGAAGACAAGATCGGAACTTACGCAGAGAAAGACAGATGCGTTTCGCCAACAATCTACCACCGTGGTGGCTGAAACGAACGAGCTGGATGCTGGACTCAGTGTTTCCCGCAAGGGATATAATATTTTTTGCCAGCATCCCCTTGCTCGTTTACTTCGAAGATCGGCATGAGCGCTGCCGTCCACTGTGCAGCCAGAAACGTTTTCCGTATCTTAGGTGGTGGTGGTGGCTTGGCACCACATGATTCCATCTCGTTTGTGGCTGACATTTCGAAGCCCAAATGCCTTCTTTCCCCACTCTTTCAATTGCTGATACCTCCGGGATTTTCCGGCGGGGATATTACTGCATTTGGGAAAATGAACTCTCTTCGTGCCAGGTGCAAACATCAATGTAGATGCCTTCCAGCGACTTTGGGAAAAAACTGCTCATGGATGCAAAGTTTGCATGTTTTCGATTTGCTCGAGCATAGTGCATACAACGAAGACCAACGGGGGAAGGATGTCTTTGGTTTGTTTCAGTTGCTTGCGCAGGCTCGAATGGCTCCAGGAGTTGGGATCGCACAAAGCGGTGGAGACTGTTGAGATGCCCAATATCATCTGGCATGGAGAGGCGACACGGACGCCATTGTGTAGGAAGTGCTGACGCAGCTAGCTGTATGGGTGATTCTTTCTTTGGGAGAAGGCTTCTTAGTATTCCAAAAGCATATCAGGCTCCTTGAACCAAGTTCTGTGTGGGGCTCCACTACAATGCCTCGGTCAGCGTCATTCGTCGTGGTTATCGGTACAGAGAACGAAGAATTCCTCAAACATAGTAGCCTTCTACTGGATCTTTTGTTGTCGAATGCTGGCTAATAAAGTATATAGTGTGCCAATTGACACTATTTTCTCGTGGCGAGGCCTGGCAGACAAGCAAGTCTCAGATTACACGTTTTACGGGCAACCTGAGACTATTCCTCCTGCCTCTGCTTCAACTAATCAATGGTTCATGGTAGATGAATGTCAAGGATTATGCAAACTACATTCGTATGGGACTTGGAGTCGGCTTAAACTTGTTCTGCTCGAGGATCTGGACGCTAGCTGGTATCATTGAGATTCAAACACATACTTAGTTCTCACGGATTGTCCGTATATCTGGATATTATAATTGTTTAATGTGTGAAATTAACGTATGACCACTACTCTTCCAGACGAGTTTCCTCCGACAATGGCCATTTTTTCGGTCGATGGATGATAGCAACATCGACTCATGACAGATCCCAGAGCATCACCAGTGATCTCACGAAGGCAATTGCCTTTGGAATCAAAACTCTCAATACAGCGAGGTTTATTCATGGAACCACTGACAAAGATATCCAACTTTGGATGCCAGACTGCCATGAAAGTAGTCAACCAACGTCCAGTCTGGTTGTTGTGACGGATACTCTTGGTTGGCTTGATGGTACTGGTCTTGAGATGGGCATTGTCAAAGATCTCGAGCTTGTCCATCATGGTAGTGGTGAGCAATGAGGTCCCATCGGGCGAGAAGAACGCGCTGTTGACTGAACGACCAACAGAATATGAGGCAATTGGCTTGAGAGCTTTCTTTGAGTTTGATCCAAACTTTCGGATATCCCAAAGATTCACTGTATTGTCGAGACCTCCGGAGGCAAGGATGTTACCATCGGGATGAAGGCTGTTATAAACCGAAGAAGAAAATTAGTTTAGTGAAGTGATACATTAGTGGAGTTGCGAAAGCCTTCCTCATTTTCCTTCCTCATTTTCGTACCTCAGACTGTTGATCTTCTTTGCACTCAAGTCCACGTTGAATGAAATCCTTTGCTTATCCGAAACACGAAGATCAATATGCATTGCTGTTCCAGCAGATGTGGACATGAATATACTTGGATTTGATCCTTGATAGCGCTTGTCAACAGCAACGAATTGGGTCCAATAATTGTATCCCTCATCCAAGTTATATCCAAGCTCTTCCAAGTATTCTGAGTCACCATTGTATGTCGCGAAGATCTCCTGAAATGTTCCTTTCTCTACGTTGAGCAAGCGAACAGTACCATCATAAGAGGCAGACACCATGGAATCTTTGGATACCCAATCCATACAACATACTGGCCGAGAATGAGGACGGAATAGATGAACACCATTATTGCTTTCAGATCTTGAATCCACATCCCACAATCCAACATATCCTCCCTTGTCTCCTGCACCAGCTATCATCTTTGTCTCACTCGGATGACAGGCAACGCTATAAATACGATCTGGTGTTACCTTTGCAATCCATTCTTCGTTGTCGATCGAAAGGTCCTTGATTCTCTTTTCGACGGTCGTCATCGATACACTTGCTGCCTTTCTGGTTTTGTTGGTTTCTTCCAAACTCATGATATCTTTCTGAAAGTCTTGCGCTAGCTTTAGTGATTCATCCGTAATCCATTTTGGCTCGTTGAGCTCAATTGCCTGTTCTAGCGTCAAATCCTCGCCGTGGTTGACGCGTCCCTTGAAGAATGCTGGCGTCTCTTCCTTTTCTTCTTCACCACCTTCACCCTCGGCAACTGTGACAATAGATTTATTATCTGTATTCCAATTTGGTACATAGTAGTCTAGAGCAACGAGATTCGCTTTGTCGCCAGACACTCGACTAGATCGACGTCGAGCGGTAGGCTCTGCGTTTTTCTCTTTCTTCCTTTGAAGGCCTCGCTGAGTGGCGGCAGATTTTGCAATTTTCAATGCTGACGAAAGTTTCAGACTGCTATTCTCTCCCAATCCAAGATCGAACATCTTTTGTTGGTTTCTCTCTCGTTTTGCATCCACAAACTCTTGATATGTGTCATATTCCACGCCTTCAAAATAATACAACTGCGGAGTTCCGGGCTCATCCCCAGCAGGATCATCCATGTTTTCTGGTTCTTTGTGCTCATTCATATCTGTCTTTGAACGCTTTTGACTTCGTCCGTTCGATGCTGCCTCCACAACATCAGCAAGGGCCGCTCTTGTCCTTCGGTTTCGAGTTGCTGGCATCGTGTCGACAAGAATCCTGACAGTGAATGTTTGGACGAATGGGTTCCAAAAGTTGCGACCGTCATTTTCGGAGGCTCGTTGAGGCCGAGTCAGAGTCAGAACCGGCGCGCGAAAATTCGAACCCGGATCAACATCATGTTTGTCCATCAATAAAACAAGAGCATGAAGAAATCAATCGAAATCATCAAATGAAATGGACCATTCTTACTTTTACTAAGTCATGACATCCACAAATGATGGATTAAATCTACAAGTTTCTGCTCATTTACCCCAGTGATGCCATGTCATGTCCCAAGCGTTATCATCATCAAGCTTCATCCAGAAACGTTTTCCGTATCTTTGGTGGTGCTGCTGGCTTGGCACCACATGATTCCATCACGTCTGTGGCTGACATTTCGAAGCCCAAGTTCATACGCACTATGAGCCCAATATGCCTTCTTTCCCCGATTTTTGCACTCTTTCAATTGCTGATACCTCCGGGATTTTGCGGCGGGGATATTGCTGCATTTGGGAAAATGAAGTCTCTGCCAGGTGCAAACACCAACGTAGATGTCTTCCAGCGACTTTGGGAAAAAACTGCTCATGGATGCAAAGTTTGCATGTTTTCGATTTGCTCGAGCGCAGTGGATACAACGAAGACCAACGGGGGACCAATGTTTTTGGTTTGTTTCTGTTGCTGGCGCAGGCTCGAATAGCTCCAGGAGTTGGGATCGCACAAAGCGGTGGAGACTGTTGAGATGCCCAATATCATTTGGCATGGAGAGGCGACACGGGCGCCATTGTGTAGGAAGTATTGACGCAGCTAGCTGCTTCGATGATTCTTTCTTTGGGAGAAGGCTTCTCATTATTACTCCAGACGATGCCGATGATTTTCGGGCTTGAACCAAGTGCTGAGTGGAGCGAGCCACTCCAATGCCTCGGTCAGTGTTATCTGTCGTGGTTATCGGTACTGAGAGGGAAGAATTCCTCAAACATAATAGTGCTTCTACTGCATCATTTCTTGTAGAACGCTGGTTAATATAGTGTGCCAGCTGTGCCCGCTGTTGTTGAAGAAGGTATTGCAGGTGGAGGAACGGCGCCCCCATCACCGATTGAACATTCTGGGACTTATGAAGCACCGAGGGGTAGCTACCGTGATTTCGAAGGTAGTTGTAATGAGCAATTCCTCCGTTGATATCGCTCTGACCAACATTGCTGCCAACGGTGGTGCAAGCATGGTTTATTACTATTCCACTAGGTAAACTGAAACGGGGATTTGCACCAAGTAATGGACGTGTTGCACTGGGTAACATACCGTGACTGTGTAAGCTATATCGGTGTAGATTATTTTTGCTTTCGCTTTGTGACGGAGCAATATCGTGAACGCCACATATGGAAACTCGTTTTGGCTTTTTCTTCGTTTTGACGATGGCTGTAAGATTCTTGCCTTTTGATTTTGACCGTAGCATTCCTAGTGGCAAGGAGGGCGGGGGCGTTTCTTGTGAAGACATTGCTTAGAATTGTCTTTAGACTTGGTGACGGATGCCTTGATTGATGCAATCACTTGTTGCTGTTGTTGTTGTGGAAAAGGAAAGAATTTGAACTTTTGACAAGGAGTCGTGAACTGAATTCTACGGGAAAAGCTGGTACTTGGTCTACGGTAAAACTATCCAAGAATTTGATCACAAAGTTGAGAAAATCTCTTCCATTCATTTCTCGGATTACAGCTGTGACGAAGACGGCTCTGCCACAATATTTCAATGCAGTGAAACAACTTCAATTGTTCTTTTTCCAAGGTTGTCATCGAAATCAGCCAGCTGTACCAACAGTATCCAGAATTTGACTTTTTTTGATAGGAAAGGCTTTTCCGGTTCTTTTATAAAAGTCACGGGCCATGGCTACCGGTACCGTTTTCCGACTTGGCCGCTTCGACTATGGAAGTATAAACTGTCTAGTTGTAATGTAATTAATGCGTTCTATACCCTAATGCAAAATACAGTACCTCCTTTAAGTCCAACCCAAAAAAGTACATGCTCCCCGAAAGAACCCAAAATGCATCTTTGTCTATTTTTCCACCGCTGCTACTGCTAGTGTTGCTGCTGTATCTTTAGGGGCCACAGGCTGACATTGCTTCTTGTTGAATGCATCCACAACGGCGGGATCAAATCGAATCCCCCCTGCACGCGAATAACAGTCAACGAGACCAATTTGCTTGGCAGATGTCACCCAATAGTGTGTCTTTCCCCTAGACTTGTCACTTTCTCGAAGTGCTTGCCACTGTGATCGCAAACCAGGTGGCAAGTTACGGCACTTGCGAAGGTGGCAACGTTGCCAGGAGGTCACAAGTCTGTAGATTTCTGCAATGGACTTTGGGTAGAAGACTGCCATTGGAGCTTCATCACGATCATCCCGTGACTTTCTTGTCATGGCACAGTGGACACATCGCAATCCAACACGCCCGACAGAGGAACCTGGAGAATGCGTAGGCGACTTGTTTTGAGACTTTTGTACAACAAAGATATCCAAGAGATCGGATCTCAGAAAACAGTGCAAAGAGTTCAGTTTGGAATCATCTTGGGGGAGTGCCAGCCTGCGAGGATAGTTTTCTGGGATTGGGGCTGGGAAATCAGATTCGGTAGAGACTGCGCTGTCGACACTATCGTGTGAGGGCTTGCTGGTAATGCCTGGAGTGGAATCTTCGGCTGTGGCATCGCACGAGGTTGTTGGCTCGATTGTGAGCGGTCCTTCATTCACCGGTGTGACAGTCGCAATAGGGTCGTTGAGGCTGTCGTTTGAGTCATTTTCCATAGTCTTGTTGTTGCCTCTGGGACTCTCTGGTTTCTTCACCATTGCCCCGAGCTGGAGCAAAATGGAAGCTGCATCAGCTGTAAAGTCTTCAGTCTGCTTTACTTTTTCTTTCGAGGTCCTCTCTTTCGTCTTGTCGGCCTGATTCGTTTGCTCCTTGAGAGCGTCAGTGTTGGGGGCGGGGGCCGATGGAGAGGTAGAGTCCACAGACACGACACGTTCCACCATCGCAGGGGAATTGTTGTTGCTTGGATCAGAAGTAGAGGTCGATGGAGGAGCAGGAGGTGGTGATGGACTCTGACGAATGGCACTGTGATCAATAGATGTGTTCATTGGTGATTCAAAGTTTCTTGCCACCCGTTGGAATTGATGATCAGCGTGGTGAAGCTGCCCGTGCATTGGGTGATGATGCGGCATGTTGTGATGCATGCTGTTGTCTCGGATATGTCCTCCTTGGTAGTATGGACCTGCTGAGCCTGCGTTACCCATTGAAGCATATCCATGGTGAGGTCCAAGGTGATGGACATGATTCTGGACTCGTCCCATGTGGTGATGGTTGGCCCCGTAATGAAAGTTTGAAGGAACGGGAGGAAAGTTCGCCATGTTTTGGTGTGGGAGTCCCCCATGTCCAGGGACTCGCTGTGGGTGTCCAGCACCATCGTGGTGGGTCATATGATACGAATGCTGCATAACTGGTCCTGGACCTCTGGGAACTGGGCGGATCAAGTGAGCATTTGGAGCAGCTGCGCTTCCTGGTAATGAATAGTGACCATTCGGGTGCACTCCGTGGTGTTGGAAATGCGGCTGTGGCATTCCAGCACCTGATGATGACATGCTCTGGATGGGAGCATGATTATTAGCCGCATTCCCAGAAACAGGACCGGGCGCAGCCGACGTTGGAGCAGATGAGTTTGATGGAGCCGGGTGTAAGATTGGAGGTGAGCTTCGGTTGTGATACGGTTGATTCTGTTGTCCATTCTCGGGCGCTCCTGGGGCTCCGGGAGCTCCATAATACATTCTTCCGTAGTGTGATGGATTCATGGGATGTTGTGGGTGAGCGTGAGCGGCCGAAGGCCCTTGATTGGAATACCATTGACTTGGCATCGTGCTGATTTTTTGGTAATTTGCGAAAGATGCTTGGTTTTGCATGTGTGCCAGGCGAGGAGGTACTTAAGGGAAATTTCACACATAGGTAACGGCTCTTTTGTTTAAAAAAAAACCCGCGCTGTGTAACGGATCTACGAGAGAATAGTACTGGAGATTCTACGTCGGTTTGCTTGGGTTGGTCACACTCCACAATTTTTTTGTAATTAGACGAGTTGGTCGAGCCATTTCGATAACTTTTGAAAAAAATGGTGTATGGTTCATGGTTACTATGGAGCAGCTTGCGTGAGAGTCAGCCGTGCGGTTTGGATCACTCGACCGTTGGCAGCTCCCAGTGGTTCCCGCAAGCTTCCCGCCACCGTTAACGAACTTCACGTACTACCGTCGGTAGCACCCGCGTTACGTACAGTACTGTAGCTTGTTGGTACAGTAAGACATCAACACTCTCTAGCCATCGTCTATAAGTCGTCCGTTACCTCTGTCTGTCGCACGTGAACGAGCGAAGGACCTTTTACGTGCGACCGACAGACAGGGTGGGTTGACCGCAAGACGATGGCTAGAGAGTGACAGTAAGACTTCAAACTCTTCCGCCTTGCTGTACCGGTACTGGTACCTATTGGTGATAACTCCGCTTCATTAAACCATCGCGTGTTGTGCTTGATTTTGTTGGTACGATGATGGTTTGTCATTTGCAAGGTTGTATTTTGACGCAATCTCAAGTCTCGCGGAAAACGCAAGAAGGCAGCTTTTTGGTTGGGCGCTTTGCGTTCAGAGTCTCCAGGAGGGAGACTCTTCGCTCGCTTACGTGCGACCTACAGACGATTTGGGTCGACTGCAAGACGATGGTGAAGGCTCATGATAAGAAGAGAAGGTACAGTAGACATTTGGGAATTCCAACAGATAAGATTTTAACAATATCAGTACCGTAGGAGAAAAGGCACAAGAGGCAAATTCTTCACAGATTTTTTCTAAGTGCCGGATTGGTTGAATGTATAACTACAGTGTATTATATTTTGTAGGACTTGTTGTACTTTGAACATCCTCCTAAATGATGATCTACAGATGTTAACGATTAATCCCTTAAGAATTGATCCCACTGCACCATTTCAAAAGCATAGCTTACAACCATTGTATCTGTGCCTCTTTTTTGTACGAGCTCTACCTGCACGATACTATGCTTTCCAAGTTGCGACTTCATTATTGGGGGAAATGAAAAGATGTGGATCTAAATGGGGGTAAAAAAGAGTACTGAAAAGACACTCACTCGAGACACAAAACTCCAGCTACTATTTGCAACCATCCAATTTGTCTCCACTATCGTTAGCTGCTTGATCCCAAAGCCCTTGCCGTTATCGGGTGTTCCCAGCGACGTTATTGCACGTGAATTCTACTTGTTTGAGGTATTGGTGAAAGAACAGCCTGGAACAGCCGACCGCAACTTGCTGGCTCTTTCCAATCGTATCCTGACGTGTTTACGATCACCCAAACCTGGACCTATCGATCGTATGAAAGTTCATCTGTCTCTTTGGTACATTACCCTGAGGCTCTTGGAAGTGTGATCGACCACCTCACTCCCCCCAAACCGAACTTTTTCTTTTGACACCGTCTGTCCATTTGGTACATCAATCGACTCGATGGACTTACGTCACGAAGAACTACCCCTTCGCGCTAAGCGAAATACATCCATTTCGTTTTCCCATAGCGCCTACTCAGAGTGACAGATCGCGATTTCAAGTTGGGCGTTATTTCGATAACGGTCTTCGGCTGACGTCGATCACCAAGGTCAACAAGTACGTGGTCTTTCATCTGTGCGGTTCTCCGAACTCTCTGGTACGTTGCGGTACGCTTCTTCGCTCCATTTTATTATAATCACAACAAACATATCCATCATGAAGCTTTTGTCCCTAGTTTCTACCCTTTTGGCACTTGGCTGCACCAGTGCATTCGCACCTTCCAACAATGGTGCCCGCGCTGTCGTTTCCACCAACATGGCTGCCGCCGAGGAATTGTACATTGATGAAGAACGTCGTTTCTTGATGAACCTCATCTTGGTTGGATCCGGAGCTCTTACAGTTGGAGCCATCGGTGTCCCATACATCGCCTTCTTCGTCCCCCCGGGTTCCGGAGGTGGTAGCGGTGGAATCCCAGCCAAGGATGCCCTTGGTGACGATCTTTTTGCACAATCATACCTTGAATCCAAGCCTGCTGGAGACAGATCTCTTGCCCAAGGCTTGAAGGGAGATGCCACGTGAGTTTTCTCTGGTAAAGGTTTCTGTAGTGATATTGCGACGTATCAATTCTGATGAAATTTCTCTTTTCATTCCAGCTACCTTATTGTCAAGGAGGACAAGACCCTTGAATCTTACGGTCTGAACGCCGTCTGCACACACTTGGGATGTGTTGTCCCATGGTCTGCTGCCCAAAACAAGTTCATGTGCCCATGCCACGGATCTCAATATGCCCCCACCGGTGCCGTCGTCCGTGGGCCTGCTCCTCTTCCACTTGCCCTTGCCCACTGTGACACTGCTGAAGACGGCAAGATCATGTTCTCCCCTTGGACAGAGGATGACTTCCGTACTGGAGGAAAGGGATGGTGGAACTAAGCTAGAGTTACGGTGTCGTCTTTGTCGCAGCAGTAACCAATGTAACTTATAAGAAGCTATTTAGTTTTGTCGCAACGTAACATCTCTGAACTGCAATGAAATCCTCAATCGTTGGAATTCTCCATGATGGTGCACAAGTTGCAACTTTCGAAGTCGTTGGTAATTCTATGAGGATTCGGTTGCTTTAGAACCTACAACAAACGCATCCGAGTAGACAATTGAATAAATGAGTTTTTTTAAAGCATATCACCAACACCCAAGTCAGCACCAACCATGAAAGACTCTCCCTTCTCTTTGGTACCAGCTGGCAGGTTCATGCCAGAACCCACTTGGCAGTCATTCAAACTACAGTTGTTGCCTAGAACGGCACCAGATCCTAGTATAGTGTTTTGCAATGAACAGTTTTCACCAATGACTACATTGTCCATGATGATAACATTGTTCAGTCGACATTTGCTCCCAACCTGACATTTGGTGCCAACAATACTTGATTTCATGTTGACCTTGGCTCCTAGTTTGGATTCCTTCAGAACAAGAGATAAGAATTTTCCGTTCCATCTGGAGTCTGTGGGCATTGGAAGTTCAGATCCATTGGCCACGGTTTCCTTACATGCAAAAATATAGGCTGGGATGTTGTCTATCCGCATGACCGTCTTGGGTTCTAGCACCAAAGCGGATACTGAGTATGGTTTTTCACTGAATGCTTCGGAATTCTGTTTGTCCTTGTTTTCGTCATTCTCATCGGGTAGACTTGATCCAAAAGTAGCCTTCCTGCCGCGAAATTGCCGAGATACGAGGAGCGGAAGCAAACCAGCCTGGATTGATGAAATGCTCTTTCGTTCAACGAGAAGCTCTCGCACCCATGGAGCTAATGAGTAGACGTGGGCGTCGCTCCATTCGGTACGGATAACCAGCTTTCCTTTATGCACACGCGGTTTTGGGATGTCCAACTTTGCCGTGGATCCAGTCATGTCTTCGTCCGCTTCGACTTCAAGCTTTGATTCCTTCAAAACAATTCGAGGCAAGACAGGCGGGGACAAGCTACTGGTCTTGACTTTAGGATACGATAGTCCAATATATTCGATATCTTCTTCTTCGCGTCCCAGTCCTCCTTTCTTTGCCTGTTTTCATGAGAATGGAGCAAGCTTAGAGGTTGGTTGTTCAATGCATCTCAAGCCACTACGTAACATTGATTGCGTACCTTTGCTGATTCCTTCAAAGGAACTCCATGTTCATCTACTTCTCCGACATCTACCAACAGTGTTGTACAAGCCGAGTCACTACTAGGTCGAATGATAGCATCCAAGTTGAGGTCACGCTTTAGGATCACCAAATCTCCTGGAATTACAACAACTCTTGTCTTTGGGTGTACAATATTTTTTGCTTCCACCTGCCGCAAGGCATCTGCCGAAGCAAAGCAGTCCTCTGACAGCTTTACTAGTGTGATCTTTTGTTCCGTTGCTTTGTACTCGAGATTCCATACATCTTCCGTGTTGTCCTTCAACGTGCAGGCTTCTTTGACAAGAGTATCCAATGTAAGGTTGTCTTGATGGCTGACAGCAACGACCAATTCAGGGAAATTACTCAAACTCTGAATCAGACGCAGAATGGAGGGAAATCCAGCCACTGGTAGCAAATGCTTTGGCATATCAGCAGAAGTCATCGGGTAGAGACGGCTTCCTTTGGTTCCTGCCAATATCACTCCGCAAACTCGGGGATGCGTATTGAAGAAGGACTGTGCGTTGCCTCCAGACGATGAATTTTTCGCTTTCATTTTGGGTGAGTTTTCTGCTAGGGTCTGAAAACTATCAGAGTTGGATTAGGGAAGCCTCTAGTGTTGTTTCGAAGCTTGTTATGTGGATCCTACTGCGGTTTGGTTGTTGAGGTTTGTGAATTGAAATTGGGTCCATGTTTCTGTGTCACAACGGACAGACGACTCCTCTTCATTTTTTCAACATCCTTGTCCTTGATCCTTCGGTCTACAAATCAACGTTGATATCCTTTGGTAGTTCGTTGCACTAGGCTAAAGTTTCCGTGATGCAGGAGCACAGCAATGAGCAAAATTTGTTATACACTAGACGTGTTGTCCGATGGATCTGAATTCACTGGACCCACATTGTTTCTTTCGGTTTGGAAGAGACCCCAAAAATTGAACTCGGACCCATCTCATGAGCAATATGAATGGATAAGAGAAGAAATGAGAATGAACTCTCCTCTCGCACGCTATGCAATAGCTGGTCTTGGGGATGCTACAGCCCGCCTTTGTGCTGACCAACGCCTGAAGCTTGCTCCAACAAAGGCAGTGTTCATTTCTTCTTTGGAATGTTCGGACGGATTGTCTGCCCTCTTGTTGGCTCTTCTTTCCAGTGGTTCAGCCTCGTTGCATATCGTTTCCAGTGACCAGCTTGATGTGGAAGCACTCGCAGGTATCATGCTCGGAAAGAATCGACATTTGAATATTCAAACATGCCACGTACCCAAAGAACGACAATGGTGGAAGGTGTACTCGGACATGTACATCCAAGTCCACGCCAGGGGTACATTAGATCCAGGGAAGATTGTATACCTCTACACACTCCGTTGCTTCAAGGCAGCTAATTTTGCTAGTCATGATAGCGAGAGTTTCAGTGGTTGTGATGCAGATTGTGAGAGTGAGAGCGAAAGCGATGAGGGCAGTGACGGTGATAGAAGCACGTCCAAAACTCCCAGAGAGTACACGTTTGCTGTCTTTCCTCCTGGCGTTGACAACATCCAAGGGGAAGTTGAAGATATGAGAGACAGCCAATTACCACTGTTGGATTCTGGTGTGCGGACGAGGGTTGATCACATTGTTGCATTGGAACCAAAGCAAAATCATGAAACAGCTACTTTGCTTGCTCAAGAGAATATCGCTGTTTTCTTGACGCTACCATCCACCACTTTGGATAATGGATTGCTTATTCGGTCGCAGCAGTTACATCATCACTTTTCAAGTCAGATGCCGTCAAACTTTCCTCCGGTAATAGAGTCTGGTGGAGAAATGATGGAACCCGAGAAAATGCCATTTTCAATGACTCTGGATTGCAATCGCCATATCTTGAAGTCGTGTACTTCCATTCTCTTTGAGAAAGAGACAGAAGAGAACGGTAATACCAAGTTCATTGTCTTGGATCGTCGACTCGATATTTGGAACCGCCAGATCAGTGACGAATGGTCGACCACTGTGGCTTCTCTTCGATCCTTTGTGGCTCAGGAGACGAGTTCAATCGAGAACTCAGGCAGGTGTAACGAGGATGAAAACGAAATTGAATTAGATGACGAAGACAGTGAGAAGGATGAAAACGAAATCACCTTAGACGATGACAAAGATACCGACAAGGTAGACGAAAACGAAATCGACCTAGAAGATGAAACGCAAGGCAGCACAAATGGAAAGTTCAAAGATACCCAGAATCAAACAAATCTGATTTCCTCCGACCTACCACAGCTAGTAGTCTTGGGTACTGGGTGTGCATCGCCCTCTGCCATTCGAGGGGCTGCTGGGTATGCACTTGTAGTACCTCGTACAATCGGCGAAGAAAACTCACAACCAGATATTTTCTTGTTGGACTGCGGAGAAGGAGTACCAACGGTGCTCAACCGTACGTGCAGTGACCTGGATTGGAGAAGGAACCTGCGAGGTATCTGGATATCTCATGCGCATCTAGACCAGTAAGTGAAATTTGTATCATTGTAAGATTGAACGCAAGTGAGAATCATATTCCTCAAGAGTGCCTTTTTATTTGCAGCTATGGAGGTCTGCCAAGTCTTGTTCGCGCCATTTTCTCTGCAAACACTGAAGAGATTTCTCATGATCGCATCAGCGATGATGCAAAGCGACGTCGACTTGTAACAAGACAAAATATTCCCTGGGTCATGGCACCTCCCAAGGTATTGCAATACTTGGATGTCCTGTTGGGTTGCAAGTATGGAAAGCAGACTTTGAATGTATGTCACAAGCAACTATTTGTACCACTATTGCATCTTGGCCCATCTCCACCACCAGGACCTTGGTCCTACTTTCAGAATATCAAGGTGTATCACAATTGCTGTCCCTCCTACGGACTGTTGTTGCGATTGCAAGTCTCGGCTTCTTGGTTGTGCTTTTCGGGTGACACTCGACCATGCTCCTCCCTGATCTCTACTTGTCACCGACAGATCCCTCTCCACGAAGAGCTCTTGTTGATTCACGAAGCTACCTTTGAGGATACGGATCAAGATCAGGCTCAAAAGAAGAAACACTCCACCGTTTCGGAAGCCATTTCTGTTGCTTCCCAGATCGAAGCGTCCCGAGTCTTGCTGACTCACTTCTCCCAACGTTATCTCAGTATCTCGAAAGGGCATACGGATAATAATCAGGGATCAATCACAGACAAGAGAGGCAAAGCAGTTCCTGTTGGGTTTGCAATGGATGGATTCCGATTTAACTTCTAAATTCACAGCTTGCAAGCACAAAGTTTTTCACTAGTTGATTTTAAAAATAGCAATAGATTAGGAAAGGGCCTTCTTGCGAAGTTTAAGAAGCCTTGAGCCCAAGCTGGATGGTCGTTTGAATCCCTCGGATCCCTGCGTATTTCCCTCTCCTTCAAAATCACCACCCGCAGCTTGCTTTTGTGATTTTGTCAAGTACCCATAATCCGAAAAGGCACGTTGCAAAAACGGTCCCACTGTATTCAATTCGATGCTGCAAATTCCGGTAATAGTAATTTCAGGCAGCTCCCCCTCGTTTTTTTCCAAGTCTCCCTTGCTCATTTCGTGAAAATGCGATCGAATTTTGTCCGTTCGCACATTGGCCAAATCCTGAAGCACAATCATGGTCGACTTGGAGTCCATGGCCCATTGCAAGGATCGAGCAATTTCAAAGTAATAAAAGGGAAGCGTATCGGTCAACATGTTTTCTTGACGTTCTTCGGTCAAGGTTGCTGTCAAACTTTCAGGGCTCAGCCAATCAGGAATTTGGATTTGAGCAAGCTTTCGTTGCTGCAAGACTTTGGCTATCCACAGAGGAACTTCCATGGGCATACCGGCCACAAAGGGACCGACAGAGCTCTGTCGTTGTGAGGACATCAGCGGAAGCGTAGATTTGTAGGAAAAGGATGGGACGACTGTCACTGGTGTATTCTCAGCACAGAAGGAAGCTTCGTGACACAAATTAAACTTTCGGCTTGCCATTGTTGTTGCGTTGTGTGTGGGAGTGGTTAAATTCGATTGAACGTGACGTTTGAATGCTGGGTCTTTGGTGGTGATGGGAGGTTGAGAATGTCGTGTCTACTATACTATGGTATCAGTCAGGCCGTTCGGTACATTAGCGGTGCGGAAAATGCATTGAGATGGAGTTGTTGTTTCTCCAGCCTGCTGGCTCAACAAGATTTGGTTTGGCGCGAAAGTTGAAAATGGAGCTAAACAAAGCCTTCTTGAAGTGCCACGTGCCAGAACAATGACACGAGAAGCCAATGATACAGTGAGATGCTACTATACATATCTTGTTTATTTGAATCTAGAATACAGCTACATTCACATTGCAGTTATAGTGGAAACTTTACGTTGCTGCTAGCATTCATTTTCATTTCTACAGTTACATTACAATACATAGCGCAATGACTACACTCTTTTCTCATTGACAACCTGGTTTCGCATGCAGCCACCTATCATGTCATCGTTTGCCCTCTATAACACATCCCTCACGTGTCAGCCACAAAAGAGGGAAAAAATCGCGACACTAAGGCATTACCAACTCCTAGTTATCTCCATGATCTTAACAGAATGCCATTTGATTTCACATCACCAATGTGATACTTCCTCATCACCTCCATTTCCGCCTTGTGTTTGATTGATATGCATCCGCCCCATGCCGTTCCGTTCCGTTCTATTCTGTTCATGTCGTTCGCCACTCTATCGTAAAACCAAAAATTAGAGTGAACGTGATAGCCAGTATGAGCAAGGCTAATCGAATGTCGGCGTGGTCAGTATCATCATGATAGTGACAACACTTGAAGAAACCCCAACAAGGTGGCATCAATCGATAGCTCATCTCGGAAACAACTCGTCGATACAGATCATCTGGGACTGTTAGTACATACTTGAGCGGAGGTGTCATTTCCATCTGCGATATCGCAGTCAGACCCTGGTATTGGTCTTCGGCCTTTCTCCACTGCTCTACGGACACAATGCCAGGCTCCAAATCGTGGTCCATCATCAATCGCATCTGATCTCTCGGTAATTTCATCAATAGTTTTCCATCTTGCTCATAGAATAGACAAGAATGTTGCACATCCAAGACATTGATGGAGGTGTCAGAATTGAGTCGCATATGTACCGGGTGGACGGGCCCACCCTCTACTTCCAACGCCAAGTCGTGTTGATCGTAATCTTTCAATTCTTGATTCAATCGTTCATATTTAGCATAGAACAAAGCCCCCGCCCGGCTATTGCTCCTCATTGACGCGTTTCGAGGAGAAGAAAAGGGTCGAAACCTCGTTCTTTGATGTGGCGAGGGTTGATCGTCGAACCCTTGGTAAAAGAATTGACAGTCTTGTCGGAGTTGGTCTTCTACCGTGGGTGCTCCACCGATGAAATCGAATCCGTTTTCGGCTCGCATCAGCGAATCGGCTGCATAGCGAGTAGCATCCGCACCAGTCGGCTGCTGTGGAGCAATTTGATTGTAACTTCCTCCCCAAACCTTTCCCCACCAACTGGTTCGAGAGTCTGGTAATGCTCCGAGTCCTGAGATCATTGGATCCTCTCGATTGCTGTTGCCAAGGCTGTTGTTGCTGCTGATACTATTGTGCGCCGAAGCTTCCCCTTGTTCGACATTCATTGACGCATTCGTCGGTGCTTCTTTTCGTTTGGGAGTGCCTCTATTGCCATTCATGATGGCGGCACCTGTTGGCGGGACTTGCAAGTCAGTTCCGTCCATTCCTAGCACGCTCGTATGGGCATTTTGTCGAGGAGCCTTGCGCTGACGCGTTGGAGTTCCTGTGTGGTCGTTGGACGATCCCTCTGTAGCACTAGCCATCATATTGCCATGTATTCTTGACTCGGCAGAATAATGGATGATCAGAACGAATGAATGATGATGAAAATGGGAGTTCCGTTTTCGTTTCGCCGTACTGTGCAGTTCTACAGTATACGTACATTCGATGTACACTGGAGTTTTCGCCGAATTTGAAACATGAAATGCCTGTCACGCGTTACGTTACGCTATGATGTCACAGCATTGGATCCATTTCGAACCTTGCCGACAGTTGAAGCAAGAGTATAGGTTGAAGATACTATCATACTGACAAATACAAGAAAAAGTCAAATATAGAGTCCTTACTGCAAAAATTCACAACTTCTCGATAAGAGCCTTTTACAGCCGCTTTTTAATTGATCGCTAGTCCCAAAAGTACAAGTACACTCGTCTGTATCCTTCTTGTGCCGCCCTTGGGCAGCTTTGAGCCTCTTGGGTATCTCCAATGACGAGCAACTGCCAGTAGAGCGATACGTACTGAGTGGAATGCAAGATTTCTAGGTATCCAGTATTGTCTGGAAAGATGACAAAGTCTCCGAAAGGGATCATCCTATACTTGATGCAAGAAAACAGACAAGAGATTTGTTCTTTGGGTGGAAACCACTGCTTATGAACGGGTATAGCTTCTTTTCGCCGGCACCAAAGCTGAGCTCCCAGGGGGAAAAAATCAAAAAGGCCATTCCTGATACCGCGAACCAATAGCGCTTTCAGGCTGCAATTTCACGACACACCATTGGTGATTCCGCCGCCGCAACATTCGAAAAATTCCAGATTTCTACTTTTCGGCAGGCAGGAAAAACACAGTCATCATCATAGAAAATGTCCGGTGGCCGGCCAACATCTCTGTGAGATCGGAATTTGGGACAGCAAGGTAAGCTCACCAATGTCGTATGGGGAATGGAAGGGTACCGGTTCCTTATGTTTTGGATGGAACAGGGGCCCATGAGACGAGCATGTGAATGCACACATAATAGAACCAAGTGATCATAGGAAGAATCATCTTCGCCGGGAGGTAATGACATGAACTCCTCCAGAGTGCCTCCAAATCCAATCAAGTTTCGAACTCCCTTTGGTGTCTCTCCTGTCCATTCTTCATGCAGAGCAGGATCAATCGAAACACAGCTCCATTGCTTCCAATAGCAGGCTAGTACTGCAGTCCGGGGAGTAGATCCATCCCCAATACATAGACACTTGATCTTTTTCTTCTTTTCATTCTGACTAGGAGATACCGGTAGCCCATGCTTGATGGCAGCTTGAATGGCGGCCATGCTCTCTGAAATGTCTTTTGCACTCTGGAATACCCCGAGCGTCACTAAATCACTAAAACATTTCAATGAAAAGACCTGATCCAAGTAGTCGCAGTATCCAAAGTTGTTAGGTCTCCTCATGATTCCAGAATCGGCCTTCCTTCCGAGTTTAATCTGAGGTTTTGCTGCTTGTTTGCATCGTTCGGCTGTTTGATTTCGGCGACATTGGTGGCAAGTTGAAGTATCGTTGCTGAATTCTTTTTTCGAAAACAAGTGACGCGGTAAGCTTTGCTCGCATTTTTGGCAGGACTTATGCTGCTGGGTTGTATTGGGTGATTTCGAAGTTAACGATTCCATCATGGTGCAATATGTATAAGGGGTTTGAAATTTTGAGTGGTTGATGTTTTCGTCATGATTTCATGAAAAAGTAAAGACTAAAGAAGTCGTATCTGGACTAGTTCGAGTAAACTTTATTTGAAGCTCAGTCTACCTTGACAACTTGTACTTCCATGATCAAACTTTGGTCAAATCGTTGTGCCATTCTCCGTTGCTGAGCATATGATACAGGGAAGGGTTTCTTACTAGTATCAAAACAAGCTTCTTGTTCAACCATTGTTGCCGTTGGAACCACCTGAAAGTTGACAATGGCAAGCAGACCAGTGGTGAGCTTTCATCTTTCCAATTCCGAAACATATCAAAGAACAACACGAGATGCATCAATATATCGTACCACATAGTCCGTCCGGATGTCGCCACCGTTACCACCTCCACCTGGTCCGCCATCGCAAGCTTTTGTTGGCTTTTCCCATCCCTTCTGTGGCACAATGGAAAATCGGCGCAGTCCTCCAACCTTCATTCCAATAACGGCCTCATTCAATGCGGCAATGTTAGAGTATGCACCAACGGTTGTCTTGAAAGATTTGACGCCTGCTTTGTCTTCGTCATCTTCCAAACCGTATCCTAAGAAATGTAACAATGAATGTTGTAAGCCTTTCGCCAGTTGCCAAACTTCCATATTTTATCATCCTATCCCATGACCGATACTCACCCCTTGAGAAAACGACAGTTCCCTCTCCACTGATACCATCGTAACTTCGTTTTCCAAGCTTCAAAACCTTGTAGTAAATCTCGATATCATCGCCATCCTTCACTTCGACGTCACCAGTCCCATCTTCCACGTCGCGGTACTTGATACCCGTGCGTGTAACCTTTGGTGGAGGTCCTAGCTCTTCCTTTTCCCGCAACTCTTGCTCTCTCTTTTCCGCCATTGCTTGGCATTCTTCCACATTCGTGCACTTGGGTTTGGTGTCCCCCGAAGCCTTTCTTGGAGGGGGAGGAGCCACTCCTTTGACGAGGGCTTCGGCAGGTTGGTCCAAAACACTCCAAGCAGCCACACCTAGGAATACAGCAGATTGCTTCAAGTAGTCTCGTCGTGATGGTTCGGATTGTCCAAAATCGTCCTCTTGAAGACTAGCATGGAGTGCAGTTGAAGTTGTTCTTGACACACCCTTCGTCGATGCCAACGTCCATGCCACTACTGAATCTTGAGACAATAACAGACTTGCAGCCACTAGAGATCCAAGTCGAACCATTATGTTCCTTTGTGTGTGTCTTTTCGTGTAATGCGAAGCTTTCAATCGTTGAATCTACTAAAATTGATGGATTCATTCAGCGGTTTTCGATGACAGTTGTCATTCAATTTGACATGGCGATCCGATCGCTTGTGACGTCACAAATTGATTGACTCCAACTAAGATACGTGGTGATGATGGTGGCAAAATAAACCCGAAGTAAAAACCAGCACAACACGACGACAGCGAAGACAACCATCCACAGTTAGAAAGCAAACCACTCTCAAGAGACAGCTACACACGATAAAAATGAGATCATTCACAGCACTATTCCTTCTTCCATTGGCATCTGCCTTTGCTCCCACCACCACTCAATTGAATACTCATGCCATTCAAAGTTCCTTCTTACAAATGGCTAAATTTGAAATTGAAGTCGACATGCCTCCTTCTGACTCCAATATGAGGGCTTCCCTCAAATTTGATCCGATTTTGGACGTTCCATCGGAGATTGTAGAAGTCAGATATCAAGTTCCTTTTGGCCTCAACGTCGAACCCCAAAAGAATTTGGCCGTCTGCACCAAGGACGGAGAAGGTGGCGAAAAGGTTGGTGATGTTTTGAGATATACTTCCCAATGGACCTTGGGTCTTCCCAGTGGAGGTGGTGTGATTGCAACTGTTGCCAGCTTCGGAGGAGGTGTCTCATGGGGATGCTCCATGTTCAATGTCATGAATGCCAAGGCGTGGGAACAAGTGGTAGAAGCTCTAGTATCCAATGTGGAGAGCCGCACCGATGAGGTTGTCCTTATCTTTGAACGTCCTTTAGCTGAGAACTAATGAGCTTACCGATGTTGGCATGCAACAAGCTAGCTAGCTCGTGGAGAGCAACCAGAAAGCAATACGAGAACAAAAATACACAGCGCAATTCCAAACACTAATAAAGCATAGGACTAATATAAAGATTGAATTGATTTATAATAGCAATGGTATTATTTCTGTGATAATGGTATTACATTCCATTTCATCTGTATAACACATACACTTATAGGTTGGCTACACACGCGCTCATAGCTGCGTCGGCAACGGTACCATGTTGTTTTATTCACGAGCCACGATTCCCCGAAAATGTCTTGGCTCTCGTAAGTGCGCTAGTTGCGTCGGTTGGGGGCTGTTGCGTCGCTTCCTATCTCCGCACACCAGTTGGTTGGCTTGGATAAAAATAGCTAGCAATTTGGTTGCCTTCCCTCCTAAATATACTTGTTGTGTTCTCCGACTGCGGCCCTTGAAACGGAATGAATCGTTTGCTTCTTCATGGTTTGAATAGTCTTAGCTCGGTCCCCACCAGTCTTCTTCTCACCACCCAGATGCCTACTCATGTACTTTTTCATTTGATCTCTCATTGCCGGTGACAGGTTCTGTTCGGCTGGACTGACATGTTGGGTACTGATAGGTACGTGCAATGGCTGGAGGGAGATGGAGCCAGTGGTCTTGGCGGACTTGTAGGACCGTACTGTCGAATCGTCGCTTCCTATCCGCGTCATCGAAGATGCACTAGACATTTCGGTTTGAGCGGTAAGACTTTGAGAAATCGAAACTTGGTGGGGTTTGCGAGTATAAGAATAGTCCGAGATGGACACATCATCATGTAGGGTAGAATTACTGGAATCGTGATGTTGCAAAAACAGATTCCACCTTGAATCTCCCGAGACTGTGGATACTGTGGACTGGTTATCCATGTCCGCCGGAACAGCATCGATAATGGAGTCAATTTCTTCCCTTGATTTCACCTTGCGAACACCTTGACCGAGACAGTTGACATTGATGAAAATGTGAGGTGAATTCTTCCATGGTGCGTAAAGAATGTGAACTCCACATTGCTGGCAGAAGGCGTGCGCTCCTCGATCACGATCATAAGAGCTATCTGACCGTATGTAATACGTTTTGAGATACTTTTGACCTTTGAAGACTTGGAAATCAGAAGTCTTTGCCTTGGTGTGACGGTATTGAATCTTTCCAACACCATCTCGTGCTTGTAGACGACGAGGAGCAACGACCTCAAATACCACGCAACCGCAGTGACAACTTCCGGCATGTGTGATTGAGGAAGATCGGTTTGGGTGCAGATTATCATCAAAATTGTCATCAAACGAATCGACATCATCTTCGAGTAACATCTTCTTGAGAAAGTGTCTCACATAACTGAGGAGAAAGTGACTAATCGTCGCACTTGAGCTCTTGCTTGGACTGCTAGGCTTGTCTTTGGATTCTCCATTTTCCAAATGTCTGGAAGCAGTATACGAGAATCCCACGACTCGCAAAATGGCAAGGCAAAGACCCAAGGAAGCTGCTGCTCCCAAAACACGATCGGTTGAAGCACCACCGCCAGTACTGCTAGAATTTTGAATTGAAGATTTCATTGCGGTTGCCATGGAGGACCCCCAGAATGGAATGGACGGAGACGAGGACGAATCAGCCACCATGACTTCGGTTATGTACTGTAAGGTGGAGCTTCTTCCAATTCAAGAAATCGTCGAAGAACTGAAAATACGTTACAGTACCGGTACCTTGTACGCAAACTCTGCCACGAACCAGAGTAAATGGAAACCAAATAAAATTCGGAACAATCCAATTAAATTCGCTTATCCGAGCCAGCCATATCGACGTTATAGTTTTTGTTATGTGCTACGACACAGCCAGACTCGCCGCGGACTGAGAAAGAGGTCGATTAATTTGATTGTTCTCCAAGAGGTCCAGTGAGTCGTTCTAATTTCTCAAACATGACGTGTCATGTCGACGATTGTTCACAATTCGAAACCAGCTCATCCAAGCTGCTGCCACCATCGTTTCTTTTGACGGCGACAACTCGAACCTCATATTATCTACAGTATTATTCGTGTTTACGATCAAAGCCACCTCATTGACACCAATCCGAACTGAAGTCGTATTGAATCATCGTTTCCAAACCACAACCCTTCCTTATTCTTCCACAAAAAACGACACTACGAACACAAAAAGTGAAACAACGACAAACAAACATGAAGACAAGAATTCTCATTGGTCTCTCAACGGCCGGGTCAGCTGTTGCCTTTATAGGCAACCCAAATGCAGCCCTCCTTTCTCGCACCACTTCAGCAACTGCCAATATTCCACAACCTCTCTGGGCATCGACCTTGGAAGACGTTGATACCAAAAAGGCAGAAGCTGACGATGACGAAAATAAGGAAATGTCCTTTGGAGACCGCATGGCCAGTTCTGGAATGGCCAGTGCTGCTGCTGTTGCTACGGCTGCTGTCAATGCAGCTGTCTCCATGAAGCCCTTGGATGCCCCCGACGTGGAAAAGTCCTACGTGGCGCTGGACAAGACGCAACAAGAATTGGACGAAGAGGGTTTGCCGATTGTTTACGACAAAGATTTAATTGAACAATATTGGAGCAAGGAACGGGGAGCCTTGAATCAAAGATGGGGTTACTTTGTGGGTAAAGCTGTGCCCTTCCTTACCAAGATGACTACCTTGTTTATTCGAGATGGAAAGATTACGGATAAGGAAATTCCAGCGTTGAGTCGACAGGCCAGAGTTGATTTGCAGGATTTGGGTCCTACCTTTATCAAGGCCGGACAGATGATGTCGGTTCGACCAGATGTGTTGCCCCAGCCCACGTTGGATGAATTGACCAAACTGCAAGATTCAGTCGTACCCTTCGACACGGAAATTGCTGTCCAACAAATTGAAAAGGAACTTGGTGGTCCACTCGGTCAATTCTTTACTTCCATTTCCGAAGAACCCGTTGCGGCTGCTTCCTTAGCACAAGTCTACCTCGCCACACTCAATGATGGAAAGAATACCAAGGTTGCCGTCAAGGTCCAACGGCCCTCAGTCTTGGGTACCGTCTCAAAGGATTTGTACGTGCTGCGACGTGCGGCGGAAGTCTTTCAAGGACTCGTCGACCGATTTGCCCCTCAACAACGCACCAATTATGTCGCTTTGTTGAATGAATGGGCAATCGGTTTCTACACGGAACTCGATTTCAGCAATGAGGCTCGCAATCAACAAACTTTGAGAGATATGATGCGGGAAAAGAACATCAAGGGCGTGACCGTTCCTAAAGTATACCACGAGCTATGTACCCGTAGATTGCTCGTGTCGGAATGGATGGATGGCAAGAAGCTTAGTGATGCTACAACTGAAGACATTGCTAGAGTAACGCCCTTTGCTCAAGAAGCATTTTTGACGCAATTATTGGAGGTTGGATGTAAGTTTTGGATTCGTCATTTCTTGACTGTGTTCCCATGTTGGATATTTTACCAATTACTATCTCCAATTTGTTGGTTTAGTCTTCCATGGAGATCCGCATCCAGGAAACCTATTGCTATTGAATGAGCCCACGGAAGAAGGATATGAATTGGCATTGATTGACTGTGGTTTGATGGCGTCCATTAACGATGTGGACCGTGACAACATGATTAGTGCTGTCATTCACTTGGCCAACAAAGATTACGCCAGTCTGGTGGATGACTTTATCAAGCTTAAAATCTTGCCCGAAGATTCGAATCGTGCTGCCATCATCCCGCTGATGGATAAGGCCTTGAGCCCTTATGTTAAGGGAGGTGGTGCCAAAAAGTATGAGGAAGAATTGAAAAAGTTGTACGGAATGGAAGACAGTGACATGCAATCAACAGTAGGTGGATTCCAGGCCATGACACAGGATGCCTTGACTGTCTTGAACGATATTCCTTTCTCGATTCCCCCGTACTTTGCCATTCTTGGAAGGGCCATTGTCACGCTAGAAGGAATTGCATTGACTGGAAACCCCAACTATGGTATTATTTTGGAATCGTACCCGTTCATTGCACGAAAGCTGTTAAGGGAAGATCGCCCGGAGATTCAAAGTGCTTTGCAAGAAGTTCTGTACAGCGGAGAGGAAGGTGACAGTGGCCTCAAGCTTACTCGATTGTTAGCGTTGTTGAACAATGCTGCTGGAGCTGTCGCCACCAGAGATGGCGCAGCCTTTGTCGATTTAGATGCAGTACCAGAAAACGGGCTTGGATTCAAGGAAGGTCTCAAGTTTGTTTTGTCTGACGACTCGGAAAGTCTCCGAAATTTGTTGGAACCGGAAGTGGATTCGATTGTTGACATTCTTAGTCGACAAATCTTCCGCAAGGCAATCAGCGACGCTGTGGTTGCATTGACTCCCCCCAGACCACCGGCTCTTCCATTCCTAGGCGACATTTTTCCATCAGCTCCAAAGTTGGACGAGATTCGATTCCCGTTCCTTCTCCCTGGATCTGCAGGACTCCGTGATCCATCCTTGTCAGTATTGACAATTAAGGAGTTGACAGATGCTGTGGCTCCCAAGCTGACCCAAGCAGATGAGATTTTTGCACTGGGTCTTTCAGATGCCGCCACCGAGTTCTTTGGACCAGACGTTGGTGCTTTCGTCAAAGGAGAAAGTGTCTTCAGTGCGAAGACAGGTGAACTTGTCATTGCGGCACTTCGGTCAGGGGCAATCGGTGAAACTGATGCGCTCAGCCCAGAAGTGGTGAACTCGGTCATTGAGGCTGTTTCCAACACTCTATCCCTTGTGAGAGGGGCTAACTCAGAGACCAGCGGCATTGAAAAAGAACTAACAGCAGCAATCGACAATCTTGATGAGAATGAAAGTGCCCGTCTCAAGGATATTGTGGCCCAAATAACAGAAAGAAGTATCGCCCGGGCTATTGAAAGACTGTCTGTTGTTGACAGAGTCCTCGGGTCTTAAGTGACTGCCTTGAAGCTATGACAGTGACAATTAACTGTTAGGAACAAGGAGATAATCCGTTACACTAAGCCTTTCTGCCGATTAAGAGAAGACCTTCTCAATAACTGTGCAACTAGAATAAAATTTACGTTACTGTTTCTTTGCAGCAATAGGCCCAAACATTGATTGCCAGAATGAAGGTGCAATCCAGTTGTAAGCACATTCATCGACGTTTTCCTTCGCAATGTGATGAAGTTCGTTTGTCATGATACGGTCTTGTTTGGAGATGTATTTATCCAACTCTTGCTTGTTGCCAAAAGTCCCCTTGGTTTCAAGCTGTCGGCAGGTATGGTCGGTATCGAAAATGCATTCCAAATACTTGAGTTGGTTTTGCACCGATCGTTCATCAACTAATGGGTTCATACGACCAATACATCCTCGATTGAGACAGACACCACCGCAGACGGAAACTTGGCGAGTCACCAAACCACAGAGAGGATCGTCACATCTCAGCTCACCCTTGTAGTAGTCTTGAAGCACGTCTCGTTTCAGCATCGTCATAGCATTCATGATGCGCGACATGCACTCAAATGGAGTCGCGCTGCCCCAATATCTTGGGTTTTGGCAGGCGGGGTCACTGCACTGGAAACCGCTGGCAATCGTCCCCGTCCCTTGATCAGTCTTATGGACATACAAGACGCCCTTGAATTCACTATCTGTTCCACAAGATAAGCATGGGATTGTCAACTTTCGAACACTCTGGAAACGTTCCTCGTCACTCTTGAATGACTCTGGAACGTAGTTAACTAGCTGATCATCGTCGAGATCATCGCCTCCGAAGACGCTTCGCTGCTGATATTTTGCAGAATCAAGACCAAGCCGTTGTGCAATCAGTCCCTGCGAAAGGCCTTCGATTGGTTCGCAAAGACGTCCAACAGGTGGTAGAATTTGTTGTGTGAGGTACCACTCAATGTCTGGCTTCAAAGCACCATTACTTCTTGCAATTTCATCGGGATGGCGGGCCCGCTCAGTTGCCGACTTTGACTTCTCTTTCTCGTCAGTATTTTCGAGTGGTTCTGTAATAATGTAAGGAATGTGATCTCCAACTGTGAGTCTTCTATTGTTCTTGATCATCATCTTGGCGACATGGACATGTGGAAGAGCCTTTCCATCCGGGTAGTCGCTGGGGTGCTTGCTCAGCCCCTTTGTAATGGTATATTTCTCCAATGGTAGCTGCCCATCCCTCATCTTTTGGGCGAGTTCTTCGAGGTGTGTTAGAATTCGCTCAACAGAAACTTCCTTCTCTTGGGCAGTATTGAGAATTTGATCGAGAATGTATCGTCCAGTGTCCTTCGATTGGACACACCAATCACGCCGAACCAAATCGAGACCCTTTTCCTCTCGCCCGTAACTGATCTCGCCGTTTTTCTTCAACTCGGCAGTGATAGCTGCGTACTTTTTCTTCTTCAGAAGCAACATGGTCTTGAAGACACCATCAATCTCCAATTCCAGAGTCTTGTACAGCTTGTTCACTTCCTTCTTTACCTGCTCTCCAAGCTTCATGACGGTACCGAGTCCGTTGGCATCACTGATTCGGGTGTTGATCATGATACTATCGGTATCACCATATACCACTTCCAGCCCCACAGTTGTTTGCGCAATGTCGACTGTTCTCTGAAGAGTTTGACGTCCCATGGAAGTTACCATGGCAGCAATTGGTTGTGCATAGAAACGAGAATGCGAGAAACCAAGACAACCATACATTGAGTTGGCAGTCAACTTGAAAGCTTTCTGTTTGATGTCAAGCTGTGAAAAAGTTGCCACGCGTGAGAAACAGGCAAAACGCAGTGTCAAGTCGCAACAGGTCACTTCTAGCAACATACCTCTTCGTGCCTGTCAGGGTTAGATTCAGACTTCATCAATCGCTTGACTTGACGACGACGTTCGACCAGACTTTTAATGACCTTGGGCAAAACGCCACGTTGGTTGGTTTCTTCGGGCAAAGGAGGAAGATTGTCTTCGCCATTGGCGTCCCCTGGTTCCTTATGCTTCATCATTTGCTGTCGATGGAAGCGCGCCCAATCATTGACAGTTGTAAAGCACAGATTGTACTCTTGGATCAACGAAGGATACAAACTGTTGAAATCCAACAATAGAATATAGGTATCGTAGAGACCCTTCTTTGGCTCCAACACGAGACCTCCAGAATACTTGGCTTTTCCACCACCCTCTTCTCTCTTGTTACGGTACTTCTCCGGCACCAAGAACTTGAGTCGGTGAAATTCATGTAGTAGCAAGTACTCTGTCCTCTCAGCTCGATTACTCCTCATTGTACTCGACCAGATGTTTCCGGCAATGTTGGTGAGTTGCTTGGTCAATGGAAGGAGCTGCAACTTGAACATGAGCTTTTGAACCAATTGAGCATCGTTCAAGGTATGCAATGCCAAACCAACAATAGTCTTGCTCGTTCGAAAGTATTGTGGAGTATCCATAGGCTCGATTTCCTGCCGAGTAGTCTTGAGCTGAGTTTCGGCCAAGTTCTTGAGCGAGTAGGTTGTTTCACGCAAGTGCTCCTTGGCACCCAAATAGGTATCGCACAACAAACGTCCCGAGAGTGCATCGCGAAAGGCCCATTCCTTGCCCGAGTTGAAATGAGATCGGTTGGGCAACTCAATCTTTTTATGACGACCAAACTTGGACCATTGTTTGATCTTGAGTTCCACACATCGCGACAGCAAGACTTGAATGTCGTGCCCCCAAGCATTATGACCCACAATGACATCGGGATCCCAATTACCCAATTGCGTAGTGAGGTAACTCAACAACATGCGTTCGTTCGCCATTTGTTTGAGTTGTGGCATCTTGGCGGCAATCTCTTGATCCATATCTCTAGGGAATTGTGCCATAGTCGAAGTATCTTGATCCTCCAAATGAATGGGACGAATCAAGGACACTTGCGTCATGTGTCCCGACGATTGATCCGTGGCAGAATCCAAAAAGACCTTCTTGTGGCAGACGGCGCTGACTGAGACGATTTCGTTCTTGTGAGTTGACTGGTTGACAATAGTCTTGAGCTTCAAAGTCACAGCAACAACTGTTGGGGAAGGACGAGGAGGAGTTCCAGGTGGCACCACCATGTCCAATCGCTTGAGTTTCTTGGGGGAATCCACTTCGACTTCCAAGCCACACCATGAAATTTGACCAATACGGTTGGGTTGCGGATCTTGAATGCGAATCCAACACGGACCCATCAGATGGCGCTTGAGGATAAAGGTTTCCAAAATGGTGGCCTTGGCATTCAAAATCTTGTGGACATATTCTCCTCCATTGTGACAGATATCTTCTTGAGGCGACGGATGCTTGGCATCGTATACCACCTTGAGATATTTGGTCTTTTCTCTCGGAACATCGGGATCTTCAAAGGCATATTCGCGTTCCACCATCTTGCCACCCCAAGTAGCTCCTGCAATCTTGGGGATGCAGGAAGGCTGCAAGATATTCTTCATTTCCCCGTGGACGTGTTCCATGCCAACATAATCTCCCTCTGCATTCTTGCGCGGCAAGACAAACAAGTTGCGCAAATTGCCCTTAACCACAACACAGCAACTAACAAATTCCTGTGATTTGCTTTGGTCCTCTTGTTTGGATGCCACCTTTCCGTACAAGTGAATGTCCCCCCGGACTTCCTTGGCATCCATCCAAAAAATATCCAAATAGCGTTCGTCCTCTTTTTGAACAATATAAGAATCCAAATCCTTGGAGGCAGGAGAAACGGTATTGGCGGATTCGGCTGCAATTTCTTGAGCCTGTGCAAAGGAACTCGAAGAAAAATCAATCGCAGGAGCTGAAGTGGTGGAATGCTTGTTATTCGTCTGCTGATTAGTGGTGGGATCCATGGACGCTTTCTTGGACTCGGCTGCTTTTTTAGCGGCAGCGGATCGGTTCTGAAGCAATCGTCGAGGAGCCAAACGCTTACGAATAGAAGGTGTAGGTTGATTTGCCTCCTCAGGAGTCACTGGTTCGGCACTGGAAAGCTGCCCGTCGTCTAGAGGAGTCTTGGAATTGGAGCTGTCACCAGTGGCACTATCGTTGGTTTCGCTGGTTCGGTTGTTGTTATCAGGAGATGTCTCTTGCTTGATGGTAGGAGAGGACCCATTCTCATCTGGTTCCATCATGTGATCGTCGTCATCGTCATTGCCAAAGTCGTCTCCAAATCCAGAGTCAATTGGTTCATCGTCTTCATCGTCTTCATTTGTTGCATGATCCTGCATTGGTTCGTCTCTAGCTCGATGATGATGAGATCGGACAGGAGCCCGACTGCGGGACACAGAAGTGCGAACGCCGCAGCGTCTCGCCGCAGCATTGGAAGTCCGGAACTGACGACGTTGGGCTGGACGGTTGCTTCCACGAACCGAAGACGAGCTGACTCGAGTCGGGGTCAAGTCATCCAATTCTCCCAACATGGCATCCAAATTGGAAGACGCCGATCGTGAAGCACTGCTACGCTTGGCCGAAGAAGATTTGCGTCCCGCCGAAGTTCCTTGTTGCACAAAGTCCCACATGGATCTGTTGGTCGAGGTAATTTCTTGCACCTGGGCGGCTGCCGCTGCGGCATTCGCTTCGAGAGCAGCTCGTTGCTTTCGTGCTTTCTTGAGAGCGGCAGTGGTCAAAGCGGCACTTCCGTTGCGCTTCTTGACACGTTGGTTGCCGTGCTCTTCGTCGCCCAATCGTTCTTCCCCATCATCGTAATAACCAAGTCCGTCTTTGCGGTTAAAGCGAAATGGATGCGTGAGAAAGAAATGATAGGATGAATCACAATGCTGCATGCATGACAATTATTCCTGTTTCACTTACCGTCATCGACTACAAAGTCTTCTCGTTGCCGACGCGAGTTGACCAAATTCGCGTATTCCTCTTCGTCGACCACGTCGTAAACGTCGTCCTCTTCCTTCATGTTGGCTTCAAAAATGTCATCGTCTTCTCCCATTTCTCGTTTGCGCTTTGCCGAGCGGAATCGGTCCATTGCGGCCTTGCGTTCGGCCTTGGATTTCGCCATGGTCTATTTGTGTTGGGTTGGGTTGGGTTGGGTTGTGTTGGGTTGGGTTGGGTTGGGTTGGTTTGCTACCGTACAGGAACGAAGAATGATGATCGAGCTGTAAAAATGACACCGGGTTGACCCATGTTTTTTGGATGGATTCAATACTCGTAGAAGGCTACTTACTGAAATGTTTACACAAAACTCAGTACATATTCCTGGCGCGAAACAAAGGCATTCGGATTAATCGTTCGACGGTGACAAGAGTAGTACAGTATAGGTTGATATAAAACAGCTATCTAATCATCTAAAAACAGCGCGTCAACAGGGCTCTCCTTGAAGTTCCCCAAGTCTTTCTGATGCATCGTACTGTATGAGGATGTATTGTATACAGCAGAATATGATTGAGTATTGTGACGTTGCTCTCCAGTAGGTCCAATCTACTATATGAATGTGTATGTATTTGCTGTTGATAACCCAATTTCAAAAGGGAGATCTGTTTGCTCTGTTGAGAAAGCTTTCTTTGGATGGTTTTGCTTGCTTTATTGCATTCTCCTTTGCGAGCATTGAATTCTTTAGCCAAGTGAGATGTCACGTGGTCGGTCAAGTGGGAAATCGTTGCATCTATTTCCACGATCGCTTGCTTCCAGTCATCGCTAGAAGAAGCGTCTACAACTCGAGGTTTTTGATCAGATAAAACCTGACGTGATATAGTACTGCACCCCTCACTCTTCATTCCTTTCGGCAGAGTTTGTTGAATTGCGACTGAGAGAAGAAGGTAAAGGAAGAGTGGTCACCGCAGCCACAAAAAACTGCACCTGATGCGTACCATTTCATCCGGTTTCGGTTTTGTGTTAGCGACCATTTCTGGTTTTCTTGGTCGCGTGAGAAAGACAATAATATGCAGCATGTGTGCACAAATACCGTACCGGTAAACAACATAGCATGTTATAACATAGTGATACCGGTAGCTCATCGATTGATCTTGCGCAGCTTCGTACTCTGAGAGCGCGCTTCATGTGTGTCTTGCATTGTTATTTGGTATGTATGATCAACAACAAGCCTCAAGAATCATATCCTCATCTAGTATAGTTTAGAGCATCGTCATTCTGCTCTCATATTATACCGCATATGTGTCAATAAATGCAGTTCAACAAGCAATGAAGAGATATGGTGCTAACCAGCGTGTCTTGGCTCTGAACCATTTGCCCAATTCATTGGTTTCGTCCTGCTGCTCGCCAGATTGTTAGTATCGTTTTGGACTCGACCTTCTTATTCTTTTTCTTTGATGGGAATATTTCCACCTCTGCCGTCCTTACCACCACCGAATCCAATGCTCCAGTCTTTTTGTGGACTGCCTGAGAGGTTGTCTTCGTATATGTCCCGTCATGACGATCATAGTGGTCTGTCAGGCGAAAAATGCCAAGTTTTTGTTGGCGTCCTTGCGAGTTCCAGGACAGGGCGAATCGTGCAATGGCATGTTGAGGATGATCACTGGGCGTCGTACAAAGGATTCGAAACGTTTTGGTTTTGTATGACAGAGGAGCCCACCAAGGTGCCTCCCATTGAGAGTTTTCATTCTTCGTGGAGGAGAAGCTCCAATTGGGAGGCGTCGGCATGCACAAGCAGTCCAGCACTGTCACTCTAGCTGTCGTCATCGCGGCAAATATGACAATGGCTAACACCACAAAGCTCAGTGAACCAAGAAAATAGCCTCTGCGTGAAGAATGCCGGGTGACTCGAACTTCTTTATAGAACTGTTGTTTTCCAGCTGGTCCATCTCTTGTCATGACGTTATACTCGATAATTTTTCCTGCTTCCGGGCCCGATTCCACCTTGCAAACCACCCGGTGCTTGGACGTATCCTTGACATCCCAGTACATGGTGTACTCTACGATGCCCTCTTTGGGAAGTTCCGGTGGGCGGGAGCTATTGTCGTGTTGTGATATTATTCCTGCCCCAAGTGGCCCCTTTGATGTTTCATTGAGGGACTGCTTTGTCACCACCATCATGGAACCATCTGTCTCTTGGACTTGTGTGTGTGACGCGACGGTCTCTCCTGTGGATTTTAACCGTGTGACTATTTTTGTAGTGGTGGTTCCCGTGGATTCGTCCCTTGAATACGATTCTGTCTGACAATCATATTGACTTATGCCCTCCATTCCCAGCAGTAAGTTGGTGCCCAGCTGTGTTATGAAGGCATTCGCAGACTGTGTCATGCCATCTAATGGCGATGTTGTCTCGTGGCCTTCACCGGAGGAAGGAACGAAGATTGTTGTTGGTCGTTTGTTCTTGTCTTTCGTGATCTCATTCGCTTTGGCAGAGGCCTTTCCCAGCGCTTCTTTTCCCGCCTTTTGAACCTGTGCAAGCTTCTTGGATAATCGCTGTCGTTGCTTATGAAATACCATGCTGTGTGGTCGGTTACATGTGGAATATGTTCTGTACCTGGTTATGTTGTCCTCTTGTGAATTGAATGTTTGTTGCATGCAGAAGGTATATTTCGATGTATCTTCATTGTCATTGGTTGTATTTGCTTGCGCGCGTACATATTCAAAAATCTCAGACGCATGAGAGCATGAAGAATCTTTTCTGGAATGAATGCCCAACCAACAACGAACCATGACACCACGAACTGGCATCTAAAAGTACAAGTATCAGCATGACAAGAACATTTGATTCTACACCTGCAGAGAATGTAGTCCGCGAAGTTGCAGATATTTTAGGTGCCGAGGAAAAGCTCATCAATCAAATGTGTGAAAATATGGAAAAAGAACTCATCTTGCAAGAGTGGCAACTTTCAGGTAAGTTCCAATTGACCTTCATCCCAGACATGTTTACCACCGGCACGCAGAATAATCATCATTTCTTTCAGCACTGGAAGCATCCGAATGGAGACTATTAGGAGCGCCCATTGGAGTCGCTGCTGCGATACGAAAGCTCGCATCTGAGGATGCTCAAAGAGGATCCAATTTCGAATCCTTTAGAAAGAATGAAGCCCCCGCTTCCATGTTCTCGACTCGGTCCACCTTCGCCAAGAGTCTGACACAGGCGGTCAGAGCAGGTAACGAAGCTGAGTCACCTGCATCCGAGCATTTGACGTCCATTCGGGGCGCAAATGAACAAAGTACTAGGGATCATCAAACCATTGAAGAAGCGGCGGAAATTGAAGAGTCTGATAGAGGTGTGTTTGGAAAATCAACTCCCACATTATTTCAAATGCTCTACAGTTCCGGTTGTGACGTGTTTCGAGCACTATATTCGAAACCATTTCCCATGTCATCAACTTTCGACCGGGCCCTCTTGCACAGTAAATCAGGGGCTGATTTGAAGGCCCATACGGTGTTCAAATTGGAAATTGGCGTGGTTGCAGCCGCGTTGCTTCTCGGCGCATCCATCGAGATGTGGGGTTTGTTTCCAGCAGATGGTACTCAGGAAAAACTTATCATATTTCGCTTGTTGAGTTATACTTTCTAACACGGCCCCCCTTCTATTGTTCTTCAGCCGTCGATTGGCAAGCAACCGCTCCTGCTGATGGTGGTGAGCCAGTTGTACCTTATGTCATTGCTTTGATATACAATTCGATTAGTGGGCTAGTCATATTTACTGAGCTCCTAAGCGTATTCATGAATGTTGGACAGCTGATGGTGACGACCGCCGTGGCCGAAACTAAGTTCCCTCAGTTTTTCCAGCAACTTTCAGCGACATCAGGTTATACTAATGGGCTGTTTCAACTAGGATTGAATGGGTTCATCATCAATATTGTGATCCTAATGGTGGCTCAAACAGCGGCTGTCACATCAAATCGAACAATCATGCTGATCTGTGGGTGGATCGTTCCAGCAGTGATTATCATTCCATGCGGTTTAGCTTTCCATGTCATCTTGTCGTTTGTTGGGCGATCTGCGTTCAACGGATACTTGCTAGTAAAGGACGAGGTACCGAAAAATGGTCCAGATCTTGATAAGAGCATTGACGCAATCAAAATAGAACAGGTTCTATGCCGAAACTATTTCGAGAATGTTAGCACAAACGACGAAGAAGTATTGAACAGGAGCGAACAATTGAAGCAGCAGCATTTTCTTAGAAAGCGCACTATGAACGAAGAAAGCAGGACGATACGAAACAGCAGAATGATAGTACCTCTGGCAAAGAAGCACAATGTGGGGGCAGACTACTTCCCAAAATTTCAAGAACCGCAAAATCAATGATCCGCACTAGGCTTAAAGAATTGTCAGTCTATCAATGGTTTCTATTCGTGTGTTTTTTCGCGGTTAGTCAACTATGCTCGATTCCTCTTTCCCCGAGATGGAGCCTGTATCAACTCGCTTTTCTCGCGGTTCAAACACCAGCTCCAAGTCACGATCCGGTCGAAGTGTCACACCTGGCTCCCATTCGACACTTGTCGCCCCTTCTGGACGCTTCACTTTCACATGTTTCAGTAGCGTGCCCAGAATGACCAGTGACTCCCATTGCGCAAATTTGTATCCAATGCATCGTTTCCGACCGGCTCCAAATGGAAGATAGACAGACCGATCGTAAGGGCCATCCCAGAGATCCTTTCCTTCCTTGTATTCCAAGAATCTGCTAGGATCAAATTCTTCTGGATTATCAAAATAACGAGGATCCAAATGCATGGCCAGGGGTGACAACATCAACAGCGCCTTGCGTTTCCACAAAATGTTACCAGGAGCAATAATCTTCTGCTGCACTTCTCGATCAAAGGCATACGAGGGAGTCCGCAAGCGCAAGGCTTCGCAAAGCACTGATCGCGTATTTTTCAACGCCTCGGGATCTTCCACTACTCCAGGCGTGTATCCAGTTTCGTTTTGAATACGATCGTATTCCTCCACGATAATATCTTGCCAGTGCTCGTGTTTAGGATCGCCCAAATACCAAAGACTCCAACAGAGAGTGATTGCAGTGGTCTCATGGCCTGCGAGGAATAGGGTCATGATTTCGTCGCGTAATTCTTTATCATCCAATTTGGATCCACCTCCATCATCGTACCGCGCCTGCAATAACATGGAAAGCAAGTCGTTTTTAGAACCCAATCCACCTTCCTTCGAACCTTGCATTTGTCGTTGCCCGTTTTCAATGAGACTGTACACCAAATCATCTAGCCGCTTCAATGCTTTTCGAAACTTCCGGTTTCGCCGTGTGGGAATCCACATCGGTGCCGCCAATGGATGGCGAGTGTACCACACCACATGTTCTAAACACACCACAATGTCATTGTAGATGGATTTTTCTACCACGTTGGTCGAAAAGAGAGCCAAACCGACTATTTTCATGGCAATCGCCGACAAGAGTTCACCGACGTTTTGAGTGGTACTGGTACTCGTACTGTTCGAAGTCAATGACTGGCTATACTCCATAGAAACAGTTTCCATAATCTCTAAGAATCCCTCTAGCGAGGATCGGTCCATACCTGGAAGAATCAATCGCCGTTTGCGAGTATGGTCTGGACCATCCGACAACAAACTCCCTTGTCCAGCCAACAAACCAACTCCTCGCCGATCCAATGCTGATTTGTAAAAAATGCCTTCTTTGTAGTTAGGCTGTCCCTTATCGCTCAAGACAAATTCAACTAGCTTAGGATCAGTTATCAGCTCAAATGTCCCTGCAATCCCCGCGCTCAATCGAACTCCAGGAAGATCGTTTTCACGACAATAGTTGGCAAGTTCGAGCAATGCTTCGGCGGTGTCCTTTTGAAAGTGCTTCAATATACCTATTAGTGGATGATATTCAAGCTTGTCCAGTTTCGGAGCCTTTGGAAGTCGTGTCGGGATGGAAGATGTATCCGTATCCTTTGACACGAGAGACGTTTCTTGTCTTTGTTTCCACCATTGTCGCAGCGGTGGTTGCCATCCTTCGATGTGAATGGAGATGAATAGTAGAATGAAATGAAGCGAGAAGAGATGAAATGAAATTCTTCGTCGCATGGCAAATGATCGATTCGTTGAAAATAGCTAGAAGGGTATTGACTGTAGACTATGGAACACTATGATGAAATCTGTTCACTGTCATCCATAAAAGAGTGACTTCGAGTCCAATGGTTCGACCCGAAGTGAGGTTTTGCAAATAAAAAATCAGACGGTATCATGTATCATAGTTAGAGTTGACCCTAGTGATGTGAATGTATCTAATCAAAGTTGGACGTGGCCGCTTGCAAAACTTTTTCATCAAGATTGCGCTCCATAATCCAGTCATCGAGGCAACGTTCGCCTTTGGGACCCGACACCAGAATCCGTGTCACAGTCACATCACGTTTTTGGCCTTGTCGCATTACTCGTCCCACAGCTTGCTCTTCCACCGAAGCATCGGCGACGGCATCTGATCCTGAATAGTATGGATCGTATATGATTACATTGTGACAAGCCTCTTGCAAGTTGTGGCCTGCAGCTTGCTCAAAGGAAAGCAAGAGAATACGTGGACGCTGTCGTTCTGCTTCGCTGACATCGACATGACGGAACCATGAAATCGTTTCGTTTTGCTCTTCGACAGAGCTTTCATCAGACACGTGACAATATCGCTTGCCACCAGATTCGAGCGCCTTCAAGGCACTAGCGTAGCCACCGAAGGAAGTGTTGGCAAAGACGATGATCTTTGTGCCTGGTTCTTTTTCCAAAATAGCATCAACACTCCCCAAAAGAGCCGAGTGTCGAGCTTTGGAAGAGCAACTGATGGAGAGAACATCGCCAGCTTTTTCTCCTAGTTGACCAGGACTAAGATCGAAAGTGCTTTGGTCGATGTCATTGGTCAGTTTTTGAAAGTCTTTTCCTTCCGATTCGCTCATGTTCACGTGGACGTTCTTCCTGGTGAGCTTCACTTGCAGTGCTTCTCCACGATTACGCTGACAAGCTTCCTTGACGTAACGGTGGCAAGCTTGCTGGACCGCGCAGCGATATTCTCGACTACGAGTGGCCTCTTGCTGATTTAAAAACAGATCACGCCCAGATTCCCGCTCTTCTTTACGCCAATGATTCGAAGCTCCAGTCAAGTAGGTCCCGCCCATCAGATTGGCCAATTCCGTAACTCGAGCCTCAGTTTCGAGCAAAGGGGTTCCAGTCAGTCCCCAAACACCAGTCTCTGCAATCAAGGGACGGTTGGAAATACTCGTTTCGGCAACCCCCAAGAACTCTCGAGCTCCTCGTCTGGCAGTCGCTTTGAAATCTGCATCATTAGTCTCACGTCCTTTTCCTGTCACGAGGGTTCTGTGGTTTGATAGTGAGAATATTGAGTGGAACGATGCTGTTCGTAGACAAGTGTCTATATCGTACTTACTCGTGACATTCATCAATGATGATTCGTTCCCAGGTGAAGTATTCAATGGGAACACCACGTTGCGACGGTGCGAACTTCTTTTCCCGTAGCTTCTTGATGGCTTCGGAATAACAATGTCCATAATACGCTTGAGAGTCCCTATCTTTCTGCTTCCCTTTGTTTCCAACGTAGATCTCAGGTCCAGAGCTCTATAGCAAAAAAATACAAGCAGCCTTAGCCAACAGAAATTGTGGGAAGAATCCAGCTGGACAATGTCTTACCATGTTGCGAACCCAAGTTCCTTCAATGGTTGGAGCTTCTCTTTGAGAGTAATATGTTGGTGCTTGCGGAATGCTACCTGCCCTTGCTTTCTTGGACAAATTCTCTGTGTATGGGCGCTTCTTGCCCTTCGCTTCCTCGATGAGGCCAGCGGGTACAATGACAACATCTGCATTGCAAAAATCCTCGACGGAAAATTTCATTAAAGCACTTGTGGAATCAACCCGAATGCATCGAAGCTTATTTTTGGTAAATTTCTGAATGTAGGAATAGTTAGATAGAGCCTCGAGGAAAATTGATGAAGATGCAACAAATACAATAAAAATGAATCACCTTTCGTTCGTCATCCCACTGTTGGACTAGTCCAGGAGGAACAACGATTAATGAAGCGCCAGATCTACCTGTTTCAACATTTCTTCTCGATCGAGCTTTTTCTGCTCCCGCTAAAATAAGTGCTATTGTCACCACTGTCTTCCCTGATCCAATTGCGTCGCCTAATACACCACCCCTTAAGGGCGAATGCTTTGCTGCTTTCGCAATCAAACACCAGCCAATGCCAGGAAGGACAATCTCGGATCGCTCTTCTTCTGGAAACAAAACTTCTCCATTCTCGATAGCTTGCATGCGAGTCAATGCTTTCGCTTGACGTTTGTACAAGGGCAACTCCATATCGCCCACAATGGTCTCAGTGTATCTATCAGAGTTTGGCACGTGAAAGTCAGTCGTGGGCGGCTCACCCATCGATGATAATTCCGATAGACAGTAATCGACTTCGACTGAGCCAGTTTCTTCCCCTCCTAACTGAGCTGCAGCGCGATGGGCGGCAACATATGGGTTCATTTTAAGCGTCATCGTCCCCTGAGACCTGTCAACTTCGACAGAAAAAGCCTTTGGACGATGGAAAAGTCGATGATAGTAGTCGTTCGATTCCTCGTTATCGTATTCTCTTTCCCAGATATTGTCGCGGTCGGATCTTCTTCTCCATCTTCCAACAGGTCGTGACGGAACATTGATGGGGCAGTGACCAAAGACAATCGATTTGGGTAACTTGTACCACTTCGACAACGTTAGGGGAAGATTGCCCTCAGCAGCACACTTCAGCAATGATGGAGCAGCAATGATGGATAGACGTTTAGCATTTCGTGTACCGGCTTTGCCAAAAAGATCGATGTTCACAACGTCGCCTGCTTCTTCCAAAGAAGTATATTCAAGCACTGACGCTGTTATTTCCGTTGACAGACCTCCGATAGTGCACAAAATAGGAATATCTTTTGTTGGATCCACTAGATTGGACACTTGGCGATCGAAGGAATCATGCATCGGGAGCACATTTAGTCTTGGCTTGGGCACTTCGACTGTAAATCCGCTCGCAAGGGGCTTCCAAGTCAAGCCTTTGGCACTCGTTTTGTGTGTTCGTTCCAACAAAGTGTTTTCAGGTATCCAATCGTCTAACTCGAATACTTCATCGGTATCCTTGTAGGACGGCGAGAGTGAAAAGACAGCAGTATCCAATTGGGTCCGAAGAACATCTGGACGAAAGAACAAATACATCGCTGGCTTGTCACAAGTACCGTCCCTTTTCCAAAGCGCTGAGAGGACAATCGTGTGGGTACATTTCGTCTTTCTGTATATTCCGTTTACTATTCCTGTGCCAGACCCAGATACTTTGATAGTTCCTGGCCACGTCTTCCACTTCGAATGGTAGTGGGTCAGATGATTCCTTGAATCGATTGGTGGTTTGAACGCGTTCTTTACATCGTGTGATTTCAATGCACGTGCTGCGTCGTCATTCAACCCAATAAGCACCCGTTGTGACTCGACTTCTTCGCTACCGACAAGATTGATCGTGCATTCTTGGGGGCTGATTGGAACTTCCCAGCAATCAACTTGGTTCGAAGAGCTGGACAACTCGATTCGGGCAGCATCTTTCAGTTTACCACGATATGGATTCTTATGACGGATTGCCGGGGCATAGCAACGAATGTAAGCTGCGATCCTATACTCCGGATCTAACTTTTTGATACGACCGACCAGCACCCGTATCTCGGCAACCTGTTTTCCTCGGCCTTGGTCTTCCCAGGCCCCATACAAGAGCTGCCAGTGGCCTTTTTCGCGACGAACTTCCTGAAGCTGAAAGCTGAAGGACTCAAGCCCATCACCGTCCTTCAGAACTTCTTCCCAACCTTCGCTCAGACGTAATACAGAAGGTACCTTTGATCGAAGCTTCCTTTCGAATTCGTGAGGATCTGGTCGAATGTTCGACATAGCACCAGAATTTTCGACGGGTTTCAAGTCATGGTCGTGTACCTGATACTCGCTGCAACACTTGCGGCAAACAGACATGCCACAGTCACAACATTCCATTATCTGTGCCGTGGAGACGGTTCCAGAACTTTCACAGTAGCAAAGAACACTCGTTCGGTACGCATCCCTGGCAAAATCGCCCAAGAGAGAGCTGAAGACTCCAACGAAAGTTTTCGCGCTTGTGTCCCTCGGAACATCGTACATGTCCCCACGCTCTGCAAGAACTGCGCCGTTGGCAGTAGCATACTTCTGGCTGAAAGCAAAGTTCGTTAGAAGAACCTTTTTGTTAGTTTCTCTCTGTCGCCTCAATTGTGGCGCACAAATTGCGGCAAGCATGGTTGCATTGATCACCGGAACTGACATAGCATTGCCTGCTAGATCAGAAAGCTGAACTTCTGTTTCTGGACCAAGAATAAGTCGTGAAAAAGGGATTCCTGAAAATCGATGTTGCATGATTGTGAGATCGTCACCAGGGAGATAGCAAACTGTGAGGCTGGTTAATGTCCCACTTACCTTGTAAAAGTAATTTCTCGTATCTTCCGAGGACACATCGAGAAAATGGTATAAAGTGAGATTGATTCTGTGTTCAAGACTTCGTGAATGACACGACAACCACAGCTTACCCCATTACGCTGAGATAAGAAATCGGAAGCGAAGGTGGAGAATATTATGTACCGTGAGATTGACAGTCGCAAGAGCGTGGCGTGATTGACGCAACAAAAACTTACCTTCTGCCTCTATAAGGCAACAACAATTCTCCACCAGGAGTTACACACTATTGGGAATGGAAAGTAGATGCCACATGTTAGCGAGACCATGATATTGAAGCTTTGGAACGAAATTGAACTCACGCCCGAAACACCACAAGTGGCTGATCTGAAAGGAGCTCGAGTGACGTTCTGTGATAGATCCCAGGTGAAAGCGTGGTGCATGGGATCACGGGAAATGGCATCGCGGACTGAACATGATTGTGAGAAATTGAAGTAAAAAGCAGATCGTGTAATTCAAACGATACTCACCAGCTGCTCCGGAGAAGCAATCAATCAAATCTAGACGCCTGTGGTTCCAGCAATGCACCAATTCTGGCCATAGTCCAGGAGCCAAAGATTTTCTTCCAAGTGTACCCCACCCCGTCAACCAACGCGATCGCTCAGCAAGTCCATTCGCCTCCCGAAACACGCGATGGACTGCCAAGTCCTTGACTTTGGACTTATCCCAATCCCAAAAATCCTCCTCCTTTGCTCTTTCACGCTTTACCATTAGCCCCGGTCCCGACCGCAATGCTTCTCGGAAGCATCGAATCCGATCGTGCGTGTCAGGCAGCAAAAAGGCATCCATTGAATGAAGCAATGGGGTCTTGAGATGATCAAGAATCTCTTGAAAGTACTCTCCCAAGTCATCATCGGGTTCATCAGATCGCCAAATAAATAGATACTGTAGAAACGAATCCAAGTGAGACTACTATCATAATACAAGCAGGGTCGTGTCATCGTGTCATATATTGGCAACGCATACCTTGCGATTTCGCGTTTGAGGAAGCCCATATTCTTTTGTGTCCAGTTTACACAAATGTGTACAGTACCGAGCTTTCTTATCCAAGACAAGAGTATCTCCATCAAGGTTGATTTTGTGCTTCTTAGCCAATTCGCCCAGTGTGATTTTTTTCGTCGTAGTAGAGGTTCTCAAGGGTACTATATCATTGGGGTGGTTACCTTGCTTGACAAAGCCTCTCACAATGGCTCCTGCCCGAATGCCAACTTGGCGAGGGATTTCCTCTGCAACATACATCCCATCATCATTGACCGAAAATATGAGTTTTTTATCAGCGTCTAAAGTATAACAGGCGTAACGATTGTTAGCAAGACAACGAGATTCAAAAGAGGAATTTCATATGCGTGTTCTCACCCCCACTGGCCCCAACAATATTCTTGGACACATTACGATCTTCAAGTGATACTCGTCCAGTAATGTACTCCTGCATCTTACTCCAAGGTGCGCCATCCACATTCTCAAATATTGCAACCCGCGGCTGCTTTTGCTCGAGGAATTCCACCGCTGACAAGAATGTTTGCCCAGAAGTTCCCTTGTCTTCGATATCCTTACGATACGTCGTTTTCAGCATGGAAAAGTCCTTGCAAGACGTTCCTGCAACAAAAAGATTCCCGTCAGGTACGGCTTGCGAACGTCCATACACATCTTTAACATCCGGTTCTATCAACTTGTTGATGTCTGGAAAGAGCGGCACCCCAGGAAAGTTTCGTCCAATATAGGCCTGTTTGAAAGGTTCAATCTCGCAGGACATTTCGTGAGAGTACTCAAAGGTCTGTGACGATTGGAGCTTGGCGTAACATTCTTGCACCAAGCCAAGCGCAATAGATGGCGCGTCAGTACCCGAACAAGCAGTCATCAATTTGATCGGATAGCCAAGTTCACCTAGTATGCCGTTCGCTCCATCTTGAGCAGCAACCATTTGCAAAAGACGACCCACTTTGCCAACTTGTTCTGTAATGATGCCTTCAACAATACCGTGGGTTGGATCAATCCCAACAGGATCCACGTATGCACCAGTGGGCCACTTTTGAGGGTTATTATTCGGTTTAAAATTTTTGCGCTCCTTGTTGAGACGGTTCCAGAACTCTGGATCTTTCGTCCAGCCTTCTGGCACTTCCTTGGGGATATCCGCTTCGGTCTCCTCTGCCTTGGCTTCCTTTCCTTTTGTCTGTTTTGCTTTTGCACGAGCTGTTGTTTTCTTGGGTAGACTAGCTTCACTCTCATCGTCTACATCCATGTCATCAGGCAAAGACTCGTCATCGCTAGCGGCGCCCATTTCAAATTCTTCATCATCTAAATCGTCCTCTAAGACTTTGCGCTTCTTTGCTACCTTGCGTTTGGATTTAGGCGCTGGTTCTCCAAAGTCGCCGTCACCGTCGTCATCGTCGTCCCCGCTCTCTTCATTGTATTGTACACGACGACGCTGTCGCTTGTTATTAGCATTGGAAGAAGTTGTGGATGTCGAAACTATCGTTGGGTCGTCAATCTTTTCCTCCTCTTCCTCCTTTTCAACGGTGGGAGCAGGCTTGCTGTCTCCATTTCTGCTGATATAGGTTTCACGGCACTGGTCAAATTCATCCTGTTCGATTTCCTCTTCATCTCCATCGTCATAGAGTACATAGTAATACATGAAATCATCCGCGTGAGTAATATCAACGACCAAACCCTGAAAGAAGCCCTGTTCTGGAAACTCCTTTTCTACCCTGGTACCAATCTTTGGCGCAACCTGAACAGCATGAGCTGTCTCTTGCGGGCTGAGTTTTGAGGTTTTCCCAGTCGCATCCCATTTAATGGAATAGGAAATGCCGTTAAAGCCCGCGATCTTTCCAGACTTGTAGGTAGCATGTGCTTTGCTTTTGTTGCCGACCTTCTGTATTGTTATTGCAGAGTGTGAGACTTAGGTGGGCGCTTATCCTTGAATTATTCACTGTTCTTACTCACAATTTTCACGGCCGTCCCTATTTTATGCTCAGGCTCAACCTTTTTGGCTGGTTTGCTGGAGGTTGCCGACTCTACCTTGTTTGGTGAAAAGAAAGTGGTCAGGCACTGCTGGCCCTTGACCTGGCCTTTCTTTTGAGGCATGGTGATTATAATTCGGCGGCGACGATTGCTTCCAGTTTGAGGCTGTCTACACTGGCTGCAAATGAGGAACAGTACCGGTACCGGTACGATATGCCTGACACTCTCAAACCCAATGCCAGATTTCAGGCCAACGAAAAATGCCGCGCCATAAAATTGTCAACATGACACTACTGAAGTACTATACTCGACCTAGTCGACTAGATCTCTTTTCCGATCGATTACAACACTTTCAACTTTCGAAGTTGAACTTCACATTCCTTCTACCAGTCATTCACACTGTTAATTGACAACTCCAATATTCAGATACCCTTAATAGGATGGCAGAATCCTTCAACTCCACTCCTTCGGAACAAGTTGTTCGTCAGGTTGCAACCATCATCGGTGTTGACGATGCAATTGTCGACAATGTCTGCAAACGGATGGAAGAGGAATTTATTCTACAAGAGTGGCAAATGTCGGCTCTTGATGCTAGCGAATGGAAGGCTTTAGAGGCTCCTATTGGACTCGCAGCTGCCATTCGAAAGCTTGCATCGGTCGAAGATCGGAATGATGCATGGCGAACGAATAAGTCCGGTTCTGCACCAAGTGTGATTGCTTCAAGATCACCGTACGCCCAAAGACTCACCGATGCTACGAAAGGATCATTTGCCAATAGAAGCGGCCATAAAGATCCAAAATCTGCTGAAATGTTCATTAAGACAATCCACGAAGAAAAGGAAAAGCAAGGAGGAAGCGATGATGACGATGCTTCTCAGATTGATGCTGAAAGTGGTAGGACAAAACCACCACCAACGAAACCACATTCGCTATTCAAGTTGCTTTATAAGAATCATCATGAAGCATGCAAGGCATTTCACTCCACAACCTTTCCACTTTCTGATACATTCGATCGGGCCCTCCTGCACAGTAAATCGGGGGCTGATTTGAAGGCCCACACTGTATTCAAAATGGAAATCAGCGTAGTGGTGGCAGCTTTGCTCCTCGGCGCGGCAATTGAACTGTGGGGAATTTTTCCCCAGGATGTAAGTTTTGAATAAAGTCAGTGTATCTATGCGTTTGACTGAGGCGAATGTTGTTTCTCATCTCTGCGTTTCTCAAGGCTGTGGCTCAAAAACATGAAATCCCAGATGGTGGTGAGCCATACGTGCCCTATATAATGGCTCTCATTTTCCACACATTGAGTGGACTCACGATATTGACGCAATTAATGACCGTATTCTTGAATGTTGGCCAGCTTTATGTCGCAACCGCCATAAGCGAGGTACGTTCTAAACATTCGTTCTTGGTTGCTCACAATCGATTCATTCATTGCTACTCTAATCCATTGCCATTTGTATGTACTGCACAGAACAAGTTCCCAAAGTTTTTCCAACAAATTTTAGCTACAACCGCTTGGACAAACGGGTTATTTCAACTTGGAGTGGTCGCGTTTATGGTGAATATCGGAATCCTAGTAATGGGAACCATCTTGGCAACAACCTCTGACAAGTACACGATCATAGTTTGTGGCCTGATCATTCCTCTTTTGGTCGTCATACCTTGCGAAATGCTCTTTCATGTACTATTGACATACGTCGGTCGCACTGCTTTCAATGGATTTCTTCTGGTTTCACACGACAACCCAAACTCGGACGATATATTGAGTTTTGATCCAACGTCTGCCTCCGTGGCAGAGGGTACACTGTGTCAAAACTACTTTCTAGATGTTAATACGAATGACGAGGAAGTGCTCGATCGAATTCAAAGATTAAGACAACAACATACCCGCTCTACTTCTACCCGCGGGGTAGAAAGTACGACAATTCGAAACAGCAGGCTGATTGTGCCTCTGGCAAACAAGCACAATATTGGGCCAGACTATTTTCCTAAGTTCCAAGGTGTCAAAAAGCCATCATAGTACAGTACCAATAGATTCTGAAGTCGTTGTTTTCAGAGTGAATTGTACTGTTAATTGTAGAAAGTACTTGGATGGTTTCAAAGTATTATAATAGGGGCAATAGAGTGTCAAACCAAGGCAATCTCATGACAAAGCATTCAGCGAATGAAATAATCGACTAAATTTCGTTTTGGTGGAAGAGTACTGAGCACTATTTTGGTGGATTTTGAATATAATCTTGATGCATCTCTAAAGACCAACTCGACGACCTTTTGATTTGGGGGCAAACCTTTTAGGCGTAGAGCTAGATTTTCTGCCGGGTGTAGCCACAACACTTCGATTTCTTGAGGTTCGAAGTTTCGACAACCTCTTGGATTCTGCTGTGCTGTCTCGTTCTTCGTTCGCGGCCTTTGTCGCATGTTCCTTCTCCATCGTCGCTTGTTCCAACTTTTTCTCCTGTCGTTTCCGAAGAGTCGTCTCAAAAGACTCTTTGATGGAAAAGAACATTGGCCCAAGCTCTGCCAACCATTCCCCATCCACAGCAGTCACGCAAGACATGAACTCCTTTGATGTTGAAATAAGTTCGTGGTAGCATACATAGTCTGGCGTATAACCAAGACCAAACAGAGCGCTAGAAGGATGCAGCGAGGAGGGTATACCGGTGAGCATGTTGGTGTACTCCCCAATTCCTTTAAGCTTTGAACTGTTGAAAAAATATGCAGAGCATATTGATTTGCGAACAGCATCCCAAGAGCCTCCGCAGCTGATTGGATCCAATCTTTGCTGCTTCATCAAATCCAATAGTTGTGCGTGGACTTCCCGTGCTTTTCGAATACCTTTGGCATGAATGAAATGCCTGGTGCACCAATCGGCATCGAACCTGTATTGCTTTGCTCGCTGATACACATTCAGTAAAGTCAAATGGTCAGATTCTGGAACAAAGAACTTTTCTCTTGCAGCGTCAGATTCTTCTTCTCTATCCTTTGGTCGAAAGAAGACGCTAGGAACACTCAGCATACTAACTACGATCAAAACTTCAGTTGAGCAGCCTCCCTTTTCGTGCGCAAAAAGTAGCATCTTGCTCAGTGGCGGATCCAATGGAAAGTCAGCCATCTTACGCCCAACCTTCGTGAGATCACCAGTATTGTCAAGAGCCCCAAGAATCCACAACTGATAAAGCGAATTCATGATATTCTCTTGAGGAGGAGGGTCCATAAAGTCAAACTCCAACAAGTTCTTGATTCCCAGCGACTTCAATAGGAGAACGACATTGCTTAAGTTTGTTCTTTGAATTTCTGGGACAGCGCTTTCCATGAGTTCTTCCCTGTATTGCCTATCTGTATACAGACGGAAGCAGTATCCAGGACCAGTACGCCCTGCTCTTCCACTTCTTTGGTTCGCATTTGCTTTGCTTACAGGAGTCACTAGAAGAGCATCCATGCCAATCTTGGGATTATACACCTTCAACTTGCAAAATCCAGAATCGATCACATACCGAATTCCATCAACGGTTAGACTTGTTTCGGCAACATTCGTTGACACAATGACCTTTCGAATGCCCTTAGGAGCCGCCTCAAAGATACGCGCTTGCATATCTGCTGGTAGGGAAGAGTGAAGCGGTAGCACCAACAATGGTGGAGCATCTTCCCCAAGCCGTTCTATCTTTTCTGCAAGTACGCTACAGTTTCCAAAGTTAGAGTTTACGTCTGCTTTCATTTTCACTCATTTCATGTGATTGAGCTTACCTGCAAGTTCCATCAATATCTTCTTGACCCGTCATGAAAATCAAAATGTCTCCAGGTGGAGAGTTGAAGTGGATCTGCATTGCCTGTTTCACTGCTGCCATGACATAATCCTCCTGGACACTCTTGGCATAGTATGTTTCAACTGGAAAGGTACGACCTGGGATCCGAAAGACTGGGACTCCACCAAAGTAGTTGCTGAATGTATCAGCACTTAGCGTAGCCGAAGTGACAATTAATTTGATATCAGATCTGCGACTGACAACTTTCCTCAGAACTCCAAACAGAACGTCACTATTGAGTGACCTCTCGTGGGCTTCATCCATGACAATACAGCTGTATTTGTTCAGATCAGGATCATTTAGCGATTCGCGAAGAAGCACACCATCTGTCATATACTTGATCAGGGTATGCTCTGTTGTGCAATCTTCAAATCGAATGGCGTATCCGACTTTTCCGCCAAGTTCTTCTTTTTCGGCAGAAGGGTTTCCAGCATCTTTCACCCCGGCAGCAACTTCTTCGCTCACACGCTTCGCAACGCTCATGGCTGCAACACGACGTGGCTGCGTACAGCCAATCAAACCAAACTGTGAATATCCTTCCTCCATGAGGTACTGCGTCAATTGCGTAGTCTATGGAAATTGAAAGGAACGAATAGAAGAAAACGCAAAGGGTGAGTGATAAGCCAAGAAGTCAGGCACAGGCAGTCCATACCGGCAAAATCGTACCTTTCCACTTCCTGTCTCACCAACAATTACAACGCAAGTATTCTCCCGAATAACATTCAATAGTTCATCACGAACACTAAATACTGGAAGGTATTCCCTTTGCTGTAGAATACTTTTCGACTTGGCAAATGCAGATACGGCACCGTCTTTCTTTGAATTCTTCATATGCTGCGCAAAGCCTGACGATTTCTTGTAGTCGATTTCCCCATCGGCATTTGTGTCTTGCTGATCTTTTTTGTTTTGGGCAGTGTCATCGTCGTCCTCTCCTTCAGTTTTCTTCACACCAACTGCATTTCCCATTCGAGTACCGCCCAATTCCCAGAATTTCTGACGCATTGTATTCTTCTCTTTTGTGGCTCGAAGATGGCGCAGGGTTGCTGATCCTTCTCTTGCCATCTTTGCAAAATCAGAACTCGAGTCTTTAACGGTCGGTACAGCTTCTCGAATCGTAGAGAAGGAAACCCGTCCATCCAAAAAGGGAGGCTTAACTTGATGAACAAGAAGAGTCACTCGCGTATCTTGGTCTGTGGAGATTTCCAAATCCACAGATGATCTGACTGCAGCCCCACTGCTAAGCAGCCTATTTTCTTCCCAAGCATCTTGATCATCTTGCATCGCAGCTTTTCTAGGGTTGTAACGATTCATTCGTTTCTTTTCCATTTCCTCTTCTCGCGCTTTTGTTTTAGAATTTTCGAATAGGAAACGTCCCATGTCTCCTTGGTCATTGCTATCCAAAACATATCCTCCTTCCTCCTGATCCAAGTAGAAGTTTCGGTCAAAGTCTTCGTCATCAGGCTGCGGAATGTTGTCCCCATCTCTCTGACCTTGCAATGGTGTCTCATCCCAACCAGATCGTGAGGATGCTGGTGTAAGGGCCACATTTCGACGAGCAGAAGTGTTTCGCGACATTGGAGTCGGAGCATCGAGTCTTGACACAGCTTCGTGCTTATACCTAAGATTCGATGGTCTAGTACTCGATGAAGTTGCATTTGTGGACTGTGTAATTTCTGATGGTGGTGGCATCTTTGAGCGGTCCTGATCACCACTCCGCTGGTTGCTGCCATATCGGCTGCTCGAATTTCGGTCGTGCGATCTAGAGTTGTCTCGTGAGGAATCTCTACGGTCTGACCTATATCTATTCTCGCTTCTGGTCGAGCTTCGATCCATATCATCCCGTCTGCGGCGATTGTCATATCGATCATCCCTTTCGTATCGGCGGTCTCGGTCGTCTTTTCTTCGACCGTAGTCATTACCGTCATCACGATATCGATCATTATAAGGTCGGTGCTGCCGTTGTCCTCGCTGTTGACGGCGCTGGTCTTGCTGTCGCACACGATGGTAAGCATCCTGATTTACACCTCCAGGATGCGATGGTGTATCCGTATCACTGCGCCGATAGCTTCGTTTTGGGTGTGGCTTCGCTGGCTTTTGAAACTGGGTTTGTTCTTCTCGTTTGCGTGCTGCCAATCGATCGAGACCAAGAAGTGATTTTCCAACTACACCACTGCTGCCTTCGTTGGTCGGTTCGTCTCCATCGCGCTTTCGTTTGGGTTGTAATCCTCCTCCACTTGGTGGCAAGAGTGATGTCAATCGAGTGGAAGGTGTATCCTTATCGTGGGAATCACTCATTTCAACTTTCCAGAATCCAAAGCTTTTGTTGGTTGATGGCTTGAGGTGTCGTTTCGTTGTTTGCTGAATAAAGCTGGTGAGCGGTTAGGAGAATGGGAGATCTGAGTCACGCATTGCGAGTCCCACAAATACAGTAGCAAAGCTCATTATGATTATTATTATTTTCAATTTGGAAGATCCATTAAGCTAGTCGAGTCGTATACTATTGTGAATTGGGGATAGCGATGACCATCAAGGCTTCAGAGAGATAGTAAGCATAAAAAGAAGCAGACTTCACGCCCAGAGTCGGAAAAGAGGATGGATAAATTGATTTTAGCACCGATTTTAATGGTAGAACATAGTAATAGGAACAGGATACGTCAACATTCATAATATTTGTAGCTCAGGTCAGTTTTGGTTTCACACGTTGTCACTTGCCGGTTTAGAAGACATTCATTCAACATGCGAAATGGCAGCGCTGTACATATCCAGACCCAAGTCATCATGATTCTCATCCAGCTAAAAATCACAATAGATATATAACTCAGGAGAGCAAAGCAGTTTATTCCGCTACCAGGAATTTGTCGGGAAGATCATCAACACTGATTTCCCGCTTTTCTCGTTCCGCTTTGGTCCACTTTTGTGGCACTTTTCGGAAACCATCAAGGGAATATTGGTGCTTTTCGACCAGCTTCTTCGTCAAGTCGTTGTAAAGTCCCTCGTCCATGACTGGTTTTCGTGCCATGATCCAAGCATACTCTCTGTTTGGGTAGCCAATGCAGCAATACTCGTAGTTGTCTCCTAGCTCAATAATGTGATACGGCATCTTGATGGGCCATAGTGGGCTCACTTTCCAAAGACCACTGTTGGACTTGTCGTCCCCCTGAACCCAACCCTTTTGTGGAAGCGACTTGACAGCAGATGTCATGGGTTCCTTGGCGTTGTATGTGAAGTCAATATCAATATCGTGCTTGCTGGTATCCTTCAAGAAGGTGTACTTCTCTACAGCATTGGAACAAGTCTTCTCAAACATAGTTGGCTTGACGGCTATGACAAACCAGGTTCCCATGAATTTTTCGGTCTGACATGAAACGACGTTTTGCAGTGGTGGAAAGCTCGACTTAGTATTTCCCATTTTGATTGTTCTGATTTCTTTTGCGTGATCGTGTTTTGTGGGAATGAAAGGTGTGAAGCTCATGGAAGATGGGAACAGAGAAGAACTGCCTTTCCTACCGCACTGTACTGTATGACGTTTTTTCAGATGAGTCAGTCAATGATAATATTGATTCACGCTGGCGATGATTCATCATCTAGTCACGACCAAATTTTCGAAATTGAGCATTGATCACTCAACGGTACGAGTAGCGTACAGTACCAGTACAGTAGTTGCAGATTAGCTTTTATCTATTGGTGTCGAAAGATACAACTGTACGCTCCCAAAGTTCATTTGTATCAGATTGTCAACTCTGAAGCTCCCGTTCCCATTCTCTCCACATTTTAGACCCTCCATCAAAGTAACGAACTCTTTTGGCGAGGGGAACTCCTTGATAGAGTTTTGTAAATGCATATACTCCCTTGGTGCTCCACTTAAAATAGCTCCCAGAACAGGGACAACATGTCGAATGAACAGTCTCGCGCCAGCACCCATGAATCCAGAATCTTCGCCTGGCTCAGAAAACTCCAAAATTCCAAACTTTGCCCCAACATTATTCTCAGTTTCTTTTTTGAGAACACGGTGAATCTCGCACAAGGCATGCTCTTTCTCGGGAACATTTCGAATGCCAAAAGACATGGTTGCAGCTTCGAAAGTATTTTCTGAAAGATCTTGTAAATTTCGTACGTCTCCAAGCTCTAGGACAACTGAGTCAGAGAGATTCTTGGACGCTATCTTTTCCCTCCCAACCGTAATCATATTTATGGATGGATCAATACCAAGAATATTAAGGCCCCGCTTTATGCCTCCTTCGACTTTCGTGTCTCGGTGAGCTTCGGCAAAGAGAATAGCGACATCAGCAGTACCAGTTGCCAAATCTAACACCTTAGCACTATCTTGCCCCCTAACGCTGGCATCGAAAAGGCTTCCTTGGGATGCTACCTCGGCAATCATTCGTTTTCTCCATCCAATATCCATATTCAGGGCAAGGGCACGATTTATGAAATCATATCGATTAGCAATCATATCGAACATGGTTCCCTTTCCGTGATCGGTCGGCGGTTTTTCAAAAATCATATTCAAAATTACCGAAGCCAACACTGGAATAATGAAAACAATCGATACCACTTTCAGCATGTTAGGTGTTACGTGTCCGCTGTGAGGAGTAGAAGCCTGTAGTTATCCGTAGATATCGTTGATCGAATGCAACAGATGTACGGCACAGGATCCAAGGGTAAGATGTGTCGTCAAAAGATGAGCAGATCGGAAGACTGGCGTACGTCCGACGGGAACAAATCCAGTCACGAATTCGACTTAACGTACTACATCATTTTAAATTGTACTAACCTATCTCATTCGTTGTTTGCAACCAAACTTGGATGATAGGCCTATTACTCCAGGTTTCATTAGATTCATTGGATCCATTACATCATTATTTGTAGTAACAGATTTCATTCCTTGTAACCAAACTTGGATGATAGGCCTCCTACTCCAGGGTTCATTACATTCAGTGGATCCATTGATTTCCAGCGTGCTTGTGTTTTTGGTGGAGCACTATATTCCGTGCCGTGACCATGCTCAGCCGGAAGATACCCGTTGCAACTGTGTTCGACAGACTTTTTCAACTGCATCTTCAGAGTATGTGCATCTACCCCCGCCGGAAATGCGACATCTTCATGCACGACATTGCATCCAAAATGCGAGTATCTCATTCGCTTCAAGGTTTCTGCAGAATCGAGCACTGGTGCTTGGCCTCCATTCTTAGGAAGAGCATAGTCTACACTGATTCCTTGCGCTCCTTTTCCGACACACCATGTTCGAAAGGCAGGCGCAGCAACGAAACGAAATGCCGTTAGGCTGGCTACATCCGACTTATCGGAACATTCATGGACCTTCACCTTGTCCCCATACTTTTTACAAAAAGCATCCATTCTCTCTTGTGCTCGTTCCAGACTACCATCATATTCACCAATCGTCATTGAGATGTGATGATCTCTTTGCTTACCAGCCTCTTGTATCGAAGAAGGAAGAATACAGGGGAGAATAGGGTTGACAGTGTACAAAAGCTTATCGATCAACGTCGATGATCCCGGAAAGTTCAATGCTTCGATCCATAGTTTAACGTTCCATAGATCACGCACTGTTGGAGAAGATGGCCCAACGAACTTGATCAAGTTTCCCAGACCCCGACCAGCACGATCAATAACGTCGAAACTATCTCTATCCATGTACTCGACACTGATGGGAACATCTGCAGGATTGTCCAAGCAGACCTGCCGCCTAAATTCGAGAGCCGTGGAAAGATCGTCGAACGAAATCCAATACGTCTTGGATGCCTTTGGTGCTGCAAAGGTATCGTGAACAGAAGCCAATATGAGGACCTTTCCCTCGGAGCGATTGCAATCACAGCCCGAAGTGTCTGCGTTGTATCGACTGACGTGATGGTTGTGCTCACAAAGCTTTGACTTATATGTTGCATCATGCGCTGGGGCCTTTCCAAAGGTTTCATTTGACCTTCGAGCTCGAGTATCGTGTCCTCCTTTGACTCTCTCTACAACTGAGTCAATCAAAGGAACGACTCCATCGTGTCGTAGATGGGCCTCAAATTCTCCTTCTTCGTTGTCCAGTCCTTTGATTCCCAAAGTATTCACAACCTTCACGATCGGTTTCCCATACTTGTCCTTGTCTACTTTCAAATACAATGCTCTTTCAGTGTAGGCAGGACCCTTTCGGCATTGTGTTCCTCCAGATCCCAAAGAAACACCCGCTGCAGTGGTTGGATTCAAAAAGGTGGAGCCAAGTGTACTGTGCGATTCCCGGCCATATTCGTCTCTAATGTAGGTTTGCAAGGTTGCCAAGCCGACACCAGCCTGACACATGACCCGATTTCCCTCATCGATCGGTACAATGGCATCCAGATCCTTCATGGACACCAATATAGTGGGCCGCTTGTCATCTTGGCGACGAGGGACTGAGCCCCCAGTCAAGCCAGTATTCTGCCCTTGCACCAAGATAACACAATCGGCTTCGACTGATTCCTTTACAATCTCAATCAGTTGTTTCAGCTTTTTTGGCTTTACAATGTGAAGAGCCGAGCCTCGACCAAGTCGTGCACCTTTCAAATAGGAAGCTGTTTGTGTATTATCGATAGTGCCATCCAGTACATTTTTTCTTCCAACAATTCGTTTCAGAACCTTGAAGAGAGCCTTTTGCTTCTCCGTCAGTTCCTGTTTCTCGCAGCATGTTCGTGGTAGACCACTCGGAAGAACTCTGGCTTCTTCTTCTTCTTCTCGCAGAGATTGACGTCCCGCAATGAAACCAACAGAGAGCGAAGCAAAAGCAAAAGCTGCGGCTCGGCCGTAACTAGAACGGGATGAAGATGACGACGATAATCTCGTTTCTACATTAGGTTCCTTTTGGATGCTTGAGGAGGCTAATCCCCGATGAAGATAGCGACCTCTTCTCACGCCTATTGCAAGCAGTCGTCTTGGTTGTATCGATAACATTGGAAGATACAAAGAAAGTGTTCGGATTTGGATTCTTCATTCTGTTTTCACTACCGGTACAGGTTACCATACACTGTACCTGGTACCGGTACTGGATATGTACGCGAAGCGTGATGTCACTCTGTAGTGCTGATGATTGACACTTCTTTGACGCTGTATCATCTGCTAAGAGACGAAGTACAGACGGAGCTATTATACGACACAATTATCAATTATGACTACAGAGTGCGGAGTGTGTGTAATGTTTGACATCCCCTCCCCAGTATCCCCTCCCCAGTATTAAATAGTGTACAGAGTCTTGTGATCTTTTACTCGTATTTTACCAACAACAAAACGAAACAAACATAATAAGCATCAATGGAAGCTACAAACTATGTTGAAAAATACTTGCCACCAGAGATCGTGCAAAAGTTAGAGGCTGGAGCTTTTCAGAGTGTATGTAATCACCTGAGAGAAAGGAGCGACGAGGTGCAGAACCTTGATATCATGACGGTTTCTGGATTCTGTCGAAACTGTTTGGCCAAGGTATGTCGAATAAATGATCTATGAACACAGAAGATTCAGTGCAGTTGTACTAATATTTTTAATCACTTTAGTGGATGGTTGTGGAGGCAAGGAAGCTGTCCGACGACATGAAGAATGGAGAAGAGACAAAGGTTGAAAACTTGGATGGGGTTTTGCAATCTCTGGATGCCATGGGATACGACGAGGCAGCGCAGTATGTTTATGGAATGGCATACGGGGATTGGAAGAAGCGACACGCAAAAAAGGCCTCTGATGAAAAAATGGAACTCTTCAATTCAAGCAAACCACTGTGGGCAAAACATGACAAGACGGTGTTGGCCAAACGTGCAGAAGCGCCAGCATCGCAAGCCGCATCTGTAGAGAAATCATCGGATTCTTCCAAGGCTACTGGTGGGGCATCCCCCCTTTTGTCAAATGTGTGCTGTCAGGATGTTGATAATTCAACCAACCAGATAGAACCACCCAAGCCAAAATCCACCAGCAGGACACGACAATTGCCACCATTTGAGGCACCTCCCCCACCTACCATTTCGTTTTCGCTTGGTGTCTTGACGGTTAGCGATCGGGCATCGACGGGTGAGTACAAGACGGGAGATCTCTCTGGCCCTGCCGTCAAGGAAGCTGTCGTCAATGCGGTAAAGTCGTATGGCGAATCGGTCAAAATCTCCAAATCTGAAATTTCTATTGTGCCAGATGAGCCTGAAGCGATTCAACGCAAGCTGAAAGAGTGGGCCGACGGCTCTAGCTATGATATGATTCTGTGCACGGGTGGTACTGGCTTTGGTTCCCGAGACGTAACTCCTGAAGCTGCTAGTGAAGGTGAGAATTCGGGTTTTGAGCTGCGAATACTAATTCTGCATGTGCTACGTTCATTAACAGACTGTCTCATCTTTCCATCTGCTATGGTTTGTAGTATTTGAACGATCCTGTGAAGGTTTGATGACTTTTGTCACTATGGAATGTGCAAAGATGCAACCACTGGCAGCCCTGTCTCGTGGAACGGCGGGCACTCGTGGAAACACTCTCATTGCAACACTTCCTGGAAATCCAAAGGCATCGAAGGAGATTATCCCTATTCTGCTGCCACTGGCATTGCACGCAGTTGCTGATATGAAAATCCAATAGATAATTTTTAAATCTTAGTCGCACCTAGCTTTTGAATTCATTATCTTCAAGGCTCACTGTTTGACTAGCTATCGCAATGGACCCACTATAGTTCAACTAAGGAGTGAATCTTCTCCTACTTCGGTTTAGCATGATTCGATTTCAGTCTTTTCTGCCGTCACAGAGAAGTAAGTGGTGACGAAAATTGGAACGGCATCATGAACTACTCGCCAGCCATAACCCACAGTCCAGTGTTTGGGAAGTACATAAGTATACCCACGAATTGGGTCGATCTGGGATGGGATGGCCAACCATCGGTAGTGGAGCAAAGCTGGCGTTTGTGATATTGAGGTTGTGTAATGTATCCTCAATCGATAGCGACCAACAGAGTTCCAAATGATTGAGAACACGATTGACACCTCCTTCCATTCATTCTACGTTGGGATGACCATTTTTGTTTCTGAATCATGGGTTGGCAGGATAGGTTCCATCTGGGTGAGTCAATTGATCTGTTCTCTTTCATCAGAGCATTTGATTTGTATGTTTCCGTTTGCAATTTGTTTTTTTGTTCATCAAGTATATTTAGTTATTTGTTTTCTTTTTTCTTTTCTTTTCTTTTTTCTTTTTGTTTTGTTTCTTTTTTTCAGTTTTGGATGAACTTTTTCTCTTTTTCATTTACACTCTTGATTGATTCAACATCCATTCCCACCCAAAGACGGTGGAAGTGAATCATCTTATTTGTCAACACTTTTAACAGAAATTGCCAATCGGCTGTTACAAAGTTATGTCTCAACCTTCAGCTGGGGCATCACCACCACCACCATCACCAGAGTCGCCATCCTTTTTGCGAACCCAAGTTTTGGATTGAATCATCGACGTAACTCTTCCTCTACCCCTTCCACGGCCAGCTGCAAAGCGGCCTCCTCGGTGAAAGCCACGTCCACCAAAGCGCCCACGTCCTCCATATCCGCGTCCACCAAAATTGGCTTGGACCATGGGAGAAGGGTGCCCAGTGGCATCGGCAACACCTTCAGCACCTTCGTTGCTTCCTCCAGGGGCATTATCTCCGCCAGTGATTTGTGCACTATCGTCACCTTCACCTCCTCCTTCATAGCCTCCTCGACCACCTCGGCCTCTTCCACGGCCCCGTCCGCCAAAACGGCCTCGTCCACGTCCACCGCGACCATAACCTCTTCCATGTTGATAATAGCCTCCGCCATAACCATCATCATAGCCTCCACCGTAGCCATCATCGTAGCCTCCACCATAGCCTTCATCATATCCACCAGCTGCATACCCATCGTCATAGCGTTGCCATTTGTCTCCGCCATCACGACCTCTGCCACCGCGTCCACGGCCGCGTCCACCTCGGCCCCTACCGCCACGGCCACGGCCTCCTTCCATGGGATAGAATTCTCCGTCGTCGTCGCCATCATCTCGTCTTCTCTTGTTGCGACGGTCGTCACCATCATCACGATCGCGACCTCGACGATCGTCTTTGCGATCATCTCTTCGATTACGGCCTCGGCCTCGTCCTCTATCGTCGCCACGCCCTCTATCGTCTTTGTGATCATCTCGTTTGCGGTCGCGATTTCCACGTCCTCCGCGCGCTAGACGATCAAAGGCCTCGCCTTGTCTTGATTTGCCTTTGCCATCCCGGCGTTTAGGACTGCTGTCCCTATCTTTCTTTTCCTTCTTTTCCTTATTGTTGTTATTGTTTCCTTTGCTTCCTCGCTCACGAGAGGCTCCCAAGGCACCTGCCATGGTCAAAGGATTGTCTTCTTTGGACTTGAACAAGACAAGATGAAATAAATGCAAAATGAGTGGGATCAGTGAGCAAACATAATCCTCTATTTGGCAATCCATCAACCAGCTAATGATATAACCTACCTTGATTGAAACAACACGACTTCCAGATCCCTCTCCAGAATCTCCACCATCCTCCTGTTCTTTTTCTTCACCCTGATCGTTTTTTCCGTTCAAAAGCTGAACCACAAATTTGGAAATTTCTGCTCCAACCTTGTGTGCTACTTCTTCGTTACAGAATTCCATTTCCATGCCAATCAATTCTTGGACAATGTATTCCACAGCCTTGTCATTTGAAATCATGGCAAAGGTGTAATCCAAAAAATCAGTAATATCTTCATCGAGAGATCCGGACGCGTGGAAATAGGGCAAGAGGACAATCTTGATTTCCCGAGTTTCCTCCGGAGTCATTTTACGTCCGAGAGAGACAGATCCATCGTAGTCAGACATGATGATGATTGCTGACGTTGCTTGTAGGGAATGAAGACTCCTCGGTTACGACAGAGGGGAGATGTTGATGGGTCTGAGCCAATAATAGATTGGAGCCGCTTCAACAAAAAGAGTGAATAGGACTATAATCAAAGTGTAACGATAAAAAGCTGATTGATTCAGTGAATCTTTATCAAGGCTTTTTGTTGTCTAGAGCTGATAGATTTGGTAGACAGACAAACAACAAGGATGATTGATTCTTCCACCACAAGTCTCTGCTGTACTGTACTGTAGATCGTGCTTTGCGTGGTTTGAATTGAGGGTTTGGCATTTGGCATTTTCAATTTCCGCCGGACAGACTGCTGTAGTCAAAGGTGTCGGCTGTATAGAAAGTCACGCCGGTCGGCCGGGCTGCATGCTGCATGCAAGCTTCAGTTGGCTGCGTCCTCCTCCAATGTAAAGCCGGGCTGGCGAAAAAATTCAAAACACATGGCAGTTTCTGCGAGTTGAATAAATTCTCTTCTCTAATTACCTTTTCACACATCCGATAAACAGTGTGATCACTCTTGTAAGGATTTCCATCTACCGTCACAACAGCAACTGCACCTCCGTTGTCCAACTACAGTCACCAAAGGGAAACACTTGGTGAACTTCTTGCAATTCCGATCTGCAACTCCGTCCACTTTTGCTTCCTATTTTAAAAACTGGTGTACATGCCGCCGCCGCCAGGTCAGCCCTCTAATCTTAAACCGAAACACACACACATGAATGCACAACGCACGACAATGGCGGGGTGGACAGATTCACGGGCAGACACGTTGTCGACTGCAGACGAGTCGCAACCACTGGAAATCACAGTGGAAGAACATTTGCAAAGTCAACGCAGTGCTCGACTATCGGTAGAACAACAAACGCCGCAGCCGCAGCCGGAACCAACACAACAGAAGAAAAATGTTCAGTTTGTTGCTGCAGCAGGGAAAAGTCGGCCAAGAAACAGCAAGAAGAATGGACGATGTATAATGATTGTATTGGCTGTGATGGTGGTTATTTGTGGGGCACTTGCCGTTGGGTTTCATTTCTACAACCAATCAGTATTGAACGACGAGCAAGAAACTTCAGCGTCGGCAATTTCAACCAACGACAATGCCGAGACAACAGCAGAAAATGATACTCGTACGGATGCTGATGCTCCTTCCATGGTATCAGTATCAGTGGGACCACAGGCTCCGACTGCTTCCCCCACGATTGCAACGACTGCAGCTACACCTACAATCACACCAACTGCATCCCCATCAACAACTACTACTTCTGCAACGGATACACCAACTGCATCTCCGACATTGACAACAATAGTGGTGGATGCTCCGTTGTCAACGAATACGCCATCAGCTGCTCCGACTCAAGCGGCATCACTTCCAAACTTTGATTCCACAGTCGACACTCCATTGAACTCTTCCACCATGCCAGCAGTAACGACAACCCCCTCGTTGAGGCCGTCGCTCCGACCGAATGGATCTAGTATAACTGTTCCCAGTATTGCTCCGTCGTCGGTTCCAACCGCTGTGGCCACTAATATTGCAACCAACCGACTGGCAACCTTGAATCCCACAGTATCTCCCACCACCTTGTCTAGTACCAACGGCGAGAGACTTGTGGCTTCACCCACTGATGCACCTACACTGCAGTCGAGTGAGTTACCAACCTCCCTTCCCACTGCTTCGCTCAACCCAACCGACGAACCTACAGTGGAAGCGAGTCTCAGACCTACAGGCACACCGTCTCTTCGTGCCTCTTCTACACCTACCAATATCCCAACGGTAGCATCCACGACCTCATCACCCTCTGATAGACCAACGCGAGAAGATTCTTCGGTACCTACCACATCACCCACTGATAGGCCCACGCGAGAAGATTCTTCGGCACCTACCACATCACCCTCAACGTCGTCACCAACGGATACGCCAACGACATTGCCACCCACAGATTCTCCTACAAGTCAGCCCACTCCAGCAATCACTGCATCTCCTACATCCAACGAGTTCGCCAGAGTGGTGATTGAGCCGGATCGACGATTGAATCAAGGAGAATACGTCTTTTCGCCCAATGGACGCTATCGGGTTGGATTGACCGATATTGGAGACTTTCAATTGGTCGATACTAGCACTGATAAACTCATTTGGAACGCCAACATTACCGGAGGGTACCGCTGCTTTATGCAAGGAGATGGAAACTGCATCATTCGAGACCAAAACGGAAAAGGTCTGTGGTCCACCAAGACCTCCAAAAATTATGATTCGCAACTGGTGATTGACAATGGTGGCATGCTGGGAATCTTGTACAATTCAAGCTACCTGTGGATTCATGGAGTTCCACGTGAAACTTTTGATGATTCTACCATTGGAGTGCCGTCGTCAAATGACATTCAATTCCCCATTCGTGGAGCCTTTTATTATCCTTGGTATCCGGAGACTTGGACAGCAGGTGGGGAAATGGCCATTTTTGAACCCTCGGAACCGTTGGGATACTACAACTCGGCGGATCCTGCAGTGGTCGAAGCACACCTTGATGACTTTGAATATGGAAATATCGAATTGGGCATTCTATCATGGTGGGGACAGTCCAAAAACAATGACCGGGCAAGAATATCACTTATTCAAAATATGACCCAAGCACGTGGATCCAACCTCAAGTGGTCGGTCTACTATGAGGAAATGCACAAGATCAAGACTCTCGAACAAGTTTCCAGTGATCTAGCTTATCTGAAGAAATGGTACACCTGGCATGATACCTGGGCCAAGGTTGATGGCAAACCAGTTATCTTTGTCTACCACAATAGAGGTTGCCACAATTCAGAACGCTGGATGGAAGCTGCCAATGGAGAATGGCATGTGGTGCTCAAACTCTTTGGTGGATATAAAGACTGCCCAACCCAACCCAGTTCTTGGCATAACTACGGTCCCGCCAAGGAGGTTCTTGCCTATGACGATGTTTCCTTCAGCATTAGTCCCGGCTTTTGGCACGCAGCCGAGGCGGAACCAAGATTGGCCCGTGTCAATCAAACTAGGTGGTGTACCATGGTCCAAGACATGGTCGACAGTCAGGCTCCATGGCAACTCATCACAACCTTTAACGAAGCTGGAGAAGGTACAATGATTGAGCCCTCGGACTCATGGGCCAGTAATAGTGGCTATGGCTACTATTTGGATTGCTTGCATGACATCTACTAGAGGGGAACAATTATATGAACAATTGGGGACGCGACCAGCAAATTGCAAAAAGACAAGGATGCGCATATCGTACATCGTACATCAACCGAGCCAATGCTTGCTAGAACGCACTGTATATTATATGTAATAAGATTGTAAGCTAGTATGACAATACGTCTGATTAAAATACCAGTATGAATACGAGTAACTTTTTGGTTGAATGCTACTAAACTTAAACCATTATCTATATTGCCGAACAAACGCCACACAACTCTCATTGACCTCGTCCCGGTCCACTTCTTCCCCTGAATTGTACTCTCGTCTTTGTCGTCTAAAGATTCTTCCGAACCAAGACCTTGATTCGGTTGCACCTCCGCGGCTCACTCGTTGCAATACCGTCCTTTTGTTTCGCGCATTCTTGTTGTTGTTGTTTGGGAGCAGAGTGTAGCCCTTTTTTCGCGCGGCCATGTCTTTTTCGTAAGCTGCAGCAGTCGCTCTTTGGACAACCCATTGGATAAGAAAGTAATTGACAATGGCAAATAGAATCATCGTGGTGAAGAAAGATGTATTCCGGTCGATTCCATATCGTAATAGTGCCAAATTCAGAATGGTGGATCCAAATAGACTAAATCCGTAGACCGAAAACTGTCCGATAAGAGTCTTGAGATACTTCTCTCGAGTATCAATGGTATCGAGACCATAAACCAATGTAGCATTGAGCAAATGCTGCGTGAAAATCTGCAGGAGGTACCCGAAAAAGTAGGAGACACTGTCTTTGTACTCTTCCAGTATGTCTGGAAGGCCATCAATTTGACACAGCTGAGCGTATAACATGCGTTCAATGATGTAGAAACAAACGACCCCTATGTTTCCGCTGACACTGAATCGAATCAGACTGGATATTTGAAACCATCTCTTGTAGAGTTCCACCAGGAGGCTTCTCGAAGGTGCAGTGGCAGGAACTGCTGATGATTCTCGGAATAGAAGAGCTCCACCTCTATTTATTCCTTGAACTAGAGTACTGGAACTAGGAATGAAAACAATACCAGGCGTCATTGTTGTGGTTTTGGACTGGTTGTTTACTACCGGTCCTAGACTGTTTGATGATGTTTGTGTTGTTTAGGATTGATTCGCTATGATTGACGTTTTTTTGAAATGTCTGACGCGGGGAGGGGAGTGAGTCTTTGGTCAATATGGAGGGGAATCATCATGGTGATTCCCCTCGTTTCCATGAGAATACAAAGCATCAACATCGTCGACAAACATTGAGAAACGACCACCAATATCGAAAGAATAGCAATCCAGCAGGTTTCCAGGGGAGGAACTGTGTTGATTACAGTCCAGAGTCAAATGGCTGTACCAAACAAGGAAGTTGTTGCTTCTCTTACTGAGCGATCCACCGATCCTCTTCGATCCATATCTTTGTCGCCGAGTCGAAGATTTGGTGTGATTGCTGGGAAGGATAATCTGCAACTTGTCAAAATAAGTCCAGACGGGCTCAAGAGGCTTCGATTGTTAAATATTACACAAGTATGTTCGTTGATTGCATCAAGTGTGGGGACTTTCCTTGCTATTTCTAACTGTATCTTTGCCTCAAGTATTTGCAAACCAATGTTCCATCAGGAGAACGACAATCCCAGCCGGCGAAGTATGGCGATGTGAGAGATACCTTTGGTTTGGGCGTCCCAAAACAATCCACGCAGAGAACCATGTCACACGGCAATATCGCGGTAACTTGTGCAGCCTGGAGCAGTCTACAACAAACGGAGCAACAAGCATCAGAAACTTCCGACCAAACACCATCCTTGGATGCCGAGAAGGCAAACTCAATAATTGCAGCAGCAGGATCCAATGGGGTTGTTGTGGTATGGACTTCAGGCAGTTTCTTTCCGGGGGGAGGTGGTGGATCAATGGGGAATCCACAGCCAGAGGGGTACTTGAACCAACATTCGAGAGCGGTCAATAGTCTTGCCTGGCACCCAAGGCAGCCTGGACTCTTGTTGACAGCCTCTCAGGTGAGTTTCTAGATAGTAGCGAGAGGAAACATGGTCTTCCATGGACACTCTTCTCAGCTGTTTTATCTTTGCGGAATCATCCTTAATGTAGGACGCTACGGCCAAGTTGTGGCATCGCAAAGATTCAATTGATCGAAAAGGGGAAGACAAACGAAAAAAGAGTAATTGGTTCGCGAACAAGGCCAACACGAAGGACTCAAAGGTGTATCAATGGAAATGCATAGCGACATTCAAACCGAAAAATGAAGCCATTAGGGATATTCAGTGGTCCAACTTTCAAGATGACAGTGAGTCCTACTACAAGTTCGTGCTCAGACAACTTCTTCACCAATTCTTATTAATCTTTCCCGACTCTTGAACCCCTTGCAACAATTAGTTTTTGCCCTGGTAACTGTCAGCGGATCGTTAATCGTCTACAACAGGTATATTGGGATGAGAGCGCTTGCAAAGGTTGCCGCCCACGACGGTGATGCTTCGTGTTTGGACTTCCATCCAACACAGCCATACATTATTGCCACGGGCGGGTCGAACGACAATCGAGTAAAAGGTGTGCTATGATATTGTCCGATGTATTTGTGTTGTAAACGATTGCTCATTTCTCCTTTTGTAGTTTGGGACTTGGAGAGCAACATCACCATGTCCAAGAAAGATGACCACAACATAAGTGTCAATGCTGGTACATTGAACACTATCAGGTCCGAAACTGAAAATTCAGCGAACAGTGTTAGTTCCCACGACACAGACAAATCAACGTAAGTATCTGCGCCTTCTTGTTCGAGCCACGGATGTAATTTCTCATGCTAAATGTCTTGTTCCACTGCAAAGCCCACGGCTCGAAACTTCCAATTCCTCCAATGGCATCCGTTCCTTGAATGGGTTTAGTCAGAACTCATCTACATTGTCGAATACTACATTGTCAAGACATAGCAAAGTCAGCTCTCCATTATCATTACACGTCCTCTCCATATCTGCAGCTGTTACGAAAATCAAGTGGAGACCGTCAGCATCCAGCGTTATGGATGATGACGAAGTAGATCGCCATGAATCCATGCTTGCTGTAGCAAGTGCCCGCCAAGCGAGTGCTGGTGGATCAGGAGTACTTGGCTTGTGGTCATGTGACCGACCTTTCATGCCTCTCAGCGTGGTGGAAGGGCATGAAAAAGGAGCTATCGGGGATTTCGTTTGGTTGGAGACTCCATATAGAAACACAAAACCAACATCACATCCGCTGGTTTCTTCAGCAGAGCCAATGGACAAGTCAAGATCTGGGTCTGTAGGGCGGTATTCTCCTAGTACTACAACTGATGGTACTGTGGTGTTACGCGGCTCTCTCCGAGGTGATGCAGAGTCTATTCTATTTGACAATAAGGAAAAAGATGACGAAAGACGGGCCGCTCCAAGAATATGGCAGCATATTCTGAGTGTCGGAAGGGATGGAAGATGTTTGGTGCAGTCGTTGGTGCGCGGTAAGCGATCGGTGGGAGAACCAAAAGTGAATCTGTCTTTCTTCATCTCATGTCTTCATACGTCGTACACAGGAGAGCGGCCCATGTCTAGGATACCCCCATCTTGCTTTGCTTTGGCTAATTTATCGCCATTTCAAACAGGCTATGGATCGCTCCAGGTTTTTAGTGTCTATCAGAACGTGCCCAAAGGAGCTGAAAATGACATGAAACTGACAGGATTGAGGCGAGACCAGTACACTGCTCAAGCACCAGGAATCTTCAAAGAAGAGATGTCCGATGAAGAAATGGAATTCGACCGGAGCGATGGTCTTGACTTCTTTGAACCAGGACGACGCTTCCCTGACACTTCACCGGAACTGGTACGCTGTCAAATGTCTTGCTTGGTCATCTCCTGTTTGTCATCCTTGATTTGCAACTTATCCTCTCTTTTAGGTTTTCAATGTCGTGGACGGAGGTAAACTGGATTCTAGTGGTTTGCCAATAAACGAGGACGTAGAAGCCATCTGTATTGCTCCGGAAGTATTGCACCTTTCCCGTTTTGCAAGCTCCTATCAGCTGTACCCAGACTCTGAGTTGACTGCACGAGTTGACCTGTGTTTGCACAACGCTGGTATCGCTGAAAATCTGAGGCGTGATTCCCTTGCTCGAATGTGGCGATCAATTGCTAGCATGATGCAAGGTGCTGGATTAGATGAATTGCCAAAGGCAGGCACCAGCATCGCTCCTACAAACGTCATGCAATTTGTCTTGCTTCCCACCGTTAAATCCTTGCTGCTGGAGCGGGCAGAAGCTGGAGATGTCCAAACTTGTGTAGCAGTTTGTGAGGTGTTGCAAGTGATTGATTCCGACCAGAACACGAAGATTCCTGGTCTCGATATTACCCTTTTGCGAGAGTGGTACCTTTCCTACATCGATCTCTTGGAACAAATGTGCTTGTTTTCTGCTTCGGCGTTCCTCATTCAGCGATGCAATGATCCAGTCATTGGGGCTATGAATCAGAATTCAACGACGTGAGTGAAAAGCAACGGCCGTGTTTTTGTTGAAAAACTAGCGCTAGAACTCACCAATTCCACCAATTTTGGACACTTCAGCATACACGAGTCTTGTTCCACATGTGGAAAGCCGTTGCAACCCTCTACTGAGCCAGGTGGGACAACAAGAAAGGTGTGCAAGACCTGCCGTCGTCCAGTTGGTATGTGCTTCCTTTGTCACCAACCTGTCACGGCTCTTTATGTGTGGTGCCAAGGTTGTGGTCACGGAGGACATTTGGAGTGCGCTCTCAAGTGGTTCGGAGGTTTTGAATCGGAACCGCCAAGAGAAATATGTCCGACTGGTTGTGGTGAGTAATTGGGCGTTGTCTCACTAGTGTTTGATCTGTAGATATTCACCGAATCTGTTTTTCGCTATGCCCAGGCCATCGGTGTAACTTTCAGAAAATGAACTCATAGCTTGATTCCCAAAGAAAGAAATGAGGAGTGTCTCAAATCCAAATAACCTAATGGAAATTGAAGGCACTGCTTTCCATGAGTTTGCTTCATAGTCTAAACAATTGAACACGTATGTCAGGTGTATATATTAGCGGAGTACACAGTCCGTATCAAACGAATAGACTCTTACTATTGTACGAGTACCAGGTACCTTGTTTCTGCCTGGACTTCTTTAGCCCTTATCGATGAGGTGTCCCCTGTCATTCATCATATTCATCATGCATCTTACGGCTAACCGGTCGACTGCCGGACGGCGATTTGCCACCGCCGGAAGGAGATCCTGAAATTTGGTACCGGTACGGTACGCAAAACTTGAGTAGGATTCTATCTGTGGTATGCAATTTCGCGCGTTGACACGTACCCCCCATTTTCGTGTCAAAGATCGGCATTTGTTGTTTATCACAGTTCAATAAAGTTTCCTCTTGTAGATACTTGATATACTTGATTGTCAATATGACTGACCTCATGGTAGGTTTGTTTGTAGTCAGTTGAATCAGCAAGTTTGCAATTGCCATTGGTGCAAAATGTAGGCTCACATCACCAAAATATCTTTTGATTCTTGATTCGTGAATTCACAGACTCCTGCCACCGTGCTCATCATCGTTGCCGGTGTCGTCGCGCTTGTTTGGGCTTTGTCCCAATTCATGATCATCTCTGCCATTCCCATCAAATCTGGGGGTGCCGGTGGAGAAGAAAGCGCCCTACTTGCAACTGGTGACGAAGAAGGAACCACTGCCCGCCTGAATGAGATTTATGAGGCTATTTACGAGGGAGCCGAGAGTTTCCTCCGCGCCGAATACCGAGTCTGCTTCTGGTTTGTTGTTTGGTTCGCTCTCCTTATCTTTATTCTAGTCAGCTGGGGAACTGGATGGGAATTGGTTCGCGGTGCTCTCACCGCCATTAGTTTCCTTTTGGGTGCATTCACTTCCATGGCCAGTGGATACTTGGGTATGAAGGTTGCCGTCTACTCCAATGTTCGTACCACCATTGCTGCCCAGAAGCAAGGATGGACCGACTGCTTCAACACTGCTTTCCGTGCCGGTGCCGTCATGGGTACGTATAGATCTGGCAAAATGCATTCTGACAAAATTCATTGTGATTTTGTGGGTTTCTCATTCGTGGAACTTTTCTTTTGATGCAACAGGTTTCGCTCTTTGCGGAATGGGAATGTTGATGCTTTACATCACCATGCTTGTCTTCCGTGCACAATACCCTGACCCCATGGACTGGATCCTTCTCACTGAGTCCCTCACAGGATACGGTCTTGGTGGATCCGTCATTGCCATGTTCGGTCGTGTCGGTGGAGGTATCTACACCAAGGCTGCCGATGTCGGTGCTGATTTGGTCGGAAAGGTTGTTCACGGAATCCCTGAGGATGATCCACGTAACCCTGCCACTATTGCTGATAATGTCGGTGACAATGTCGGTGATGTTGCTGGTATGGGGTCTGATTTGTTTGGATCTTTTGCTGAATCTACCTGTGCCGCTCTTGTCATTGGATCCAGTATCGGAGCTGGTGGTGACTGGGACGCCATGGTTTTCCCTATCATCGTTTCCGCTGTTGGTATCTTTGTGTGCTTGATTTGCTCTTTCATCGCCACCCACATCAAGCCTGTCAAGTCCGAGGCAGACGTCGAAAGCGCCTTGAAGGTTCAACTCATCAGTACCACTATTCTCATGATCCCAGCTGTCTATTATGCTGCTATCTCCTTCCTTCCATCCACCTTCGAACTTGTATCTACTGTCGGAAGTAACAAGCTCACTTTGACCCCCATGCAAGCCACCATCTGCGTCATCATGGGAGCGGTTGGTGGATTGACTATTGGTTTGGTCACCGAGTACTACACTTCTCATTCCTACCAACCAGTCCGTGAGGTCGCCCACTCTTGTAAGACTGGAGCCGCCACCAACATGATCTACGGAATTGCCCTTGGATTCAAGTCTGCCATCATCCCCGTCATTGTTCTTGCTCTTGTCATCTACTTTTCCTTTGACTTGTGTGACATGTACGGAGTTGCCCTTGCTGCCATTGGATTCCTCTCTAACTTGGCTACTGGTTTGACCATTGATGTTTACGGACCAGTTTGCGATAACGCTGGAGGCATTGCCGAGATGGCCGAGCTTCACCCTGGTGTCCGTGAGAAGACTGATGCTTTGGATGCTGCTGGAAACACCACCGCTGCTATTGGAAAGGGATTCGCTATCGGTTCCGCTGCTCTTGTTTCCCTTGCTCTCTTTGGCGCCTTTGTTACCCGCATCAGCCATGCTTCTGAAGGCAAGTGGTTCGGAAACGGTGTCAACATGCTTGAGCCTTTGACTTTTGCCTTTTTGATCATCGGTGGAATGATCCCATTCGCTTTCGCTGCCATGACCATGAAGTCTGTTGGTTTGGCCGCCATGGAGATGGTTATGGAAGTCCAACGTCAATTCGACGAGAAGCCACACCTTCTTGATGAGAACCCAACTGAGCGCCCCGACTACGATGCCTGCATTGCTATCTCTACTAAGGCTTCTTTGAAGGAGATGGTTGCCCCAGGTGCCATGGTCATCTTCACTCCACTTTTGACTGGTATCTTCTTTGGTGTTGGTGCCGTCTCTGGTCTTTTGGTCGGTTCTTTGATCGCCTCTGTCCAACTCGCCATCTCCATGTCTAACTCTGGAGGTGCTTGGGATAACGCCAAGAAGTACATTGAGAAGCAACCTGCTGACTCTGAGCTCAAGGGCAAGGGATCTGACATTCACAAGGCCGCCGTTGTTGGTGACACCGTCGGAGATCCTTTCAAGGATACCTCCGGACCTGCTCTGAACATTGTTATGAAGCTTATGGCAGTGTTGTCTTTGGTCTTCGCAGACACATTTTATGCCACCAACGCTGGCCACGGTATCTTGAACCTTCATTAAATTGATGCAGTCTTCTCTGATTGACATAGCTAGCTATGCTATTCTATGCTAGTCCTATTCGTTTATGTAGTCTACATTAATTTTACATTTGGTTGAAACCACTCTTATCTATTCTCTTCTTGCATTTGCTATTTGTCGTTTTTTCCTCGAAGAATGATCTGATTGTCATACCCTGCAGGAAAAACAGCACTACCGCTGTGGCTGAATTGAGGATCGTCGTCTTGCTCTGGTCTGGCACCCCGTTCCATCATTGCCTTGCCTCGCACTGGCCATAAACGAACGAGTACTCGACCCACAATGAGAGATGCTGGGATTGGTCCATAATTTCGAGAATCCGACGAGTTCCATGGATTGTCCCCTTCAATCCATAGATGCCCATCTGGAACCACTAGATTTTCTGGCATCGACCGATCTAGAATGCCCTCTTTCTGAGTCCGTCGCGTTGGTTTGGTAACAATGTCTCCTGGCAATCCTAATACTCGCTTGCATACAGTGCCAACCCGATCCGGGTGTTTCACCACAATGACGTCGCCGACACTAATGCCAGATGTTACTTGGTTAACAAACCGGTCTTTGACGCCTGTTGAGCTTAGTTTGTTGGCTGGTACTCTTCTTTCATGCCATGGAAACCTTCCACCCACTTTTCCTTCCTCTCCAATACGATGCTCGTGTTCTCTTTGTTGTTTTCTGGCCAAACTTTCTCGTTGTTTTCCAATTGATCCCCCTTGCAATCCATACAGTCTTGGTGTGAATCGATCTAGTAATACAATCTCTCCTAGTGGCCTGATTGTAGGTAGCATACTGGGTCCTTCGCATATTGTCAATTCAAATCCATATTCTGAAATAACGTAGACTAATCCAAAGGCGTATATTATTCTTCCCGCTTGTGTCAATAGCGCAAAATCAATTTCTTGTGATGTCTTCTCTCGAGCAGTTTCCTTTGTGAGTGTTTCGGCGGACCTGTCGCTGAAATGGCGACAGTTCCAATTCTTGAGATTGTTTGTTCGTTTTGTAGTGTGAAGTGAATGAAGTGATCTGCGAGCAATCGGATTCTGCGGTCCTCTCATTGCTTTTGTCAATGAAGAAAGCGGTGATGACATTGATGATGAC